TATCGTCCCCTGAATTCATTTCATTTAAATTCAGGTCTTCATAAACTGGATTTCTTTCTGGCCGTGATTCAGGCTTTGACTCTTGTAGAGATTTGGCTGATATTTTATTCTTTAAACGACGATAAAAAAACAGCCCAGCAATACCCGAAAAAACAACTCCAACGAAAGCGCCCGATACGAATGTTACGATGTATAAATACCATTCTGTTCCACCATCCATTTTGCTGCAAGATGCTAAAGAAAAAAATACTCATGTAATTAAAACGATACAAAACAAACTAATCGGGACGTGAACTGTTCAAAATGATTTTAAAGGCTGCTTTCCACTTACGAGGTACGGAAAAATTTAAATGCTTTTAAATTTTTATTATTTAACATCTAGGTAAACTATAATGCATACTAAAATATGTAGAAAACTAAGTTCCTTCGATTTATTTACTTAGTTTTTTCAAACTGGTGACAGGTATAAGGATTTAGACTTTTACGTACGTACGAAAAACGTGTAAGTGGAAAACAGCCTTAATTGTGATCATTTCAGTTAGGGTTTTGTTAGGTTGCAATCGAGAAAAAAGATTGCACTAAAAAGATTCTGTTGATAATGGAAATTATTGATAACATTCGCGCACCTTTGCAAGATTTGTTATAATTTTCATTATCTGTGTTTGTACTTTTTTCAGTATTTATCATCGCCGCTGTCGGGGATTTGATCGATGGAGTCGAGGATTGTTTTGTAATAAGTTCTTTATCTGTTGTAACAACATCCATCCAATCTGAATCGTAGTACAAATCCTAGACAATTAAAAATATGGTTAAAAATAAGGTTCCCGCAGAAGATGAAATAGGTTTTAGAACCTTAAGTTTTATTACATTTTGCTACTTACCGCACTTTTAAACGTCCTTTGAAAAACAGAGTAACCCGTGTCTGGTTCCAATTTGACGTTTTTAAACGAAATATCTCTTCTTGTCCTTCTAGTTTTAGAGTATGATTTATCATCCCCAACAGTAAAAAGACTATTTTGATTGACGAAGGTTTTCCCAAGCTCAGCAGCTATATATGGCTTACTATTGACAGTGTTTTTATCGTATGGTTGAAGGTCGTTTCCAGGATGTTTGGTTGGTTTTCTGTTAGTTTTGACTACAACAATTTGGATGTATCTAAAGAAAGGTAAAAAAGAGTTGGTTTCTATTCGCCCCAGCTCCCCAGTGACATCCGGCTGACCCCTCTCGTCTCAGCTCCCCATAAGACAGACTTATATAAAGACATACTTGTCGTCTTTTTGAAGTGTCCTGAGTTGAATTTCAAAGGATGTTGCAGATTTCTTTCCAGTATTTTTAAGTGCGGCTGGCAAAAAAATACTAAATTCATAATATTCATGTAATATGGATTGTAAACTCACGACTCGAGTGAGGGTTAAATAAAGCAAGGGTATATAGGGTGTAAAGCAAGTGTAAATATACGTTAATAAATTTACAATACGCGTATATAGCCGGATAAATTCAAACCTGAACGGGTGATGGCTATTTTATGTCTTTTTCTACCAACAGTTTTCCCATCATCGCTGTATCGAGCTACTGTTATTTCATATGCTGTTGCCTCCTGTAGTCCAATCAGTCTTTTGCTTTCTGTACGTTCCTTGTAGTATCCAGTAACAGATCGCACAAAAGTTTCCCCGACTATCTTCCAAGATATCTTAAACCTTATCAACTTGCCATTATTGTTATCGTTCGACCAGACTATGAGCAGAACATTTCTATCTTCGACTGTGACGTTCAGCGCGGACGGAGCAGCTAGGATGTATGAACGAAAACGTGTTATTCGATCGTCCACGTGCATTGAACTAGAGTAATTTCAACTAAAGATCACTACAATATGTAGAAATGTACGTATATACGCTTAGTAGCTTACAGCAAATTTTACAACACACTTTTCAATGACCTTATTATTTCAGAGTATAATATTATGAAATTAGGTTCCTGAAAGGTAACGTAGAGAGATTTACGTGGCCCCAAAAACGACGCTTTGCGTCGGAACTCTTGGCTTAAAAATACCTGGAATCTTCCATTTACAAGTGTAACGGACGAGCAAAATTGTGCTTTTAAGACAAGGTGTTTGCAAAAAATCATTCTGATTGACAACAAAAGAACATCTCTCTCTTCTATCACACTTGTCTTTCACCACTTTGGTCGCCGCGATCGTAACACAGCTGGCATCACTGGAGGAAATTGCGAGAGGATATCGTTCTACGATTTTCACACCGTAATTTGCCTGAATAATCTCGATAGTTGAACACGATGCACAATGAAAAGATGCCCTTTCGTTTTCCCTGAACATTCTTTCATACACTGAAACGTAATACAAGACCAACGATATAAGAGCAATAAAATATGAACTAGGAAAACTTGAACAATGAATAAATATAGATTGGCCGCTAACACTATTCAGTAAACATGAAAAGGTAAACTATCGGAAAGAGGCACGCTCCCCCAACTCCAACTTATCTGAAACAAAATCTTACCGTAACTAAAGTTACACATGTTGTTTGTCTCGCAGACAGATCTTTGGATGAAAATATTCTCGTTTTCATGTGGTTCCTGGATAGACTTGCCTCCAATGCATATTTCATATGGGTTTTTATTGTAGATATATTTCAAATTGCCATTTGTTGTTGATCGAAATGTTACAATCTGGCTGTTGCAATGTTGTTTGCTGCGACTAAGGACCAGATTAGCAAAATATTCGGGATTATCGAATTTCCTGAAATAACCCATAAAATCCAACAAAGATGTTATCATTTGTTTGGATGCATGTGAAATGCAGTGTTAAACATGAACTTACGCAGGTGGTAAAACACATTTTCCAGAAGCCAGATGAAATGGTGGATGATCGTATGAAACTAGAAAGAATGCATTTCTCGACGTACAGTCCCGTGACCACACGAGAGTGTTGAGGTCGCTCTTCACGTTTATACACAGTCCATTAGAATGTCGGATTGAACCATAATCTAGACAAGAAGACATGATAATAATATTCGAATATGATCATATGCAGACATGGTCGTACAGATGCCGGTAAAAAACTCCTAACCTATAGATCAATATTGAGTTATATAAAGGGGAGTGGACTGGTCACTCGAATGGCAGAAATATGTATCTTGGACGAAAATCTAATTTGTGCATTTGTGCAGTTGTTCATCAGACCTCAGGAATGTGGTATCGTTTGAAATCTTATTATAGAAGAAAGTTATTTTACTAACTTCCCTCTGTCCCAGCCATTGAAACTTCACCCCATGCAGATTAACGAATACGAATGCCACATTTAGTTCTAATAGCTGTAGATCTAAGCTAAAGTACAGCCTCTAACATGCGTCATTTTACGTAACAATAGAGCTCAAACCTATGCAAAATATTGTTTACTTTTCCGTTCACTTCTGTTAGTCTAACAAGAAGAACTCCCGTGTACCGTAAAATTGTAATATCAACGTGTTGCGCATAATTTTGTCGCAATTCAAGAACGAATTCACGACGACAATAACATAAATATTTAAGAGGATCCCTACCCTTTTCTCGGAAATAACACTTGGGAGTTGTTGAATCGTCATAACAGCAAGTTGTGGGACAAGTGTCAGCCGATGAGACACTATTTCCACATTCAGTTCTCTCACTTTCTAGCGTTACTTCACAAGAAAACACTGCAAATCAAATGAACACGATACGTATGACTGCTAATTAACCCAGAAAATCTATTGCTAGAGGCATTTTTGTATACTGGTGTGATATGTGTCTGAGTTTAGTCATAACAAAATCATCATTTTTGGTGAATACTTTTCGTATGATTTCCTGTTCGCACAAACGCATATTTAACATCCATAGAATTTACAAATGCATTCAGGACTTACCTATTTCTGCTAAGAAAATTCCGAAGAAGCCAAAAAGATAAACGTAATACCTTCTTGATACATCCATTCGATCTTTAAAGGTGGTGAAGACCTAGTATATAACAGAGCAATAATGGATAACTAAATCAACAGAGCAATATAAAAGACTGTATGAAATATGAAATTATGTTGATCCTTAACAAAGAAACGTGGTTAAAGACTTTCTGTTTTAATGTTTAGGGTGACTATTTGATTAAATGCTTATAACCAATACTCGCTTACCGTCGTTATATATCTCTAGTTTAATCCTAAGACAGCAAATAATCTCTGTTTCTTATAGATGAATTCAGCTCGCAATCTCCATGTTTACTTTCAAAGAAAGCTCCACTCGCTGAATTGTAAAGCAATATTTACAAGCGAATAAATAAACCTGATATGCCTTTCATATCGGCAAATTTGCCGCACAGCCTCTGTTATTTGACAGACGTTTCCTATACTGGCCCTATTGTGATTCATTATCTTGTACCCTCTAGATTCTACTGAGCCATGCGAGAGAAAATAAAACTCCTAGTCATGCAGCAGCGTTCTGAGAGACATCAGAAAATGTCTACAGGGACCAGGGTGCATGCAAAACACGCAACACTTAATATTCATGAATATTCACAAAATATTGAGTGGTTGCGATTTTTTATACACCCTGTAGTCAAGTCAGTTAGGATTCGCGGCAAATTTCATATGCATATATAGTTTTTAACGGCTCTGCATTGTAGTTAGAAAGAAATATTTAGAGTCAGATTTTGCCCACATATTTCAAAGCAAAGGCCAGAACAGTTATTTATTTACCGTTGACGTTGTACAAACATACCAGGGTCCAGGGGCCGGTTGTGTGAAAGCCGGAGTGTGAGTGTGCGATAATGTAGTAAAAATATCCAGAAAAAATTAAAGATCGATCTAACTTGGCCCCCGCAAACACTTCGTCCATATGAACAAAGGCCGAATCGCAAAATACAATATTGCAGCTAAAAATATCTTAACAATAACTAACAAAAATGTAATAATAATAGCGTTTTAAGACATCGCAGACGTGTCTTTTGTACTGTTGAAAAGCTTTTTTTCCAGCTATAAACATATGTATATTAAATATTAATTAATAAATGCTTGCTACAAAATATGACTTATTCTAGTTCTTTGTTTATTTTAAACTTTCATACTTGTTGTCTTCTTCTCTGATTGTATTTAGTTCAGTGTACGCACTGTCTGCATTTTCACCTGACACTTCCTGGCTGTCAGAGTTTCCCTGTAAAGATTGGTAATTATCGTCCCCTGAATTCATTTCATTTAAATTCAGGTCTTCATAAACTGGATTCCTTTCTGACCGTGATTCAGGCTTTGTCTCTTGTAGAGGTTTGGCTGATATTTTATTCTTTAAACGACGATAAAAAAACAGCCCAACAATACCCGAAAAAACAACTCCAACGAAAGCGCCCGATACGAATGTTACGATGTATAAATACCATTCTGTTCCACCATCCATTTTGCTGCAAGATGCTAAAGAAAAAAATACTCATGTAATTAAAACGATACAAAACAAACTAATCGGGACGTGAACTGTTCAAAATGATTTTAAAGGCTGCTTTCCACTTACGAGGTACGGAAAAATTTAAATGCTTTTAAATTTTTATTATTTAACATCTAGGTAAACTATAATGCATACTAAAATATGTAGAAAACTAAGTTCCTTCGATTTATTTACTTAGTTTTTTCAAACTGGTGACAGGTATAAGGATTTAGACTTTTACGTACGTACGAAAAACGTGTAAGTGGAAAACAGCCTTAATTGTGATCATTTCAGTTAGGGTTTTGTTAGGTTGAAATCGAGAAAAAAGATTGGACTAAAAAGATTCTGTTGATAATGGGAATTATTGATAACATTCGCGCACCTTTGCAAGATTTGTTATAATTTTCATTATCTGTGTTTGTACTTTTTTCAGTGTTTATCATCGCCGCTGTGGGGGGTTGAGTCGAGGATCGTTTTGTAATAAGTACTTTATCTGTTGTAACAACATCCATCCAATCTGAATCGTAGTACAAATCCTAGATAAAAATTAAAAATACAAATTAAAAATATGGTTAAGAATAAGGGTCCAACAAATAATAAAATAGGTTTTAGAACCTTGACTTTCATTATATACAATTTGCTACTTACCGCATTTTTAAACGTCCTTTGAAAAACAGAGTAACCTGTGTCTAGTTCTAATCTGGCATTCTTAAACGAAATATCTCTTCTTGTCCTAGCAGCTTTAGAGTATGATTTACCATCACCAACAGTAAAAAGACTATTTTTATTCACGAAGGTTTTCTCAAGCTCAGCAGCTATATATGGCTTAGTATTGACAGTGTTTTTATCGTATGGTTGAAGGTCGTTTCCAGGATGTTTGGTTGGTTTTCTGTTGGTTTTGACTACAACAATTTGGATGTATCTAAAGAAAGGTAAAAAATGTTAATTGTCAGTTTACATTCGTCATTTTTTTCATGTTCAGCTCCACATAAGACAGACTTATATAAAGACATACTTGTCGTCTTTTTGAAGTGTCCCGAATTGAATTTCAAAGGATGTTGTAGATTTCTTTCCAGTATTTTTAAGTGCGGCTGGCAAAAAAATACTAAATTCATATAATATTCATGTATAATTGATATGGATTGTAAACTCACGACTCGAGTGAGGGTTAAATAAAGCAAGCGTATAGCCGGGTGTAAAGCAAGTGTAAATATACGTTAATAAATTTACAATACGCGTATATAGCCGGATAAATTCAAACCTGAACGGGTGATGGCAATTTTGCGTCTTTTTCTACCAACAGTTTTCCCATCATCGCTGTATCGAGCTACTGTTATTTCATATGCTGTTGCCTCCTGTAGTCCGGTCAGCCTTATGCTTGCTGCACGTTCCTTGTCGCTTTGATCAACAGATAGCACTAAAGTTTCTCCAACTTTCTTCCATGATACCTTAAACTTTATCCACTTGCCATTATTGTTATCGTTCGACCAGACTATGAGCAGGACATTTCTACCTTCGACTGTGACGTTTAGCACGGACGGAGCAGCTAGGATGTATGAACGAAAATGTGTTAATTATTCAACCGTCAACATCGAGCTGGAGCAATTTCAACTAAAGATCACTACAACATGTACAAATGTACGTATACGCTTAGTAGCTTACAGCAAATTTTACTTCAAAGAAACAAACACACTTTTCAACGACCTTATTATTATTTCAGAGTATAATATCATAAAATTAGGTTCTGAAAAGGTAACTTAGAGAGTTTTACGTGGCCTCAAAGACGATGCAACTCTTGGCTTAAAAAAATACCTGGAATCTTCCATTTACAAGTGTAACGAACGAGTAAGATTGTGCTTTTCTGACAAGGTGTTTGCAAAAAATCATTCTGTTTGACAACAAAGGAACATCTCTCTCTTCCATCACACTTCCCTTTCACCACTCTGGTCGTTGTGGTTGCAACACAGCTGGCATCACTTGAGGAAATTGCGAGAGGATATCGTTCTACGATTTTCACACCGTAATTTGCCCGAATAATCTCGATAGTTGAACACGACTCACAATGAAAAGATGCGTTTTCGTTTTCCCTGAACATTCTTTCATACACTGAAAATAATATATGACCAGCGATATAAGAAACAAGAGCAATGAAATATGAAAAAACTTGAAAAATGAAAATGGATAGGGATAATAGATAACACTATTCAGTAAACATGAAAAAAAAGACATGAAGGTAAACTATCGGTGAGAGGTACACTCCTCTAACTAAAAGATACTGTACCTAAAACAAAATCTTACCGTAACTAAAGTTACACACGTTGTTTGTCCTGCAGACAGAATTTTGCACGGAGACATTCTCGTTTTCACGAGGTTCCGGGATAGATTTGCTTCCAATGCATATATCATATGGTATTCTTCGGTAGAAATATTTCAAATTGCCATTTGTTGTTGATCGGTATGTTACAATATTAATGTTGCAATATCGTTTGCTGCGACTAAGGACCAGATCAGCATTTCCGGGATCACCGAATTTCCTGGAATGACCCAAAAAATCCAACAAAGATATAATCATTTGTATAAATGCATATGAAATGAAGTGTAAAACTTGAACTTACGTAGATGGTAAAACACATTTTCCAGAAGCCAGATGAAATGGTGGATGATCGTATGAAACTAGAAAGAATGCATTTCTTGACGTGCAGTCCCGTGACCACACAAGAGTGACGAGGTCGCTCTTCACGTTTATACACAATCCATTAGAATGTCGAATTGGACCATAATCTATAAGAAAGTTTTACGTTTACGGGAAACGCCAATTCATGTCATACGTGTCGTAGGATCTTGGGATAAGGTATCGATTATTACATCCATGCTGGCAAAAACACAGTTTCTCCGGTCAAAAATAATTTTGGTAATTGAATACGTTAAATTACGCAGTAATGTATTATGAGGCACAACGGTAGACAAAATATTCTATTTTGCGTTGATTCAAGTATTGTTCACTTAAGATTGCAGAAAATATAAACATGCCAAGCACTAAACAGGATGCATACCACTCTCTCGGAAATAACAGCTCGGAGTTGTTAAACTGTTGTAACAGCAAGTTGTAGGACAACTGTCTGATGATGAGACATCGTTTCCACATTCCGTTTTATTAATTCCTGATGATAATTCACATAACAGCACTACAAAGAAATGATAATATCGATTAGGTCAGGATCTCCTGCATGGTTTGCGGACGGAATCGATAGTTCCGTTAAAACGTCACATGATCTGTCATCGATAGATATAATCTGTCGACAATGATATAATAATAAGACACGAATACCGAATGACATCGTACAAACCTCATGAGATTACAATTTATTTAATAACAATTACATAATTCCTAACAGTTATCAGAGTTATCGGGGTATCAAATTTACCTTTTTCAAAAGAAACAACACCAATGAAAACGAAGAAATAAACGTATTTTAATAATAAATCCATTTGAGAACTTTGCATGCATGTATCTGTCTCAAAATACAATATAAAAGCAGCATACAAGTAGTCGATACTTAATTAAACAGTCATCGCAAAGAGTTGCACACGGAACGAAAAAGTACCAGCCAATAACGTTCCAGCAAAATCTGTATCAATATTTGTGAAAAAAAGCCCTTGATATACATTTACAAAGAAACACTTAAGCGTCAACAAACGAAAAGAGTATTTGTCATCGATAAGAAATTAAATATATACCTTGAAACTTACAATGATTAGTTGCATTGAGCACGACAGACCACGATGCATGCAGCATGTCTCTGGCAGACTCAGGGCCGTAGCTAGAAGCTTAATTGGGGGGGTGTATATTCATATATTCGTCTTATGCCCGACTGATTTCTTTTGTACGCTATTGTTCCTAAGGTATATAAACATGAATATATGAATATACACCCCCCCAATTAAGCGGTCTAGCTACGGCCCTGGGCAGACTGTTATAGCTTCCATTCTTTAAACTCTTTTAGTTAGATCTAAATAAAACCTTAAACCTCGTACAAGGCATTGTAGATAAATGCTGGGGGGTTGAGAAAGGTTTATATCTATACTTTGAATATCTTTATCTATATACTTTGAATCAGTCATGCTATATGGTATATAGCATGCATTTTTGAATGCAATCTATTGGCGAGGGAAACGATTATATGTAAGCTAGGGTTTAAGCACGTGAACTTCAAAAATGATTATATAGGCGTATGACGATCATGATCGAACAATATAATCAACACTTAATACAACTAATATCTATCGATATTTTGTGTTAACCACTTATAAAATATATAACTCTAAAATATCAGTACATATAGACTTAAAATGTCGCCCAATAAGACACATACAGTCGATAATATACATAGAAAGAAAAACGAAAAAGAATTTACAAGTACAAAAAAGAATATGTTTCAACTATCTGGTGTGGTCCGCTATGGTGGATTATATACGGTGTCTTAAAGGTATGCGGGTTTGGCAGTCAGTCAGATAGTTGAGAAGGTTGGAAAACGGAAACAGGAATCATTTCACAAAAAATACTTCCGTAAATATGCTGACGAATCCAAACACTTTGTCGTACAAACGAAGTACAACAGAATTTAGTCAGTCCTACGAAAATGTCTAATGTTCCACCATAAACTGTATGAAAGAGATAATTAAAGAGGCATAAAATCTGAGGGTTGAAAAACTAAAAATGGTGTCTGGCATAAAAAACTAATTGCATCTATAAACTACTACAGTTCTGCATATCACAAAGTGTTCAAGCTGTGAAGAATTCACGTCATTTTAGGATATTTTTTAAACGGTTTCAAGCCAATCTTCAATTGGTTTCTCATATTTTGCTCTCCACTGAATGTTTGAACGAACAGTTTCAAAAAGCTGTTCTCGGGCACGTGTCGCAGAGCCGGAGTCGGGATATTTCTTAAAAAGATTCTCCAGCTGCAAAATAAAGATTGTTTATGGTGTTATATAAAACAAACGGCCAATATATACATGCATGCATGGATAATAGGAGATAAAAGTGGTGTTGGTGGGATTGATGGTAGTAAAAAGAACGGCCTAGCTGGTTTTACCTGCTCTAACTCCCACTGAGTACTGAAACCAGATGCCACACCATTCACGAATCGATTGACAGAGAATCCAAAGCCTTTGCCATATCTTTGTTGAGAGAAAAATACAGCTCAAACTAACGACCCTTCGATCAACCTCTCATAATAAATCTCGTTATGTTTAACAAAGAAAACATTCGTTTATGAAAAACACCCACATTTTACCTCCCTTACACGGGGTTTGTTTGTTGAATTCAGTCCAGCAAGAACCTCTTTCGTAACATATCGTTTTGTCAAAGACATTAGTATAGGTTTTTATAAAGATCTCGGTGTAAAAATCAGAAAATATACAGAGATGAAATTCATCATACTTTTCCAGGATCGTAGGCCACATCTCCTTCAGGAAATTCCAAGCAAAATGGCGACCAATCGGATTGGAGTTCGCAATGTACGATAGAACTGCGCTGGTGTCCTGACTCTTGATTTTTGATTCGTCAAAAGCATATTGTAAATATCTGAAGAAAAATCGAGCTCGATTGTTGGATAGTGGTTTCGAGTTGTGGGGGTTTAATCGTATTTTTGTCTTAATTAAGGAATTGCTTAAAAGGTTTCAATTCAAAGTATACTTGCATGCGCACTATAGGTACTAACAGTCTGGAATTTAGGCTGAAAGAGGTAAGTGGGCTGCTATCTTGCATGCCTACCTATTGAGTATCCAAGGTTCAGGCGTTCCAGCTAAGCCATACATCAGTTTTCTACGTTCAGAAGCCACGTTAGTTTTCTGTAGTCTCTCAAACATAATATCCCACTCTTCCTCACCGCTCTTCGACATACCATAAAAGTAAACGGCTGATTTCAAATCTGGCGGCACCGGGCTAATATAGTATAAATAAAAAATGAAATATTAATGATTTCTTGATAAGAAATATAGGAAAACTATGGAAACATTGTTGTGGACGTTCCATGCAAGGTGGGCAAACAGTAGAAAATATCACACAGTTCAGATAATTCATGGTTCAAACGGCTTGAGGAAAGGCCAGTCAAATGCATCAAAAGAGAATAATATTCCGAACTAGGAATGAGAGCGATCGTAGGTAAACTACTGTGACCTACTATGATTCATTCTTGATCCAGTTGTCAAATAATTCTTTGGTTTTTTCTAAGCACTCTTCATTTTTGGCACCGCAAGCTGCGTAGACTGCATCGACTCGCAAATATCTACGAGGACAAAACAATGTCTTTTCATGCCACGATATAACTTGATTGATGGAGTGGTTGGGAAAAAATTAAGTATTTTTATTAGTGTAATCAAATTACTTTTCCAAATGTGTTCCTGTGTCGCTGAAGCCGAGTCTTGTAAAGCTTGGTTTCAGCAATTTGAAACGGTATTCCTGAAAGAAAGAGGAATGTCAAAACGAAGAGGGGATGGTGGTTCGTGACTACTAAAGTTCGCATGGTTCTCCTTTAGTCGTAATTATTGCGAGCAATTCATTTTCACTAATGAGAAATAATCCGGTTGCAAATTTGTCCTTATTTCTGTATTCAAATCGGTCATTATTGACTGCACACAAATATATAGAAATCGCATCAATGGAAACACTAAATGGAAACCAGGCATTATTAACTAACATAGTTTTTGGTTTAGACAAAAAAATCGCTGTAGTATGGTAGCAATATAAAACTATAAAGTTCATAAACTTACTCGCAATTTTTGGTAGATTTTTCCTGATTTGGGTAAAGTGGCGGTCAGACTTGATAGACTCGAGTACCCTGCATCCCAAGGTATATAATTCGTCTCCTTTACCAAATATCTTGTCAAATTGAGAGCGTATTTGAACTTCAGCATACCAGCGCTACAATGGTTAAGCAAGCGAGAAGGGTGAGTATTTGCACACGACTAAAAAAAACACTCAGTAAATGAAACAATGTTATGCTGCATATTACGAACATAGTTGCTATCAAGAAGTTTCAGCAACGTCAGTATAACGTCTATAATGAGGTGCTTCAACTTAACATGACAGCAGCCACATTCGGGAGCCACATGCAGCTAACCCAAAACATTGTTTTATCAACCAGGAGCAATTTGAGCGTTTTTACCCGTCTATCAACAAAAGCAAATGAAATCGATGAGAAATATATACACATTACTTACTCTGCCAAAGCGAACGCATCGCGAATTAAACCGGCTCTGTCGCCAAGTGAAAATACCTAGGAAAACGAAACTCTCATTTAACTCTAATTACTTTATAAAATATGCAGTGTTTTATTGGCGAATCCGCCATTGTGGAAAGCGATAATAAAACATGTGCATGCGATTACACTGAATACTCGAAATAAATTCCATATTTCTGCGCATCCATTTATTATTCTTTATATAAACCCCTGTGACATCTTATTCCTAAAACCACACTTAAATTTAGCCCAAATAATTGTGTCCTATATTTATCAAGTACGATGTGAAATTTGGTTTTTAGGTTTTACAACATACCAAATGATTGTACAGTAACTGTTCAGCGAGTAGGTCCCAGTTCTTTTCGGGGTAGTTGACGCGGTAGTAACCAGTCTGACCGATATTTCCTTTCACCCATTGCGTGTTTGGGTCCCAAGTTTTGTTAGATACGGTGACATTATCTACACGAAGTTGTTATATGATGAATGATATTGAACAAATGGAGTGTTTCTTTGTAAAATAGTCACACGAGGTTCCATTCATTTTGAGCAATCGACATTATTTCACTTGATAAATATTCCTTGACAACCAACGTATGTGGTAGGACTGGGTTTAGGATCATTTTTTTGATAAGCAACCGCCTTTGAGTACCATTTTAGGACATTACCTTTTTCTGGAGTCATCCAAACAAGCTCTAGTCCTGTGGTATTAACGAAGGTGTCGCTATCCTCTCCTCTTACTGCGATTGTGAACGGAATATGCCATTTATATCTAAAACATTGAAAATATCAATTCCGAAAAATGAGAACTTTAAGCAAGATTCTAAATGCAAGATGTTGCAGAGGCCTGAATCGATTAGTTGCTTCCCATGATGGTGGTATTAATGCTGTTGAGCTAGGTCGGGTTTAGAGTGTGGATAGTGGAAGATTCAGGGTGGGGTTAACGTTGCTGGTCCAGCTATACACTCCTTACAGCTCTACATGTAAACTTGCCAATGTTACCCTTGTACAAGAGTACTAAGAGTGATCTATTATGCTGTAACTTACCCATAATCGGAGGTGAATTTCGTATTACTTTGATTGGCATTGGGATCAGCTAAGAAACGTTGTTGCTTCAATACGATTTCTCCTCCCTCCTCAGTCACGTTAACTACAGGAAATCCCATTTGCAAAGTCCAAGTATCCATGACCATAGACACATTAATTTTCGAACCATCCTGTTTACTTGCCTGAAATACAGTACACAGAGAGAAACAGCATATCTTAAGCAATTTCAAAAACATTGAATAATTCATGAGGAAATGGTTAACCACGTTCCTTTATCTGGCTTACACGATATTACTGAGGTTCAAGCTTTTTTGGCTTTTGCTATCGTTTGTACGTAAAACAGGATAGACACGATATTCAGTCCGGCTGTGATGAGTCAAGCTTTTCAAATCAAGTTCATTTTACCTCCGAGAGAGATTGCCATAAGTCCTTTGTCTCTGCGTTGGAATATTTATATTTGTTGAGATAACTCTGGGGAAAAGAAAAGATTGATACTTCATACTTGTTCAAAAAAAACAAAAAGTATTTCAAATTAGAGATACAAGAGATTAAAAGGCAATGAAAATAGAGGCATTTATAGCTCAGACGAACGGAATTGTTTTTGAATGAAACATGCATCAATTATATTTATAATGTGGCAATAAAAAATATTAAATTCTTACTATCAGTCCCTTTCTGAAGGTGGCTTCCGTCAAGAAATATTGCAGCATTCTAATGATCGTAGAACCCTGTGTCAAAAATAATCAACTAAATATTGGTGGGGTAACAACCATAGTCAGCAGAAAAAATCAACTAAAGAACTACCTTGCCAACAATAAAAAGAGATACATGCAAAGTTATAACATTTGGATTAACTATATGCTGGGAACTCAAAATCGTGGTATGCGAAATCCATCAATAATCGTGAGAAATTTTTGCTTAAAACACTCATTCAGACGATTTTTTGCAAACAGCTCACCTTGTTGTAAGAAATACTGTCAAATATTTCATTAATCTCGTCCGGATGATTAACTTCCAGTAATATTGGATGTGAAGTTACTAATGCGTCCAACGTAAAAGCATTGTTCATGTCGTAATTAACGAACATATCTTGCTGAAAAACGATGGACAAAACACAATTAGTTTGACGTATTTTATGAGAGGATCCCGGCTGACACTACACTTGGCCAAGCACCATCTCCTTCATGCAAAACATTCAACTAACCATGTGCCAATCAGGATATATTGCATCCATCCCAATGTACTCTACAAAGCTCGCAAATCCTTCGTTCAACCACAAATCATTCCACCAAGCCGTAGTGACCAAGTTACCAAACCACTAAATTGAAAGAATAAAGATATAACCATCGTGTCAACCATCATCTCTGATCATATATATAACCTAGAAACTTTAGTCTAGATGAACAGTTGCGCAAAGACTGCCGCTATTTAAGGAAAAGTATCCATTGGACAGGTTTATTTTGCTTGTGAATTTTCAACCAGAACTAATTCAGAAATCTTGCGATCCTAAGGTCAGTGCCGTAGCCAGAACGATAATTGGGGGGGCCCATATTCATATATTCGTGGTACGCAGGTTTAATTTCTTTTCAAATCAATTGTTTTTACAGTCCGTTAACATGAATATATGAATATGGCCCCCCCCCAATTATCGATGCTTGCTACGCCAATGCCTAAGGTTAAATTTTCTCGAGGGAAAACTAGCGTTAACGAAAGCATTTTATAGGTGAAAATCCGTGAACTGCTGTTTCAAGGCTCATACAGTTTTCATAGTCACAGAAACGGGATGGAATCAATCTTATAAGCAATCTAAGGAACAAACCATATGCGCAAGCTCGTGTGCAATAACTTGAACAATTCTCTCCCTGTTGCTCTCCGATGACTGGCCTTTCTTGAACAGCATTGCTGTCTCACGATAAATGATGAGTCCCCAGTTCTCCATAGCACCAGCAGCGAAATCAGGTATTGCGATCATGTCTGAAACATTGTCAAACACATGTCTATAAATACGACGGATTCCAACAAAGTTCAACGACAAACTGAATATAATGCAACAGCAAACCTGCTTTTGGTAATGGATACGAGATGTTGTAATATCCTTCAAAATGCTCCAGTATTCTTCCACCGACGCTTTTGGCATATTCAGCTTGATCCAGTTGTTCTTTTGTTGCGTAATACTTCATCTGATGAGAAGAAGAAGTATGAATTCTATATAATGGTTATTCGATGACTTCAGCCAGAAACTTGGATGCTGAAATTATACTACATCACCGAGACGCTTATCAATTCATGAAATACTTACTGATGTGTCGCCAGATGACGAGGACAAGTAACCAAAATCACATACGATAAACGCCAAGAGATATGTTGGCATTATAACGGTTTTCTCATAGAAATCTGCAACCATATCGTTGGATCGACTCTCGTTTCTTATCTGAGGCATATTTGATATAGAAATCATATCTTTAGGACGAACTATTGTCACATTGAATGTTGCTTTGAATGCTGGTTCATCGAAACATGGAAAGACTTTTCTTGCGTCCGTTGGTTGAAGCTGCGTCGATGCTATAGTTCTGATATAAAATGAAATACAAGAGTAAAACACAAAACACAAAAGCTGCAGAACTGCAGAGCTTTGATAGTTAATGACTTAATGAAATCGTAATTTGTATTAGTGATTTTGGCTAAGACAGAACCGAGAGTACAGGAAACAGCATCGATGTAACAACATGCATTACTAACATGGAAAAAAAGAAAAATAGTGACTACAGAAGTTTAGACTTGACCTCCACACTACCGCTACCTCTGCATGCCTCACGCTAGTCTATTGAGCTCCGGATTGGTTAATCTGATAGACCTATCGCATTGGATTGGTTCATGTTCGCCCAATGGTTGTGTAGTGTTAGTAAAAGTCAAATTTGAATCTCGCTATTCTCTACCTCGGTGACGAAATATGAACAATTAAAATCTCACATTGTTTTATTTCCTCTCTTGTAAGTGCTTCTGTATAACCCTTTCAAATCGTCCTCCAGTTTACCAACGAAATCCATTTCAATCGTATAATTACCCGAAGTCAAGTTTTCTTTCGCTGCCATTACGTAAAACTCGTTCTTCTTGTACCAGAAATGTCTTTTCAGACCGATCTCCACGTCTGAGAAAAACAATAGGAACAGCAAGGATTAAAAAAACAACCAATCGTGCTATAGAGTTGCAGACAAATGCTATTATGAAAGTCCGACTCTTAATTTACAGTTTCTGATCTACAAGGGTCTTCATTCAAATCTCAAAAGATTTCTGGCGGATAACCCCATGCATGTCTCCCGGAGGTCCACCTCTTTATATTTAGCCATAGGCTACCCCCTATGTCTGAATGTCCTAGCTCACACCTAGGAAATGTTGCTTGAGCTGTTCAGCACGTCTTAGTTTCCTCGATCACTTCTAGTATGGATAATCTAGAGCTTTACTTTCACAAGTAAGAAATCACTATACTCCGATAACAGAAACTTTGAGAGGGTGACCTGTCTTACCACTTTTCTTTAGCACTGGATTGGAGATGTTCAGCTTGTTTGTGTGTAAGTACATATACGGTGTCTCTTCAGATAAAGTAAGAAAAACTTTCACGTTGCCACTGAATATTAGTTTCTCAAGGTTAACCACGAGTTCGAGATCGTAGTGTATGGGTTTGAAATAGGTGGGGATTCGAACATTCTGCCAGGGGCCGGGGCCATAATCTGGTTCACTTGGGGTCGGTGTGGTAGGGGTCGGTGTGTAGAGGAGGTGGCGTCTTGGTGGTCGTTTTTTTCGTGGCGATCGGTCTTGGTGGAGATCGGTTTCTTGGTAGTCGGAGCAACTGTGCCATTGACTATGAAAGAAGAATGGAAATTAGATATTCAAGTGAGCGTTAAAGAAACGCTGATTGGTCCGACCAGGCATTTCCTAAATTTCCTCGCAAGGCTAACGATACTTCGACGGAAGTAAGCGCCGTTGATTTGTTCGCAGGTTTTAATGTCTCGTGAACAATATGGTATTCACCTTCACGTTATCATCGCCAGAGCCCATATGACAGGCCTGGAGTAAAAAATAAACATCGAGGGCCGATCCACTAATTGTTGAGCAAGTTGAGGTTTCCAAAAATTTATGGAAAACAACTTTGAAATAGTGATCACCGAACTGAAGAATACACACTCGCTTTAATTAAACTCTAATCCCTTAAGACTCCTGTACCAAGGATTCGAAAAGTGACAACAACGGCTACGCTTTTGTAAATTAATTTTCTTCAATAGTTTTTATCTATCTTTAATTCATTCTCTAACTCTACATGGACACTGCGCGTGTGGCTACACAAATAACGTGATGTGTGTGATGATATAAATTGATGCACGAAATGCTATATCTGTCAAGTTTTCTTAAACTTCCTTTTTGGCAGGACTCAAGCAAATGACGCAAATGTTCTGTGTTTTATCACCGAATAAGGTTGCTTCTTAAAACTGTAAACATAACAGAAACGGTTCTAATATGATCCGTAGTTCGTAATATTTGGAAAGGTTTATGATCTTTACTCGGGAGGGGGACCAGACATGATACACACACGTCAATATAAGTCTACTTACGCGGTTTAAGAATTACTGGGGATGCCAAGTTGATTCGTATATTTAACTCTCTGGGGCCTGGGCTTGACAGGTGCATGGGTATGGGGAAAAAACTACTTAATGTCTGTGTCAGACAGACGACTCTGCATGTACTACAGCTTATAGAACAGATATCTGTCTCAAAGCTGGAGAGCAATTGAATGATTTCGAGTGCCTAATATACTAAAATGCGCAGTGTTTTCTAACAGCCGAATTCATATTAGAGACGGGAAACTCGTCTAAGACGGGAAACTCGTCTTAGACGGGAAACTCGTCGAATGTGAATCCGGTCACAGACGGTTTCTCGTCCGAATTTACCCGTCTAACTTTCCCGTCTAAAATGTCAAGGACGGAACAAGGCTAAGAGAAAACAAACACAATTATTATCGTAATATAATAAATTACGACACCCTTTTTAGCATTACCCGACCCATCACACGTATAAATTTATCCATTCCTATTCATGTCCAGACGTGTTTTTACCATCAACTTTCCTGTTACAATTTACTGCTAATGGAGCTTAACGAAGCTTACAAATTCGTTCATAATTTTAGTGATCAAACTACATAATTCGCAACGCCAGCGGGGGTGCGCCGTGCGTTATTAGTGTCTTGTACTCCAGACAGAGTGGATCAAAGAGCGATAGCTTCATAGATTGAAGACTTAGAAGAGCTTTGAATATCAGATTCGTGACAAGTGTGGACATTCAATATTTGTTCACAAGCATACCAAAACTATTAGGAGGTTTGAAGCGACGATGTATTCGTGATAAGGACTTAAATGCATGCAAATTTTGAACATTTCCTGTTGCAAATCGATATGATCGAAAGCTGCCCGGCCCCCAGCTCAGTGATATTCTAATATGCGCAGTTTGCTATAAGATTTTTCAAAGGTATAGCTGAATACTGATCACACCATAGCGGCACCGTACAGGAAGGAACATATTTGCCTTTGATCCACACAAATTCACAAAAAGATCAAGGCAAATCTCTTGAAATATTAAATAATTTATGCTGATACAAGACGAATGGAATTCATCAGTTCAATGTAACCGTGAACCGAATGACTAATGCAGAATATACCTCTTACTTTCAGTTGACGCGAACGAATATGAATGTAGGTTATCAAACTGGGAGGCTGTTTATCCATTGATAAAACATACAAGTTTGGGAATTGTGTCGTGAATTTTATATTATATTTATTAACATGTAATAAAAATATAATCACAACAGCTTCTCGAAACTATACCGCATGTACTGTCACTCCAGACCGATCCCACGCAGGCGGTAGCTGTGTATGTAGCGCAGCCTTGAATTACTGTCTTGTTCAGGAAAGTAATACATTAAGCCGTTTCCAGACTGACCAGACTTACCCTGGGTAGTTTCAGAGCTTCGCTTGCAATCGTTATAGCGCTTCCTTTCGCTTGCAAACAAAGAAAGGAATATTATAACCAGAATGACGAGAATAACAATGACCACAGCTAGTATTTTCACAGTCTTCGACCTGGGGCTTTGACTGAATTTGATCGCTCCAAATGATGCGCTGTCCTCCTCGTCCTTTTCGAAAGGTTTTGTGTACTTGACACCCGTCTCTGCCATCTTGTATAATGAATATCACACGTTATTTATGTCGTCTGGTCACAAGGTCAACGTGATCGAAACACTTGGGGATCCTTATTAATTATGAATCAACTGAGGTTCGAATTTATGGTAATTGCGCTTGTCAAATCTTCACGCCAAATCACGCAATGCAATGTGTGCATTTTAAGGAGATCAAGATAAAATCTACGTTGAGGATGTGTTTCATTTTTTATCTCCGGTACATTGAGCGGCCTTCCCATAATACTTATGATTAATAACGCAATACCCTAAGTACCATAGACCACACGTCTCTGTGAGACTGCGGAAAGGGTATAGGATGGTGATGAGGATATAAAAAAAACTGCGGCAACCATATAACCATTACTGGAGCACAAGAAATAACTCGTATCCCAAAAGCACAAAAACATTGCTTCTTCAATATACTCTCGTGCTATTCTGCATTATGCTCTCGAATTTACAGTAACTTCACAGTTATATTGCTGTTTGAATACTATTGAAAGCAACTCGGAATTTTCAGAACACCCAGTAGATCCATGAAGTATATCAGCACAGCAGATAGATCGGGATTCATTACGTGAGGACAGAAACGAACCATCCACGCACGCACGGCATCCACCCGTAGCACGGTTGCTATGGCCTGTGGGGTTTCAAATCTTCGATATTTATGTGTCTGACAGTTGTAACATGCAACCATAGATAAGGACTGTGGGAAAGTATGCGGAAAATATGCGAAAAGTATTCGTCGTCAACGACCCTTTCCTGTCCAACGTGGAGATCATAGGCACAGCTTGCGTTTGAACTACGATCAACCATCATTCATTTCACGATGCTGCCATTCGCCCCTTTTTATTCATCGCCCCAGAAATGCAGTTGTTATCCCAACCTATTATCCTGTTAGGATTTTGCGTTTTCCAGATATCACTTTCAAGTTTCAAAGTGCATCCAAATGATCCAATACGGTATTGTCTTGCCTATGACAGACTCGTAATCTTGCATCTAGACATTCCGAGCAACCTAACAGCCACACACAGGATCTTCAGGAGTTTGCTATCATCGTCAGCTTCCGTCATGACGCTCTTCATCATAGCGCCGTTACGAATTGTGCACGAGGAAAGTACGCATAATTAATTGCAAAAAAAAACACATGACGCAAGCAAGATTTATTTATTTTCGCGACGAAATCTGGCAATCACTTGTTAAGTAAATATGACAATGTACAATACAATTGTCCAGAAATGCAAGCATTTTACTAAACACAGCTACGAACGTGGAACACACATAGGAACGCGGTCCATATTATTAAAAAGTCTCCCACTTTATCGCGTAAACTGATTACCCTTAACTTTGACGTACCTTGTTTCCGAGCAATGTACCATTGTCTGCTCATACCTGAGTAACCGTGCATGAATCGTGTTGACTGTTCGATAATTAAGACGCAGTATTTATTGCCCCCTGTACACGCGTTTAGGATCTTTCACGAGCTATGCTTCGTGACAAGAACTGTCATCCTAACGGCATATTATTCAAAAGACAAAATCCTTTATACTGACCTCTGCCTCTTGATCCAGAACTGGACGAATCTTTGTTGTCCTCTCTTTCTTTGGCGTACAGGATGATGAAGGCCACGATGATGATGACCAACACAATAAGAATTACAATAAGAATTGGTTCTCTCTTCTTTGCTTTGTTGGAGTTGAAGGTGAGTGCGTCTTCAGTCTCCATGTTTGAAAATTTCTTTGTGGCTTCGGTGTTTAAATACGATGGATTGTCTTGCGCCATGTTGACAGCGTTACCTCAAAATGAGTTGATCCTCACTAGCAAGTAGCAATTGATGAAAATTAATTCTTATCCGGCATAGTTTCAAATGCATCGATCCGAGTAGATCGGATTTCGACAGAGGATAGGATTTAGGGCGTCGTTCTAAACTAAAGCTGTAGATTGAGAAACAACGGCTTACCTTTATCAAACACTTTACACAAAAATAGATTGTCCTTAAAAAATATTACAAGCAAGCGGGCAAAGAATGATGGGTATCTTCTTAATTTTAGTAACACATCGGAGCCAATCAGGGACAGTTTTCATTTTTAACCAACACTCACACGAAATTAGTAACTTATGTTGAATTGCTAGTTGGCCGCTGTCGTTTCAATGATCTAAGTTAGATTTTAAACAGGTTCAGAGTAGTTAGTTAGTAGTTAATGTTAGTATTCTCACAGTGAACTTCGATGCATGCGTAATGAGTATTAATTACTTTGATATTTAATATGGTTGTGCAAACGTAACTACAGCAGATGGTTAAATATTTAATCAGAATTCATCGGCTTGGCATAATTGCATGAGCAAGAGTCTATAAGATGACGCGAAGGATGACAAGTCAAATCTTAAACAAACGGGAAATCATTTCATTAAGAAAAGGCCTCAACCTCATTCGTTTTTAGAATTGATATCTTTTCAATGATTCTTGTGCTTTGCTTCAAAAAAGATCAATGAGGGAAATCACATTAATTTAATTCTCTGTCTGGTAGGTTTCTCAGAGAGGGGCGCATTTGAGCGGAGGACTGAAGATGAATAGAATTTAAGCAGAAATGACTTAGCATCAAATGTTGTATAACAACTGCCTAAAATAGACGAAACACTTTTCGACGTTTCGACCTGAGGTCCTACACGTCAGGAGAGTTAGTATGACTAAATTGTTTGAAGACGCTGCCATGCTGCTCCCTGGTAACATGAAGCAGAAATTGACAGATATTTCCAAGTATATTCTCAATGTATATCACATAGCTTTGTTACTTTGCAAGGATAAAATAAAGCCTTATTAATTAACCAAAGTTTTATGTAACAATATAAACATCATAAGCAATCGCCTGATGAGGAAGTCAATCAAACAAACTTGGAATCTGTACAGAACGGTTTTTTAAGGCTTGTACATCATTCTGGTTTGCTCGTAGTAGTTCATTCGTTTCTTCAAATAACTACATGTGAAATGAAAACTTGAGCCTCAAGCTTTTTAAAATCTGCAACCTTTATCTTTGTCATATATCCAAAAAATCCATTAGTCTATAACTGTATTATAGGATGTTAAATACACATTCTCTGATGTATCTCTGGAGAGATTTAAAACTGTTAAGGCAGAAACAAACGAGCTTAAAACCGCAAGTCTGAATGACATTCAATCATACTGACGATTGCTTGGGATTAGTTGGACTTAAGTGGAAAAAAGCAAATAAAAGGTCATCTGGCAATGATGCGCGTGCAAGGAAGTTATGGTTTTGGCGTTTGCGCAATATACCAATGCGAAAAAAAAAGGTGTCGAAAAGAAATAAAATAACTTTAATATAAATAAATCTGCGGAATAAATACTTCGTGAAACTAACTACAAAATGGCATCTGTCTAAGTAAGAACGAGTAACAATGCGACTAAAATGAAGCTGTACTATGATGCATGGCTTGATAGCGGGTCGTGCAGATACGCACGTTCTATCTCGCAAAAAGAAAATATGCTGCGTTTTAAGAAGTACACATCATACTATTGTGTCGGTACGATTGATTTCTTATTTCTGTTCCGCTTTACGTCCACAAGTTGTATTTGAAGTGCATTGAAAAGTTTGGGTATTTCTAGTTGCCATTTGGTCGAAATCATACCATGTGGTAATGCGTATTGCGGAACCAGACTTAAAACGAGTCGAAAAAAGAATCAAGCATTACTAGTAACAGTACCTTACCTTTTTCCAACAATTAAGGAAGAGATAAATTCAAATGTTCCTGTGTGTTTGTTGTAGATAAAGTGTTTGTGTTGTTTAAGTGCAGAGACAGTACTTTTATCTCCGTTCAACCAGCAGACAAATAATTGATGTGAAACCTGATCCATTGAACAGATGGCGCACCAAGTGATCTGATCTCTGAAATCGTAACTGGACTGCTTAGAATTTAAGAGTGTCCAAATGATGAAATTCGAATCCAGTAATGTTGCAATCATGGCTGATTTTTTCAATCAATTATCCGAAAATATATCGCTGGAACGTCGGCGTTTTGATTACATGGAATCGAGGCACCTTGCTGGAAACGAATGAGCCTTTATCTATCTGGTCAGCGCCCGTACTAATAACGATCAATCAATCAATCAAGGAAGCAACGTAATAATTATACAGTCCACAACCTGAAAAACAGATTATATTAACCCTCTGTGTAACAATCGAGTATATTAGAAAGCATAGCTGTGACTTAAATAATCGAAGGCAGTTGTACAGAAAGTCAACATATGCTATACTATGCACAGACCTTTGACAGAACAAAACACAACTGAATTCAACATGATGAACTGGCAAATGCATTTGCAACATGATAAACTGGGCTTCATTTGCAAATGCATTTAATGCAAAGGACTTGACTTAAATCTTAATGCGTCCCAGTTGAATACAAAAATCATCGCAGATTTATGCTATGTACACAGACCTTTGTGCATGATAAACGAAAAAATTAAAGTGACAAACTGATACATCTTCTAATTCCAACACGAGCTAGGGGAGAGGGGGCATCCAACTAGAGAATACAGCGTTAATCACTGATGAAAAAACTAATTCGGTTTAAGATATGTTTAACATGGATCTTTCTTGTATTAAAGAAAATAAAAAACCAAAAACGGCATCGCATTTTTGGTGCCCAGAACTGACATGGACAGTTGGCCATGAGGCGATATGGGAAGACTTATAAACTGTTTCAGAATGGATTTAAGAAACGTTTCTATCCCAACATTTCCATCGAATATGCATGCCCTTGTTATAAGAGCCTAATGGGGAAATGCATGTGATAGCTAATAAGGGAGTAATTGGACAGAAAAAATAACAAAACAAATAGAAATAATGTTGATTTCATAAAATTCAAATACATTTGGTATATAATATATATAATAATATATGTATACAATATAATATATCTGCAATAAAGTTTCTATGGTTTACAACGTCGTTTCTTTACAATCACAACAGGCAACATCGCTCTCTATTTTTGAACCATCTTGTATTTCCTTACGCAGTGATGGATGCTGTTCTAAAATATGCCCAGGATTGTTTCTGGGTCTCCTGCGCTTCTTCCTAGGTCTTGTTGGTTTGTTTGACTCAGTGAAATTTCGGAACAAGCTTTCACGGTTCTCATCAGAGCGATCTAAGCATGGGTTATCAGCGTCAGCTGTCTCTGATGTGGCAATTGAGACTTGCCTAGGGTAATCATTTGTAGTATCATCACCATATTTTGTTACATTATCCATTGTGTAGCAAGGTGTGCTGTTGGCCCGTTTTTTTGTTATCGGAGAAGGGGTGTCACTCAACCACTGGGCCTCATTTTCGGACAGTGATCGTTCCCAGGGTTTATCATTAATTGTAACGTGGTCACTGTGTATTTCATCGTGAGCACAATGAACGACGCTATCAGATGGTGTACCTCTGATCTGTTGCATCCAGGGACGTTCACAGGGTCCAAAATGTTCATTACTTCGAGCTAAACGATTGTTGATATCGCCCCTGCCAGTGCTTGATCTATCTAAAGTTAGCTCACGGGCTTCTCTACCGCTCCTGAACACAGTATCATGTGGTGTCTCAGAGTCAGAATCTGTTGAACTGGATGGTAATCGTTCCTGGACACTTGATAAAGTAGCTTCTTGGGATTCATCCAACATTTCATCTTCCAAATTCTCAAGCCTACCAGGTGCATGACTGGGGCTATTGTTTTCATGGGTTAGCATACCACCACTAGTGCCTGAACTAGAACCTAGGTCCCTCATATCTGTCCTATCAATGTAATCAAAACTGTCTTCTGAAACAGTCCCAGCACCTTGTCCAAAAAACCGAAATATTGAATTTCCAAAACTGCCCCAGGATATTGCATTCTGTCTCATGGTGAAGCCCACACCTAGTGAACCATGGGATTCACATCGACCAGCAATTGAAGGTTCCCTTGATGTATAGGGAGGTGGGAAATCAACAGAATCAAACAGGGTTGGTGGTTGTCGTCTGTACTGACTCAGACCCCTAGGGGTGGTTGGTACTTGGTAATAAATCGGTGGAGCCCAAGGTGGTAGGTTGTTGATAGGGTCTGAAGGGAACGGTGACCAGTTGTAGCGATGGTCATAGTCTGGCTGTGCAGATGGGTGTGACCAACGGAATGCACAACTCTACACATAGAGAAATGGGGCATTTTAGTAGAATTGTAAGAAAAGAATATACTAAATTGAACAATGGACAGTTAAATCAACATACCTGACTATAGCGGCTATATTGAGCTCCTAATGTACACCCCATCAGTGTGACTGTCAGACTAATTATACAGCATAAAATATTTGCTACACAAAGACTGTACATGACATCTTTAAGAAAACCATTGACAATGTTACAATCTCTCACACTTGAGAACTTGTATTCGTAGGAACATGTTGCATTGGTAACACAACATTGACATGCATGTTCGAATTTAATTTCGCGGCAAAAGCTCAGCGTCTTGAGAAAGCCAGCCGAGTCCCCTGTTAAGACTGTTGCTACCAAACTTACAACAACGCTGGCTGTTGAGAGAAATGTGTATATTCCAATCTAAAATGAAGGAAATTGGTCATGCAGATGTCATGTGAATGCTCAATATTGAATATTCACAATTATTTGTCTGCTTTTATTAAGTTCTCAACCAATACAATTTTCAATGACTTACAGATACTATTGACAATTGTTTCCATGTTAGAAATCCAACAGAACCAGTAAAAAGTGCCTGAAAACAAAAACAAGGTTTTTGGAGACTTGTAGTTAAGGGAGGATTTTTGTCATTGTGAGAGTCTATCATACCTTGTGACATTAACTTAAGATGAAATTAAGATATTTTGTGATTGATTCAGATTATAGTAATAAAAATACAACGTCATAACCGCCTAAGGCTTCTTTAGAAATTATTGCGCATTTAATTACTCATTTAAATGATCTGTTTCTAATACAACCACAGTTACAAACAAACTATACTATAAAAGCTTACCATAAAGCCTGCCCAATATGGTGATGCTCCACGTATTTTCGCCGAAGAAGTTGAAGCGAAGGCGGTGAACGACATGCCTATTATGACAGCACCTAACGCAACTTGAAATGAACTAAGAGTCACAATGCCTCGTCGAATTTTACGTTCTCTTGGGGCTATTTCACCTTCCATTGACTTTAAAATGAAAATAAAACAAACACAATATATTCTCTTGTTTTCCTTTGCGCTTTTATGGAAAATAATCCCGTTTTAAATTCATTTAAATGCCCTTTTGCAGTGTAAAATAATCACAATAATATTTGACCTCAATATTTTTTAAAATTCTGTGGAGTGTGGACCCGATTGGCAATTATAGGTACATTTAGCTACATTTGATAGGAGCAGAGATGGATATATTAGGAAATCTGAGAACAGTGTTGGTTCATTAATCAGTCCAGAATGATCTGAGATCAGTTACTAGTTAAAGCTTTTTTCCCTGATCCCATCTTATCCAGCAATTATCCTAATTTATCCAGTGATTTTACATGGGCATGCGCAATACCCCACTTCTACCACACCTGATGGCTGAGGCTGGAAAAGAAGAGTAAATTTCATCCGGCTTTTGGATGGCAAAAACCTACGATTTCTTATTCAAATTGCTTCTGATCGGTGATTCCGGAGTTGGCAAAACATGCGTACTGTTTAGGTTTTCCGAAGATGCGTTCAATTCGACGTTTATTTCGACAATCGGTAAAGATATTTACGTATGCTTGTCTCAGACCTGTCTGCGACATACAGTCGATTTTGAAATATGTATCGTGCATTTCCCTTCCTAATTTGGCCCAACTGGTGCGTTATATAGACACATTTTAATCCTACCCACTCAAGTGTTTGTTTCTTTATATTAAGGTATCGACTTCAAGATACGAACAATTGAATTAGATGGCAAGAAAATAAAACTTCAAATATGGTATAAAATGACGTTTTGTAATTCAACATTTACTATGCTTATCGTTTTTAAAATATCATCTTTGACCGTGTTTATTGTGGTGCGTTCCTCTTTTTGAATGCACTACAATATCCTTCTGTACCGGAAAGTTTCCGATCTTATGCCAATGCTTTATTCGCGATATCTAGTTGTATATGTTATGAATCTGTATTAAATACTATGATTACCGATCAAAATTTCCTGGTCTATTAATAATAATGCGTCATGTTTTGTGTGAAGGCATTGCAAGCAGTGACATGATTACTTACAGAAAAAATATTTAGAAATTTATACTACTGTGTAAGAATATATATTAAAGTGTATAAAAGTATTCTCAAATAGAAGATTATATTACTATTCATATTTATACCAAATATTAAATGCTATTTCAGTGCAAGATAATGGGCTACTTAAAGCATACAGACAAAGAGAATATTTGTTAGCGTCATTAGTGCCTAGAAACTCCTTTTACAAGTAAAATCAGTTTGAATAAAATATAATAAAACAAAAGAACATGCTTTGTGGAATAAAATTTCACCAAGTAATTTGATATTGAAATCTTCAGGGACACTGCAGGTCAAGAACGCTTCAGAACTATTACAACTGCTTACTACAGAGGAGCTATGGGTATAATGCTGGTGTATGACATCACAAATGAAAAATCTTTTGATAATATTAAAAATTGGATTAGAAATATTGAAGAGGTAAGTAGAAATCTAAAATGCAGAATATTTGTGTGAACTCAGATAGATCTCTAAGCGAAACATAAAGAATGTGTTGTACTTTCCAGCATGCATCATCAGATGTAGAGAAGATGGTTTTAGGCAATAAATGTGACATGGATGACAGACGTCAGGTTTCAAAGACCAAAGGAGAACAGGTTTGTTTCGAATGCTAGTTGATATTCCAGTTGCCTTATCAAGATATAATTTCCCCCATCTCATTCAATATTTTTTGATAACAGCTTGCAGTTGAGTATGGTATCAAATTCATGGAAACAAGTGCAAAAGCCAGCATCAACGTGGAAGAAGCTTTCTACGCTTTGGCACGAGATATCAAAGCCAAAATGGATAAAAAATTGGTATGAGCTCTATTTGAGGTAACAATTAGTAACCAATTACTAATCATTTATCATTTCTTGTGGTTTTTGCAACTTTAGGAGGACCAGAACAGGACAACAGGCAGTGTGAAAATTACAAATCAACCAAATAAAAAATCAAGTAGTGGCTGGAGATGTATATTACTATAGTACAACTAAATACTGGATCAATGTCAGAGATCAAATGAACCAAAATATTTGTTAGCTCTCCGCGTTTAAACAAATATTTGGTTTCGAGTTTTTGTGCATATTTTACAACAATTTGATTGGATTAAGTGGTGTTAGCATTCAAATTCTGCAGACTTTTTATGCTCAGTATCTAACCATGAATAACCGTTGAAACATTAAATTTATAGGCAATACTTTTTTACATAAGTGCGATGTTATTTTGACATAATACACCACCTGTTTGTAATGTGAAGTGCTCTCTGATCTTAGACTTGTGTTTAGTAATCCTTTATAACATAACTGTAGTAGTTTAAGTACGGAACTAATTCGAACTAATAAATACCTTTTTGGTGTGAAGAGACAATGGAATAGCCAATAAGGCTCCGGGAATGAAACATTCAATACAGAAACTTCTATAAAATAAAAATTCATACAATGATTAAAGCTTTTGCAACAGTATTTAAATGCACTGAATCAAGGCTTAATTATTTAAATAGTTACCTCTAGTGTGGCTTCTTGCAGTAAAAATACACATCCAAATTAAGGCTAGTTTGGTCCTCAATGGTCACCTAACAATAAAATGGGATTTTGTGTCTGATGATAAATATGTTCTCTAAAAGCTGTATTAAGATGATATGGTAGTGATTTTAAAATAACAGTTTTTTCAAGTAGTCTATATGGAAAAGGGCGTGGTTGAATTAATTATTCTTCAACATCCTTGAGTTTAAATTGTGCAATTCAATATTGTATATTTTGTGACATTGGGGTGACAGCATAATGAGCATATGCTCATTCATTAAATACTAGAATTTTATAACACCATTGTGCAACATTGAATATGTGATAATGGTTACCTGAAAAATACCAAGAAATCCTTGACGTCCTTTGGAAATGCCACCCAGAAGTTCACTATACATCTCGTTTGCAATTTCTGCAATTCAGGTCAATAAAGACACGTCAAAACAGAGATTGTGTGTAAAATGATACCCTTCAGTGTGTGATGGTTAAAGTTCAACTGATTCTTATAACCCACAATCCCCGTAGTTTGTATTGAAAAAAATACGTGGAATTCTCGTGATATTCAAAGGTGAACGTCTAATATATAAACAAGTTTCCAAGAACCAGCTTCCGAGTTCCGACTGTTATACTGGAAGTTGCTTGATAACTTAAGTGGTGAAAATATTTGCATAAGACAAAATATGGGCGCTCAATGATATGCTTTAAATTAAAGTTGTAAATTGTGTACAAATATCGCAAGAACGGAATGCCTATATTGCTTAAATTTGTGTTAATCGGCGACAGTAATGTTGGAAAGACGGCAGTGATGAGAAGACTTTTAGGGGAACGATTTGACCCTGCATTTATAATGACAACTAATGGAGGTTTGTGTTAGGTTTTGTTAATATATCGAATGAATGAATGAACTTTTTAAGAATTGAACAGTTCATTCGTTCATCCAAAGAGTAGTATATCAGTAAATGAGCAGTGGAATAGATTGGCACACATCAAGACTCATAGTATATTCTTACCTTCTCCTTTGTGAATGAATTCAGTTTTAAATATGACTTGTATATAAATCAGATTCATGTAATTGATTTTTTAGAAGCACGCAAGAGGAAGACTTTGCTTGTTGATAACCAGAGAGTTGACCTAGAGTTATGGTAACTTACATAAAATTAATATGTAGTTGCAAATTAATAAATGATTGCAATTAATAAGGCCATAAGCAAGCGTGATCATTATTAAGAGGAATCCTTGGAAATTCTAAGAGTGGAGGAGTTTAACTAAACATTTGAACAATACCGTGCACATCATAAGCAAAATCCTCTTACCATGTATTTGCACTCCTGGCCTTTCATCAATATTGGTCACAAATAAGTCCTTTCTTCCATTCAGGGATGCTCCTGGACATGAAAGATTTCGTACTGATGCAGCTCTGTATATAAGAGACGCTAGGGTAATGTAATGCCCATTTTCCACCAAAAACCAGGTCCTACCAATTGTTGAGGTTTACTGAAGACTGACTAAAAGTTTTGAATGCAAATTAACGGGATAAGCAAAATCCTCACTGATTTAATTGTTCCTTGAAGGCTGTTTTGGTGTTTTTTGATGTTACAAACGAAGCAAGTTTTCAGAACATAGATAATTGGTTGAAATTTATACCCCAGACAGATGTAAGTGATTATATACTTTATATACTTTATATCAGAGTGATATTTTTACCAATTTTTACCCCATTACAGTTTTGTTGATAATAATGACTGCAACTTGTTCATTTCAGAGCCCTGCACAAAAGCCTTTAACTTTTATAATTGGCAATAAAACAGATAAAGAACCTCGTCGTGTTGAACCAGACGAAGCTCAACATGTAGGATTTATTATTATATCATTTCTAGTCCAGTCAGTTTTTTTATTTTTGGTCATTTTCTTATATTTTTAGGTAGCTGATAAAAACAATTCCCCTTATTATGAAACAAGTGCAAGAGTAAATGATAATGAACATTTTAACAGGGTAACCCATTTACAGTTATACATTAGTCATAAAGTTTTTTTCTTCCTCTCAAATTTGTTCAATGAAGTTCTGTGTTACAGATGTTTGAACAAATTGTAGAAGAAGTTTTAAGGCAAGCACCAGAATTGACTGATTCGGGACCACAGGTTCGCGCAAATTAAGTAAACACGTTATGGTAGTACACTTAACCCTTTTCAGTTTTTTTGACCGGAAACAAAAGTTGAAAACATTATTTTATCCTATTTTTAATAGAATCCAAGAAATCCCGGAGAACCGTGGTATAAAAAGTGTGTTTTATTGTAACATAGCTATCTCGCAGTGACGCAGTTTACCAAAGTGGAATGAACTATTCCGAGCATAATAGACGGAATCAAATGTTTTTAAAGAAATTGAACGAAACGACAGGGTATTTTAATTATGTGACACTAATATATTAATCCGAATGTCATTAAAGAGAGAATGTTGTGAATTTTGTACACTCGCGTATGCATGTAGTTGATTTCCGACAGATATATAATTCGGACAAAATAAAATTTCATATTGAACCAAAGTCTTCTTTTTATAGTTGTGAAGTTTAATAGTGTGTAACGTAATCCCCACGATTTCACGAACTTCTTTCAATTGACATCATTTGCATGTCAAAAACTTAAAGTCAATTTTTTCGGGGACGCTTTGCTGCAAAATGGAAAAGCAAAATGAGCAAGCAATATGAAAATGAATCTTTATTGGGCTGGTCGGGTCCGTGCTATGCGTAACGCCAACCGACGGGCCGGCGCTGTTGACACTTGACAGGTCTTGCAAATTAATGTATGTCGACACGACGTTGCCACAAGCAGAACCTGCATAATATACAATCTTGTTCTCAATTCTCAATCTTGTTGGGTAAGATTGAAACGCGGATTAGCATGGAAAACGACGAAGCTGAAGGACAAGAATCCGATGAAGACTACGAAGACAGCGATTACGAGGAGTCCGTTGATGAGTCCAAAGAAGAAGAGAAAGTTGAGGAGGAACGGGGATCACTAGAAAACCAGATAGAACAATACAAAATGACGATAAAGAAAGCTGTTAAAGCAAAGAAATTCGAAGATGAGGCGAATGCTATGAATGATCTAGGTAATGACTATTTACACAAGCGGCAAGATAAGTCGTAGCACTGATTAATGACAGTCGGGAAACGTTCCTGAGAACTCATTTGCCATGCGTTTATTCACTGAGCTTTAAGAACGACCTGGGTATAGAATACAAATACAGTAGCTCCTATCTTGCCTGGGAGTTTATAAGATGCTGTTTTCCAGGGCATTTTTCTTCTCAGTGCATTCTGTAGCTGTGTAAGAGTATTTAACGATTTTAAGGACAGGAAAAGCCTTGAGAAATACATGACACATGTTGGGACAATTATACCCAGTGTTTGAGAATGAGAAAGTAGGCCAAACTTTTTCAGTCTTCCTAATATCTCATAGGCATTGTTTACTACAAAGTGGGCAGATATAAGGAAGCAGTTAACTGTCAAGAACGACAACTCACATTGGCAAAATTAATCAAGAACCAGAGAACAGAGAGACGCGCGCTTTGTAACCTGGGATGTGCCGCGAAATGGGCCAAAGATTACGACCGCGCGCTGGACTGTTTCCAAAAAGGCCTGGAAATGGCAACGGGTGAAGGAGACAAGAAAGCAGAGGGGAAGTTTTTGAATAATATCGCGAGCGCATACGAACACATGGCAGACTTTGAGAATGCAATAAAATATTATGAAATGAGACTTGAACTTGCAAAATCTATGAAAGACTCCACAGGCCAGACGAAATGCTGCGCAAGCATTGGAAATGTTTTACACGTCTCGGGAAACATCAGAGAAAGTATAAAATATTTTGAGCGAGTTGTTGTGTGTATAAAACTGAAAATAGGTAAGTTAGCACATTTGATGACGCATATACGTCCACAGTATCGCAGCTGAAGGTTAATACTAGGCTATGGCGTTGCAAGTCTGCCAGAAATGGCGAGGGATTAAACCAGGATTAAGGGATTATTCAAGTGCTTTCGATTATTAGTGCTCATTGTAAGTGTTTCCTTCTTCGTTCCACAGCTGCTGAAAATCAACAAGCGGCCAAATCACAGGAAGGATCTGAGAAAGATGTACGATCGTTAAGTCGGGCAAGCCAGTTCAGTTCTTGATGAAGAAGACGACAACACAAATCTAACTGTCGTTAAAAAATACGACAATCGTTGTTTTAGGAAATAGCAGTGAACACATTTGCTATTTCCTGTTCTGTACATATGACTTTTACGTAAATCTTTCAGTATGGAGAATATTAATACGTTTTTTACCATCAGAGAACGGTAAGCCGGCAATAAAACATAGTGTATTTCTTGGAAAAAAATTTTGGTTTATCTACATTGACACGTCCGTTTCGAAAAGAGAACAGATATAAGTAAAAAAGTAACAAAGAAAGAAGAAAACGACCAAACGAGTTGTTTGCGAAATCCTTAACTGCGCCTGCAGTTCGGGAAGCCTGTGTACCCTGCTACACATTTATCGCACTTTCGTCCAACGACATTTCGTCTACACGGACATTGGCCGCCAAATTTGTCGCATACAACCGATGTCGAACCTCTCCGATCGCAATCACACGCCGAAAGTCCGCCATTAAACATCGTCGTCATAGTAAAAACGGACCGTTTGCAAAACTCGGAGGAACTATCGATAACGAAATTATTTTGCCCACATTCGGCAACGAATTTTTGTGCCAAGCTCACAGGCTGTTGTTTCTCCATGTCCCGGGTAAAATGACGACTTGGAACAAATAGGATGTAGTCCTAGGCGAAAATAAGTTTACCATGAACAATTTTGCTTGGTATGACGCTGAATGGTGCGGTGTGATATTGTGTGGTGATGTTGGGGTCTTGTCTGGTATGGTACGGTACGGTACGGTACGGTACGGTACGGTACGGCACGGTAAGGTACGGTAAGCTACGGTACGCTACGGTACGCTACGGTACGGTGCTTCATGGTATGGTATGGTATGGTATGGTATGGTATGGTATGGTATGGTATGGTATGGTATGGTATGGTATGGTATGGTATGGTATGGTACGGTATTTCATGGTATGGTATGGTATGGTATGGTATGGTATGGTATGGTATGGTATGGTATGGTATGGTATGGTATGGTATGGTATGGTATGGTATGGTATGGTATGGTATGGTATGGTATGGTATGGTATGGTATGGTATGGTATGGTATGGTATGGTGTGGTATGGTGTGGTATGGTATGAGTGTGGGATCTCATGATGAGTTGCAAAACAATAAATACTTACAATCCAAACTTCGTTATTCTGCGTGATGGAAATGGTGATATCCACGTCGCCAGTGATGTACAGCGAGCGACTCGTTTCAGTAATTTTATCCCTAGCTATCACTCGGCATCCACCAACATTGGGACAGTGATTAAACTTCAGATACAGAGCAGTAGACCGCCCACCACTTTCGACAATAATACGACCATTATATTTGCCGTGTGATGGTTGGTAGTAGTGCACCAGAAGGTTGTAACTGCTGGCTTGTATTCTGCTTTTCACGCGCAGTGACACCTGAAATCAGATGAAAAAAATTAAGGCAAGGTCCAGGTGTTGCACAAACATGAAAATTTAGGACAGATTTCAAAGATTTAGGACATTTTGTTCTACGAAAGTTGCTTGCAGACACTGACGTCTGTCACGTTTATTTAAAAAATCATAGAACTTTGTATTAACAGTTCGACCAAGCGTACGTTGTACATGCACCTGGCCTAGTTAAGTTACGTACCCCATCACCAACCAGGTATGCTGCTCGCACTGATGCGTCTATTGCTAAACTTGGTTTCATTCCCTGACCCCTCTTTTCAGCTTCAACTTTAATTGCGTTCCTGTGGATCTGATATGTAGTCGGTATACATCCAGTTGATGATTTCACACAGTGCTCTGATGGCAAAATGTATTCGATGTTCCATTCCTCATAGGGGATGATTGTTATGGATTCCTTTAAAAACGATGAGTCATATCTATGACTTTATTATGAACTCATAGTGCTTAATTAAAGTTGTTAATGATGTGGTAAGTAATGAAAGTGATGATAATGATAATGATAATGATAATGATAATGATAATGATAATGATAATGATAATGATAATGATAATGATAATGATAACGAGAACGAGAACGAGAACGAGAACGAGAACGATAATGATAATGATCTCCTGGTAGTGATGTAACACGATCAACGTTGTACTAGTAAAGATGATGGTGATTACGGCGAGATATCGTGGTTATATATAACTGTTGGATGCAGCAACAACAAATGCAATCGTCTAGTCTTCTATCACCTACCACAGCAACAACTGTGCTTAGCGGAGAAATTGTCAGTTTGCTTATTATGTTAGGAAAAAACTCGAATGCAACAACTTTATTTTGTTCATCAATCGCCACCTGTCGACAACCAAATGTGTATCTACCGAAAAATAAAAATACACATTTAGTAAGTATAATTAATTTATCTTTGTTGTTTAAATAACATTGATTACGTCAACATCAGTAGACAACTTTTAAACTGCATTTTATAACAACAAATGAATGGATTATATAATAACAATCATTGTATATAATCTTCAATTCTAAGAGACACTCCTTCACTCCAACACAACAGAGATATAAACTTACTTGCAGTAAAAAGTTCGCATTCTTGAATTCAGATACTTATGTCCTGATCGTACGCTTAGTAATATGTCACTAACAGTCTTTACTTCCTGGTAATACGTCGCCATCAAGACGTAAGATCCTAATTTTTGAACTGGCAGCGGTAGGGTTAACTGACTCTGGAATAAATAGACAGACGTTGGGCTTATCGTCATGCAAAGGATAGTTCTACTTCAACAAAAGCAACGAAAAATTCAAACTTACATTTACACTAAGAACTGATGATCGTTTAAATGGAGCATATGGAAGTAAGGCTCGTGAACCAGCAAAAACACCAAGTTCAGCAGCAATAGTTACCGCATCAGCTGAGCCAACTGTTAAATATTTATAATCAACACAGTATTCAGCCGTAGATCCTACTAAACATGGTTTTTCAACACGTTGCCGCAAATATGTGGCCTTGTAGTAATCCTCTGGAATCATAACCAGGTAATCCTGTCAATATGAGCATTTTCACGTTAAAGATACTGGCTTTTCTTGAGAAGTTACTATCAAGATAAGCTAGTTTTAGCAAATTCACTTCACATACCAACAGCAATTTCGACGGCGATCCAAACAAAGATATTCTCCATTTCCCCCGACTTAAGAAGAATTCAGCCTCTTTTCCCCCCCTTTTAACAGTCAAAAATTCCGAAAACGTCTCGGTTCTTGTCGAGGTTGGTGAATAAATAACTGAAGCGACCTGCACGCTATCGTATCCTCCAGGCAATGGATCTAAACATGGAAGAATTCAGTAAAATGTGAAATTGTTTATTCAGATATTCAATCATTATCAACCGTTGGAGTAAAATATGGCCTAGTGAGCTACTGGTGTGCGTTGGTCATGCAAAAAAGGTCGGATCTTACCGGAGAAATGGTGTTCAAAGGCTTGTTTGTTTTTTATTCATATTTGTACAAATGATACCTACCGACTTCACCTGTTGGAGATATCGTCACTTGACCAAATACGTCATTGAGTGAGTCAAGAATATAACGAATCAAAAGTCGGTACTTCGTTGGTCGTGGAATTTCCACAATAATGTCAAATGAACTCTATGAGACACGAAATGAAAATAATCTTCTCATCAACTTTAAAAAAACTACCATATGCGTTAGACTTGGCTTTGTTTTAGATTATCGATGAGCGTTATTCTACCTGTTCGCTCAAGACGGGAACATATCCTTTACCAGAGAATCCGGGAAATTCGCTCTGACTATGACGTATCCGGAGTGGTCGATTTGAATCTATTCTGCCATCCTCGAACTCCGCACGGATGTGATGCAAATCTTGCACGTAAAAACCGTCCGATTTTACACTACATGTACATGAAAAATGTCAGGCAAAGATGTGTTTTACCGTCCTGGTGATGACTATTTATGGCCAGATAATCGTCCGTGTGTTGCTGTGAGGTAATATACTTCTACAGGCTGCAATTTTAAAGGAAGATAATCGCGTTCTCACCTGTCGCATTTAGTCCCACTAATATTCCTCTTACATGAACACGCGCCATTTTGTTTGTCACAGATGTTGTCAATTGATCCACCATAATTGCACTCGCATCCTAGAGTTGTCACAGAATTGTCATCATATGATATAGCCCTTGCTAAAAATTCTGCACTGTGCATGACGTAGTTTGCAGACAAGCAATCTTACCTTTACAGCCAAAGATATTGTACGCTCTCAAAAAGGTCGAGCCATCTTTACAACGTGAACAATCCTTTTCATTAACCCGCGACTTACAGGAACACTGTCCTGATACTTTATTACAGATTTTTAACTGGCTGTTGGTACCCAGATCGCTACAAGTACATCTTTGACAACCATTCGGATCATTAAACTGGAGATTGTAATAGAAGTCCTTGCATGTATCACAATATTTACCATTCACGTTGTCTTTGCATTCACATTTGACCTGGAGGAGAGGAAACCAACAAATTATGCATGGAAAAAGAAATTCAAAAGACTTTGTCAGTGCAAAATATTTCCTTAGAAACCAAAGATCATTCATGGCATATCTTGGTCGTGAATGATTTTGAGGCGATTTAATGGCAGATAACTCAGTTAGATGTGGTCCCGAGAAGTAGAAGACTTTTTCACAGCAAAACAAAACCTAAACGATCAATTTCTGAGTCCTGCACAGACATATTTTTTAGTAATCCCGTAACGTCTTACGGCTAAGGAAGAGTTGCATCCGGATAATAGTCCTTCAATAGGTTTGATTCCAGACACATGGCAGTTGCATTCCTTGCAATCTGGAAATCCAAAGAATCCAACGCGACATCTATCACATTTCCTTCCGGCATAACCTCGCCTGCATTGACACTGACCCGAGGTTGAAGAGCAAAACTGACTGAGAGAGCCGTGATTGTCGCAATCACACGCTGAAAATAACATAAATCACATTGAAAAAATGATTAGATCAAAGACGCAAATGATTAGATCAAAGTCTAAGCTCCCATCAGGGACACTAAGGAGGAATTGGCTTATCTAGATCTCTTGACTTTATAAATCCAGTGAAACTACCGAAACGTTTTGGAGTACCTTACCAGCGCAGGTTGGGAAATCATAATTGGAAGACTTGCAGCGGTTACAACTGATGCCAGAGAAATTTGGCTTGCATTTACATCGTCCACGGTTGTCACAGCTTGTAGCATCCACACCTCGAGGATCACAGGTGCACCCTAGAAACAAAATCACTTAAATCTCATCCACGAACATCAAGGGCATGATCTGAAATCTTTTTAAACTTTGGCTTATCCACCGTTTAAGCTGAACACCTTTCAAGCAACCGCCCACAACTAATATACTATAAAAAACTTACGGCGACAATATGGAAATCCGTAATATCCTGAGCGACACTGGGTACATTGACGACCAATGATGTTAGGTCTCCGACATGTGCATTTCCCGTGAACTTGATTGCAATATCGACTGCTGGAACCAGGATAACTGCAGCGACAAGGTAACGCTCCGTTGTTAAAGTTTGTCACCAAAGAAAAGCTCGTGTTTCTACAATAACTCGGGTCCCTTGGGTCGATGACGAAGTTGTTAAGACTACATTGCTCCACCCATGTATTGGAGTTGTCGATCGGTGTAAATGACAGAACATTGTCCGAGTAACTTGTGCTGGGAATCCTGTACAGCCACGACTGAAATATGCGAAAGAAATTAAATTAGCATTCAAAAAAATAATGACAAGGTTCCCTAGAATTTTACGCACTGAACATATCGCTGGTTGAAATTAACACTGTCGTTCTATTTAAGTTCAAAACTATTCATGTTGCTTTATCTGACAAAGTACAACTGTTCTGTTGTCTTTCTTTCCTAAAGGACGCCTATTTTGATATGCGCATCAAACACTGACAACTTTGACACTCAGATTGGCTGGAAAGCGAACTTCAATCAGTGTTGTTCCTTGTCTGATCCTGAAATTTCCTTCATTTCCAGTTGGTTTAACAACAATCCGACAGAACTCCGTATTTGGACAATATTTAAACTCAGCAACTCCTTCGAGAGTTGTTGTGTATGTGGTGATGGAGACTCTGCCATTAACCACGATATCTTTAGTTTGTTGGTATTGAATTATAACCACGAAATTGTCCGTCTTCTTGTTAAAGAAACTACGAAACCGGACTAAGGTATCCTGTAAGAGAAAATGAATAACTGAAGACAGTTTTTTGTAAAGAAATAGAAGCGATGCCAAGAAAGAAAAGCAAGGCTTTTAGAAACTCTTTTTATTTATTCAAGACTCGGATGCTTTAGTGGAGCTTCGAAGGTTTGCAACAGGCAGAGGCTTTGTGAATATAGATGAAAGCTCATCTTAACTCGTTCTATTGTTTTGTTTTGATTCAATTAACCCTCAACAAAAACAATTGAGCGGTCTTACTAACCACTGAATAATTCAAAATATGCCAAAGCCCAAGACAGACTATTTTGAAATAAATGAAAATTAGCAAAATAGTATGAACTACCTCCGTTAATCGGTCGTATACTAACCCTCTCGTCGTTTGTCGAGGAGCCCGTAGAGGGGTCGACAGATCGCGCTATCATAGGATGTTGCTCGAACGTGGTCGGCTGTGCGTAGCTGGACGAGATGCATTCGTCCTGTAGCGATCTACAAACCAATGCTGGAGTGATGTAATCTGGGTGCCACAACTCATAAGGTATGGCTGATATGTAATCCTGTACAGAGAGAAGAAGCAATCATGCATTAAACGTTTTGTCTTCGTTTAAACCAGAAAGATCAGTGGTCACTACTTTGCAATCTTTAGGAACTTACTACGGCAATGCTAGCCTCTCTTGAAGTGAAGAGGTTCAATGGAGTTCTTCCTTTTTCAAGGTCAAACCGTTTAACTGTTTTAACCCCCGGCTTCATGGCAACTTGACGGCATCCAAATTGATATTTACAAGGAAAGATGTGTATAGAGCCAAGCTCACGATGCACGTACAAATCAATCTTCTCTGAGTTCTCGCCATGACTGATGAAGTGCACGGCAAAAACATAGTCGCCAGACTTCGGGATGTTCATGTCGATTGCAAATCGATTCTAGAATGAAGTGTCGTGAATATCTTTAATTTTTGAAGCTTGTTCATGATACGGAACTCTCCTTCTTTCCATTTGATATATTTAGCAAGATTATTTCAGAATTTCTCGAAATATTAGTTCTTACGCAGGCCGAGATAACAATGATAAATACCTGTTCATTATTCATCAACACCAGCTGGGTTCCACTGAGTTGTTTTAATACAGTATTACTGCTGTAATACTTCAGTTCGAGTCTATTATCCGTGCCCCAGGCTTCTCTAGCGAAGTATCCATTCTCGGCTTCGTGTTTCACCGCGTGTTCGTCGGAAACCTCCGGATAACTGTATCGATCGCAGATTGTATCCCTGGGACCATCAACAACACATGGATCGACTCGTATCGTCTTCAGTATTCGACCAGTGTAGTATTCCTCCGGCATGAAGACGAGATAGTCCTTGAAAGAGGAAGAATGTCAAAAACTCCACCTGTGTTTTGAGCGAGTACCCTTAAGGCGGATAAGGCTTATAAGTCATAAAGAACTTCGTTATGAAAAGTTAAAATGCACAGGGTCTCCACTGGATCCTATGGCGTCAAATATTATACAGCCATACAGGGATACTTCACGAGCGACTCACCATCAACATATACTTGCTTTCACAATCCACAGTCACCGACCATTCTCCAGCAAACATTAGAAACTCTTGGACAGCATCATTCTGGGAAACTGTCAGCAATGAACTGCGTTCTCTATTCACATTTCGTGTTGAAGACACGGTCATTGTAACGATTCTCGTAAATCCAGAGACACCTAGGAACCATAAATACAGAAACTATTATAACTCGCATGCCAAACTACAAGATTTTTTGCCACTCCGAATGGTGGAACACTTGCACTTAATAAACCACACGGTCGTGATAAGTAAACACGAAGAGAGAACTGACCTTCGCCAGGACTGACAGTGAAACTAACATCAGTAGTTGTTGGAGAACCGATTGGTTCGAATATACAACGGAAGAAAATACGATACAGGCTACGACGAGGTATGTTGATTGTCAGAATAACGGTTGTCTCTTCAGGAGAGAAGTTGACATAACCCCTCCAAGAATATGAAGGAAAGATATTCGAGTCAAATCCGTATTTAACTGGTTTTCTATCTGCTGTTTTCCCATCTTCGACTTCGGCAGCGATATGATGTAATGATGGATAATAGACAGAGCCTCGCAACCTGTCACAATTTGTCCCACCGATATTTGCACGACATTGACATTTTCCATCCCGTTTATCGCAGTTACTGTAATAGGAACCTCCTGGGTTACATTTGCACGCTGTAATAAAAGATTACGATCTCACCAATAACACCAAATCACTATTTATTTCATTGAACAGTGGACACTGTTCGAAGCTCGCTCAATTTTACTTAGACTGCTTTTTTATCTCATTAGGAAATGGGTTTCCGTAGAATGCTTCTTGTTTTCGGCTAATTTATTCAGTAATCTGGCAACCTGATTTATACCGGATTGATCATCCTTCCGTAAAAACACCCCCAGGATTGATCTATCTCGGATATAAATCCGGCTATAATCAACATAAGTAAGAGTTACAGTATCCTCACCTTGGCATCCAAAAATATCAGAAGAATCAAGGGAATGGTAGCCTCGTTTACATTCGTAACAATTCCTTCCCTCCGTGAATGGCTTGCATGCACACTGACCCGAATTCTCGTCACATGACTCTAATCCACCAATCGTAGCACCCTTGAAGCACCCACATGATCGACAGCCTTGTGGATTTCTCGGGGAGAAATTGTAGTAGAGATCTTTACACTTGTCGCAGGTTGCTCCTGCGACGTTCGTTTTACATCGGCATTGGAACTACAAAAGAAGAGAACATTTTCATTTACACTCTAAGAAAACTATGTGAAAACGTCGAGCCTTTTTATAGCATTTGATATTCCTTTGCTCTCAATTCTTAGAAAATTATAGGCGTTTTCTACCTTTTCTCTCCCTGATGCGCAGATGCTGTTACCACGTCTTTCGTTTCTTGCCTTACCGTCGGGATCACATATACATTGCTGGCACCGTGGGAATCCGAAGTATCCCGACTCGCAACGATCGCAGTGTCGGCCGGCAACGTACGGATAACATGCGCACCTCCCGGAGACCGAGTCACAGTTCGGAGAGAGTGAACCTTTACTATCACACGTGCATTCTAGAGAGAAACGGGATAATTTGACCGATTTTTTTGTGAAATGCACTGTTCTTTACTTTGCTCTGTATAGTCTCGTAATCAAATTAAGAAAACAACAGAATAATTCCAGCTGAGAAACCAGCTCTGCGCACCTCTGCACTCAGGATAACCATAGTAACCAGCTCTGCAACTATCACATTGTGGTCCTTTATAACCTTCCTTGCAATCACATTGACCATCAGCGTTGCACTTGATACTCTGCGATCCAGCTGAAGGGCATGTGCACGCTAAAATACACAAATTAAACCGTAAACATTCAACATTATTTCTCAGCCAAAATATGACCAGTGTCTTCGATTCCTTCGCCATTAGTTGTGCACACATTGAACAAAGTGAGGAATGTTGACAAGAGCATGAATTTAGAGTCAACGAAAGTAAGTGTTTTGGCCTTACACAGGATACTAGTTGTTCGTACCTAGTTTTCTGCATGTAGGGTAGTCAACATAACCCAGCTTGCATTCGCCGCAAGTTCGTCCATCGTAATTTTCCTTGCACAAACACTTTCCGTGAAGATCGCATCCTTTATCAGTCGTGTGTCTCAGATGGCAGCTACACCCTGATAAGATATTCATTCTTAAATGCAAATAGAACTATATACAGCAGCAGTTGTCAGTACATTGATGATGCTCACTTACATTGACAGGATGGAAAACCATGATACCCTCTTAAACATCGATCACATCTTCTCCCGGTGATGAAAGGTTTACAACGACATTGGCCATCATTACGTTTACAGGTCGAGGAGGCCTCTGACCCTTGCCTGGAGCACTCGCATGCTAAATATAGAAATGACGCTTTTACTGAATCATTTCTTACAATATTTAACCCTATCACACATTCATAGTATATATTCTATATCATTTCACCCTAAACAACACCAGACCATAGATTATAAAAATACGAAAAATGGTACATACGTAAACAGGCCGGATAGTTAAAGTAACCACGAGCGCATTTATTGCAGCGTTTTCCAGCATATTCTGTTCTGCATGGACAGTATCGACTATCCACATTGCATAAATAACGCATCGTTCCATGACGGGAACAGTAGCACGCTAAACAACGAGAAAAACACAGCATTCAAAGTAAAATTGATATCTCCTATTTCTACAAGAATTTGAAGAAGCGGTTGCTGAAAACGTAAGGGTTTAAAATGCAAAATTTATCATTTATCTTACGTGATTGTCTCTTTGTTCTTACAGAGGTGTCGAGATCTTTCGACATTTCTATTCCTAAAAATCAGAGAAGAAACAAAATTATGAACCTCTACATTTTGTTTTTAAAAACATCCAATTCAGCCCCTCTTTTAATCTACACATATTAATATTTAGGTTTATGCCCTTTAGAATGATTGAGCTGAGAGAGTATATGCTTTTTAACAAAGTCCACGCATTCACGCTGGGGTAAACGACTCAGGCTATGTTATATAGGCTACGTTACCTTGCACAGAAATTTTCTTCAACGTGTAGAATCTCTATACGAGAAGAAAAATAGGTACAAATTTACTATAATGTTCTATTGTAGATCTTAAGCATCTCCCGTAACTTAAGACAATTGTAACGAGGCGACGAAGGTGAGAACAGTGAAAAGATGAAAGATATTCTGGTCAACGCACTTACAGAAAGTTCTTCTAAACTTTGCTGATTTTTCGACTGCCATATTTGAATCAATCTCAAACGTAGGTGGTCTGCGATGGCATTATTCCCATCATACGATACGTCAACCTAAAGATGATGACAATAAGATATGAAATGCTTACGCAAGGTAACCTACCTGGTTCAACTGCTAGCAACTGACAAGCTGACTGACCGATAAACCATCGTAGAAAACAATTATCTCACCTTTTCACTTGATCCATTCTTAACAGGTTGTTGAACGATGCACAAATCCTTAGCAATGGCAGAACGATTGAAACCGAAGACATTGGAGCACTGCTCGGAACGAGAGACGAAATACGTCAAGATTGAGTATTGTTTTCCTCCATCTCTTGATGCCTCGATAACCCAGACAGATGGCTGAGGGGTGAATGCTGTACTGATTGACACTTGATTAATGCGATATTTCTGAAATGAACGTTTCAAACGTTTAACTCCCTACAGCGATTAACTAATCACAGCCGTGCAGAAAATGGACTTGGTTTTCAGATTAGAGATGGGTGGCCCGAGCTATGCGACGTTTTAGCAGGCGCGTTTTCACTGTGATTGACTGAAGTAAATTACTATATCGACAGAAATGATCAGCACACCTGTTTTAGGTCAATAGTAATGTCCACACGCTCATCCGCTGACCTATTGGAGAGTACTGCGGACTGCCAATATTGTGGGCTCGATTGAGAAGAGGTAACGGTTTCAATGCGATTATTCCCATCGCATACATTACAGTCAAGATCAGCATCATCTGTGGAAAAAAAAGAAAATAAAGAGGGTAGAAATAGCTGGTTTGATTTTTGCTGTTGTGGCTTGTAGGTTGTGTATGCCTCATACACGTATGCACGAAGCATATGGTAGACCAATTTACCCCAGGTGACGCAACGGAGAAACGTTTTAATTCTCAGACGTATTATTAAGTTCAATAATTTGTTTTCATTTCATGCTTATTATTTACACATGTTCATCCCTCGGGCTAAAAACTCCTGTTGTCGCTCTTTCTGCAGGGCTTCGGAGTCGGAAAATAAAGCAGCTTCCACCCAGTGTTTCCAAAAGCTAATTTTTTTAGCTTCACAGGTACTCCTTAGGCGGAAATTATGCGGATGAAATAGGAGACTTCAGAGAATTAGATCTGGCAATTTATCAAAACATTGCGTTGAAGAATGATATGAGTGGTTCTAACAAAGATTTTCATTGTAATGACATTGCGTCAGTCGCTATATTTATAGTTGTACGACGGGCATCCCTTGAACATTACCCAACGATACAGAAAAAAAAGAGTTTTCACTGATATTTAATATATAAACCTTTGTCGACGTGCGAACAAGGACACAAAGTAAATAGAATTGAACACGACCTCATTTAATGAATATCTTTAACGAATCTCTGGCCGTTTGCCCAAGCGCTACGCACCTTACCTTATAAATAAAGTCATACATATAAAAGCCTCAGCGTTCCTACCTTTCGTGAAACAATACATTTCGTTAGCCTCACATGTCGACGATGCGATTATCGGCTTTCCATGCGCAATTTCAGCGCTTTCCAAGACCAAATTGACGCATTGCGTTGACACAATTACATGTATGGAATAAATTGCGATCAAAAGACGATAGACGCGACGAGGTATCATTGTTTAACGCTCGATATTATAAACTTACGACGATTGTTGGCTTGTTACGGCAAGGCCGGCTCAAGCAGACTTGTTCTTTGTGACGCGACACCGACACTCCCTGTGCGCAATATTTTCTCAGGAAGCGATAAAGGAAAACCCCTGGCTCTTCGCGTCCACGCTCCACGGAATTTGCGCAATTATGCAAATATGCATGGCACGCGCATACAGGTGCTAAAAGCGCGAAAATTTGCGCAAGAGTTAATAAGCACGTGAAGTAGATTCGTGTCCCACTCTTGCATGCCAATTTTAAGAGAAGCTTCCCCCACGAATTATGCGAATTATGAAGATTTTTTATTCTTTGTTTCTCTTTTCGTGCGAACGCATTGAACAGAAGTTCAAAGGTCATCACGATATGAGGACGGAGCTCATTTGCTTAACTGTAAATGGGGAAGGAGTGGTCTAGTAAGTGAAATGCGATGTTTTCAAAAATTTCCCTTGTCAACATATTTACAACATGGCCGTTTAGCATTGTTCTGACACCAAAAACAAGGTGCTGAAAAAAGTCATTCAAAATTGAGGTCTATAAATAAGCCACCCGCGGGTATGAAATAATTACTACAGGTCGTAGCATTCAGAATTGCGTTATTACTTACCCAAAAGTTTCGTAAAATTGCATTGGAAATTGATTATTTTAAATAGACCTTTTTTATAATGACGTCAAACGCGGAAAATCTGATGTAACACGAAGTTTGATTGGCGCGACCCAATCAAATTTCATGTAACATCAGACTTTCCGCGTTTGATGTCATTATAAGAAAGGTCTATTGAACACTTCAGTCGTACAAACACGGCCCAGTTGTATAAAAGACTAGCCTAATATATTGTCTGCGTTGCAGGCTAATAAGACTAGTTAAGGACAGAATTGGCCAATCAGAGTCGTGTATTTCTGAGTTAACTAGGAATTTACTATGCAAAATGGTTTTATACAACCGACTCCGACTGCGCATAATTTAACTCTACACGTTAATTTAACTCCTGAAGAAGCTATTCTGAATGAAACCGGAGTACTTTTTTGGAACACTCGCCTGACATAGAGACACCATAAAGCCTCGCCCGCCGTTCACACCATTTACTTTCCTTTACAGGGTAAAAACGGCCAGACCGGTCCTGTCGTATTTCAGTATGGACAGATTACTGGTATTTTTGACTCTTTGAAACAGACTCTGCATTCAAGTATGTTGTTATTTACATCTGCCTCGCACGGCAAATGCAGTTCAACCGCTATATAGCTATATACTAGTGATAAATACTCTGTTTCATTATGACGACAGTAATTGGATTCGCACTACAACTTTAAAGTGCAAAATTAGCAGGGTTCCATTACTGAATACTTCCATATTATGTATGAGCAGAAACTGCTTTTCTGAGCATTTTTCACTACACTATGGCACGTTTTATTTGCTTCAGATCGTAAACTTTCTCCACTCTTATATATAAAGCCTCGGTTTCAAACTCCCTGTTATTTCTTACGGCAAAATATCCCCGACAATTTTCTTGCCTTGATTTATTGTTAATTACAAAGTAGCGCGAATTAGATTAGATTACGACGGATCAGGAAGATATCAAACTGTATCGTCGGATAGATCACAAAACTGTATCCTCGGAAACATCACAAAACTGTGTTGTCGGAGAATTCACAAAACTGTATCGTCGGAGATATCACAGAACTGTATTGTCGGAGAGATCACAAAACTGTATCGTCGGAGAGATCACAAAACTGTATCGTCGGAGAATTCACAAAACTGTATCGTCGGAAAGATCACAAAAATATCGTATAAAAATATGACAGTTAAATGAGTTAATCTCTAAAAGAACACCGACTTTTGCTGGACATTATCTCACCATTTATTGAACAAAAAGGTAATCGGGTACAACAGGGTATTAAAATTTGGGGAATGCATTAAAAAGTCAACAAACCGTAAGAACTGTCTATCATCATTAGTAGGAAGTATAATATAATATTGCTTGTGGGAAAGGGTTAGGGATAACGGGGGATTATTGGGAGTCAGAAATGAAGGGAATGTTTGAGAGAGTTATGAATAAACGGGGTTATTGAAAGTCGAGAATGATGGATCGGGAAAGTTAGGAATGAAGGGGATCATCGGGAAAGAGTTTGTAATGAAGATTAAAAAACAATCCTAAACATTCATTCAAATAATTCACACTGGTATCATTAGTAAATACTGTAACACTCGCATACTGCATCGAATTATGGATCGCATGCCTTTGAATCAATCTTGCATCTCTGAGCAAATATTGACAATTGGAACCCATCACGTGCTGAACTATAAATTCCTATTATTACTTATGATTGGCCTTTTGACCTTCGGGGAAACATACTGGAAAGGGGATGGTCTTGGGTTCTTGTCATATAATTATCTGCCATCCAACTAACACCTGGCATCTGGGTCTGGTGATCCTTTTTCCACTCAGGCGATGGTTAGGTAAGTACAGGTTTTGCAATCGTCATAGATTAATTACTTCTCAAAAGTCGACGGAGGAACACAGAAAAGGTATGAATGTTGTCTTCTACGGCAAACATCTCTGGTGTAAATACACTCAATATTCGAGTATTGCAATGTATAGCCTAAGTCTCCTTAGTCCTAACTTCTGCCTGTATTTTCACACAAAGGCAATGTGAAACTCTTTGTTTTACGGTGGTCACGCTTAGGGCTCGTGTCACTAACGTACATCAATTTTCAACTGAAGAATAAGAATGTTATTTCCTATTTCTGAAATTATGTCTTAAAACCACCCGTTCTTCGTTCAATAAGTATATTAGATAAACATATAGACACATAAGAGGTGAAATTATCGGAGAACTAGTTGAGAATCTGTCCCAAGTTTGACTCGACAATAAAGGAATGTTTGTACTTAATTAGCTACACACGGCCACAGGCTACCCAAAGCGACAGTAATGCTTGAAGACTATTAGGACTATTAATACCCCCGTTTTTATACTTTTACTTGGTGTTTTGTCTCAACAACTTGTATTTGTATTTTGCTTTATATAAAAGGACTTGCGCCTATGATAATTGCCTACGAAGGCTAACGTCGATTTCGTCTCTGCGTCCTCTAAAATCCTCAAAAAACGTGTTTATTCTTATTAATTCTAGTTGAGCGCTCATGCAAACATGGCTAAACCAAAATCACCGAAACTGTGGATTCTCGTCTTCATTTGTGTCAGAAACTTCACAGACGGCTGCGAAGCATATTTTATCGCACCGACAGCATGGTATTACGTCAAATCCCTGGGTCAAAGCAAGGAATTTCTGTCTTTAGTTTTAACCTCCTTCAATCTTTCCGCTGTCGTCATATCGCCAATATTTGGACACATCGCGGATCGTTTCGGGCATGTTAAGTTATTGATAGTTCTGTCTTATGTGGTAAAAGTTGTGGGCAATTTGTTATACAGCATTAACACGTCCCCTTATTTTCCACTCATGGGCAGAATTATTAGCGGTATGGCAGAGTCCTCATTCGGGATTCTAATGGGTCAAGTTGCACTTCACACGAGCAGTGAAAATCGCGCAGGAATCTTTGTATTTTTGGAAACCACATATTGTTTGGGCTGTGCATTTGGACCGGCAATTGGTAGTTTTGTAACATTCAATGCTGATCTTTTTGGTTGGAAGATTAACGCGGGGAATTCGCCCGGCATAATATTGACATGTGTCTGGCTAGTTTCGCTAATTGCTTCGCTCTTCTTGCCCCACGATTTCGGTGAGAAAAATGCCAGGGAGGAAGTTAAAGCCGAGATGACGATGTCGGGTACGAGCGATAGCGACGATGAACGAAAACTAAGCGAACAAGACCGAACACTCAACGAAAGCGAGACGAAGACAACTGTCGAATGCAATTCGCGAGTTTTATGTTTGTTCTACCTGATATTTTGGAACGAGGTTTTCTCAAGCACTGCAACTTTCTTTACACCATTGATTGCGATGGAAATATTACACCTACGACTTATTCATGTAAAATTCTACTTTCTAAACAGCTCGTTAGCCACTTTACTGCTTTTTATTACGATGTACATTGCATCGAATTACCTCAGAGAGAAGAAAATATTCTTATTTTCAATGCTGCTGCAAATTAGCGCGATATCTTTGCTGGTCATTTTGGCGTTTACTTGGGACGATGTCTCGTCTGTTCATTATTACATTTTATTGTTTTACGTAATGATGGGGATGCCGTACTTTGCGTTCTCTGCGGGATGCTCATTGATGTCAAAAATTACTCATCCAAAAAACGCCGCTTTCTATCAAGGTACCTCGTTCGCAATGGTGCACTTGTCAATCGTTGCCAGCCGTGTGGTAGCCGGCTATGTTTTCACACGAACTGGTTTGATATGCTTCAGTTTGGGACTTGCATTCTTTTGGTTTATTGGTGTGATATGGTTTGGTCTACTGTACAACTCTTTTGAATCGAAAAAACCGAGCTTTAAATCTTAACTTGGAAGCGACTTAGTTGAAATTAGGACTGACGAAAGCTTAATGGATCTTAATCTTATAGTTTAAAATATATTCAAATCTTCCAAGGAATAGGAGTTAAATGGAAAATAAAAGAATAAATAATTTGATTTACAATCTTCTATGCTTATGGCTCATTCATTCAGTTAGTATTAATTCCGGCATGTTCAGTAAATCCTAAATACATAAATCCAATCCTTGAAATTAGGTTCGGATTAGATTTAGAATAACGTAACCATAATACACCCGGATCAATAACCTAATCCTAATTCTAGACCTAATCTCAAGGATTAAATCCGTGTATTTAGGATTTAAGATGAAATTCATTTAATACCATGTGGTGTTTGTGAGACATGTTAAAAACAATATGGTCGACTAATTTTTCTGCTTGCACAATACAGAAGTGATATTTTAAAGCACTCTCCTCTTAAAAATGATATATGAATATTGCTTCGTTTTTACATATTTGGTAAATACCGTTTATCAGCAGGGAGACTGTTTTCTGACGACTTGGAATCCGGTCGACTAAAAGAATACGAGAAGAAATATTATAAAATCGCCATGTTGAAGCAGTGCCGCGTGTTCACTCAAATTCATTTTTCAAATTAGGTCATGAAGACAACAGTTATGCAGAAATACATGCACAAAACATGCCCGTGTTAAGGTCAAACAAAATCCGATTAAGGGTGACAAAACGTTTTTTTTACGGGATAAGTTTGGCATTCTTAAGTGGGAAACGGTTCGTCCAAATATCACCTTGTTTATCGTCTTAAATATCAACCCCTTACCTGTGTTGTTTAATAAATCTTTTTAATACTTCATTGGGATCACCTTTAGATTCTAAAGGATGTAGATATATATATTCATAGATAAGGTCGGTAAAAGACGCCTAAAGATTCAAACGCGTGCATGATTTGTCTGAAAACGCCTAAAGATTCAAACACGCGTAGTTTGCTTCATCTTTGGTTTGAATATCAGAGAGACTGACCAATACCTCAGTGGCGACGTGGTCGTTAACAAAAGTATTGATTCACATTTCTTAAAGGCAAATGCAAATTTCATAGACTTTTTGTTTTGAACGTGTGTTGTGACACCTCTGGGAATTCAATCGAGCGTGAATGGCGATTGGCCAAATAACATAAAACAGCAAAATTAAACCAAAATAATTTAAAACAAACACGTATCTCATTGTTCCTACTCGAGTTTGCCGTAATAAGACAAACTTGTGGTTTGATATATCCGTATGGCTCTGTTTATTTTCGAAACTATTATTAAGTTCTGAAAAGTATAACTACAGTACACAGGTTCACAAGTCACAACAGAAGGTCTGATTTTAAAAGAGGGTAATTTTTTTAGAGACACGCTCTAGAATACAGGTGCTGGGACTGGAATGTGAATCGCATTGTTTTCACGGAAAACATGTTCAACACATGTCGGATGTTATTTATCCGCGTGGCAATTCTCAGACTATATTTCTAAGGGTGGTAAGGGTTGTTGAAAAGATTGGCTTAAATACCACAGAAACAACTATATTTTTGCATTCGGCTTTGCCTTTTTAGGTTGTAAAACTCTCGTATACCCTTGAGATCATGGTCAATCCACTCAATCAATCACAACGAGGCATTCCAGTAATTTACAAATCACCTTAGAAAAATATCCTACTTTATACTTCCATATAAGTGATAAAACCATCTGTGAGTACACTATGCCTACCTCTTGGATATGACGATAGTCTAAGGTCTATATACTCAACTTATCCTACGTGCCCCTCGTCTATCCTACATGTACACCTCATACCCCAAATCATACCTGCTCGTGATTGTTTCATCGCCTCCAGTCTGCGAAGTCTTTCTTCGTTTTTCTGCGCGATTTCGTCAACATTGAAGCTTGTGACGGAGTTGAGAGATGAGCCACCAGGGGTGGGGGGTTTGTAATCAGAAAGCTGTGAAATGAGATCAGTAACACAATATTAATGCAGGGAAGGGTGGGTGAGTGGATGAGGTATGTCTGGAAGTGGTACGTGTGATTGCATGGGGGGGAGGGGGTAAGTTAGGTAGGCAGGCACATCGATTGGCTGATAAATTGGTTGGATAAATTGGTTGGATGGGCATGTATATACGTGGATAGTAAAGCATGATGATTGTGGTGAGTGGCTAAGCAGGAATGATGTTGAATGATGTACCTTTGATGCCTTGGCTAAATTTTCCAAGTCTTTCCATCTTCTTCGTTCTCTTGCGCTTGATTTCCTGAGGAATGGCTTCGAAGTCTCACCCTGAGGAACTTGTGACGGATCATCGACAGGCACAAACTGGCTTTCAGACTCTAGTTGTGACGTGTTGCTTGGAGGCCGCTAAAGAAACATAATTCATAAACAAATGGCATGCTATAGTATGATCATAATCTCGCTGATATATTACGACACTCGCTTACAGCATGATTTTCAAACGACTTTCGATTTTCTTTGTCTTTGAACGATTCTAAACGTTTCTGCTGCTCCTGAAGCAAGGATTTCTGTTGCAGATCAAGTGTACTGGGAGACGTTGCGGGTTCTGGATACTGATTCAGAAAATCGCCATGAAGAGAACTGTTATCTGAAGTGGACAAAATTTGATGATTGAAACACTTGTTTTTGTACGCAGTTTTGAAGATTGACGAGTGTTGTTGAGACTGTTCGTCTTACCTTCATATTTTAGCTTATTGAATTCGTTTATAGCTCCAGTAGTCTGCAAGAAAAATAGAGAAAAACAAGATGCTTGATTTTAGCTTGGGATAAAAAAATTGTCGTTCAAGTAAAGATGGCGTCTATGTTTACCTGCGCATCTTGATACTTTTGAGCAATATTTGGCTGTCTTCGAAAGACATTATCAAAAACATCTGCCGCTTTCTTGTTCCTGGATTAAGAAAGGAAAGAATCAAGAAGTTTGACGGGGGGAATGACGAAGTATTATGTGGTTTTGTAACACCATGTAGTACCTTCGAGTTCCACTGTTCTCGCGTAGTTTGACGTATTTCTCCTTGAAAAACACAAAGGAGGTATGTTGAAGAGGAATGTCCAAAACAAATGTAGCTGTTGCATTGTAATTCCGGTCATCTTCTCAAAATTACCTTGTTTTCTGATAGTTGTTGTTGGACCTTAACCTCTTCCTTTTTCAACTGTCGTCTTAGTGACGTCAGTTGGCTCAAAACATCGATGTCAGCGGTTGCTGACGAAGGCCGGGAACGACGACCTGGAAGACACAAAATATACAGAGAGGTAACCCGAGATGAAGAAGTAATAAATAGGGCCTAAGTGCTGTGTAAGAAGCTAGAAATTGACTGGGAATAAATTGATTAAAATTGCCAAACGAGCTACTAAGGTTGTTCATACTAGGAGGATACGGTGGCAAACAGGACGGACGGAAATCGTATCAGGCTGAGCGGAGCTAAGGAAACGTACCTTGACGGTCATCTTGTTTCAAGGTTTGATGTGCTGAAGGTGGAGTCTCGGGTCTCCGGTGATCACGTCTAGAACTTGATGGCGGTCTAGACGACTGTTTATTAAACGATGATTGCCGTTGGAGATTGGAACTGAATTCCCCTGGTTTTTCTGCTGTCTATACAAGATGAAGTAAAATTTGTTTTCCTGTGAAACTGACATGTTATAACAGCTCATTATGGCTTCTTTCCGAGCAGATAACTACAGTACTTCCAGCGTTAGGATCACAATGAACAAAATATAACCAGAGTTTCGTCGTTCCAATCAAAAGCTGTATTTAGAACGTATATTTACAATGATCAATTTAACGGGGACATGTGTAACACTTACTCCATTCTGCAGCGTCGGGATGGGTGGCGAGTCTGATCTTTGCCTGTTCTGGAGTGTTGGTATTGGCGGTGATGGAGGTGACCTTTGAACCTTATTAAAAACGGAATCTCAGTTTTACACGAGTGGTTTGGATCGGGTATTACTGACTGAAGAAATTATCGCCGTACCTCGCTTTGCTTCTGCAACGTCGGAATAGGAGGGGAACTTGATCTCACCGCATTCTGAGCACTGGGAAGTGGTGGAGATCCTGAACGATTAGTCTTCTGGTGGAAGAAAATGAATATGATTTGTGGAAGCATTTTGTCACATGCAAAGCTTTGTGGAAGTAATGTTTTTCTCAGGAAAATTATAGAAGCATCAAAAGTTGTGGAAGTATCGTGGAAATTTGTGAAAGTATGTACCCTTCACATTCGGTCATATGCAAAACGATTACCTAAATCAGGGTTCCTGGGCACTTCATGCAAAAGACGTTCAACTTACGTTAGCCTTGGCTGCCTTCAATCGTTCTTCCAGTTGCTTATGCAACTTTTCCTCCTGTTTTCGATCTTCCTCTAATCTTCTTCTTTCCGTCTCCTTTTTCTTTTCCTCGGCAGCTTTTCTCATCTCTTCGTTCTTCAGACGAGCCTAATCAAAGATTTTACACATTCAATTTCAAGCACATTCGTCATGCAGACAAAACAAAACAAACATCTTCAATTTCATTCGAGTAGGGAGGTATATTGTACAAGCAATGCCCCGTGAAACCTGTGTGTTTACGACAATATTTGACAGTTTTAAATGAGAGTTTTCAAAATAGTTGAATGATAGATTTTGCTCCGACATTTGCACATGTTTAATATACAATCAACGGAACCTACTGCTTCCTCTTTTTGTTTCGCTGCCTCCAGTTCTTTCTCGTATTCTTCCTTTAATTTCCTCTGCTGTTCTTGAATAATTTTATCCTAAATTTATAAAAGAAATGTAATCGAATGTAATACTGAGAGTGGATGAGTGTGGATAATAAGAGTGGACAAATGTGGATAAGAGTGGACGAATGTGGATAAGAGTGGATGAACGTGGATGAGAGTGAATGAGTGTAGATAAGAGAGGGTGAAAGTGGATGGGAGAGGATGCTGGTTGATCTAATCTAATCTTCACCATCTATCATCTTGTATCAACTATCATCCTTGTTTTACCTGTCGTTCCTCTGCTTCTCGAAGACGTTCCTCTTCCTCTTTCTTCTTTCGTTGTTTTTCCTCAACCTACAAACACCAGGATTATTTTTTCATTCACCGCATACGAAACTCACCATAAGAACGCTGTCAAAATAACTCACCTGCTGTCTCAAGTAATCCTTGTATTCTTGTTGCGCGTTCTTCTGCACGTCATTCTGAATACAGAAAATAAAATATTTATTAGCACACGAGATTTCGCGATATTTAGATCAACAAGAAATGTCAGTGATTACGTTACGACTTAAAAAAACCTTCGCAAAAACTCACGTTTTCCATTTGCATTGAAGAGGGTTGAAACTGGTCTACCTTTGTTGCAGGGCTAACCGCTGTAAACAACACGTTAAAATTAAATAAAAGAAATTAAAAAGGGCAGAATGCCAGAAAAGAATCTTGCTGATACTTGCAGAACTGGGCAATGAGATTGACACTACCAACTGGAGTGATATTGCTCAGGTCATAATAATCTTACCTTCCGTTTTTATTTCACTGGAAGTGTTAAAGGTTTCTTTAACGAGGGAGGGTTCGAGAGACTTCCCACGATCCCTAGGACTGATAATCGTTCCTTCTTTATTGTACTGATGCATCTGACGAAGGTCGGCTGAAAAGAAGATAGACTGAGGTTAGTTTGAGCTACATACTGGGTGTAATTTTCTACATTTTAGGGCGAGGAAGAGAGGAGAGCGGGGGGGGGTCTATACTTACACACTCCGTCTACACTTACACACTAATCGTCCAGTTTGATCTTTCAACGGCGCTCCGCCGCCAGCCTTGCCCCAGGGATTATACTCTTCCAACTCTCGTTCGAGTTTCATGTTATATCTAAGCCACACGAAGAGGGAAGATTATAAAAGCTTGTTATAATTTATACAAGATGAACAACCACTAGCACGAGTAACTTCTCATTCAAATGATTATTTCGTTCCACCTTTCAACTTCCGCTTTGTCCTTCTTTTTTCTCTCTTCTTTTTCCATCATCTAAAGTCAACATCAAATTTTGAAAATGGTTGCACTAGCCTTGAGATACTTCAATAAATTTACATGACATGATTCTGTTTTTATTTCTCTAATCAGGACAGAGATACTAGTCTCCTAACATTCTTGATAGCGATACGCAGGTCGTAAACAAACCTGTCTTGTCAATTCCTCCCGATATGACTGCTGCCTGCTTCTGTCCTTTTCTTTCGCACCATCACTTTGAGATAAAGTGCTGCCAAAACTTCCAAACCCTGTGTTTGATAAACCTTTTTCCAAATGTCCATTACTTTGATTAAGTCGTGACCTCATCCCAGGATCTCCCATTCCTCCTGTTTCCCCCAGACTGGTCACCAGTCCAGTGGTACGCTGTCCGAGTCCAGCGTTGTCGGCTACCCAGCTTGGCTGGTACATGCCTACTGGTTCTGTAAAAAGAGTTCAGTGTAAAACTATATGTTTATGGAAGTTTAAGATGAATATGGAGAGGTGTCTGGTGAACATGGAGAACAACTGGTAAATATGAAAACGAATATAACAATGAAGTTGTAACACAGCAATGTTTCTTACCACGAAGAGAACTGGAATACCCGCCTAACAAACCAGAAGACGGGTTGAGGGAAGACAGGAGCGGACCTGTGGACAATAAACTCGAAGGGTAGTTTAATGGTTGATTCAGATGTGAGTAATTGTACGGCTGATCGTAAGCCATCTGATTGGGACGATTGTTGGTCTGTTGAAGAGTTGGTTCGTATCTCCGACTGGCGAGATCTGGCGGTGCTTGAAATGGTTGGTCAGCTCTGGGATGGTCATTTCTTGGAAATGATGGTTGATGTCTACGAGGACTTGCCTCTCCGTTAGGCTGCAGAGAATCAATGCACAAGCTACATAAATATACAATATTTACACACCTATACAAACTTAGAACATCCTATTTTTCAAACCAAAACATTTTCCCTTACCAAAGAATTTAATCCAAGATCTTGCTTCCTAGAATCATCTACAAACATGTGGTTTTTCTCCCTGGACAAAACAAAAAGCGTCAATACACCAGCACACCCTAACCAACTCATGTTTTCTCGCCTCTAATGTCCTCCATACCGTTTCTTCTGCATTTCCCTTTCCTTCATTTGAGCTTGAAGTTCCTCGCGATATTTCGTCTGCCGTTGCTGCTTCACCTCAGGACTCATGTCGTGCTCTGGAAAACCAGAAAAGTAATCAAGAATTCAGCAATGGAGGACATAACGATTAGATCACGGAAAATCTAACCAGGACAGGGCAAAAACACAGGTTTAAACGTCGTTAAATATTTCACCTCCAAAGATGGGTACAGCTTGTTTGGCGGGTGCCGCTGTGGGTGGGGCTGACCTGGACATTCTGTCGTCCGGAACAACTTGTCTTCTACCACGTGATCTTTCTTGGAAATCTTCCAAAGTTCTCGAGTCTTGGAATTCTGTATTAGTGTATCTCCTTCCACCCGCTAAACCATCCGAGACTTGGTCAGGATGATCCCATTTTCGCCTTGTGCCGTTCTCTAGCCAGGGTCTAGAAATTGATGGTAAAATACCATTTATTAACAAGGAATACAACTCAATTTTTAACATCACACAACATTGATATATAGTCTTAATTTTGGGATACGTACTCTCTCGGAGTTTTACGTGGAGTTTCATCGTTGAAACGAACATGTCTGGAAGAAAGAATAGTCGTGGAATTGAGAAATGAAATTGGCAACAGTTTGCATGAGAAATTGTTATCTTAAACTGATAACTAATATGCTTGTTGTAGGGCAATAAAAAAAACTAATGAATGCTTTCAGATATATCCTAGGATTTAAAAAACATTTTGCTAACAATAGCATGTAGTATATAGAATGGATTTACCTTGAATCTAGGTAAGGATCGTCCATACCACTCCTATAATAAAGAAATGCAGTACAATCTATTGGCAGGTTTGTAAACGTTATTGCATTTCAGAGTTAAAACTCTTTGAATGCAGAATTTGAATTATTTGAGAGGACATCATTTTATACCTGTATCTTCTTTCATCTTGTCGTTTTCTTTCAAGAAGTTCTTCGTAAGCATCATACAATTCATCCAACGTTTTCTGAGGACGGGCGGCGGCTGCAGTTGAGAGTTTGACAGAATATTAGCATGAGCAGCGGCAGTAGGAGGGGCTAGGATCTGAGTCACAAAACCTCTGTCCCCACCTATAGTATTGCATTGCCTCACAAGACATTCATCTTTTCACACTAAATTGCATTAAAATATACCTCTCCATCTATTTTGTGGCTCTGGTGCATCATCCAATGGTCTTCTCTAACAAAAAAGAATAATAATTCATTTAGAAATAACCTTTACAAGACCATTGAAGGGATAAATGAAGACAGATTCTACTGCAGATGACTATACTGACTCTAGCTGTAACTATCATATGCAACTTAAAGTGCTCATATTAAATCTTACCTGTGAACCATAGGCATCACCATTCATTAAGGAAGAGTTAGATTTGCCCTGGTTAGCTCTGGGTGATGCATAATCCTGTTTTAATGCACTTTTCATTGATGGCTGCAAGTTTAAATTGACATCTATCATGCATGACAGCAAATTTGACACAGTATGCTAAAAACATATAGTACCGGTACAAACCTTCTCCACTGGGATATCTCTGGGGGATTTTTTGCCAATAGTCCTGTAACTTTTCTAAAGATCAAGCAATAATACATCACACAATTACATCTAAGAAAGCAAAGATTTTTCAATTTAATTATGCATTACCTCCGCCAAGAATTTTTTGTACTCTTCAGCTCTCTCTTTTCTTAATTTCTCTTGTACATTCTCATATGAGCCCAACTCCAGAACACTGGGAGATGATTTTGTTTCTTTTGGGGCTAAATAAATAAATTTCTTTAATAGCACTGTTTCATAATGATGTCAAATGTGGAACGCACATAATAGAAATAGTGACCCACCTTTGGGTTGTTCCTGTCTTATCACACTAAACATACAAAATACTATATCAGAATTTGGAAATAAAACCATGGATTGGCAAATCATATTAAATTATTCTCACTTGGTTATATTGTCTTGTTGTGTTTTGCGATCTTTATAACTTACTGGCATAACCTTCGAGTGAAAAACAAAGAAAATGGATGAGATTTTAGACCTTGAGGGCAAAGATTGTAATTGCCAGAGTTTGAACTACTTGGAAAAACTTAAAAAGTTCAAAAGCCCATTTCTAGGGGAATTCTAGCGCGAATTTATAACACAACGTTCATAATCAACCAGGTACAGTAATTTACGTATATAATAATATATAATCGCTATTTTCACTCACATTTTGATGACCAATATTTGGTTCACTCAAGCCAGAACGTTCTTGTTCAATCCTTCTCTTTTGTGCAGCAATAAAACTTTGTATATCATCAACGTCTGTCATATTTGAGTGTTGGTAAACAGCTGTAGAAATGATATACACACTTCAATGACTCTTACCACGGTCAAATCACGTAAATCAAACCAGATGGCATTAAAATATTTCGTGCTAGTTTTAGCCACAATACTAACTTCCAATACAGGAAATCCACTAAATCCAATACATGGCAATAATTCAAAATACTTTGACGTTTTGATACAATAATGTACAGAATTTATCCTTCAGGTAATCCAAATCGTCCAAGTTTCTCGTTTTCTTTACATCATCAAAACTTCCTATAGCCCGGAGATCGATCTGCTTTAAATCTCGACGTGTTAGACAATATGTTTTTGTTCTTTGGGCCAGTATTTATCCACGAAAATGCCGAAAAAAACACAATCGAAATCCAATATAAATATATTTGATTTATCCGACATATTGTTTTGTTGTTCGTAGTAACAAGTCGCGCAAAGGTTCATGGGAATGCCCCGAGGCACGAGTCAGGAGCTCTGGTATCATTGTTAGATCAGTATCCGAATTTGACTGGACTGCGATTCGCTAAACATGCTAATCATGCATTGAAGCGTTGAGGTACTGAACGCTTGGTCAGTTGCTTGAGAAGTACATGTTAAAGGTTTATTGAAAAATAAAACTTATCAAACTTCAAAATTAAATTTCAATTCATTTTTCATTTTACATTAAAAAAAAATAATTCAAATTTTCATTGAGAATTTCTGCGCAGCAATTCTGTTATGCTTCATGGTCTAATAAAGTCTAGTGTGGCATTAACATTTTTAGCAGGCTGGTTGGTTTGGCAAAAAAACGATAGCAGCAGGTCAATTATTTATTTATACACGAGACTTACTGAGCTATAATATATAAAAAACTCGTGTCGTGTTTGGTGAATTTATATTGGACATTGATAATGATAGCAAATAAAGTTTATCTTGCTTTTGTGGTCTTCGGTATCCATTATTTTATCGTACAAGCAGGTAGAGTCGTTAATAGTTGCTGTGAATATTTAATTGTCCAAAAGGCGTTTAATATATGTTAACTGGTCCCAGACATATATCTTCAGGGATCTGATTGTGTTAGCTTCAAATTTCTTTTATGCGAATTTTCAGTTCCAAAGGGAAGACATGGGTTGCTTCACAAGAAAACGCAGGGTAGGTAATATGCCTTATACGCTGCTCAAATCCACTTCGCTATCGAATAAAACCAGACTTCAAATCAAGCTATCCAGTGTTGCTTTTAGTATATAAACATGTAAATCTATTTTAAAATGCTAACATCGTTATCAATCATATTTCCCAAACAGTTTTGGGTGGAAAAGCTACTAAAAGATTTAATAACTTTCATGCAACGCAAAACATTGACGGTGAGTGCATCTTGATACATTATAAAGTAAATAAACAAGTTAAAAGCAGAATTCTGTAAGGAGATCTAACTCCAATGCATGCAATGCTGTCGGAACATTTCTCATACATTGGGACTTAGTATGTCCTGGATGTTTCCCTATCTTTTATTTTAGCTTTTTTATTGCAGTTCCGGTTGATTATATGCCAGGTAACCGGACAACCTAATTACGCTTTTTTTGTTGACCCTCTTAGATTTAGTGCGAAATCCGTCAGCCCTGAATCGTGATGAACTGAATGAAATCAACAAATTGGACAATATGAACGACATGTTCATGAATCCGGAAGTCAGCTCTGAAACTCGTGTGTATTCACTATAATTTTGTTATTTACATGAGATGATCTTATTCCGCCATCACAGTAATCTTAGGAACTGAATCTCTCTTTTTTTTAAACAGAGGACCTCGCACGTCAAGGTCTGGACCCTAGTGTTGCGATGCAGATTTCGAAGATCGATCACAATTTAGGCGACATTTTGGGCCCCAAACGGGCGAATCAAGCGGCAGCAAATATTCCAGGAAAGCAAAAGGGCGAAATATTAGCCGGGTATGGTGAACAATACAATCTTGATGGAAGCGTGAGTATGACCAACAATGAATGGCCAGAATATCAATTGAAAGACAGCCCACCTGTCATAAACACGCCCCGTGAAGGACTCAACAGCATGTTGCCAGGCAACGGTAACGTCAACGGACTCCAGCCAATGGGAGGCGGCGATTCCCCACAAGTCTCTCCTCAGGCTGCGCTCAATCCGAATCTCTTACCCGGTCAGAAAAGTGACTTAGGGATGGGAATGGGAGTTGGAATGGATAAGCAACCTCTGGCTCCAATGATGCAGAAGTTTGTGTCCGACGTTGCGAATGGAAAATCGTTGAACAAGCATCTTCTCAACGCGCCGTTTGAAAAACCAGGTATTAGAAATGCTGGTTTTCGCATCCCAGGGGAGTTCTCGTTTAAGGGTGAAAGAAAATCTGACCAGGGTTCACAGGAAGAAGAAAATCAGTTTGTTAAGAACTTTATGAGCTCAAAGAAAAGCCATACAGCACGGAGGAAAACTGCAAAGAAAACAAGACAGTAAAAATATCTTTGTAAGACTGCGAACAAGAAGAAGAGTCCCGTTGCTTGAAATTGAGGATAGATACGGTAATATAAAAAGACAAAGAGGATAGTGATTACTTCGGCTTTGTGAAAGTGCTTTTAAAGCAGCATAAATCATGGATATGGACCACACAGGATGTATACAGAACAACATTATATGTAAATTCTAATAAAACTTCAAAATTAAGTTAAAAATCTTATTGCTTGTCCTGTGCGAATTCTTCATTTCCACGACAGTCGAGTGGCAACTAGACACTATCATCGCCCTTTAGTCGATTGTTTAAGCCTTTGTTTTGTCTGATAAGTTTATGCCTTCTTAATTTGCATTATTTTGGCATGCGCAAAGTATTCTCGCAAACTGACTACAAGCAAACTGGATCTTTTTTACCAATTAACAAGATCCAATTCCAAACTTTACAAGGCCAAGTTTTGTTGTGAAAACCCCCGGTGTTGGCTCACCGAGAACTCATCCAACACTGTGTTGTAAGTATACTACAGCACTAAGAATCTAATTTTGTTTCTTCTGATGGTGAACAGTTTGGAATCGTTTTGCGATGCTTCCGTACAGATCGTCTGAAGATTTTCCTGTGGGATCCAGCACATTAGCGCGAAGCTTGCTGGGGATGTTTCCAGGGGGATTGTACAGAGCCACGACGTATACTTCGTTTTTCGTAGGACTTTTGCAACATCCCATTCCAAGCTCGGAGACATCTTTCCACACGACCTACCAAAGAAGATAGAATAGTAGTTCGTAGGATGTGGCTGAATTTCGATCTCAGGTTATGCATGAGGCGTGCACCGAATGACGACGTTCATCTCAGACCGGCTCTCAGTTCAGTGTATTTGTCTGATTTCATAACCGTTAATTATCGAGAGTTTGAACATAAGCATATCAAATATAAAATTACCATTTATTGGGAGAAAAGTTGCAAGAGTTCTTGGTATAACTGAGATAAAGACAGTCAGACCATAGACAACCCGGGCAATTCGGTTACGTCATACTATCTTTATGTGGGTCTATAAGATAGCATGACATAACCGTATTGACCTGACTGCCCATGGTCAGACCGTACGTGAGACACAACATCTTGTTATTAAATGATTGCTGTACCTGAGTAAACGTGTCTGTATCAGAGTCAAGGCTCGGGGCAGCGAAACTGTATCCCTTTACTTGATTATACCACAATTTCACTGCTTCTTCGTACGCACTATCACAACTGGCAGAACTGGTTGAACTTGGGTCTATAGTTGAAGAGAATAAGAAATCAGACATACGCCTGATAGAGATCTCCCACTCAATGAGGTGGGGGTATAAGTATGTAGTTGAATACAAGCGATAGTGGTTTATAAATGATATATCATGATTACACAGCTCTTGATAACTCGACAAGCAAATACCTGAAATTCGAGCGACATTTTCACCAAATTTGGTGACTGATTTAACAAGAGCGACGTCTAATGTTCCTTTTGTTGCCATGTCTGTCGCCATCTTTTCAGCGCGTTCCGCCATGTCGGTGTTCCATATCAACGGAGCCACATGATGCTTCTTACGAAATGCATTGTGAATAAGAAGGCCTCGACTGCTGCCTAAGTGAATTTAAAGATCACAGACTATATCACCGCTTCGAAACGTTGAACATTAGCACAAAAATTGCACCAGGGTTGCCACAAAGTTTTAGTCTTATTTCCTGAGATTCTGTTGTAAGAAATCTTGCAAATCATGCAAGAGTTGACACTCACCATCACCGTGTGCAAAGACAAAAAGTCCACACATAACGAGACATGCCCAAGCGCAGTTGAAATACCCTAGCATGGTGAATTCCACCAGTCTATACGTTGCGGTTTAAAAAGTGAAAGAAAATATGAACGATACAGTAGTAAACATAACCATAATACTTAGGCAATTCTTAATATTTTTCTCAGTAGCTAATGACTCACTATGTTTGAAACGGATTGACATTTTTTAGTTGTGAAGAGTTGCACGTACTGAGAGTCTAATAAATTGTTGAAGTCATATATTCGATTTGGCCTTGTTTAACCATTTAGATTCTTAATTGAAGGAAATTGACAAATCGAGAAAAAACAGAGAAAAGAGGTGAAGATACGCAAATAGTCGATGCTAAATATGTAATATTATAAAACCAAACTGAAACTAAACGTTTGCAAAGTTGAAACACAAATTACCAGGTTCATACCTCGGTCCGTCTTGTCACTGGTTCAAACTTCACAATTTAACGATAAATAAAATAGAAATAAAAGGTTTTAAAAGGTATCTATACTTTTCTCATTTAGCGATTAATATTTACCTTTTTATTGGTAAATAATCATTTAGGTTTGTTCAGGTCGAGTTCACAAAGTCATTGAACCGGGTACAAGCAGTCACTCTAAACAGGTGGCATGTTCCCTGCTATGAACAAGCAGTTTGTAGAGTGATGGCTTTAAGACACATTCAAATGAAGTATGGAGAAGGAAGTAGAGGGTGGAATGATTGAAAAGAATCTTTGAAGATGTTTCCGGGAGTGACTTGTCGGCGATGAAATTGAAGTGATTTTGAAATCACGTCTTTGATGGATTCTGAAAGTGTTTGATGTATTTTATTCTAAAGCTTTGTTTCAACCCGAATTCTGGTTCCGAAAGGCCTGATTTGTGGGGTAACAGTGCGCGTAAAGCAGGCGAAGACCGCAAGTAACCACAATGACGCACAGTCACTCACTGATGTATTTCTAATACCTGGCAAAAGGCACTTTCGAGAAGTCATGCGGCGTGGCTATAATCCCGTGCGTCAGAGCCAATCTACTCGAATTTCGTGAACAGCATCCACGCAGGATGCCGTGGGGTGGGGTAGTTTAATCGCATTGTGACGAAAAATGGGATGCCTTTAAAAAACATGTGACTTGAGCAAGTCAGGACAGATTGCAGTGATCCGGTGTCACAACAACAAGCTTAGATTCGCTTGAAGCTGCACAGAATACTTCTATACAGAACAATAATGATATCACTTGGCTTATTCTTCGTTTTCTGTGTCCTTGGGACACAAGGCGCAGCGGTGAAAAATGCAAAGGTTCCTTGCAGTGAATTGTACAACTTGTATTCTCTGTCTGAGAATTTCAACGAGACTGTGGCACATACTATTCACTCGATGACAGTTCAAGGACTACGTATGTTCAATCCTCGAGCAACTAAAGAGAACAATGTTCCTACAGTTAATCACGACATCAGCGATGAGGTAATATTAACAATAAAATAAAAGAGTTAAAATCAGTCACATTTTGTCCGAAAAAACTTAATGTAACAATAACATCGATTCGCAACAGTTCTCGATCCGTTGTTCTGACTTGTTCATGTATTTTTTGAACGTGGTATTAGAAAAGACATGGCAACAGGCCACCTTTATAAAGATATATATCTCAGTACTCGTGAATGGTGTATAACTATAGCTTAGGCAATGACTTCGGGATGATATCTGTAATCATGTTCAATAAATTTTAATGCCATCTATCACAGTTTTAAAATCTAAGTGATATTTAAGTGATATCTTAAAACCTGATTGATAGTGCTTGTATTAAATAATCCTGACTACAATCGTAGGAAAATATCCTGGGATTTCACAAGACGCAAGACCAAATATTTGTTTAAACTATGCAATCAATCCGCATGGTTTTTATTTTGATTGAATCAAAGTTACATAGTTTTAATAAAGGAACAGTTTTTCCTGCTGTGTGCAGTATTCGTTTTATTTTACTGTTTAGAGTCGTTTAGTTCTGCCTTATGCACCTGACGATCACACGTCCGGAGATTTCACCACAAATACGATGAACATAATCGACGCAATCTTATCGCGCATTGGTAAAGACGATGACGGACTGGGACCGAACTGGTCATCGACCGAGCGGATTGTGCACAAGTTTCATATGTATGACGTATGGTCACGTGTGCTGATATCGTATAAGGAAACGGTTGAGAAAGACCCTCCACGGGTAAACCTAATGAAATACAATAAAACTATTGTCTAGCGTAAGAACAATGCTCGCTTGTTTTCCCAAACTCGCAAACCTGATTGGATGTTTTCAAGTGCTTTGTAAACATATTGTTTCCTGGTTTGACCATCTTTGGAATGAAGGACGAAGAATTTATTTAGGCCTACCCACTTACTGAAACGTCTAACAAAAACAATATTTTCTGGAAAAATGTTCTTTCTGACCAAATCATTTTAAAATTTTAGGATGCGTTGTGTGATTGTCTTTTGAATTCTGCCGAGAATGGTATCTACGACGCTGTTCACTGGGTTGCACAACACTACAAGTCCGGCACACCAATCACACTTCTCAATCGACCCATCCCAAAACTGAAAGATGCGAAGTCCTGGGGAATCTGGAAGAAACGTCTCCTTCATTACTACACTCGCCCGGCGTTGCATGATGCTAGCTTGTACTTGCATTGTGCGACAAAGGATTTCTGATCCCTGAACTTCCACGTTACTCAGGTGGTCTATTTGATATGATAATGTAATTTTTATTAAGTGAGAATATTGCTCTATAGATATAGATATGGTATTAAATGTTTAAAATCTCTGATTATTCATTCAAATATATTTTTGTTGCATCGTAGACATGATTGACAATTGTTGTAGTTCAACTTCAGGTATTCTCTCAATACGCAATTACACCTGAACGTTTTTTAAATAGTTTTATTTATTCCTGTTGTTCCTTCGATGTATTGTTCAGTCCGATGACACCTTTGTTTGTAGCTATACATCACTGGGAATATTTTCATCACTCGCCAGGAATCTGTTCATATTGCAATTGAGCGTCTCCGGCCTGTGCGTTTCTTGTCGACTTCCACAGATTAACGACAAACAACACCAGCATAACCACAATGCAACATAACACAACCACACAATTCATAGAAACAATCAACCAAACGAGCGAATTGTTAAATTTCGGGGAAACTCGCAACAAAGCGAGGCCGACAAACGAGAGCAACAAAACGATAGACACAACTACATCAGCCATCGTTTCAAACTCAAATCTATCGAAATACTGTTGATATGGTCGGAAAACCAGAATTATAACTATGAAGATGATCAGAAGGAATGTTATACCGATAACCTGGTATGCTGACCTGGTTGGTACAACTGTTAGAAACACTGCAAGGAGAAGACGCCTAGCTAGAAACACCAGTGGAAAGAAACGACGATAACGTGTTTTGAATTCTGTATATAAAGGTTTCAACCACTTATCCGTATCTTCAGAGACAGCTTTGCCATTGTTGTTCATAAATTTGTAAAGCAATGGTAAGAAAACGAACAAAGGTACTCCGATAACAAAAAGTAATAACGAAACATACCCTAAAGTTACCAGCCAGTTGTATGAAGTACCATCACAGTCCAACCATGGCGTGGCCTTAAGATAAGATAGACCATCGCGATGCTCACAGGGTGAAACCGCTTGGAGAGTTTTCGCAGTGATGGGAAAATACACGAACAAGAGAATTTGAATGCTCAACCGTTTACAAAAGGTACTCGGGATGTTTCGGTGTTGATAACAAATTGTTTTTCCTAAGCCATGCAACAACCATATAAGCAAAATGGCTCCAGCTGGCAACAATAATATTATTAAAATTCTAATTTCTGGGCGCTTCGCATCAGAAAAACTACAAGTAAGTTCTGATAACTCAATATTGAAGGCATTCGTTATTTGGTATTTTAGTAGGACAATTGTTTGTGGCCAAACATTAGCGTCAGCAAACATGGCGTCTAATGATTGAAAGAAGAAGACGGCGATACAGAGAAAGCTTTCTAAATTTTTGCTCGCTCCTGAAAGACCTAAGATCCACACGGCAAAAATGATCACAAAGAACCAGTTTGGTATTATGTACTTGATGTGTAAAACTATGAGAATTAATGCAAGCAGAAACATGAGAACAAGAGCAAACCTTTTTCCACGCCTGAAACAAACTAACAATACAATAGAACCGATTAAACAAACCACGAAGGAAACAGTCGTTACAACTGGGAAATTTTTACGGAATTCGGGACAAGAAACACACAATGACCCTTTCTTAAAATAACCATTCTTGCACTGGGAACAGAATCGTCCCTTGTTGCCATAACGACATATACATGACGTATTACAGGAGGTTTGTGGCTGACTATTTACTAATTGTACCTCACATTCGCATTTTCCAGACGGACTGCAGGCTTCGTCAGCAAAACCTTCATCTTCGCTGCACTTCACCATTCGGGTGACATTAGTGAAATTTCCACAACACGGCCAGTATCCTTTCTGTATGGTCATCTTAACTATCATTTGTTGCGTTGGCACATCAACAGGTGGTTGTTGGCAAGACGCACCTTTCATACAGGGCTTGCAATATTCTCTGAATCCATAATATCCACTGTTGCAAAAACAATATGAATAACCATAATAAGCCGGATCCATATCTACCCTCCCCCCTGTTCTAGACATTCTAAATGTGGAACAGCTGTATGTAGTCATTTTCAACCTTTCAGTTTGTGAGACATCTAAGTGGGAGTATTGAAAGGGGTATTTGCTTTTCAAATATCTATTTCCACGAATATCCAAGTACTTCAAAGCTGTTAATAAAGCAAAAAAATCTCTAGGTAATCCGCCCGTTAAGTTATTTGACGCAAAAGTCACAAAAAATGGATTCGCCCTGCCAGAAAACGGTATTTTGCCAGTTAAATTATTTTGACTTAAGTCGAGGTAGATAATTTGGGAGAAGTCCCAAATTTGGCTGGTATACAAATTACCATTTAGTCCACAATCATTAGCGGCCAACGTGCGAAGGTTATATTTGCACGGTTGTAATGCTTGCAGTAGTAGATTACCCTCAACTGACAGATGGACGTTTCCACTGATGATCAGTGTCTGGAGCTGTTTGCTGAAAGTCATATTTTCCGCAAAACCTGTGAAATTATTGTTGGATAAGTCAAGGACAGTGAGTGTTTCGAGTTTTCCGAGTGCAGTCGGCAGCAGTCCCTGCAAGTGATTCCTACCTAGGGTAAGCCGAGTTATCATTTTAAAACCAAGGAAACAAGAACGAAGTTCACCAACTAAATTGTTTCCGTAAAGATGTAACTCAATTATATCCGGATGTGTTAACCCAAAGTCATGAGGCAGTGTTCCCTTCAATTCACAATCAGTCAGATGTAAATATTGCAGCCGAGTCATATTGTTAAAATACGAAAGATTTCCTGAAAGCAGTTTAGCATATTCCAAGTCTAGAAACCACAGTTTCGTTAAATTTCTGATGCTTCGCGGAAGGTCAACAGCTTTAAAGTCCGAATTTTCCCCGATACTTAAAACTTGAAGTTTGTTTAATCTACCGATATCATCTGGCAAAGCATAACCATTGAGCGAAGTAACCATGCAACAAATCTGCAACTTTTCAAGATTAGATAGTTGTAAGAGAATATCCCATCGAACTTCCCCATTAATGGCTGAAAAACTGACAGAGAGACGTCGAAGGCGGGTCATATTGCTCGATATTAACCCTTCAATCTGTCCTGTCATTCTTATATTACGCGACAAACAGAGCCCTTGTAAATTTCTAAACCTCCAAAAGTTTGGTGGTCTGCCATAAAGCCCGTTTGCAGTAAGTTCAATAGATTTAACATAAGCACTGTTGTTGTAGCATTCGACTCCGAACCAATCGCAATGATGTACAGTGCTGTTTTCACCCCATCCTTTCTTATTCCCCCAAGACCAAGAACCGCCGGTGGCATTAAACAGTTCTAACAGAAACAAGCGTTCCTGATCTGGTGTATTGGTGAAGTCGGTCACAGTATTGTTGGCTGTAAAATTGTGCAGGCAACCAGTGTCCAAGTCTCCAGCCTTGGTTAGGTACGAAAAATGAGAGATTCCTGGAAAAGCAAATAATCTCGTTAACGCTGAGTAACTCAGTTTTCTGGAAAGGGATGCCTCTCAGTATTAATTGCCAGGCTCGGATGAAATGTCTGTTAAAGTTTAAACGCGGAAAATTATGGATTTATACCGTTTCTTTGTTTGCAAATTTGCATCTTACTTTATTTTGTGACCAATTGAGCATATCGAGCATGCTGAGTTATAACGGGTAATTAGGTGAGAAGGACTCTGGATCTCAAATTATTTGGACTATATCGTCGTTAGCTAAGAATATGTATCAAGCTCATGACGCAGGTGGCACAAAGGTTCAGAGTCTTTCGCCTCCATTATAAAAGCTCACTGACGTGCGAGTAAAGATATACTGGCATACAAACTGCTACACAAGAACGCTCAGTAAGTCCACATGCAAGAAGACCATTCTATAAACATTTTAACGATAAAGGCAATACCTACCTAGTCCTAAACGATCTCCGATTTGTGGTAAGGCGAAGCCACATATCAAGAGCAGATTCACAATGAGTAGCGCCGTTAAAAACTTCATGATCAATTTCTTGTGACTAAGTTAATCGCCAGCTGAAAGCAGACTTTAGTTTACATTTACCCTGGGAAACCCCGATTATTACATCATGTACCTCATTTGCATTCCGGGAAATCCAATTAATAAGGATCATGTGATTTGATTTCTCTTTATTTTTGTACTCGGAGAATTCGAATCAGGTAGCATCCCGCAGCAACAATTATCCTTATCTTGTAGTGACCCGCCAGGTCATGCATGAGACCTCTTGAATTTCATGACTTTTTGTAGCAGGCCGGAGAAAGCTTAACTGTTGTAGGATCCATGTATGCATTGTCAGAAATTCTTCTGCAGACAAAACAGTTCATGATGCATCACTGAGACACTGACCACTGAAGAATGCACTGTGAAAATCAAAACATTCCAAAAGCGACAAAGCATTGCAAAAACACACATTACGACCTAAAGAAGAAACGTCTCTTGCATTACTATACACTCGCCCGGCGTTGCATGATGCTAGCTTGTACTTGCATTGCGCGACAAAGCATTTCTGATCCCTAAACTTCCACATTACTCCGATGGTCTATTTGATATGATAATGTAATTTTTATTAAGTGAGAATATTGCTCTATAGATATAGATATAGTATTAAATGTTTAAAATCTCTGATTATTCATTCAAATATATTTTTGTTGCATTGTAGACATGATTGACAATTGTTGTAGTTCAACTTCAGGTATTCTCTCAATACGCAATTACACCTGAACGTTTTTTAAATAGTCTTATTTATTCCTGTTGTTCCTTCTAACGATGTACTGTTCAGTCCGCTGACACCTTTGTTTGTAGCTATACATCACTGGGAATATTTTCATCACTCGCCAGGAATCTGTTCATATTGCAATTGAGCGTCTCCGGCCTGTGCGTTTCTTGTCGACTTCCACAGATTAACGACAAACAACACCAGCATAACCACAATGCAACATAACACAACCACACAATTCATAGAAACAATCAACCAAACGAGCGAATTGTTGAATTTCGGGGAAACTCGCAACAAGGCGAGGCCGACAAACGATAGCAATAAGACGATAGACACAACTACATCAGCCATCGTTTCAAACTCAAATCTATCGAAATACTGTTGATATGGTCGGAAAACCAGAATTATAACTATGAAGACGATCAGAAGCAATGTGATACCGATAACCTGGTATGCTGACCTGGTCGGTACAACTGTTAGAAACACTGCAAGGAGAAGACGCCTAGCTAGAAACACCAGTGGAAAGAAACGACGATAACGTGTTTTGAATTCTGTATATAAAGGTTTCAACCACTTATCCGTATCTTCAGAGACAGCTTCGCCATTGTTGTCCATAAATTTGTAAAGCAATGGCAAGAAAACGAACAAAGGTACTCCGATAACAAAAAGTACCAACGAAACATACCCTAAAGTTACCAGCCAGTTGTATGAAGTACCATCACAGTCCAACCATGGCGTAGCCTTAAGATATGATAGACCATCGCGATGCTCACAGGGTGAAACCGCTTGGAGAGTTTTCGCAGTGATGGGAAAATACACGAACAAGAGAATTTGAATGCTCAACCGTTTACAAAAGGTACTCGGGATGTTTCGGTTTTGAGAACAAATTGCTTTTCCTAAGCCATGCAAAAACCATATAAGAAAAATGGCTGCAGCTGGTAGCAATAATATTATTAAAATTCCGATTTCTGGGCGTTCCGCATCAGAAAAACTACAAGTAAGTTCTGTTAACTCAAAATTGAAGGCATTCGTGATTTGGTATTTTAGTAGGACAATTGTTTGTGGCCAAACATTAGCGTCAGCAAACATGGCGTCTAATGATTGAAAGAAAAAGACAGCGATACAGAGAAAGCCTTCTAAATTTTCGCTCGCTCCTGAAAGACCTAAGATCCACACAGCGAAAATGATCACAAAGAACCAGTTTGGTATTATGTACTTGATGTGTAAAACTATGAGAGTTAACGCAAGCAGAAACATGAGAACAAGAGCAAACCGTTTTCCACGCCTGAAACAAACCAACAATACAATAGAACCGATTAAACAAAGCACGAAGGAAACAGTCGTTACAACTGGGAAGTTTTTACGGAATTCGAGACAAGAAACACACAATGACCCTTTCTTAAAATAACCATGCTTGCACTGGGAACAGAATCGTCCCTTGTTGCCATAACGACATATACATGACGTATTACAGGAGGTTTGTGGCCGTCCATTTACTAATTGTACCTCACATTCGCATTTCCCAGAGGGACTGCAAGCTTCGTCAGTAAAACTTTCATCTTCGCTGCACTTCACCATTCGGGTGACATTAGTGTAATTTCCACAACACGGCCAGTATCCTTTCTGGATGGTCATCTTAACTATCATTTGTTGCGTTGGCACATCAACAGGTGGTTGTTGGCAAGACGCACCTTTCATGCAAGGCTTGCAATATCTCCTAAATCCATAATATCCACTGTTGTAAAAACAATATGAGTAACTATAATAAGCCGGATCCATATCCACTCTTCCCGCTGTGCTGGTTATTTTAAACGTCGGACAGCTGTATGTAGTCATTTTCAACCTTTCAGTTAGCGTGAAACCCAGGTACGTGTTGCTTGGAATAGTGGTCGTGCTTCTCATATATCGATTTCCACGAATATCCAAGTAGATGAGTGTTTTTAACGGAGAGAAAAAGCTTTTAGGAAGCCCCCCTGTGAAGTTGTTTGACGCTAAATTGAGGTAGAATAGGTAAGGAATACTATAAAATACAAGATCACTTTTTGGTACCTGGCCGGTTAAATTATTCTGACTTAAGTCAATATACATAATTTTCTGGAAGCTCCAAAGTAGTGATCCAGAAAGAGAACTTTTTAGTCCACATTCTTTAGCAAGTAACATGCGAAGGTTATCTTTGCACAGTTGTAGTGCTTGCAGTAGTTTTTCGCCTTCAACTGACAGATTGAAGTTTTGATAAATGAACAATGTCTGGAGCTGTTTGTTGAAAGTCATATTTTCAGCAAAGCCTGTGAAATTATTGTTTGATAAGTCGAGGACATTGAGTGTTTCGAGTTTTCCGAGTGCAGTCGGTAGCAGTCCCTGTAGGTGGTTCTTACCTAGGATAAGCTCAGTTATCTTCTTAAAACCGAGGAAACAAGAACGCAGTTCCCCAACTAAATTGTTGCCATGAAGGTGTAGTTCAATTATATCCGGATGTGTTAATCCAAAATCATGAGGCAGTGTTCCCTTTAGTCCACAATTAGTCAAATGTAAATATTGCAGTCGAGTCATATTGTTAAAATACGAAAGATTTCCTGAAAGCAGTTTAGCATATTCCAAGTCTAGGAACCACAGTTTCGTTAAATTCCTGATGCTTCGTGGAAGGTCAACAGCTTTAAAGTCCGAATTTTCCCCGATACTTAAAACTTGAAGTTTGTTTAATCTACCGATATTATGTGGCAAAGCAAAACCATTGAGCGAAGTAACCATGCAACAAATCTGCAACATTTCAAGATCAAGTAGTTGTGAGAGAATATCCCATCGTGCCCCGCCATGCATGCCTGAATAAGAAACAGCGAGACGACGAAGGCGAGTCATATTGCTTGATATTATTTCTCCCATCTGCCCTGTCATTCTTATATTACGCGACAAACAAAGCCCTTGTAGATTTCTAAATCTCCAAAAGTTTGGTGGTCTGCCATAAAGCCGGTTTGCAATAAGTGCAATAGTTTTAACATAAGCACTGTTGTTGTAGCATTCGACTCCGAACCAATCACAATGATGTACAGTGCTGTTTTCACTCCATCCTTTCTTATTTCCCCAAGACCAAGAACCGCCGGTGGCATGAAACAGTTCTAACAGAAACGAGCGTTCCTGATCTGGTGTATTGGTGAAGTCAGTCACAGTATTGTTGGCTGTAAAATTGTGCAGGCAATCAGCGTCCGCGTCTCCAGCCTTGGTTAGGTACGAAAAATGAGAGATTCCTGGAAAAGCAAATAATCTCGTTAACGCTGAGTAACTCAGTTTTCTGGAAAGGGATGCCTCTCAGTATTAATTGCCAGGCTCGGATGAAATGTCTGTTAAAGTTTAAACGCGGAAAATTATGGATTTATAGAGTTTCTTTGTTTGCAAATTTGCATCTTACTTTATTTTTGTGACCATTCAGCATATCGAGCATGCTGAGTTATAACGGGTCATGAGGTCAGAAGGACTCTAGATCTCAAATTATTTGGAATATATCGTCGTTAGCTAAGAGTATATACCAAGCTCATCAGGCAGGTGGCACCAAGGTTCAAAGTCTTTCGCCTCCATTATAAAAGCTCACTGACGTGCGAGTAAAGATATACTGGCATAGAAACTGCTACACAAGAACACTCAGCAAGTCCATATGCGAGAAGACCATTCTATAAACATTTTAACGATAAAGGCAATACCTACCTAGTCCTAAACGATCTCCGAGTTGTGGTAAGGCGAAGCCACATATCAAGAGCAGATTCACAATGAATAGCGCCGTTGAAAACTTCACCATGATCAATTTCTCGTGACTGAATTATTCGCCAGAAAGCAGACTTTGTCTTTGTTATCGTTTAATTAGTGGTTTAAAGGTATACTGGGAAACTCCGATTATTATAACATCATGTATCTCATTTGCATTCCGGGAAATCCAAATAATAAGAATCATGTAACTTGATTTCTTTCTTTTTGTACTCGGGGAGTTCGAATTAGGTAGCATCACGCAGTGACAATTATAAGATCTCTTGAATGTCATGACAGGCCGGGGAAAGCTCAACTGTTATAGGATCCATGTATGCATTGACCATAAATTCTTCTGCAGACGAAACAGTTCATGATGCATCACTAACCACTGAAGAATGCACTGTGAAATTCAAAACATGCCAAAAGCGACCAAAGCATTGCAAAAACACACATTACGACCTAATTTACAATGTTTAAAATCATTTTTATATAAACTAAAATATTTCCACTTGTAATTTTTACAATAATATTGCAGAAAATCTCAGCAGAGATTTATCATTTCTTAACATTCACGCTACCGCTCCGATATTCATAAATTGGTCGTTTCAAAACATTCTCTGATTTGTTCTAGAAGTTTTCCATTGAGCCATCCCTTCTCGTTCACAGGGATAAACTTCCTCTCCTCTTAAACATAACCTAATATTCCCAGAGATTTCAAAATGAAGCCGGTGAAAGAACCATGGTTTACAGAAGCCTACATCGTTTAGAAAGATACACAAATATCGCAAGACAATATTTAAAATGGAAATACGAATCCGAGGGAACGAGTTTCCATAAAATTTTCATTATCATTTTAATTATAAGTTTATTATAGTACTGGTTGTTTGCCGGCTTCATTTTTTTAAAACTACATTCGTTCCCAGTTTCAAGTTCTACGAGAGCGAGCTGCATCAACGACGTCAAAGAGATGCTTTCCATCGACAGCAAGGACATGCGCAGCAGATAACATTTCTTTCTTATAACTATCTTCTAGCGTTGTGTCAACGTATTTCTGCACCGTCTTAAGTGCAGTGATTAGATCAGCCATGTCCGCTGACAACACTTTGTGTGCCATCTCAACCTGGATATAAAGAAGGCGCATTGAAATGTCTGAAGTTTTAAAAATAGATTATAAATACTGTGCAGAAAAAATATAACCTTGAATGTGGTATATGCATGTTGTGTGGTATAGGATATGGATTTACATGGTATATGATGTACGGTGTTGAATATGGTATAGTTTATGAAAGATGCAGTACTGGTATAGTATATGGTATATGGTTGGTATATAGCAGGCTATATATATGGCGTATAATTAGGTATGGTACATGCTAAGGTGTATATGTACTAAAGTTTATAGAGATGTATATTGATATATTGTAATAAAACAAAGCTAAACGCACCTCTTTATGCGAAGATTGTGGTAGTAGCCTAACTTCGTTATCTACTTCGGATAACAACGACCTTAAGGCATTTCCAACCTCCTAAATTGCATAAAAACATTGAAAAAATCATACCAATTAAGCCACTGTGTTGCACACAAAGAACATAAAATCGCCACATTAAGTCTGGCACTCACCTTGACCAAGAGCACAAGAGCTGTCGAGTCTGCGAAGTTGGATTCTCGATTAAGTTGAATTACAGTTCTGACGACTTCCGTTGTGCATGCAAAAACCTTGTCCCCAGTCCTGTCAATATCCTCGGTCACCTCTTCCGCCTCCGGTGGCGTCGGTGGGGGCTTAAAAAGTTGGAACCAAGTTTACTTTGATTTGTTTCAGGGTGAAAATTAATCTCAATATAAACATCGATGAAACCAGGACGTTTAACTCGATATTATTGCGGTGTTCTTTAATTAAAAGAGTCTCAACGAAAATAGCTATTTATACGGAGGATTATTGGGTAAATACAGAAGAAAACTTATGAAGAAATAACTTCAACTTTATCAGTTATGAATGCCTCTTAGTATGTGTAGTAACTGGCTGTATTCCCAGATACATAGATTTCGATAGATCTAATGTCAATTTTCTAAACTGTTAGGTAAAGGATACAGGATAGAAATTTGAAACAATCTATACTCACAACGCAACCGAATCTCACTCTGTTTACCCAGAGATCACTACATTGAATTTAAAAAAACAAAGGTACTAAATCTTATTTCATACCGGTGGAAATTTGAACGCACTGTTATCTTCGATCGTCGCTGCTTGTGGGCTCATAGAAGGCGGTGACAAATGAACTGCAATGGCAAACACAACAGAGAACGAAGTCAGCGTGGTATTGGTTCAATGGCTGGGGAAAGTTTCATCAGAGACAAATGATATACATACATTCGTGGGATGTTGTCTTTCCTGTTTGGATAAATGATCCGGACCCCTCGGGGTTATACGATTCCAAAACATCGTGTTCTTCGTTTTCTGGGCACGCAGATGGCAGTTTCTAGGAAATAAAGATCGCGTAAAACTATAGAAGACGCCAGTCCATTTATAAACGTAGCTATCCAAACTGTGTGGCAATAATATTCTCTATTGTACATGGCATTCTGCATACAATCCCGTGTTGCTAACATCAAAACACAAGCCAGTGAAACGACATGGTTCATAATTACCGGCGAAATCAATCCGACAACATTTGATTTGCTTTCTTCCTCCTGAAGCCATCTTGAATCTTCTTCTGACTGTTTCTTCTGTTCCTCCAGTTTCTCTCGAATCATTTCATGCTGTTGTCGTTGTTTTTCGATCATCTCCTTTTCCAACTTTTCTCTTTGTTGTTTTTGCTTCTGTTCTTCCGCGCCCTAACCGAAAAGAGAGATCAACGTCTCCATTTCATTTCCAGAACGACTCCATAATAGATCTTTCTTAAATTGACGTCAAACGCGGAAAGCCTGATGCTACACGAAGTTTGATTGGCTCGTAAATTTTGCGGAGCCAATGAAACTTCGTGTAACATCAGGTTTTCCGCGTTTGAAATCTTTATGAGGTATTTCATATTCAACATATCACGAATGTACAATACCTGAAAACTCAGAGGTCGAGAGACCCCACTGAACGTTTGACTGCGCGTGGGATAATAGGAAAGATGACTGGTCGGCGAGGTTGGTGATCGCGGGCCCCTCAACGTGACTTCTGTTGTAGCAAACTCCCTCTCCGTGGGACTGTTTGGTTTGTGATTCCGAGGTAACGTCCGATTGTCGTCAGTAGTATGGCTGGGATCATGATTACCATTGATCAACGTTTGTCGGTAATGCTTCGGTAACGTTTGACAGTCGGAAAGCGATCGGCGTAGTCCCGGGTTCAAGGCACGTGGATTTACACCTGGCCTCGATGGCTGGGGGGAGGAGAAATGACGAGTTAGGTTGTCTATGGTTAGATGAATAATTATAATAGTAATTTCATGTTTTACTGAGGACTGAGTGTCATACATACCTTGGGCGGAGCTGCTCCGGTATTTAATGCAGTCACTGTTGAAATGAGAAAGTTACGATTAGTGGAAGAACTGGAGAGGAAGGGGGGGGGGGTTTATGGAGAAAGGAAGTGGCAAGGAGAAGGGTCATGAAAGGGGGTGGGGGGAGAAAAATGGTAGGTGGGCAGGGAGGTTGCTGGAGAGAAGGAGGCAGGTCAAGGAACACAAGGTAAGAACGTACTTGATAAACTTGAATTTAACGCGGAGATTCTTGATTCATCGGTTGACTCCTGCCGCGTCATCTTTTCTTCTTGAACTATAAATCTGGAAGAGAGAAGACATGATTTCATACGATTCAAGGCGTTGTTTCATTAGGACAGGTCACTTACTTAAGTCTTCGTTTCAAATCATTTCCATTAGGACGCTTCGACGGTTCGTATGACCAGCAGTCTATCATCACGTGATACAGGGCTGCTGGACAATTCTTAGGAAATGGGAGTCTCTCTCCATTTTCTATACGACCGATGACATCATTGTTTCTGACTCCTTGAAACGGCTTGATACCATACATCATGATCTCCCACATACAAACACCTTGGCAAAAAAATACAGGCAAGTTAGTTCACTTATATAGGGTGTACGTGGTTGATGCAAGCCTATACAATATATATATTATGCTCACCAAACATCCACACATCGCTGGCTGTCGTGAATCGTCGGAAATTGATCGATTCTGGAGCCATCCATTTAATGGGTAGTTTGCCTTTGGAAGCTAAGGGTAAATTGGTAAAATTTGTAGATATCAATGCAGGCAAAGCCAACTTTTATTTAGTAACTACAACAGTATTTAGTACAATGAAATAAAGATATAAATGAAATCAAAGCGGAACTAACAGGAATATAGTGGAACTTCTTGAGCCAAGCCATTGTTATCTTAGTGTGTTTTTACCTTTATAATACGACTCGACCTCAAGCCATCGCGAGAGGCCAAAGTCTGCAAGTTTTACATTTTCAGGAGAACAAACAAGCACATTTCTCGCGGCAATATCTCTGTGTACAAACTTCTTGCTCTCCAAGTAAGATAAGGCCGTTGATATTTGGTGAATGTAAGTTAGCAACGAGGCCGTATGTAGTATATCCTTGTTCTTCTGTAGGTAGGATCGCATCTGAAATGAAACGAAGTAAAGAGATTGATGCAGCTGATATCTGAATATATATTCGATGTACATGAGAAACTCACCTCTCCGTGAGGTGCTAGCTCCATTATAATGTAAATTGGTGGGTCCATACAAAGCCCAATTAAACGAATGATGTGAGGGTGATCAAACTGTTTCATAACATCTGAAAATAAATTATATAAATGAGCAATATTGGGATCAATGATCAAGTGATATTTTCACTGGTATAAATACCCGACTAAAGTTGATATTTTAAGCAAAATCTGAGCACGATTTCTCGCATCGTTCCTCTATCATCATATACTCACATGCTTCTTCTAAAAATCTCTCCGCCTCGTCTTCGTCTTTACAAGTTTTTATTGCAACAGGGAGGCTATTTCCATCCTGCAGAAACGAAACAAAGACGTGTTGGCTGGCCTTTTCGTAAACAAAAAGCGTTTTGTTTGAACCATGTTTGAATTTGTCCATGCATGCGTGTGGCACAAGCTTGTTCCGCGTACGTTTTACCGCACTGCGGGATCATCAAACAATGATATTGTATCCCGGATTTCTTGCTCTTGTTCAGTTGTGCAGTAAATATCGTAGTTTTAACAATGGTACATCACCTTTGCTATCATTGTTCCTCTATGTACATCTCCAAACTGCCCCTCACCAATGATAGCACCAAGTGCTACATTACTTCTTAGAACTTCATAATGTTTTTCTAGCAAAAAGGAACACCGACAATGTCAGAAGTAGAGCGATGTATTTAGCTAAATGTTTGTTGTAAAGATGAATGTTTTAAAGGCTACATATAGTTCAGAAAAAATCACCTGATATTGGTTGCGAGTAATCATCGTCTACAATCTCAGCATAGTCCTCAAATTCTGTCAATAATAAAGTTAAACTCAAGTGTAAAGATTTTATAGATAACAGTCTACATTCTGGACCGTTCTCGGCAGTGGCCAACTGTCCACGAGCACCTTTCACTGCCAGATCAAACTTACCAATCAACTTGTTGTATGAAAAACTAAACACTTTGGGTCAGCAAATCAGGAAGTATGGGTACATTTAAAAGCAGGTGAAGTAAATTACAAAGTAGAAATAGCACAGGTTTTTTACCTTCATTTTGTGTCGTGGATGACAAAGACTCGTGTCTCGTTGAAGCACCTTCGCTGCTAGTTTGACCTCCATTAGCCTGATCTGTTACAGGAACGTTTGGTAATCTCCGGTCATCTAGAATTTTGGCACAAGAGGTGATGAAAAATCCTGGATTCTTCGTTGTCTTCAGTTCAGAATAGTTGTTATACTAATCTACTGCTATATTCACGAGCATAAGTGTTTTGCATAATGGATTTCAACTTGATGTGGTCAAACTCACCCAGTTTACGATTTAATAATGAATGTCTTTGACTCCCAACTAACTGACAATAACCATCGATCAATTCAGCCATCTCAGTGGCTTTGACGAATGAGGAAGTGGTGAAGACCAAAGGCTGAACAAGAAACATACATTATTAAAGTCCTCAAAGATTCCTTTTGTGAAATAGGATAAACCTCATCATGATGATAACATGATTAAAATGCTGAGTCAATATCTCCCAGGGTCTCTTTCACATTGAGGACACTTGCACACCTTTTTATTTAAATTGACCTGTAAGGTTAAACATGAAGACAACTTACCTCCTGGGTTCCCTCAACCCTGAGGTTGACTGTAGCTTTAAGGCTATCAGTGGGAGATGGTAGAGAGACCGTAGATGCTGCAATACGGCTGACTTTGATTCCTCGAATAAGGTTAAACTGTGCCATGTGGGTTATCTAAAGAAAAAAAAGAGATTCCTATTGTTTTTTTCATAAAAGACACACAATGAACCCTATGTCTGTATTTTAGGCTTTCTTAACCCGGACAATGTTACACATAAAGAGTGCTGTCTGGTATTAAGTTTATATACCTGACAAAGAAACCCAAACATGTCCCATGGTAGCCAATATAGTAAAGTATAAATACCGTTTAGAGGCTTTAGAATTTGTTTAACACCAAAGCTTACCACAGAGCCCTGTTCAGCTTTATAACTTATACCATCCCTTGGTCCTATCACAATGTCAACAGTAATAGTCCAACCACTCTGAAAAACATAAAATTGATGATGATTAGACCTTCCCTAAGAACCAGACAGAGGAATAATGGGCTTCATGTATAATCTTTGGATGTGAAGAGCAATGCTCTCAAACACAGCTGGATGTCATTTTAGCTGTCGGTTGTAACAATAGCACAAGATAATTTAAGATGCAATGTAATAATAACTGAACGATCAAAATTTAAATTTTTATGTGTGTTCAGTGATTACAATGCTGTAGTGATATCAGAATTTCAATGTATGAAGAAGCAAATAAAATCATTTTTTGTTCTTGTCCTCTACATACCAGACTATAATTAGTAAAAATTATTAAGGTGCTTTTCTAGTTTTTATACCCAGTGACCACTATTACCAGCAGGATATCACTTAAAAAACATTGCATACTTACCCCAAGGGAGCATTTAAATGTTTCAAGGTCAAATCTGTAAATAGTTGAAAGAAGGTCTAAAAACTGATGGCAACATTGTTCTTCATCAAGCTCTGAATATTGTTTGAAGTAACTGTTCAGTATTTTCCTCAAAGGCTTCGACTAAATAAATATGAAATATTCACTATTAATATCTTGTGTTTGTAAGAAGTAACTTCAGTATTTTTATAGTTAAATATATAGTCAAGTATGACAAAAGTCCAAGTGACAATTTCATTAACTTCCTGATTTGTTTGGCTTACTTTCATAGTATCGATTATAGTCTTAGGTAAAAATCTTGTAAATCCAACTTCTTTTCTACAAAAACATAAAGCTCAGTTAAAACATGTTCATATTGTTCTGAGCATAATATGGGCTGAAAAAATAAGGAAATAAGGAAGTACTAATCTTACTCTAGAATTTCAAAATTTGACTTCTTTTCTAATGCATTTGCAGGCATGTCCTTGAAATATCTCCTATGATTGAACAGGAAAAACGCATTAGGGAGTCAGTAATTCACATAAAATTAAGTTAGTCAAAAATCTGGTACCTCATTTCCAATGCACCTAATCTAAATGCAATATCTTGATCGGCCTTCTCTGCAATACGCTCAAGATAATCATTCTTAATCTACATAAAATGAATCAAATTAAACTAATCCAAAAAGGGCTTTGTTTCAGCAAACAATTGATGATTAAAATTAGCTGAATATTACCTGGTCATACAGGAAGAAGAAACTTGCTTTGTCTTTTTGATAAAAATCTTTTAAGTTCTCTGGGAAAAATTTTATCCTCAATGTATATCTAAACACATAATAAACAAAAAAAAATCACATGTGAGAATAGTACTGGTTCATCCTCTTAAATTCTTTTGGCTTTAAAAGAATCTTATGTTATGTAAAATCCAATTAATTGTGAAGTTTTCTTTTTGTACTGTTACCTGCATTCATCGAGAGGATGTGAGTTCTCGTATTTTGCTCTGACTTCTTGTATTGTAAACCATCGGCGTAGCCAATAAGCACTTTGGGATGGAGGGTGTTCTAACCTCATGCCAAAGAATGTGTGAGAAGACACAGCATCAACTCCAAGACTACTGATAACCAGATGAATGATTCCCTGCAGTGGAAAAAGAGAAAAAGTTTAAATGTAATTAATGACCAAACAGCATTGTCAAATTACCACCCAGGTGGTCAGATTTTGGTGTGATCTGCTTAATAAACATTATGTAAGCCATTAAGCTGCAAGAAACTCTACTCAATTGTATATTTCCCAATGCAAGGCCGCACCACTTATGCTGTAAGTCAAGACTTTATTGAAATTGAGTTCATCAATGAGTTCGAATTCCATTGAAGGCAAAAAACAGTAGATTCACTAATTATAAGTTTAATCAGTTCCCATCCTTTGATAGGAAAACCTTCATTCATTTGATATTGTGAATTTTGCATTGACATCACTTATAAATAACTCATGATGCCGAACACAAGAAATTTGATATCTATCATTTAAAAATATCTATATATTGCACGGTATCATTGCAAAAAGAACCGACAGATAAGATATTTGAAGAAAAAAAACAATAAAAAGCATAATAGATTAACAAAATACTGTTTAATTAGTGTTGATTCTAATTTCAATTTGGAATGCAAAATTGCTACTTGTAAAAATTTGGAATGCAAAATTCCTACTTATTGATTATGACAAAACTTCTCATTAGGGTGGGTCCATGTAATTGATGACAAAATAAAAACATGGGTTCAAATTATCTTCCCACTTGCACTTTTATTTCAAATTGTCTTGTTTAGCTTATCCATGTTTGTACTTAGCCTAACAGTCAAAGTAATATAAACAATGAGATATACGCCACAAGACATCATGTCTTCAATACACGACGACCTAATTCACAAAAATATTCACAAAATAAAGCTCGTTGTTTTGTTGTTTTACCGATTGTCTTCACGTTTAGGGAGACACTAAAAATATAATATCGGTACGTTAACTTCCTACCGGGATTTAATTAAACTAAATTTGGCCTAACTTTGCTGCCAAATTTATTTTTACGACATAAACAGAAAACGAAATTTATACACAAGTAACGTGGGTCTAAAATTGTACACAATCGAAAGCGATATTCACCACAAATTTTGTACCAGGAGATAAGCGATATAGCCGCAAAACTGAAGGGGAATTGAAGGGCTAAAAACTCACGCCTAAACTACAGACTGACGTTTGAATTACAATAACAAAGATTCTTGATATTTTTATAAACACTCGCGAGCGAGGAAGTTTAGACTAGCCGTTTAAAAAATGTCCAAACAAACGTAAATATAGGCAAAATTTCTAATGAACATTGTTTGTGTTCTTGGGACAGATAAAAGATGAATAAACGAGCTATAACTCACCTTTATATCGGTCGTATCGCCGCATTTAACGCATCGAAATTCGCCATTTGGTAAATGGACCTTTACCGTTGGCCTTTGATCAGTGCTGCCTGTACTCGCTCTATCTGCGTCTAACTTCACTTTCTTCTTTGATCGAATGCTAAACGTCTTTTTTGTTTCCCCTCGAACCATGTTGATATTACAGAAGTCAGCTTCGGCAGGGCACTCCTTCGTTTATTTTATAAAGATCCTTGAAATGGGGCAATATGACAGAAACTACCAAGTTCAATGGCCATGTATACACTCGAATTCTCGATGATAACAGTCAAATTAGGCCAGTCCGAGCAAAGCGATCGCGTTCCAAAGACGTGGCAATACGTCCAGGTAAAGAACAGTTCATATTCGGAGTCTCAGTTGTTGTAAATATAAAAATATTGGCGATTGAATGGACCAAAATAATTTAATAACCAATAAAACCAAGTCTTCGTGCCGATCTTTCTTTCTGATTTCCGTCTAGACACGCTATGAACTGTGGTCTATGGGTTCATACTTCCGGCTGTTTCCGTTAATATTGGTTAATGAATAACACGCGCCATGCAGGGCGTTCTTCCCCCCTGCAAACAAAAATAATTCTCTCCCCCCGTTCTCACCGCATTGGATGAGGTAAAGCGCAGTACGTTCAGGGGGTGGAAGAGAAGCATACGAAGTTACAGTATGAACGAAACTTGCGCAAATAATTAAGTTTTTAAATAACTGCAGTGTCCAATACGTTGTAAACAAATTTACAACAAATATTCTTTATCATCAATTTCATCAAATATGATGATTAGTTCTAACACTGTTCTTTGTTCAGTATTCGAAGAAATGAATCCCAAAACCTGCCTTTTTGTAACGACTGGGATAGAAAGCAGTTATTCGCTAAAAGCTGGGAATTGGGAAATGGTGCCTGACGAACTGATTCGTCGCGCCTTCTCCCTCAAGGTTCAAGAGTTCCTCTCTTTATGAATACTTCTAAAAAAAAACCCCAGCCCAATTACGCAAAATAGCAGGATGAAATGCTTCCTGAAGGACGTCAGTAAGTCACAAACATTGAATGAAAGGGATTATAGATTATAGTAGGCATGCATATTCCATTGCCAGAATATCTGGGTTATTCAGTAGTTGTCGATAGCTTGGATCAGGGATAATCGGCATGAAAACGACTGGCACATTTCATCGATTCAAAGAATGGCATTTCAGCATCTTCAGATTCATAAATTGTACTGCCCGCAATCTTGGACTAACATCTTACATTTCACAAATACAGTACCTGTCGGACTTCACTCATGCGTTCAAAATTGATAGCTTGCAAATATCAGTTGCGTGAGTCGGTGTATTTTGAAAAATGTAAATGATATATCTTGATATGAAGACTATTACTTCGCGCAGACTATATTGGACCGCTGGAAGTAAATGGTGGTGCATTACAGTGTCAGTTTTCTTAATTTTACATGTGGACTTTGCACGTTGTAAAACGGTAAGTTGGTTTAATGTTTCAGTTTATTATTATCTGAACAACACAGCTTCTTAACGGGTAAGATTTGATATTTAAGATCTTTTTGTCCGCGTTCTTAAAATGCTTCATCAGAAAAGATGAAAATCATAGCCACGATATAAACTATCTTGTTATATATTCGTTGAGAAATTTACAAGAGCGCACCAGAAATGATGATGTTTCTAAGTTCAAAATAAGATTGCAATTGAATACAGTTACTGTATGAGATTTCACTTTCAAAATGTATCCATATTTCTGACTTTCATGGCCAAATGCTATGATTAACCAATTAACCAATCGCCTTCAGTCTTAACCTACAAGTGAGGCCTAAAAATGAATTGATAATTCAGATTTTTCTATACTGAAGTAACACTTGTATATCAATGAAGGTAATTTCTGTACTTGTCATCTAATATAGATTAAAGTTTCTTCACAAAGAACGTCTAATGTTGAGAATGAATCACAACTAACGAACAGCATCTATTACATTGGAAAGAAACCAGGAAATCCTCATAAAGGTATAAACTCTTCTTTTGCAGTAAGGCAACAATTGACAAGACTAAAAGTCATAGGCATTCTTACAAAACAAGTATCTATATACCTGACTGGCTGCCCTGAGCTTTTCAAGCATTTTTGCATAGGTACAACGAAGAACCAAATACCACAAACAAGAGTTGAAAATATTGAAACAAAAGACAAACATGATGGAAATTTAGGTACGCGACTATTTCATCTGCTTGTCGACTTCAAAATTTAAAAACGTGGCTGTTCAATACTTGTGATCTAAGAATTTTTTACTGGCCTCAACAGTATTCTACCACAAAGACAGCACTCCAAAACCAAGGAAGAAAGCGTCGCTAGTTCCCAAATCCACTCCTAATGCAAACAATCCGCAGGGAGTCGGCGATGGTCTGGATTTGGGTAAGTCTCGATTGACTTCACAATGTAGGAAGTACTGTACTCTCTATATTGGACGGTCACGTAATTCCTGAGAGGAATGCACCGTAGGTGGGAAATTGGTTTGCCTTCATGCAGACAAATGTCACGTAGAGATATAAGCATACGTATTGCAACATCTTCTTTTTCTTCGTAAAGCGCGTGCGTCAATTTTGCGACGAAAATCTTCACCCACCGTTGTGGCGTCGTGTGTTGGTAATCAGGTGACGCTAAAGTGCGCAGCGGAAGGAAATCCTGCGCCTGAATTTACTTGGTACAAAGGCAAACAGGCGATGGATCGACAGAAAGTGGCTGAGTTTGATCTCAAGATTGCACCATCGCTGTTTACCAGAGCTAGTCATCTCACTTTAACACCAAACAGGAAAGATGATTTCGGCGAGTACCAGTGTGCTGCCAGCAACACGCTAGGAGCTACCCAACAAAGTTTACATAGGATTGTTCTTAAGGATAATGGTAAATGTCAATTATCATTCAACAGAATTACACTCACAAACACCACCACTTTTTATCATCATGATTATCAACATCACTCAAAACACAATCAATCTCTGTGGACCAAGGTTTAAACTCTTTTTCACAATCACCCATCGAGTGACTCCGTGATATATTCAACTCGTAAGTTGGCGGCGAATCTTATTTAAACCTCGAACTGATTTCTCCAAATATATATTTATATACAGGAGAGCAATTGTGCACGGAAAGTACATACAACAAAGACAAAAAGAAGTATAATTCAATTATTATTGGCACCGTATCTTCAGTGGTAATGCTGTTTGTACTTCTGGGAATTGCAGGATTTGTGTTTTGGCGAGTGAACCAAAGAGAAGCTGAATGTAAGTCTGCCTAACTTTTGTACGCAGTAACTGACTCGGAAACTAAAACGATATTGTTTTTCATAAAGCTATGAGATATCAATCCCAGGTTTGTTTCCTTAACCATTAGGAGCTGTTTAAGTGTATCAAGTTAGTTTAACCGCTTGTAACTTACTGCTGTGGTTCTAGTCTTCTAGTTCTCTGAGTAAGAATGCCGGAATAATTTTTTACATTAACTAGCGTACCAGCGATTGAAAACGTCATCAGCAAGTACGGAAACATTACAAGAACACATTGAAGGTAACCAGAAATTTAGGTAGCATCATAGTTTACTTTAAGGACAGATGCATACAGAATTAAAAAAATCACTGTTTCCACCATTTCGTAGCTTAACACCAAAGCTGAAGATGTATTGTGCTAGATACTCTCTGAAATCTTGAAATCTGTGAAACATTTTATTTTTAAGGACAATAATAACAGAAATAAGCTCACTTAATAAAGAACTCATATTTGTTTCATTCAGCGGAAACAAGTGGCGAGAATCATCAACCAAAAAATGATTCCGAAGAAGGGATTTTAAATGATGACTTTAATGCGAAAGAAATAGGTCGTTTGAGCAGTTTACTTGCAGGAGATTGGGAGAGACTTGCTCGATTGCTAGGCTTTCATCAACATGACATTAATGTGATACGAGAGGACAGCGACAAGACGGAATCACGATGTGCAGATATGTTGAATAAATTTAGACGAAGGCATGGCTCAAGGGAAACTTTGGCTGAAAGCGTCGAAGAAATGAAGGATATTGAGACAGCGACTGCCATTAGACAGAAATATTATAAGCACAATCCGACCGAATAGTTAAACTTAGACAACAGTTCTGGCATAACGATTGAGCATTATTAGCATTCAGCAATGGTAAATACATTATAATGAGAGTTAAAAATGACATTCCTACACTAGGACGCTCAGGTTGATTATATACTACTTTGTCAACGGCTTGTTGGTATTTACTAAGATTTTACTCACGTAGAAGCCGTCTGGAGCACTCTTGTATAGACATGTTAAACAACAGTTAATAAAGCATTGATATATATACAAAACATTGCGACATTTAGAAGCAAGATACAAGATTGCTAAAACGCGTAAGACAAAAGTTTGTTTCTTTATATGATGGAGTATCATCGACATTTGTATATGATCTATGAACACAATGTGGTCAGCCTAGAATGCTATCTTATCAATATCTGGCCATAGGGATTTGTTACATTTCTCTTTTCGTTCTTTATACCATTGGTACACGAGTTGTGTGTTGGGTATCCTTTTGAAGTAGAACCATCAAAACGGTAGACTGTAGTACTTCCTCTCATCATAGGTCCAATGTTTTCCCAATAGATATATGTCGGTACCGCATTGGAACTGCATGATCCTGCAATCTCCCGGACATGTTTACAAGAAATTGGGCCATTCACCTCTAGCACAACGCTTCCGTTACTGTCTTCACATTCATACCAGTCGTTTATGTTCGATCTGCAATTCAACAAGAAAGGAGGATGAATTGTGGGGCTTTTAGCTCTGTGGAAAGATCTGAAAACAATTGAGACAAGATTATCTTACTTTATTAAAACATTCTTTCCCATCATCCGCCAGAGTCTGTAAGCTATTGCACCAAATGTATCTTTGAGAGGAGGTGTTGTCGAAGTCTCCACATCTGCTCCAGGAGCTCGCCAACTCGGGCGAGGTTTGACAGCGTTTGTTGAGGAATAAAAATTAGCATAGTTTGTGAAAGTATAGCTGTAGACTAGAGTCCATCCACCGCCAAATAGGCTCATCTCACAGTGAACCAAAAATGGAGATTCGTCTGGTTCTGGTTGGATCCAGTATTCCTGGGAGCTTGATGTATTTGTACTTAGCTTTATGTGACCACAGCTCTTACCAGGGACATCTTTTCTGCTTCCAAGCGAAGCTGACAGTAAAATAGAAACCGTATGAAAAACACTCAGTGTGAAAAGGTCACTATAGCTAGTTGAATGTAAAATATTTCACCTTTAGTGCAAGTTTTGGCTGACTTTCCTGTTCCTGTTATTTCATAATAAGTAAATGAGTCATCTCTAGTGACATGGCCAGGATTAACTGATGCTTTTTCACTGTTCAGCTCACAGTCGTGTTCCTTCATCGTGTTTAACTCTTTTCTGTAGTTCACGGACTGACAGTCTGTTTCTTGTAAACACTGTAAACTACATTCCACGATTGATAGCGAGCTAATTGTGTCCAACAGGCTGTTTACTAATCGGTGACCTGGTACAAATTGTAAAGAACAAAGAGGTATGCAGTACATTTGAACCAAAATAACTGTACATTCACTATAAATGTCATTTAATACCAGGCACTGGTGCAATGACCTGGTTTACTGACTGTCCAGGGAGAGTAAGATAGCTATGCGTTATAAACAACAAATTCACTTTGGGCTTGTCATGTATTCTGAAGAATTCTCCAACAGAAAACACGAAAATGATTACCTTTTAAAGCTTCACGAAACATAACACCGCTCTTAGTCTCTTCGCAGATTTCAGCAACAGTGACAATTAGAGGAACAGCAATGGCAAGGCTGAGAAAACCAACAGACCTAATGCAACTCGTTTTAACCATTTTTGTGATCCTTGCAAATTTAAAGCGCTTTAATAGGCTGTCTTGCGACTATAAAGCCCTTCAAGCTGTCATCATATGAAAAGATTTCAATATCGCATCTAATTACACATCCTTGTTGAATCAGGAGGCTCAAATTATTTCGTGTAAATATTGCTGCGTTGGTCTGGAAGCTGATTAGTATTACTCGAGTTGGAAATCATGACCGAATCGAGGTTTTTTTAAAAAATAAAGTCTGTATATCACAGTGTAGGATCTCTTTAGGTTCTTCGGAACAGCTTCAAAGAATCCTGAAAGATAAACAACTCACAACTCTCTTCGTAATTGCTAAACATCGCTCATCACCTCCTAAGATGATTGTCTTTGACAGGCAGATGGCAGATACCTCTGGAAGAGGCCAAACAACTTCAAAGAGCCGAATTAGGAGGGAAAACAAATAAAAATTTGCTTCATTTAACGTCTTATTACTATAAATTACTTTTTCTTGATTGTTCCTAGCAAACGGCTAGGAAAAAAGATATTTTTAATTTACCAACTGAGAGTGTTCGAGCCAACTTTTCGTTAACTTTTTGTGTGCTGTGTGAATCACAGTGACATTTAATTACATTGAATGAGATTAGTTAGCAAGTACTACCCAAGTGGGCAATAAACGTACTGAATACAACAGATTTATCAAGTTTGACAAAAAAGCTCGTGTTATCAATAGACTGGTCTTAAATACTTTATCATTTACAATGCCAAATCATTTAATGGCAAAATAAGATTGCAGTTATTGAAATAAAAATCACCAGGAATCGACGATTGGATGATTGAAATAGTGCTTTAAATATGCAAAGACATTTGTCTGAGTTCCGATTTAAGAAAATAAGAAAGACATGTGATTCTTTACAGAGATGAAAATACTAAACTTTAATTACATTTAATACTGTTCTAAAACAGCGTATGCTGTTATCTTATCGGTGTTTCTAAGGTAAGAATATTACAAGATTATGAATATTATCCCGGAAGGTCTTGAAGGAACTGTTTGAGAGATGATAATGGAATTTATCACGAATGAAACGAACAGCGAAATCATTTTGTATATCTGTGAAATAAAAAAACCACAATCCAACCATGGTTAAATCTTTAAGCGGTCCAACAACGAATGCAAAGCCTGTTGAAAGAAAAAAAATGATTGTGAACTGATCTTATGCAGATATGAATAAAATACAGCCGAGAATAATTAAATTAATCCATAATGTAAATTAATCCAAAGACTGGATTTGCCAGTATTTTGAGACATCATATTAGCTATTCATTGTAGTAGAAACAGGTTTTAATAATGAACAGACTTTTAGGTCTCTATATATCTGTTGAAGTGGCATCAGTACAATGTTGGTTTAGTAGCACAATCTTAGTGATCTTACCTCATACAATGGTGATCGAGAACCATCTTTCTTGTGTTTCAATATACATTGTCTTATTCGTGTATGCCACAGTTCTAAGCTCTCAATTGTCATCTTGTTTGTGGCCAAAACGTACTCCAACAATAGACGCTCAAATCTTCCTTTATCTTCTTCGGAAGGCTCTGACGTGTCCATTGAGGCATCTAGAATAGTTGGATGGACATAGTTTCATCTTCGAGTCAAGCAAGTTTTACAACAACCACATTAATGATTCAGTCTCGCAAACGTTAAGTCTACATGTAAAGTACTAATTTATATTCACCTGGCTCTATCTCACTAAAAAGAACTCTCTTAGACTTCTCGACACTGCTCAATTCCTTATCATCGTCAGAAACGGGAGAATTTCGATTTGAAGTTATTGTGATGATGTCGTGACATTTAGAGACATCATTACAGTTAGTGACATCATTACTAATATGGTTGCTATTATCGTTATTGGTAACGTCATCTTGACTAGCGACGTCATTATTTCGGGTGACGTCACTATCAGTGGTACGGGTGACGTCATTATCGAAATCCGTGTCATTATGAGGGAGACCATTATGGTACGGGCTGGTGGACAGCATGCTGTCCAGCTCAGCGACGTCTTTGGAATCGCAGTTGCTAATCTCACTGGTGGCAATACTAAGTTCTGCCTCGCTCAGACGATCCTTGATCGTCGGCTGTTGCTTGACTCTATCGGAAATGTTTTCAGTGTTCAGGCTGTCGAGATGCGTTTTCAAAGCTGTCTTTACATCGTTTCGCATGCGCAGTGAGTTGATGTAGTGATTCGTTAAGACGTCTGGGTTGTCCTCGTTCACTGCCAACTTGTCTGCAAGCTCGTCTTCGATCGTGCTAAAGAAAGAAAAACAATATCTCAACTTTGCTAATCACAGAAAATATTCATTTTTTTGTAAACTGGAATCCCCGCCTCAATATAAAGAGAAATAAAACTTGAATGCTTACCTCAACGTCTTTACACTTTCCACGTCAAATTCTTTACTTTCACATTCCTTTTCATCCACAATTACCACATCATCGTGTCCATTTGTAACTACAGATTCTCCTATTTCATCCTCAATTCTATCATTCGTTTCCTCGCTGTCCTGTTGTTTCGTTGATGTAAATTCCTTCACTGCCGGAGTCGAGACTCTTCTAAAACGACCACGTCGCTTCCTTCCTCTTCGTTTTGGACTAGTCTTCTCGCTCACGATCTTAACGTCATCGCTACCCTTCGTATCTTTAACCGCTGGTTTCTGAACGTGCGAAGCTGATCTCGTGGGCATGATTTCTAGGAACGAATTATTTGAAATATAAGAAAAGCAGCGACATAGTGAACGATGTGTAATTAACCAAATGGTTATTACAGTCAGCTTTTGCGTTATTCCGAACATAATAAACATTGCAAGTTGCAATGCAATTCTACTTTTAAGAGATGTAAATTAGTGAAGAGTCTTGCGGAAGAAAAGTGCATGAACTATATTTTTCTTTGATACAAACCTAACGGAATTGCCTCTTCTGCTTCAAGACCTCGCACACGACGGCTCATTCTCGTGGTTGGCTCTGGCTGCTGGGTTTCGGAGATAGGAGGATTCTCGACAGTAGTGATGACCTTGGCCGGCGCAACTGGGAAGAACTTCGGAGCGCAGATATTCCTTGAATCACCTTGAGAGATACGAGAGGATATTGGAGGATATGTAGCTTCAGCTAGTACAAAATAATCAGATTGGAAAAGAAACAACTCACCTCTTCTTTTACGCGAGGCTGCAATATCTTCACATGCCTAAACGAGAACAAAATAATAAGCACGTGTCTCTATAACAAGAGAGATTCATTTCCCTAGCGCAAACTGATCTTCGGGAACACCGAGGGTGTTTGGGGGGTACCAATAGTGCTTAAGGGAAACTAATAGTGCCTGGTGGATACAAAGGTGGTTGGGGAGTACCAATGATGCTTGGGACGTAATACCTTTTCAAAATCCAAATCCAACTGAGACTTGATCAACGAATGAGCGCAATCTTTCAACGCGCATGCTCGATGACGTATCAGGCGATCTGTGCTATCCTCGTTGGGGTTATACTCCAGAGCATTGCTTGTTATGAGATCAATGTCGTTCAAATACTCGGCACATGTTTGATACTGATGACCGTCCACCTTCTGAAGCATTGTAGTGAGGTCCATTGGATTCTCAATAACCTCCAAATAATCTGTGACCTAGCAGAAAATCAAGAGGCAAGAAGATGAACTCATTTCTGAACTTTTCTTCTTGTATTTAGCCGTCCAAAAAGACTACAGATTATTGTGAAAGCTGGGTGAAAATTTTAACCAGATATCTATATTTATTCAGCACAGTTTCTCAACTATGGTGGCATAAAGGAATGGTATACAAAAATACCAATCTTGAGCCACTTTTCCCCCCGTTTTTTTACGAAAACTCCCTAGTGCTCTACAGTCCATGAGGAGCCCTGCAGTGCGTGTTTTGGGTCATATATAGTTACCTCTTCCAAATCGACTGGTTTATAAAATTCTTTGAACTTTCTGTCGCTCATCAATTTCACGGTAATTTCCCTCAGGAAGATTCGTAATTCTCGCAACGTGTTGTCCTCCTGATCACGCACTTTCTCGAGTTCGGCCACGCTTAGTTCACGTGGTTCGGGTGCCGGAGCAACTGGCAGAACTTCAAGAGGTTTCTTTGTCTCTGAAACAGAAGATGGAGATTTATGATTAAACTTTATATGATTAATTGGTCCGAATCTATCCAGTTCATATCGCGCTCATATTTCAGCCAATCAGGACTCAAAAGGGTTCTCGAAATAGAAAGCCATTCTGCAGTATTTAATTGATGATATCTTTTGTTATTCTTTTTGAAACTAGACGAAATTTTGTGATTATGTTTAGTTATAAGAACTATATATACGTAACGGTAAAAATCTTAACAAAGAGACTACTTACTCGTCGCTTTTTCTACGCAGGGTAGTTTAAAAGCTTCAGTTAAAAAGAGAGGTTCTAAATAAGATCTTCGCTCCTTCTCTGTCGGATAAAGAACTTCGAATACCTGAGTTTGAAACAGGAAAACTATGATTAGGGATCTTCACTGAGGCCTATTGAGGACCGTAATAGGAAAGAGGTTTAATCTTAGGAGCAAACTAACAGTTTCACAACAACAACAACAACAACAACAAGACCATCACTCTATGATAACGAAATCAAATCACGAGGGAAAACACTCACCTGCTCACAGCCGCGCGAAAACAACGCAGCCAAGTCTTGTGGTATTTCACAGGACGGTAAATCGCATGTGGCCAATAATAAAAGTGGCAAACCAGGGGGGAGATCGTTGACAAGCGAGAGGAATGTTGCTTTTAATGTCTGCGTAGTTGTATCCCACAACGAGTCGATATGAGGGAGGTATATTATAGAAGGCGCAACACGGCGTGCCTCTCGAAAGATCTGGAAGAAAAATGCACCAAGTCAGAGAGATTGAGTTGCATCAGTTGTTCATATCCCTGAAAATTGTCACCGAAACGAGGAGGCCAGCCCGCAAGACTGGCAACCTTACCTGTGCGCAGGCTTCTTCAGCCGTTTTAGATGCACATCCAAAGAGCGCCGGAAGATCTAAACAATGAACTGGAATATGTTCCATCGAATGCAGTAAAGCTGGGCTTACATGTGTTGACTGCCCCATGCCGCGCCGGCCGCAGACCAGAAATCGCGGGCGATGGACGAGTTTTGACGTCATGGGATTCTCATCGAAATAATGAAAGCGGTTGGCAACCCCGGAGGTCTTGATTCCGGCACGTCTCGCAGCACGTGCGTCTCTCGCTTCTCGAGCAGCTTCGGAAGAATTCGGATCGATCTCGTATATGTCCGCTTCATCACCGGCATCGTCGGAGGACTCCGAGTCACTCACGGCGAAGTTGTTCAAAGAACTTCCCGGCGATGACTCTCCGACTAAAATAAACAAACAAATAAGGTAGAGATGAAAGAGAATTCACTGACAATCAAGTACATTTCGAGCGCTTTAAGCAACAGATAATGATCCGTTACTGGGCCGATTCTGAACTAGATTACCTGTTTTGCAAACTGCTGGTGAGAATATCCTGGTAAGCATGCTCCACGATGTCTTTAAGACTTCATGTAGTAAGGGTCTTATTGAGCTCGAGAGCGCCCGTCCTGGTGAGACGACAGCGCGCTGACACGCTGGGACCATTGTCTTGATCGCTTTAGCAAAATCCTTGCCGCTAACGCGGACGCTGCTAACGTCCAGCACGAGTTTCTTCTTTGAGGCGTAGATCTGCGGATAGCGACGTCGTAGAGCGAATAACGCAGCCTCGGTGCACAGAGCTTTAATGTCCGCCCCGCAGTAACCAACGCACTTATCCGCGACTTCATTGACGAAGTTTTGAGTCAATCTTGGTTGCCATGCCTTCGTGTGGATGGTCAGGATATTACGTCGAGCCTGAAGAGCATATGTATTAAATAACGTAAAAACAATCCTGGTTGGTTAAACTCAATTCAAATTGACTTAGTTCAAATTGACAGTACCTGCTTATCGGGCAGTGGGAAAATGAATTCTCGATCGAAACGGCCAGGTCTTCGTAGAGCAGGATCGATGGAGTCTATACGGTTCGTAGCACCTATGACGACAATCTCCCCTCGGTTATCGAGCCCATCCATCAGGGCGAGTAGCGTTGAGACAATTGAACTATGGATCTGATCTTGACGACTTGAACGAACTGGGGCTAAACCATCGATTTCATCGAAGAAGATTATTGATGGACGCATTTTGAATGCCTAGAAGATGAGGTGAATATGTGTTGTTAAAGCTGTTGAGATTTAATAATTTAAATGACTGTGGACAAGCTCCTAACTAAATAAGATTGTCGCTATAGTATCATCAGACAATGCAATTCATACAGCTATCTAAAGCAGAAGTGTCTTGTTTGCTTGCCGCTGTGCAGAAGAGGGAGAGGTAAGACAACTCCCACGACAAAACACACAAGCAAGCTTCGTTTCAAGAAACCAATAAGTTTACCTTAACACAAGGCAAACACAATTGATTAAAAGAAACACAATTACTTTTCCACAAGTGTAACGCAGTCCTACAACGTGTCAATGTAAAGACTGCTGACTAGCTTGTGGTACGCGGAACTAGGGGTGAATATTAGAATCCAGAGGTGAATATTACAGAGCATGTAAGCGCATGTAAACAGATGTATGTAGACCATCAGTAATAGTGATGAAAGAGACGTGTGTGTACCTGGTCAAAAAGAAGTCTGAGTTGTCGCTCAGATTCCCCAACCCATTTACTTAAACAATCTGCACCTTTCCTCATAAAGAACGCCACTTTCTTGTTATCTTGACTGCATTCGTTAGCCAGAGCTCGAGCCATTAGCGTCTTGCCTGTTCCTAAGAGATGCAAGATGATCGTGAATTCTGAATGTCGCCAATCTGGTATGACATTCGTCCTATGAAATTTTTTCGTATGGTATGAAATATATTCAAAATCTGCGACTCAAACCTGGTGGTCCGTGGAATAAAACTCCTCTCGGCGGGTTCACTTTGAATTTCTCGAAGACTTCAGGATACAACAAAGGAAACACGACCATTTCTTTCAACGATCTCACGTGTTTACCGAGGCCGCCGATACTTTCAAATGTGATCTGAGAAAATAAGATCCGAGTTATACTTCAACTCAACTCGCTATCATATAAATAAAGTCATCAAACAACTGTATGAATTCTTGAAAAATGAGGACCAATCTGGCTGCTTTGGGGGGGAGGGGGTGGGGTGGGGGGGGGGGAAACTGAACTGCAGTTGGATGCACGAATATCTGCATGTGCAAACCTGTCCAATAAGCCGCCTTGTGCAGTGTCAAATCTCATCTCAATAACTTACGGATCTGTCAATATTCATAGGATCAACATCAGCTAAGCTTGATCCAATGCGCTCCCGATCAGCCAGAACACCTTTATTAAGATCTCCAACATCAAGGTTCATTGGCAGGCAGCGGTTACGAGCCTTCGCCATACTTTTTGCTTTACGTCGCTCAAACTTTCGATCATCAACGTCTTCATCTAGTAGTGAACGAAGCCACGTATTAAGAGCTTTGCATAGTGCATGCGTTAAAGATGCAGTGGTTGGTATACGCATTCTATTGACGAGTATTGTTGGTGAGTAATCAAAAACAATGACAGTTGTACCCAGGTATTCAATGACAGTTATAACCAGGTATTCAATGACAGTTATACCCAGGTATTCAATGACAGTTATACCCAGGTATTCAATGACAGTTATAACCAGGTATTCAATGACAGTTATACCCAGGTATTCAATGACAGTTATACCCAGGTATTCAATGACAGTTATAACCAGGTATTCAATGACAGTTACACCCAACCACACCTATAGCACCACTCAAAGACCACACCAATCACATTGACGTTATATTACTACCATCTTTCCCTATCTTCAAAGATCGATAACTGTACCTGACGATGTTGAACTTTCATTGATCGTCTTCCTTTTCAATTTGTACTTTTTTCTAACAGGTGAGAATGGCTGTTTGTCGGCGCAAGCTCTCTCCCGAATATGATGTTGAGAACCTGAGAATAGTCCCCGTCGTGAGCCATGATCTGTTGAATAAAATAGAGGGAATTACAACTGATAGTTGATACACCATTTAGTTTTACATTTTTGAAAAATCAAAACACAGTAATGCACGTACAAGATTTAGGTGGAGGTGCTGTGTATCGTTTTGTGACTGGCTTATTTTCTCTCAACTTGTATCTTCGCTGTGGTGTATTCTCTTCATCATCAGACCTGAACCAGATTTTTAATTTCATGTTGGTTTTTATAGAATTTACATGACTATTGCAAGCTAAAGATATCTTACACAAATTTGGTATATGTTCTCTCTCACTAACGATCTTTTATACCCACTGATTATACTTCCCTCCCTTCCCAAGGACCCTTCCTCCTCTCCTAAGTATCTTACCTCCCTCCCCAAGGATCTTACCTCCGTCCCTCCCTCCCTCCCCAAGGATCTTACCTCCATCCCTCCCTCCCTCCCTAAGGATCTTACATCCCTCCCAAGGATCGTCGTACCCCCTCCCCAAGGATCTCAACTTCCTCGCAACAGATCATAGCTCTTAGCAATAACATATCATTACTCAGATTCATCATCTTTTTCCTCTTCATCTTCTTCTTCATCCTCTTCTTCATCTTCCTCATCATCATCATCAACTTCTTTGTCCGATTTTGCTTTACCCTTTATCATGTCATACATGCTGACATAACCCGATTGATTCTGAAATTCAAAAAGACACCTTTAGCTTTAGTAAACCTAACAACCTTTAGTTAAACCTGCATTTCCAACCAAAGGTAACGTAAGAAGTTCCCCAATACAAACCAACCAAAATATTTAAAACAGACTGCAACTCAAATTCTGGGTTATTATCAATGATAGACTTTTAGCAGCTCATATGTCAAGAATGTGGCAAACTTTAGAAGGTTATCTGGATTATCTGGACTCTGCCAGATGATATTTAACAAATGCAGGTGGTTGATGGGTGGTCATGCTGATGTTTCCCGCATACATCTTAAATACCATCAAGCAGAATCTGAAATGAGCAGCAAGTCACCGCAAGTAAAATGTGTATAGTTGTATATGCCCAAATGGGGAAAATACCAACATTGGTAGAATATATGATATTGGATCAATAATGTTGTTGCCATGGTAACTGAAGTAATTCCAGAAAAGATTACATAATATTTGAGAAAAGTAACAATATATTTTCCAAGTATAATATTAAGACATAACATATGAAGAGCTTTGCGAGACAACAAAAATGAACTCATAAACTTGCAGCAAAGTAATGATAAAGATTTCGGCGGGAAATTTGAATAGGAATAGCGATATGCATTAAAATGAATATTGAATAATAATTTCTCGTAGAAATGTTTATATATTTCAACAGACCTCTCCCTGTGAGTCCGTTTCACCATCCTCCAGCACTGATCCTCGTTTTTTATCATTTCCAGAGCTTTGCTCCGAGCTTGGAGCTAAATAATCGCCGACTAATTTACGAACAAGAGTATGCTCATTCAAACTTTGAAACACCTTGCGACTCTCTCGATGGCTTCGTCTCACAGCCGTAGGTTCGTCTCCTGTTTTCAGTGTTTTGGAGCTCTTTTGTTGTTTTTTCGAACCTGGAAAGGCAAGCCGTTTGTAAGAACATTTCCCTATTTACCAAAATATCGGAAAAGCAAATGCTTACGCTTTGTTTCCGCAGACGAGACGCTGTTTCGTAACTTGCTGTTGGATATCAACAAATTACGCGGACTTTCAAATTCGACATCCAAACTAAAGGACCTGTTTACATCGAAAAAAATCCAGTTTCAGTCTATTTTTTTGCCCGTAGGGGACATAAAGTGATTACAAGGAAATAGGGATAGATATTTAAATGATATTTTTGGACACCAACCGTGTTCTTGGTCTTGAACGAAGCTTCTTTGCAATATTTTCTGATTCCTTTGTGCTATCTTCCTGGCGTCTTCGTTTTCTCGAGGGTCCCTTTACCTCATCTTCACTTGAATCAATTTGTAAGCAATCCTGATAAAAAAGAGAATATAAATAAACCTAAAAGTTTTTTAACGAAGCGAGAATCCTGTCCAGATCGGTAACCAGAAACTAACCTAATCTATTATCATGAATTTTATGATATATGAATAGACGGTAATAAATTCACAGTCATTTGAAAATGGCATTGTACCTTATCTATTTGCACTTGTTTTCCCGATCGGCGTCTTGGACGCGCAGGAGAAATTGTAGTTAATGTTTCGCCTTTCATTTTATCACCTTTACTCATATTTACACGTAAAAGTAGCCCACAATATTGGCAATTTATCCATAACGAAAGATTGGTCAGCCATTATACCGGTTGACCGCGCCATTAGGGACATTCAAGAGACTAGGTCGAGATCATTGTTTGCGTGATGGTCTCGCGCGAGGTCACCTCACGCCACGCGTTAATTATGGTCATCAGCGCGATGATGGTACGTGCGTGACTGCGCGATGGTGCGCATCAGCAGCGCCATTTCTACCCAAATTCACTGAACTGTTGTGGTACACAAGTGCGCAGCCTTGCGACTTGTTTAACAACTGCATATTCGTGAATGTATGCCTACGGAAATAGCGCACACACAGCATTTGAGAGTGCTATGAATTGTATAAGAATAAACTACTTACCTTCAAATTTAAAGACTGCTCGGTACTCCACATTAACTGATAAAAGCAAACTTCGTACATCTATAAGAATAACTGGAGTCGCAGAGAGTATATACCGGATCATCCGACGTTTAAGCGGGTTTAAACTCATAACAATTTTCAAGCCAATAGGAAGAGTATTACCTGATTAAGTTTAGTCTAAGATAAAAAAAAACAGTCACCACTGATTTGGCGATAAAAGGATGATGAAAATGATGATGAAAATAACTCCCAAAATGATGGCACATTCGTCAACGCGAGTTCTAGATAGGATAATTGAATAATTGGCACAACAGGCTCCCAACAGCTGGAAAAAAGTTATCTTCAAGCGCAAGATAGCATGCGTATATTTGACTTATGCATCTTGTCTTTGAATTATAGAATACTAAAAGCGTTTTCGATAAAAATCTACACCTTGAAACGTAACAACTTCATAATATTCGATTTGAAACGAGCATCAATTATCGGGAACACGACTTTTTAATTAACAGTCACGCAACTATGTCAAAGTTGACCGTCTCATTTCAAAATAATTTTTATCGAGAAGCACACCTGCCGTTCCATTATACCGAGTATATATTTGTCATTAAATGACAAAGGAAAATAATAATAATGTGTTATGCAAAACGTTCTGCCTTAAAAATGATAAGTGTTCATAATAAAAGTGTTCAATATATTTAAATATACTGAAATATTACATATGTCATGTATTTTCGCCATCAAGCAGCTTTTAATGCATATTAGATAAGATATCTTTGAAAGCCAAATAAGATGATTTATTAATAAGTGTATGTGGCAGGCGCCAAATTATTGGCAAACTGTCCTATATTGTCGTTTTAATTTAGTTTTACTTTAATGTACTGTCAATCTTCACAGCTGATGGATGGATTGCCATTCTTCAGTTCGTTGTTTTCAAAAGTAGAAGCGAATATGAAAGGTATTCGTGCTTAAATAATTGCTGGAACTGTTTCACTTGAATAATCATTAAGATCTCTGATGGATCGAGGAATGATCATTTTTTTCGAATAATTTCTCGATCAACAACAAGACTGATCCAAGGTAAGTAATGATGCGATTCCAATGGCGTCGACGATTGAAACATGCACCTGCAGGCTAGGATTCAAAGATAGAACTACTAACACCGAGGAATGGCCGGAATGAAATAAGTATCCTCCTTAATAGCTATCGTTTGTATAATAGCGATATTATTTATAAATATGGTAAATCGATTTTGTTTAATAAGAAAAACGCTACAAGTCGTCTACATATTTTTATAAACTCATTGTAACCAATCTCTTGGTAGGCTTGGTGAGCAGTGATTTGCGCTGTGCGCTGACGACAGGAAGCTAGAAGTAGTATAGAAAAAAATACTGAGGCTTTGTGCACCGCAACCGCAATATAATTAAGAAGTAAAAGATAAAGATAAAGTAGCCATACCATGACTTTCAAATTTCATCTCGAATTCTTCATAGTTTTCTTTTTAAAAACATGGGCGACATTGAAACAGAAACATTTAACATTTTCCCCTTCGGTTTACAGTTTTTAAAACACTATAAACGTGAGTATACAAGCTTTGAAATCCAAGACTAAAGATATTCATGATAAAGAGATTGTTCCCATAGTGAAATTCTGCATGGAGAAACATGAATAAACAAATTATCACGTAGGGCTATATATGCGAATGTGACTATTACTGCGCAAACACGCGAATATCTGCATGTCTTCAATCTGCAGCCGTTATTGATATAGATGGAAAGATACGATGGTATAATTGCTAGACATCTATAGTTCTGATTAGTGATGTTGTATGAGGAAGCTAGCCATTTTTTACAAAGGAATAAACTAGATTTCAAACATCAAACCGAACAACAATACTCCACATATATGCTAATAGAAAATATAATGATAATTTTATGGAATTTTGAGCGATGATATGAGGAGAGGTGATATGTTGTGACATTCTTATTAAACACGCACAATGAGAAAAGGAAATCGCGCCGAGAATAAAGGACACACGCGACGCTCTTTCTAAAGGCCTGAAAGAGAATTTAATGACAGGCAGTTAGAGGAGAGAATATTTTAATGATGAAACGAAAAAAAACAGATATAATAATAATATAGCGTTACTGAGAAACGCGACTATAAACAGATGCACTCATATAGGATGATTTTGAAACTGTATAAATTATGATTTGGTTATTTTAATCCATTACCAAACATTTCTTCATAAGTTTCAGCAAAACTGGTTTTTCGTGCGTAGTGAATATATATACATATAATATATATATATATATATATATATATCTTTGTGTAATTGGTTACATGCTGAGTGTGGTGAAAAGAATGCCGTCTGCGTCTGCTATGCAACGATAGAAAAATTAACCCGCTAAAGTAGTATAGTTAAATACCTTGTAATAGCAATCGGACTGACTCGGTATAATGCAGGTTTGAGATTAATAATTCAAGCCCCACTCTATCAATGTCACGCTTTTCGACTTGTTTTTCAAACGAGAAAATGCTCGAGGTTTTTGAGTGCGGCTGTCTTAGTCGTATTGTAATGAGGTCGGACACGTGAGGAAGTTGCGCTGTGAATAACGTCGACCCTGTCGGATTTTCCGAACGTAAAATATCAGGCTTTTTATCATAACATCCAGCAAAATCACATCTACGATTAAAGCAGAGTAATTAGGTTCGACAATAACAAAAAAATTTGATAAACTTTGTCTTTGTCGACCTGCCGTATGCTCTTATGACATATTTTATTAAATACAAATATATCGTAATTGTTTTTTTTATTTTCTTTGAATAAGCAGAGACAGACTCGTCTAAAAATGGCTTCTAGGCTTCAGTTCTTGACGCTGGTGGGTTTTTGCCTCATCGGACACAACTTTTCAAAGGAAGAAGCGCTTCAAACGACAATAAAAGGGAACGTGACACTGGGTGGACTTTTCCCAATTCATTTTCCCGGTGAAGACGGTACTTGTTCGGTGTTTAACAGTCTACGTGCTATACAAGAGATAGAAGCCTTTCTGTTTGCCGTCGATCAAATAAATGCGAACGAGACGCTCCTACCAAACGTCACGTTGGGTGTGAAGGCATTTGATACCTGCGGTGATGCCACCTCGGCTCTCAATAGCGCTGTGAAAGAATTTGTTCTTGGGAAACACTGGAACACCGAGGAACATTGTACGGAAAACGAGAGACAAGTGGTCGGGGTAATAGGACCTGGATATAGTAGCGAGGCAGTGCACATTACCCCATTTCTAAATCTCTTCGAGATTCCTCTTATTAGTTACTCTGCAACCAGCCCGGTGTTGAGTGATAAAAAGAAATACGAGTATTTTTCGCGAACCGCCACCTCAGACATGTTTCAAATCCCCGCCATTATAGACCTTCTGGTGCTTTTCAACTGGACCTATGTTTCCGTATTGTATTCTGACGAGACGTACGGGCAAACTGGGTATAAGGGTCTAAAAGAAGAGGGCGAAAAAAGAGGTAATCTTTTAACCTTATTTACAGTGATTCACCGTCGCTTTGGTGTGGGTTATTTGCTCAGCATCTGATGTTGTTAGCATTCTATCGATAGCCATGTTTCTGAAAGTTCACATGAAACATAGCTCCCTAGCCATGTTTCCTGAAGGTGGATAAACCAGGAAATATTGCCGGTTACCTAGCCATGTTTCATGAAGGTGGACAAACCAGAAAACGTAAACATTGTTTCCTAGCCATGTTTCATGAAGGTAGATATGGATGTAAGGAGACATTGTTTCTCAGCGGTCTTGTCTCCTGAAGGTAAACAAAGCAGGAAAGATTGTTTACTATTCCTGCATGTTTCTTGAAGGTTTACAAATCGAGAAAGAATGTTTCCTATAGCCATGTTTCATGAAGGTATAGATATGCATGTATATAAGGAAACATTGTTTCTCAGCGGTCTTGTCTCCTGAAGGTAAACAAACAAGGAAAGATTATTTCCTATAGCCATATGCATGTTTCTTGAAGGTTTACAAATCGAGAAAGAATGTTTCCTAGCCATGTTTCCATGCTATTTTAGGAATATACTTCGCAAATGAAATTAAAGAAGTACAACAAACGTACGACAAAAACAAATACAAAAAAATTGTTGTCGACGTTCTATCGAAAACAGAAGCGACCGTTATAATTTTGTTTGGTGTGGATAATGCATTGGAACCGATCCTCAACATGATCCAGAAGGCTGCTGGCAACAGATCACTGTTGTTCGTGTGCTCAGATGCACTCGCGTCAGCAATCTATGAAGAGTTGAATAAAGTTCGGCAAATTACACAGCAAGTGATATTTTTCAATCTGCCCACAGGTCAAGTGGACGGTTTTACGGAGTACTTTTTGAACTTATCAGTTGAAAAAAACAAGCGCAATCCTTGGTTCAAGGATTTTTTCGAAAGTTTTATGAACTGTAGTTTTGATGACCAAAGACAAAAATTAAACAAGACGAAATGCAACCCGAACCAGACCCTATCCGATACAGATTACTCAGATCAAGTTGAAAATTTTACCCAGAGTGTTCCGCTCGTTGTGGACGCGGTATATGCATTTGCGCATGCTCTAACCATGTTCTCAACGACGTGTCAAAGAAATCGAAGTGAAGAGTGTAAATCGCTCAAGAAAATGACTGGAAACGAGTTATTAAAAGTGCTTCGTGATGAGGTGTTTTGGAGTCCTTCAGGAAACCTCGTGAATTTTTCAAAGGAAGGCGATGTAATGGGTAGGTCATTTCTTTTTCTTTATCTCCAGTTTTTCCAATTTTTATTTGCTTTGTTCCATCTTGTACCCAATTTCCCAAGCCAGAGTCTGGAGATTAAGATCAAAGTTGGCGAGCGTGCCAATCTCTCATCGTTAACCCCAACTGACAATCCACCCTTTCGCTAAAACAGCTTCAAAAAGGAAATGCATTCAGCAGACAGTTTTAGTCCCATCAAATGCCGTGGTTCTAATACAGGTCTCCTCAGTAGACACACTCATTTAACTAAGTTTCCTGATTTACTTGTAAAATTAACTAGGTGTTTACAACATATACTACAGTGGTAAAGTGGGCGGCAAGAAATACGAATATTCCAAGATTGGCCATTGGAAAGGATTTGAGGAAAGTCTGCAGTTTGATGATTTAGAATGGAAAGCAGGTTTCCGACCTTTAAAATCATCCTGCGAAACATTCTGTACTGCGAACCAATATCGCAAGACGTCAAAAAAACCGCGCCAGTGTTGGGAGTGCGAAGACTGTGAACCAGGCTCGTACGCCGTGAATGAGACGGGCTGTCAAAAGTGTCCAAAAGGAGAAAAACCAGACCACGAACGCAAGTCGTGTGTGGAAATAATCCCGACATATTTGTCGGTGGACGGAAAGCTTGTACCGTCTTCTGTCGTGATATTACCGATGGTTGTAAGTTCCATTGGTATTGTGGCCGTTTTATTTGTGTTTGGGAATTTTATGAAGCACTGGAATACGCCAGTGGTGAAGGCCTCAGGTCGGGAACTTTCTACTTTGCTTTTAATAGGAGTTCTTTTAGCTTTCGTGTTTCCTTTCGTCGCAATTTCGAATCCATCTCCTGTCAAGTGCTTTTGGCAATTTGTTCTGGGCAGTTTACCGTTTACCGTCTGTTTTGTCGCCATCGTCGTGAAGAACAATCGCACGTATCGTATATTCAACCCAAACCGAGTTATCACAGCACAACCATCGTTGATCAGACCTAAATCACAAATCTTAGTCTCGCTGGGGTTAATCGCATTCCAGTTAATACTACTCTCAGCATTGATCTCCCTAGAGTTTCCTGAAGACAAGATGACGTACCCTTCAGCAGAAAAAATCGTTCATGTATGTTTGATTTCGGAACGACAGATGTTCCTCTCACATTTATACAATATAGTACTTCTCGCAGCTTGTACGTATTACGGTTACAAGACGAAAAACATCCCAAGAAACTTCAACGAAGCTAAACATATCGCTTTTGCAATGTACGGTGCATGCGTATCGATGGTGGCATTCGGCGTGGTTTTTTTTTTCAACTCGGAATTTTCAAGCAATTATGGAGTGGTGATAGAGATGATGCACCACCCTCTCGTGGGATTCATTATCATCACATGTTTCTTTGCGCCAAAGATTTATATTATTTTGATGAAACCGGAACAAAATGCTCATACGATGACCGTAGGGACGGAAATTGACGTCACGAGAGCAAGAGAACACCGCAGGTACGAACTATCGCAGGTATCGCTGGCACTTACAACGTAGTTTCAGACACAGGGTTGTGTTACATAAGAAACGTTTAGGCAGAGAAATGTTAGGAATCTACACTCATTTTGAACATATTTTTCCTACTGAACATGCAGAGACAATGAGAAATAAAGATACAAGACTCGAGCATTTTTTCCCTTTGCATCTTTTCCTGGTTGGCCCTGTGCAGAAATTGCGTTGAAAGTTTAATCAAAATTTGCCTTGGGCAAAAGTTGACCGGGGTTTGAGAAAAAACATGTTGGTACGAAGTTTAGTAGCAATAATATTGTTTTGTTAGGTCTCGTCATCAATTTCCAGCAAGCGACCGGAATGAATTTGCAGAGTGCGATACTAAGGTATGAAGGTTTATTTACAGATATCATCTATGGTTTGAATTACATCTTCACGCCAATAGACCATTACTACAGTCTACATTACATATTCACACATAAAGCCGTGCATGCATATCTTTAGAAAAACGAAGCACAGCTGTGTATAGAATCCTAAAATTATTCTTTCTTTTTAAAGGTTGAATGTTCTACCATGAACGTGGTTAGGATAAAATAAGTAGCCATTTATAATGCAATATTCACTGAGGACTTTCACACTCCATACTAGTTAGTTAAGAGCTTGGTCATGAAACTATCTGTACCCAATGCTTGAACTGTGTCGAAGCTGTTTAACAAAGGAACTTACCAACCAGACGTCAAGTATTATCCAATCTAAATATATTTTCACAGCTATATATACGAGTATATATGTACATGATTAGTTTCAATAGATCTATTTTAATCAATTATATATGAAAATAATTTCTATTTAAACAATATACGTCTCTTTACAAAATAGAAAAGTTTCGTACGCAAGAAGAATGAACAGTATACAGTAGGCGGTAATACAATTGAGAATGAATTATGAAAACATATCGATTATAGGATCAGATCCAGTGTTAGGATTTCATAAAACCCATGCATTCGACAATACTTTTCACAATTCTACGAAAGCAAATTTTTAATTTGAATAAAAGAGCTTGTTTTCGTCTTGTCAAATTGTTAAAACAGCCTAGCCGTGACACAGGCAAAGGGGGGGGGGGTGATTGGAGTATTCCGTGGTATACCCAATGTTTGAAACGATATGTCTACAGTTTTCCCCATAAAACCCCCCACACAAAACAACTGTTTTATCAAGCTAGTTGGGTAGCCATTTTGACGAACGCTTTATATCGAAAACTCAACGTCGAACTGATCTCTACGAGTTCAAGTGTCATGGACCGACGTTGTCCCAATCGAGTGATGAAATTTACACAGAAAGAATCTTTCTGCGGTATGATCAATTCGTATACTTGATGTATGCTGGTAGCAACCATCACCTGTCGCACGTCTAAATGATGAATTATAGAAGTTATTCTCATGAAAGTTAAAAGGGTATGAATCGAAAACGCAGCGTGAAACCTCGTTATAAATGGCCCAGGTCTAACGCGTGGTGGAGATTTATGAGATCTTGATGACTGGATACTCTCCAAAAGGGAAAATTCATCTACACGAAAGAGAATATTATTGTTAAAGGAAAATTCATAAAACATCGGCTTCAAATGAACCGTTGTTATGTGCAGGCTCTATATATAACATTGATGATGATTTCCACTGAACTCAAAACAACTGGATGGAGCTACTCGTTAGTATGTATGTATCAATGGTATGTATTTATTAGATTACGTTAGTATTGGTCAGTACGCATGCGTAGTACCTGTTTACTTGCGACTTCTTCATCGCGACCATCTCCCACAACAATGTAAGTACATTTTCGACCAAAACGATTCGCAATTCTTTCAAAACAAGACTCTTTGCCTGAAGATACGACATCGCGTATAAAAACACCTCGAAGATTATCGTAACAAGTTGTTACCGGTGAACTGTAATAAAACCTGGAACGCTAACTTGGCCGCCATCTTTGAAGCCAAATTTGAAGAAGGTAGTTTTTGAACGTTTCAGACTGACGTGGAGAGTAATTATCTAGGAATGTCTAGAACTATCTAGAACTATCTAGAATTATCTAGAACTATGCGAAATACAATCATTTGCTAGTTTTTATAAAAATTGAAACACGTCAAAAAATCAGTTTCTTGCTCCAATTTTTGGCTTCAACCAACTATTACGCTTAGCGTTCCAGGTTTATTAGAGTTCACTGGCTGTTACCCACCGACTTTCGCTGCACTGTATGTGTTCTCGATGGGAAATATTCCTCCCAAACCATAGAGCAGACATTTTGCCAGGGCTGGCACGAGTTGAGTTGTGGTCACGAGTAGATTCAAACAATTCGACCTGAAGAAAAAGCGTTGTTTCAATTTACTTCAAACTAGATTTGCCTCGCTTAGTAATATGTCTGATGGCAATGATAATAAGGAGGACTTACAGTACCTGGAGTGAACTAAAGTAAGAGCTTTCAAAGCAAGTGTCAACCAGGAGTCTGTAAGCGCTTCCATTTCCATTCTGAGCTGTAACCAAGTTTCCCTTTTAGTTGGGCCAAGAAGACCTAGATTAAAGATGAGTTACAATGCATTTCTCTAGGCGTCCAATGTAGTATATTTTTACCAACGTGTTATCATTGTCCCTCTAAAGAGTTCACTACATTCCTACCTCCAACATTATTGCGATAACTATTATATATCTCTTTAATTCTCCGATAACGATACGCCAGTTTCTTCGTCCAGTCCCCTCCGCGCATGTTTTGATTCAGGCACATATTCGCGGAGGAGTGGAAACCATCGTTTTCAAAATTGTATGTGCTAAAGAGAAGTGCGCACAAACGAGTTCACTTGATAAAATAGCCGAACGTTTGGGGTGAGTATTGGCTTGAGGTATACATAGATAGAGTTCACACGTACCTAAGATCAATGCCATTGTCATCGGCGGCCACGTCATCGATATGGACTTGGTCACAGTCCTAAAATTAATAGACGCAGCAAATTTCTTAACACACATCGCATTTACTGTGGGCGGATAGTGTAAAACTTTGACTAGATTTTGGCGAGTTAAATCGTAGTTAACTCTAAATACACGATTCTGTCTGGTCATATATAACAATAATTCAAAGTGATTCCTCCTCTTACAAGGGGGAACAAACCTCAAGATCGTGGAAGAACAAGTGCGTATCGGACAGACTAAAAATCATTTCTTCCATTCGTAATCCAATGGAGACAGTTGATGGAGCATCCTTCCCGTACTTTCCAGCGTAGGAACCAGTGAGTAGAGAATGAAACAGAATTATTGTCTCATCGAGGTCCCATATGAATATTCTCTAAAACACAAAATTGCCGTACAGAGTTCGTCAATTATGTGAACTTTACGTTGCAGAATCAGTACATGAAACAACGTTTTATTTACATAAATGTTTACAATTTCTTGCCTTCGCAGGGAAAAAATTATCCCTGTATTCCACATTGCCGTAAAGAACATTATTATGATTAGTTCAAGTTTATTTGGAATGGTAAAAATGATCTACCTCAATATTATGATCAATTTCAGGCCCAGGTCCCGAAGTCGACCGTCTTCCTCGACCCGAACTTTTCCCCCTGCCACGACCCGCACGACCACGTGACCTATTGCTATTGCTGTTGCTATGGTTACCATCACTCGCGGACGTCACAATTTGAGACGAATCGACGACCTGAACATGACCAGCGGTAGAGTTTTGCACAAGAACGCCGGGGTTCATTTCCGTTTTAACGGTCGACGGTGACTGCGGCTGCGCAACGGCTGACGTCATCTGCCCTGCGTACTGAATGTTACCTAGCAACGTGACATAGCGTGGATCAGTACAATGAAAAATGGATTTTCACTTTTTTCATTCGAATCCAGCAAAGTTTCAATATCTGTTTTCTCTAATCAAGTTTTAGATAGAATTTTGGCACCGTTTCAAAAGTTAACACTCCGTTTTCAAACTTTACAGGCTTTATATTTTTTAAAGACGTATCAATCATGTCAACGGTTTTGCAACTCCCAAACCGTTTTCAAATTCGTCAAGGTGCACTTCAAAAAAGATCTCAAGCAGGAAACATCAACTGACCTCCATTAAGGCCATCCGGCAGACCAATTACTGCAGCATTATTCTGTGTTATGACATTCGACAGCTGTGTCATTTGATAACTCGTGGCATGCCCGATACTCGCTGACGCTGTCCCAGGGACTGGGACGTAGGCTCGCGCTGCATATGTCCCAGGATTGCTGATGAAACTGTAGGGATACGTCGGCGGCTGACCACGACCAAATGCAGCAGGGTTGTATTGGTATAATGCCTGACCGTTTGGCTGAACTGTATTCAGAGTACCATTGGTCGTAGGTTGTGTTTCGCCACTTGTGGAGGGGTAGGTGACGTACGTTGTTTGTCCTAAATGATTACAGTAATTAGAGCAAGGTTTCGTACAAGACCCCCGGGGGGTGAGGAGAGGGGCAGTAAATATTCGTTTTAATTAAGCTAAGGTCAAATGCACAATGTTTTTTCTGGTGATATTACTGGGGTATTATAGACACAAAAATAATCTTCATCTGGCGCTGCTGTTGCGCAACATATACATTTTGAGGTCATTTTCAGGGTCAACCCCAATGTGGACCTATGTCGATGTTATTGAAAAAAATGGCGGCAAACGTCATACAGCATGACGACAGCAATGACTACGTTTGTCACTAAAACGAGGTTAACATTCACGAGAATATTGGCATGCGCGAGAGCCGTCACAGGCAGGGGTTGAAATCAGAGCTTTTTTTTCCCAACGCAAGCAACTTACTGAATGCCAGATAAATTAAACTTCAAAAATTAGGCATATCAACTCGCTATGCGACTAAGTCTATAAGTTGCTGTGAAATGAGGGAATCGATGATTATTCATAATTGTGCATGCGTTTTCATTACGCGACGTAAATGATTAGATTTTTTCAACGTATCTTAATTGTACTGTAAATCAGATTACTTCTTAAACAATAAGCAATTCCATCTTCTCAAACAAAAAGCTAATAAGAAATACATATCAACACTCGCAATGCAAATTCCCAACAACTTAAGATTATTTACTGGCCTAAATATAGCGATATTCAGCAGTGTAATTCGAGATTTAGATATGAATGATTATGATATATATACTGCTACAGATACTGCAAATTATAAAGATATAAAAAATACTCAATATATGGATCAAGGAACTGTAGATTAAATTACTTCCATGTTATATTTTTGTCCCACATACCCGACACCTTACGTTGATTCTCATTCCAAGAATGAGTTTGGTACATCCTTACTTTTTCCCGAGAACATGCAGCTTACAACGATTTACAGTGTCGTGCTTCAGAGGCGATCTGTATATAATGATTCTCTCAAGCCTTATTTTCGCTTCAATTAAATAACAGCCAAGATTGATCGAAGGCTCGCAGGAGAGGAGCAAAAGTCAAGAGAGGATGTCAAAATTGATAAAACAAGGAACCTTAACTGTGCGTAAATGAAAACAAACAACGTCAATAAAATACAAAACAATGATGTTTGCACCTGGTCAGCCTCATAGTATTTTCTATGCTGCCTGCGGTAAGATCGGGATTATAATAGATTATGTAACCATCTGGTGTCTATTTTTGTTAATTTATCCATTAATAAATCAAGCGATGGGCGTACAGGCTAATAAAATCGGAGTGGCCCAATCTCCACGTATAGCAAGTGGCATTGGTGACGCGTTTATAATACAAGTAATAAAATATAAAATCATTTTATATAGGCTTTTTTGATGACTTACTGAATCAACCAGTTCTACGTGAATATAATTCTGTGAGTAAAAGTAGTGCATAATATATCTCTACAAAGCATTTTTCTAAGAAAACGTTGTGGCTAAAATGTCATGATTTTACGACTGAAAGTCCAGATAACGTTCAATCACAGTGCTGATCGCGTTCATGTTTATTTCTTTAATGTCTAGTTTATATTCCGAGTATGAAGTCAATATAGCCCGCAGCAGACATAATATAACTTAACTTGTAAAACAGGAAAGGCTAAAATTACAAATCATTATTTCCATTCTTGAAACCTTCAGATATGAGCAGTCTTATTCGAGGAATGTCAAGTTACCGAAATCAACTTTGCGCTATTCGTACGGGGAGGAAACTACGTTAAAAGAAAATGCATGTCTGATATCTTCGTGCAAACGGTTGCACAATCACACCACGGCCTGTAGAGTCACGTGTCGTATCACATGTAACAAGGATGCGACATTTTTCACTGGCATTCATCCCACATATAAACGTAACATATTTGAAATCTTTCCTGCTTCCTGCTTTCACATAAAACAACATTTTGTAGTTTGATATTTTTAGCTCTTTTATGCAACAGACCACCCTCCTTCGCGCGCAAGAACCCTTGTTGCAAAGCTTTGTTTAATTTTCAAAACAACGTCATGATTCGAAACCTGCTTGGATATCCACCTAGTTCATCTTTATTATCCCAAGTACGAGCAGAGCCTTCGCTAGCAGCTTAATTCGGGGGGTGCATATTCATATATTCGTCTTATGCCCGACTGCATGCATGATTTTTTTTGTTAGCTATTGTTTCCAAGGTCGTACGAACATGGATATTATTATGAATATATATCCCTCTCATCCCCGAATTAATGTATCCAACGACGGTCCTGGGTACAAGCTCAAATTCGAGCAATGTTTGGTAATAAATGTTTTTCATTAAGATAACATGTTCCATGTTTTGTATATACACAGGTCTCAGGGAATTTTTGGATCTGCTGCCGGAGCGCAGTCCACGGACTGATTGCGATTACTCTCACCGTGGATAATAAAATATACCCACAGCATGTTTTTATTATTTAGCTTTCACACGCAATAATTATTTCCCCATACAGTTTTACACCAAAACCACGGAGGGTCGATTCTTTGAAATGATATGATCGATTTGACTTCATGACAAAGTATAAGCTCAATCGATTGCTGTGTTATTATTGTCGCTGAAGGTTAGGTGTCGTCGTAAATAACGTCATGTGATATTTAAAATATATAAATTAGCATTACTAGCGACGATTATTTCCTATCACCTTCATTCGGTAGGCACAATCAATGCTTCTGATCAAAATTTCCGTTAAAACTCAGTGCTATTATTACGTAGGTGTTTTGTAATTATGTCTGTAGCCCTTCAAAGGAAACATATCACTGACTGACCTGTGCTGCCTTGCATAAAATTACGTTTAGCAATAAGTAAATAAAGGAGAAAAATTGCAGCCATGAAAAACATCTGGAATCCTTTATCAGCTGATAGTTATATCATTTATAATGATAATTATTGTTTAAACAGAATAAATTGTATTAATATGCCAACATTTTTCAGAATTACTTTAATTCTATAAGAAAAAGGTTAAGGTCAAAGATGTTTCTAAATTAGTCTCGTAATTACCTGTTATTTTTAATTTAATAGAGTAGAGTGATATTAGACTCCAGTTATTTAGATATCCTAATTAGTTCCAAAATTAGTCACTTAATTACCTTTTATTTTAAGAGTAGAGCGATTTTGGTAATTTTCCAGTAATTTGGCAATATGATTATTAGTTTAGTTTCTTACCTGAAACTCCAGGCTGTTGGGCCAAATATGCATTTCCATATGCTTGTGCTGAGGGTAACACGCCTGCATAACTCCCAGGAGTGAATGTGTTACTGGCTGCAAATGCAATATTTTGAACCGTTTGAATCTCACTTCCGTCAACCTGCTGTTGCGTTGCTTGTTGTTGTTGTTGAGGCTGCGACTGTTGTTGTGCTTGCTGTTGTTGATCTGATGTCACTTGTTCTGTTGCCGAAGGCTGTTCTCCTGTTGAGGTTTTGACAGCCGCATTTAAAGTGGCAGTTTGGTAGTGTATTGGTTGGGTAACAAGCGAGAATCCTGCCACAGGCGACGGCTGTGGTCCGGTCTGGGCATAGAGAACACCTGCTGGAACAGCTGATAACGTAGCACCTGAAAACAAACACAAGGTTAAGTGATGTGAAGGACCCGAGGTGGAAATTCTAACTCTTAAGGACGTCAGATACGCATACCTGCTGTAGCAAAGCCCTGCAGACCAGCTTGAGAGGGTGTGGTTATAATATGAGGGTAATTGCCGGCAGCAAACAGTGTTGTGGTGTTTGCACCAAACTGGTTTGCAATAGGTCTGAGCTGTTGATTTGCCAGGCTTGTCATAACAGCTGCCGGGGCCAACCCATAGACACAGTTCTCGAGGTTAACTGGTGTTGCACTGGGATCTTGAGGAGCAAATTCGGTAAGATTTGTCAATGTGACATTAGTCACGGCAGGTAGTGAACATTCCCCACCATCAACTCCTTCCCAGTTCACCTCTGACTTGGCCTCATCTTGTGACTTCTCGATGCCTGATGGAGTTTCTGCGGAATTTGCAAGTGTTCCACTTGCTGGCAATGTTTCAGCAGGAGTTGTCTCAGCACTTTGCTGTTCCACTGGAGCTGGTTGTGCCCCAGGTGGTTCATTTGTCATCATTTCTTTCGTGGTTGCCTTCGTTACAGATTGGCACAGTTCTACCTGGCTTACATTGTCTATATCTGTTCCTGCACCGATAGTTTCTGTGAAAATATCTGCGTCTTTGTTTTCCCTAGAAATAAAAGAAGGATATAAACAGAACTGTGATGACTACTCCAATACAAAATTTTAAAAAAAGGTTGGTAAGGCTGAATGACCTACCCATCTTTTTTAACTCCATTATCTGTCACTGGATTAGACTTGCCAGTTTTGTCAATCTTCTGTCTTTTTGCCTGTTAAAATTACACTGCAGTATTATCTAATATGCCATGTAAAGAGCTGAGTGTCTGTCTGACATAGAGGGAGTGTTGTGGAATAAAGAAAACCAACACTGTCATTTTATGCAAACCACTAATACCTAAATAACACTGTCTCTGTTTGATGTGAATTGCAAACTTACCGGCTTTCCATCCACAACCTCAGTCTGGGTTTCTGATCCTTCACCCTCCATACCTGTTTACCTTAAAAATATTTGTTTAAATTACTACATCAACATCAACTACCCACCAAGATCTTTCTAGTTTAGAATAAACAACCAAATGAATGACAAAATTTAATGAAACTACTTTGCCACATGCGTTTACTATGGGTACTTAGGTAACTTCAGTCAATGAACTAACCACTAGTTTTTCTTAATGCATCAAAAGTTGCTAATTTCTTGCACCTTCATTAACTAATGTGACATGATTTGACTGATCAAAGGAGAGTAAATACAGCTAGTGAATTGAACCAAATGAAATAGATGAATCACTTTGAACTTAGGAATACCTATGGGTGAATGGTATGGGCCAATTATATCTACTTGTACAGAAAAAATGACTTGTGTATATAGAATATACAAGGCAGTAAACAAAAAAAACTCTAAACATATGACTGGTTTATAAAGTTAAAAAGGACCAAGCATGTATTACTGTACAGCTAGGCAGAGGCTGCCCAGAATAGCAGTACAAAGAAACAAATCAGAAACAATTAAATTACTTGCATGGCCGCTTTTCAATAGTCAGTATGATTAAAATAATTAGAACGAATTAAAGTTGATCAAGAACAAATAATGCAAAATAACATCTGAAATCTTGGATAAAATAACTCGAAATGGAGGAAGCTTGGGTTTTTGCATAAATGCGAACATCCAACAGGGAAAGAGGCACGGAGAGGTCAAAATTCAAAGCCCTCGCGATCCTAAAATGCGATCATTTTCAATCCTAAGTTACATAAACAGTGTAACGACAGAAGTCTGACGGTGTTATGATAATTTGGGATCGCATATACAAGAAAATTGTATCATATTTACAACGATTTCCATATTAAACTATCGGCAGAAATCGTTTGTACGAATCGAGCGCAAATATAATCCGCATTCCACACTTAAAGTGAAAATATGAAAGAGCTGATATTCCTTGGAAGGGGCAAAGGTATTTTATTATTAAAACTGTGCGCCGGAAAGATAAAATTGCGGAACAGGAGTTAGTTTGAGTCTCATTCAAGAATACAACAAATACGCGACTCAACTTACATTAATAACTCGCTGTAGATATAGTTGTAACAAAACCTCGCCTTTCGTTTGAAAGAATCAGTTTACATTTCCCACCATATGGGGAATGCAGCGCGTCGTGTGTCTTCGGCGTCTATGCGTAAAAAGTGCAGGAAATTTAGCGGTATACCGGTGCAATAAGACACAGAGCTATCTGCATTTGGAAGTGTGTAAGTACAACGGATTATATACAATAGAAAGAGTCAACTTGTTTACTTACCCAGGTTATATTTCGTCCGTTAAAACAGGAAAGAAATACCAGTGTAATAGGAAACCATTCTACATTTAGCTGGTTTCAACTTGCGTCTTAGACCGACCATCAACCCAGTCACGCATTGCATTCTGGGACGTCCGGCGGTTCTCGTGTGGAATTCGAGATACGGAAATGAACCAATCACAGCGCAGCTTAATTCATCAAACGTGACAGTTCGCTGGTGAGCTATTAAAGTGATTAAGCTAATTATGTTGATTTGATCAGAAACAATTGGTTATTCTTGTCGGAAATTGACGCGTTGAGAGATCGCCACCCAGTGATCGTATCAGATTACAATCTTGTCTGAATGCTATGCATTCCTTTGCCCATTGAGACCAAGATAGACCAAGTTGCGAACTCCACTCACACAATTCCCCTTTTTTTTTTCACCACTTGTAACATTCTTTTGTTGCAAAACACTTCGCGGATGAAATAGCTAGATTCTGCAAACTTATTGCAAAAGATTTTTGAATAGAATTTTTAAAAGATTTTCGAACAAGCTTAACACAAGTGACAAGACAGTGCAAACGGCCAAACCATAGAAACTTGATTTATTAAACGGAAACAGCCAGTTGGAGGTATTAAAAAAATTAATAACAACGACGTTCATGTTTGACTTTCACTACCACTATTCCAGTACCTACTACAACTTGGTTGACCTAATACGCTCACGATTGGTTAATCTGATAGAGCTATCGCACTTGATTGGTCAATGTTTCCTCCAAAGTACGTAGCAGCAATGGTAGTGGGCGTTAAATGTATTAAAATATTCTAGTTCGAGTATTAAAATATTTACATCAAGATCCAACCAGCCGTTTTTGTCGTGTCCTAAACAGACTTGCTGACACCAAATTTACAAAATCTACTTCAGGAAAACGACGAGTGATAATTTTCTTTCTAAACAAATTCTTCTTCGATAAATACTCTCATTTCTTCATCATCTGCTTCCGAATAATCGTCATGTTTCACTTTCAATGGGAACTGGATGAAAAATATGTACATGAACCTTGTATAAACTGCTTTGGCTCCGGGGGGGGGGGGGATCATGTAATAATTGAGGAAAAAGATTAACCGACTCACTCAGACTCACTTACCCTTTTTGCGGGGTATCGGTACCGTTCAAAGTATCCAAAGGTCATCAATGTAACTTGCTGATTGTAAGATAGCAACACTAGTATTGAATAAATCTGAAGAAAAAAAGGCACTACAGTACATCATTTCTGTCACGATACACGTTTAAATAACTTTAGTCTTTACAGAGAAGAAAGACTGTCATGCACGGGAGTCGGTCTCGTAAAACATGTAAAAACGTGCAAAAACATGCAAAAACGTACCGTAACAAAAAAAGCGATGATATGAAAACTAATGTTCCCAGCGACAGACTAGAAAGAGAGAAACAAGCCATTTACGTCATAGTCCACTTAAACAACGAGAAATGAGATCTGATTTCGTGTCAAAATTATTAGAAAATGCTTTTCTAATGGATACAACTCGTCGTCAGCTACAGGAGCGTGCGAACAAGAAAGGATTAGGGGGGGGGGGGGCAATCTCGGGTTTTGCAACTTGTACAATGTAATGTGTGCTGAGCGGGAAATTTCAAATTGAAACGGTTTGATTTTTAACATGGGAAACCATTGAGATTCGAGCATCTTGCATATTTGACGGGGAATTCACTTGAATTTGACGCTGTATTGACGAACAACCAGATAGTATTTTGACCAACTTTCTAACAATGGCAAATATTGGGGGTTGTCGAAAACCTTGTCCGCCACGCCGCTGATCAACTAGGGCGAGTTTAAATTCAGGATTAAACTGAAACTGGCGTGTACAAACGACATATCATGAGAAGAGCTGATGCCGGGAACTACCTGTTTGTTGCCGTTTAGAGCAAGAATCAAAACAAAGATTGTAAAACGAATAATGAGAACAATTCCATTCCATACTGTCCAGATCGTTATGCTTTTAAAGGACTTCTGTTGATTAAAAAGATAATATTGTTTATGGTTCATACAATTCCGTATAGATGTACTAACTTTACCCCATTCTTTCTTCATAATTTCTCTTTAATTTTATAATTTTTATACTCATTTTATACTCATTATAGATTTCATTATATCTCATTCAATCTTTCTTCTTCAATTGCAATCACTGTATCCATTCATCCACAATTATCTCTCACTACCCACCTTTATCAGCGAAATCAGAAGATAAGCATTGAATACAAAGGAAAAACTGCTCACGCCAGTCCACACATAATGCACAGTTTTTATACCTACATAAAAAGTGGGGAGCTATTTGTTTTCGAATATTGTGTGAAATTTCAAAGAATTTCTTGTCGTCGATCACAGAAATTTACTATGGAACTTCGGCTCATCTCAAAACATATAATTATGGTTGAAGTAGTATATACGATGATTATACACGAGTCTGTGGATGTTTACCTGGGCATTCAGGGTGTCGACAACCCATGTTACCATAGTGCAGTGAATGCCAAATACCAGTAACAGACATCGCCTGAAAAAACATGAATTATAAATTGATGGTGGTTGAGAAGGTGTCATAATGACATGCCTCAGATCGCTTTGCCTCGTTAGAGGCTATCAATTCACGCAGATTGTAATATTGTTGGTTTTCAAAATTAAACAACAGCAGCATGTTATTATAATCTAGACGATAAGACCAATAACCACATGGTTCCATGACAAGTTGGTCCAGTTTTATGGGTTTGAAAGCCCATCAAATATTACCAATTATTTGATTAGGTTCTTCTAGATTGTACTATACAAACTGATTGGTGTACAGCGATCTCAAACGGGCAAAATGAGCCATGTAAACAATGTGTGAAAGCCTAAAACGTTTATTTGCCAATTCCGCTAGTTTCTTTCTGAAAAACTTTGTGTATAATTAGAAGACTATGTAAAAAATTAGGCAGAATAAATACAGGCATAGATTAGGCCTAATAAAATGGATGACAGTGTATTTCAAGGAAATACACAGAGATAGTTTGTATTAGAGCAAAAACCTAACATAGCATCGTGAAAATCAAGCAGAATTTGAAGACCTGCATATTTAGGCAAATGCTTGCTTGAAAGAGAACTCTATAGTCTATACAAAACTATTTTACTATTATATAAAACTATTGCACTTGCTTAGGCGACTATTACGAAGTCACATTAATTACCACAATTTGTGGCTGACAGTGACAGGTATTATATTCTGTGAAGAAATTTGGCACATAGGGCCGGAAAATCATTTCATTCGACTGTCAACCAAAGCTACAAAGTTGACATATGAATTGCTGAAGTGAAATAAAAGAAAACAGACGATGAAGCAAAAGTGCGACGCCGATATCACTTTTCTTATTGATGAAAGAAGGATACTTTGAACAGCCAGAATACATCGTTAAGGCCGAAAAATATTTGACAATGAATTGTCTGTCAATCGTTTCACTATGTTCCACGACAAGTTATTAATACTCAAACGGTGAAACGTTTTATAACAACATACAGAATTTTAAAGCGGCGAACTAGGTCGATATTCAAGTAACAGGATGTCAAAGCAACAAAACAATGACGTGCAAATTGTTGTTCAACCCTGTTAGGGCGAGTTTCCAGAAGGCGAAACAATTTAAAAAAGTAGTCGAAACATTACCATACCTTACGCATGTGTACTGTCAAGTGGTCGTGTACGAGAATACGGATATTATGCAAATAGGGTGGTCACGGTGGCGCGAACGATTGAAATTTGAACGGGTATGAAATGTAAATATTGTTGATTATTTGTATAATTTTGTCATATCACTTCTTTTAAACGCACCGTTTCCCGTCAACACACATGATACCAAACTATGCACATTGACATATCTTGTTTGAAGTAAATGCATGCTATCGGATAGTCACAATGTTTATTTACATGTGGCATACTTACAACATTCGCACAAGCAAGTGTTAAGCTACCAGTCCTCAGACTGAAACAGCAGAGGAACGAATTGAATATGAGCTGTGCTTTGTTTCTGTCATTGGCTTTGATTCGTCTCATGGTCATCATCCCAACTCTTCTCATACATTCACAGATATCAATGTCATTTATCGCGTGTGAATCGTATTCCTTTCTTCAGCAACTCTTTGCAGAGGTTTACATAATCTAATTACGCATGTCAGACTGATTCCTGTTGCGTTTATACGAATCAAACCGGTCTAAACTACATTCTTTCAGCGCAGCTTCTGTCACGGGTTTACACAAGAGTTAGACGATAAGAAAGCGGACACTCCGAATTTAGTTCAGTTAGTACTCAGTTGACCAGTCCATACCCAGACAACTAGATTTCTCTCTGCTGTGTGAAAATGCTAAGCTATTGAAGTACGTCGTGAGCTAAGCAACAGCAGGTGAGAGGCGAGACGTGAGAGGTATGTTATCGCGCCCTAGGAGTCAAAACCGGTATTGAACAGCTTCCAAAGTGAAATTACTATCGGTGCTCTCGTTCAGAAGCTTCTCGTTCACTGATGAATAACATCGTCAACTTGTTCAGACAGTTTGAGCTCATCTATTCAGGGTAACAGGCTGACGTTTCGGTGTTCTTTTATAGTCGACGGGTCAAATAGAAAGACCAGTTCAAATTGAAAAGTTGCGCGAAATATTCTGGACAGTTAGACATCACGACGATGCCACGTTATACTATCCCTCATTGAGAGAACACAAGAAAAGCCAACACTGTGTTCAATGTGTTGTCAAATGCCCCCTAAGTCAACATTTCTTTTCCTCGCGGTCATTCCTATGATTTCTTTTCCTCGCAGGTCGTTCCGGGCAGGTCTAATAACAAGTGTAATTACATCGGTGATTATCGTGAATGCTCATTCCTGATTGGTCGCGCAAAACGCGATAATCAGCCATTGCGTCTTTTGGAAATGGCGGCAAAGTCAATTATGGCTTACGAGGCATAGTTTTGCAACGGCTGCCAGTGTTCGTGTCATAAGTAAAAGGTTACAGACGTAAAGAATTTGAATCAGGATCGGTGATTTAAAAACCTCCGCTGATCTAAGCTAGCCTGCGCGCAGACTGGATCGGGATGGATAGACATCGGGTAACACCATTGGGGACTGGAATCTCATCTTGGTTGAGATTTGATTCACTCAAGGTCGACGATCGACATCAAACAGAGATATACAGTTTCAAGAATATAATTATATAAAAATGGACTAAATGAAATTCACATACCATATGTAACCTAAACCTCTATTCATGCACTGATGATTTGCTGAGCAGAGCGTGGTAAGAAGAAAGATTTGTTTTTTAATAAAACTTTTATATTTTGACTTTGTCATGCTAATCATCCTACGATACTATGCTAGGTATTAATTTACGCTGGGAACTATCAACTACCCAAATAAATGCAAACATAACATGAACTGTTGCATCATAACATAATTTGGTGTCGAATTACATTCCTTCCTATGTTACTTCTAGCCGTTCTAGGCCCGTTTTAGACTGAGCTTATCAGAGTAAAGAATACCTGTATTCATCTTATGGTTTTAACAGATAAGAGGGAATTCGAAAGATTTAGCACTTCACAGGAAGGATGCGTTATATAACTGTATTTTGCGGACGTTACAGTCTGGAAACAGGAACGCGGTTTGTGGCTTGGTTTAATATCGTAAGTACTGTAAAATTCAACAGACAATGCTCGCTTCAAACACGCTTATACCATGTAACCCTACTTCATTTTTAAAGCCGGCGTCTTGACCACCCGGAATGCGCTGGTAGTGTTGTTCATAACTGATCTCTGTTTAGTTACAAAACAAAGCTCTGGGATGAAATATCGGAGCTTTCAGAAGTTCAAAGGGTCGCATCGAGTGCATGTTGATTCATCAGTACTCTATGATTGAGGTGTAGACGCCGACCCGTCTCCTCGTTCGATGCTCAACTGTGTCTCAAAATACGTTTTTAAAAAAAAACACATTTTGCCGGAATCTCAGACGAGGCTGAAGCTTGCTATTTCATCATCTCTGAGGATTGTCATATAAGACGTCAGCTCCTGCTCCATATATTATTACAGACCTTACACAAATGATACACAGACAAATTGGCCATTTTGACCACGACGATATCGTATAGTCATGAATTGCCCGCGAAAATAATGGTGTCGTCAGCATGCTGCTGACACACTCAGTGTGACCTTTAAAGCTCTGGTTGTAAAACGCTGGATAAATTACCTTGTATGTACATTGAAGCGCGGCTGGCCAATGTAAAAAATCTTGTCTAAACAATCTTGTTCAAACAAAGGCAGCTTAGATTTCGCCTTAATATGCCCTGTTTTTCACGAAGTACCGTGGGTAAGGATACAAAAAATCGCATTCTTGGTCCTGACTAGGGGCAGTTGAGCAAAATGCACGTTATTTGGCAGGAAATAAACTAGGGATCGACCTGATCTTGTAGCGGGCTACCACAGAGTCACAAGTTTACTCAGATGGACTAAACTGTAAAGTTGAAGATTTCACTTAAGATTTCACATGCAACCGCGTCCTGGTTACAAGATGCACTGTTCACTTGACCGATATAGCCGCGTTCGTTTTTTTGCTGGTTTTTTTTTTGCTGTGGCAAATTATGCATTATAGACAAATATCTCACGGTCAGCTTTGGACATTTCTCGTCAAGTATAAGCGAGAAAAACTCGTCTTGAGCGTCGAAATTATTCCACTTTCTTGTACTACAGTTGTGCTCATAATACTTCAAAAATACTGATCTATAAAAATTACCGGCAATCACGTATTTCCGTGTGGTAAGTTATACTAAGTCTTGCCAGTAATCTTGAAGCTTGAATACTACACGAAGCAAAGACAAAGTAGTTCTCTGTGAATGCAGTTTGTAGCCAATGTTCTTTACCTCTTTGTTTATTTTTCAGGTTTTATATTTAATGAACATTATTTTGAACATCACTTCTGTGGAAGCTGTGAAGTCTTACAGAGACAATATTGACGAACACATAGATTATGACGGTTCGTATAATGATGGACGATATGTGCAATTCTACGAGTCCAAATGTTATATTTTTCTTTCTAAATCCGGCCTTTTTTTTTCATCAGAAGACAAGCTACTTGCCTTCAATTATATTTGTCTGACATTTGGGGTTGTGACAATCTTGCTGTCAACGGCCTTCCTGGTGAAATATTCTGAGGTTCGAAGTAATTTTACACTGCAAACAACTTCAGCCAATATCGACATTAGTTTTCTATAGGTATTATTCATCAGTATACCATCATCATATATCATATTACCATCACTACCATAACTTATAACACCATCATTACCATAAACATATAACACCATCATATTACCATCACTATCACTGCCAATATCCACAATACACTCATCAATATTAGACTAACAGCACGCCTCTTTTTTTTGTAGTCCGAAGATTTTATACACTTCATGATAAGATGGAATGTCGTGAGGTGTATCTTTGTTTTTGCTGCCATTATTTACGTCACAGTCGATATGGACCACGTAAGAAGGACGATGAAATTATTGGTATGATTTGGCTAAATTTAACCTGCTTCTTTTTGGCATTTAGATAATAACTGTAGCCTTGTCATCAGTCCTGATCACAGTCGACCTCTGTGCGTCGGTAAGTAGCGGCTGAGGTTTTTATTTCGTGCAAGATCAACGATATTTGGTGCAACTAAAACAGTTCGTCATATACAACGCAGTCGTGAAATTTTTGTTGTTTTACAGACCTACTTTACTGGTGTGATGGCATCATACGTTAAACAGTTAGAAGATCCAAACTGGCAGGTAGATATTCTTGTAGTTAAAGCTCTCAATACTCTGCACTAAACAGAGGGTGGACATTGAAAGAGATTCTAGTCAGTATGAGCATAACTTTTCCTCAGCATTTTCAACCAGGATTTTAGCCGGAAGCTATACAGGAGACTGCGGTGCTTGATCTAATCATTTTTTATCTAATCTTTCTTGATCCAATTCTTCAATCCAGGTGCATTCAAGTCAGCCAGATAAAACTGCAGAACCCTCTATTCATTTGGTTTCTCATAAAAAATCTTTACCAACGGAAAAGGTGATTGTAAATCAACGGACAATTTTGTTTGTGTTTTTTAAATAACCGAACTAATAAAACTGCATCATAAAGTGGCCATAATGCTCAATATTTTGTGTGATTTTATGATGTTGTAGGTCAGCTATTTTAATGAAGTTGCATATACAGCGTCTCCAAGTTTTGTAGATGTTTCATTGGATGATGAAGAACCCGGAGAAGTTGTAACAGAGGATCACAATTCAACAGCAACGGCGAATGACCGTATTAAGAGTGCATTAGCTACAAAAGGACCATCAAGTAAAGTGTTTGGTGAATCTGGTGATGGTAACGAGATATCAAGCAACGAAGAATCGCCACTAGAGGAGAAATCAACAGAAGAAAAGCTTGCCTTGGACAGCGTGAATCAGAATTTAACTTCCTCGGAAGGAATGACAGTGCCGACTGTGGAGAATTCTGAGACTGAAACTGAGAAACATTCTGAGAACGAAGAAACAAAGAATATCCTAGAAAAGGAGAAAGATGCCAATGAGAATGGAGTTGCAAATGTAGCATTTGACGCAGGCGAAACAGATCCACCAACTGTTGTCCTTATACCAGCCAGTCCTGTTGAAAATGCGGATTTGAACGGGAATACGAACGAGAGAGGCGAAGACAAGGCGGGAGAAGAGAATCCTGCGTTTGAGCAAGTTGATGCTGACGAGACCACCTGAAGAGGTGTAAAATGACTTTATATTCAAATGATTATTTACTCTTTCGCATTAACTCTACTAAGCAGTTAACAAGACTAACGTCTAACGATATTCCTATGATTGTAAACTACAACAGCACCTACGTGGCTACTTGCAATGATTGCAATCAAAATATAGCAGTCTCAGTAGGCTAACTGTTGATTTTGCTACTAATCATGTTATATACTGTGATCATTTTTATAAACTATTGACAAAAAAGTAGATCTTGTGTAGCTCTTCGTAGTGTGTAACATCGGCCCCTGCGATCTGACCTAATTTGTCGTGACCGTTTTCTCTCTTTCGTGACCACTTTCTTCTGTTTTGCGATGTACTTTCGGGGATCAGTGGTTTTAAAGTCTCATGATAGAGCACGTGTTTTTCATCAGGGGGGGGGAGATAATGTAAATGCAGTTACAATGTTGCAATTAACCAGGTGAAGGCTATTTCAGATATGTCAGAGCACCTCGTCACCAGGCCTCCAACTCGTACGCGGCCACAATATCCAATATGGCGACCAGACATGAGGAGTGTATATTTTAAAAATCCTTAAAAATACGTTAAGCGTACATGCAAATTTTGTATATACGAGTAGACTTTGTAGTTTAGTTTTTTCCCGCAATAAAATTCATTTCAGAATAATTCATACAAGTACATTATTGTATACTTGATAGAATATAAGGATAAACTTACTCTTCCTGCTGTCACTTGCCAGCCTAGCCGCTATGTGTATATCTGCCAGAAATTACTCAGAGGCAATTAACGGAAGCAATCAATGGCAGACGAGGGATAGCACAGCAGGTAAGGCACCTTTGTTTACCAAGTCTGTCTTTATTCAATTATTGAAAATTATATGAACAAACTGCAACAAACTAGACAATCTTAACTTGGAAAAGTTAGACTGGTAAGATACATTCAATTTCCATGAGCATATATAGGGCAGGCTCCCCCGCTCCCCAGAAATTACTCCGCCTTGAAATTACTTGTTGTGTTAGTTACTCCGAAAGTGATTAATTTGAAATTACTATGTTAAATTTGATTAGAAAGGTCTAACCCCTTTGTCGAGATAACATTGATATTTTGTCAGCAAATCACTAGGTTCAATCAGGGGAAATTTGGCAACATGATGCTAGAAAATGTGTTTGTGAGAGTCTCAAGACAACTAAGTCTCCACTATGTAGAGTTGAAGATCAGATGAGTGACAACAAAGTCAAATGCAAAAAATGTTGCCAGAGCTTCCATGTCAAATGTTTAAATCAGGGATTGCAAACTACTAGACAAGCAAAAGAATGCACCTTAATTCTTCTGCCCTTCTCAACATGTACACTAAGTGAATTTGCTACTCCATGATAAGACAGGGTTGTATGTATGTAGCCTGACCATGCACTCATTTTAAATACTCTCTACCAGGCAAGTTGGTCTTAAAATTTTTAGTAGAACCCACACCTTGCAAACCACAACCAACACACTCTGTAATCAGATCAAACTTTAGTATTTGAACAAGAACAAAATGCCAAGTGTTTTGGAAAAGGGGCCTTTTACTGAAAATTCATGGGTGGGGCTTAGGAATTTCTTAAGGGGTAAGCAGAGAAGTGTCATGTCATTTTTTTTCACAAACATGTTAGAGGGTTTAGTGTCTTGCTCACTTTGAGAAAATTTTGGAATGTCAAGACTCTTGGAAACACATTTTACTGCATTGTTTTACTGCCAAATTTCCCCTGATTGAACCTAGTGATTTGCTGACAAAATATCAATGTTATCTCGACAAAGGGGTTAGACCTTTCTAATCAAATTTAACATAGTAATTTCAAATTAATCACTTTCGGAGTAACTAACACAACAAGTAATTTCAAGGCGGAGTAATTTCTGGGGAGCGGGGGAGCCTGCCCTATATATGCTCATGGAAATTGAATGTATCTTACCAGTCTAACTTTTCCAAGTTAAGATTGTCTAGTTTGTTGCAGTTTGTTCATATAATTTTCAATAATTGAATAAAGACAGACTTGGTAAACAAAGGTGCCTTACCTGCTGTGCTATCCCTCGTCTGCCCTTGATTGCTTCCGTTAATTGCCTCTGAGTAATTTCTGGCAGATATACACATAGCGGCTAGGCTGGCAAGTGACAGCAGGAAGAGTAAGTTTATCCTTATATTCTATCAAGTATACAATAATGTACTTGTATGAATTATTCTGAAATGAATTTTATTGCGGAAAAAATTAAACTACAAAGTCTACTCGTATATACTGAATTTGCATGTACACTTAACGTATTTTTAAGGATTTTTAAAATATACACTCCTCAGTCCTCATGTCTGGTCGCCATATTGGATATTGTGGCCGCGTACGAGTTGGAGGCCTGGTGACGAGGTGCTCTGACATATCTGAAATAGCCTTCACCAATTAACCAGAAACTTCAAAGAGAAACATGGTGGAAAGAATGTGAAAAACAGAATTAAAGAAAAAGGGGATAATTATATAGTATTCGGGGAAGATATTACGTCCTAGTTGAAGCACTACTTCGAAACTTGCTTCGTAAGGGAAACATATGCTGTAGATACAACTATTTGATGTGCAACAACATCATTCATTATGGTAAGAGTGAGTGGACGAAGTTCAGTTTCTATTACTTTATACCATCATACCATGGATTTATTCATCCTGAATCGCTACGACACAATCCCCATATATTTAGGGCAAGAAGAAGAAGTTTATTGATAAGAAGAATGCCGTTAGCTTCCGTCTGGTCCACCGGAGTCAGCGCGATCCACTACAGGCAGATGAAGATAGTTCAAAACATGTTTTATTACCTGTGGGAAACACTGAATTATCACACGATCAGACACACCAGGTTTGGATGAATTTATCTTACCGTAATTTTTACTGTTCAATGAGAAGAAATTAGGTGTATTTTCATGCTGATGTAAATAATCTTTGTTCCATAGATCATTTCATATATTGAGCATTAATGTTTATAAAATCTACAACCCTATATAGCTTCTTGTTAGATTTTTAACCAAACTTCATCATCCCGATTTTATTTAACAGAACTTATAATATTATTTTATTACTTTTCCTAACAGGCAACTGGTTATCAAGGGTAAGTGTTATGGAATCTATATGTATGTTATGAAAATGTCAGTGGAGACTTGCCTTGTGTTATATATGTAACAAATAACTCGCATTTTTCTCCACCCTCAGTGAAACAGTAGAGGAACGTAAGAAAGAGCAGCGGGATTATGGTGTATTTTATGAAGACGATTACGACTACCTTCAACATTTAAAGCCAAGAACTGACACAACTCTAGAGCCCTTACCTGACAATGTTACTGTGATTGAAGCGAAGAAATCTGATGTGAAAAAGGCAGGTCTAATCATATCCAGCTTGATTGACATTTGTTATTTCCATGATTTCAATCTTTTTTGTGAATAAAAAAAATGTCTCTTTGTAGTTTGGAAAGGTGTCCTTGCCCAGGGAAGTATTTGCGTCAGGTCATGAAGAAAAGGAAGGGATTCTCAACTTAGCTGTTCCTATTTCAGGTATAAGACAACATTTTAATTACATTTCATACCTAACTGGGCCACAATACTTTACATTCTGTCACTGCAGGTCCCCAGCCAGACTGGGATCCAGATATTGTTGCTGCTTTGGATGATGCAATTGATTTAAATGATCCTGAGAATATTTTAGATGATGATTTTATTCTGCAGGTTTGTTTCCTTTGTATTTACATGTCTTGATAATCTAATTGAAAGCTCTCTAGTCTATTTGTTGACATAAGGTGCAATAAAATACTGTATACACTAAGTTAATAACTTGTAATTTTCTCTTCTTACTGTATAGGCTAATGAATCCTTTGAGGAAGACAGGTACATAGAATATATCTGCATTTGTCATGGTTCAACTAAAGAAGCCTTGTTTTAATGCATCTTTATGTAATACAGTGATATTGAAGGATCCAATGAACGTGTGAAAAATGATGAATATAACTTTCCATCTGATGGAGATTATGATGATGACGACAATGATAGTTTTGACTTTGGTGATGATGACGATGATGAAGATATTAAGTCTAGATTTTCAAATTATTCTATGACATCATCTGTCATACGTCGGACTGAAGGTTGTTAGCTAATGTTTTTACAAAAAGGATATTGTTATATTTCTTCAGAAGTTTTTTTTAAGAAATGTAGTTTTTCATGTTGTATTTTCTTCTCCCTGTGCAGGACTTTGTCTTCTAGATGATAGATTTGATAAGGTTAGTCTAAGATTAAGCTCTCATGCATGCATCGCCAGGTGTAAGAGATAACTTCTCAAATAAAAAGGTAATATATTAGGTAATAAACATTTCTAGTGATGTTTATACATGCATAACCGTTAATGATTTTGTGCTGACTGTGTTTAGATAATGGAAGAGTATGAGGATGATGAGATAGGAGCACTCGACCACGAGGAGGTTACTGGTGACAGGAGCCTGAATGATCCACTTTTGGAAAGCATAAAAAATGAAATAAATGATAAAGAAGTGGGTGGAAGGTACACAACTTCCAGGTCTATTTTGAGGATGAGTTTACTGAGACTGTAGCTTGAAGAAGTTTTTAAAGAATAAACTTCCCTGCTTGAAATATTGGAGTTAGGTCATGTAATATATTGATAAAAAATGCGTTCAGCAAACTTGAATTGTAATGGACACTATCTGCAAGTAATATATATTGCAACACAAGAGACTCTCTACCACAAGATAGTCAGCAGTCTTTACATTGACACGTTGTAAGACTGCGTTACACCTGTGGAAAAGTAATTGTGTTTCTTTGAATCAATTGTGTTTGCCTTGTGTTAAGGTGAACTTATTGGTTTCTTGAAACGAAGCTTGCTTGTGCATTTGTCGACGGAGCTGTCTTGAGTAATTCTCCAGTACCTAGCATAATTTGCAAGCTGACATGAACAAGCATGCCTGTGTTAAGGAGAAGTTTCAAAATTTGTGTATCCTTTCCTTTCTTCTCATGTGCATTTTCTTTCCACATGACAGCGAGGCCGTGACAATGTCAAGAGTTCGGTTTGATATTCCAGAGAATGAGAGGTCAGGAGGTGAAGATGACGGCTTTACAAGAATTACAGAGGTTCCCAAGGAAGAATGGGACTGTGAATCTGTTCTAAGTAAGCAAGAACTGTTTAGATGATCTTGAAACCAAAGAACTGATACAAAATTAATGCTTTCGTCTCTGAAATAAACAATTTAATGATCATTTTGTTCGTCGTAGGTACCTACTCGAACTTGTACAACCATCCAGCTTTAATTAAAGAATCTTCACAAACAAAGGTAAAGGTGTTTGAAAACAATTGTAAAAAATTTGAGAATAGCGGGATATCATTGACTAGGATTGTGTCTCATTTAATTTCGTTACCTCGAATGGCAGGATTCTGGCGCGAAGCGTATCAACTTATCAAAACGGGAAGGCATACCACTCGGCGTTCTTTCGGACGGAATAAAAAACAAAGGTTGCGAGGCCCCTCAAACGAACCAATCAGAAGAATCCCAACCCGCGTGTCACGTGAGATCACGCGGGGAAACGAGAGAAGAGAAAAAGACGCGAAAACAACTGGTCAAACAGGAAAAACAGGTATATATATTTACCACGAACCAGTTCGCACGACTCGTCTTCGTCCCCAGGACCATGCAGCTTTTTTGCATGAAAAATACTATTTTGTCACTACATAATACGCCTGCCGCCTCGTACAACTAAGCAACAACCTTATTTGTTTTGAACAGGCTAGACGCGTCGAAAAGAAAACAAACAAATTGTTATTTAAGGAGGAACGCAAGCGACAAGAAAAATCCCAGTCTTCGCTGGTTATCGGCCAGAAATTACAGTAAACAGTTTATTCGAGCCATTCATAAGAAACCCAACCGTTTCATTAAAAATGGTGGAATGACTCGATGTGTAAATAAAATAATTGGTGTGAAGATGAAAATTTTATTGTATTAATAAAAGCGAAAACTAAAATTAATGGGAAAAAACAGCCACCTAAAATTCATAGTTTATTTTCTACTGTGCTCATTTTCCCAGCTTCAATAAACTTGAAAAATCCCTTGGCATTAGAGACTTCGGAATGAAGAAAGGACCATAAACAGAGAGCTATGTACAGCAAACGTCCGTCTAAATCGTTGTATTTCTCCTTGGACGGAAATATTCTCCATTTCTCGTCAGAGAATTCGTTTGCGTCTTTCGAAGAGATTTCTTGAGTTCATGAAGCGTATTTTGCATGTTATCAAGTTGTCTTAGTATTTCATTATTCTCGCATGCTTCTTTCTCTTCCTGGATATCAAGACGCGGAAATATCACATTCTTTAGGTTTTGTACACAGCTTGCGGTATTTGGTTTCTTTCCTTCCTGTAAAGGTTTCACGTATTTGCCTCCGAAGCCTAGGGACGGGTATTTGTTAAGATGTTTGTCCATATCAACTATCAGCAGCGCCTATAGAAATCCGTTTAAAATTTTCGCGTTAACTTATTGTAGAAAGTTAGCAAATGAGGGCACCGCTAGTACAATGCTGAAATGAAAATAGTGCTGAGCTTAAAATTAACACAAGACATCTCCATAAGGTAAATCTGGAAAGCATACCTTCTGTATTTGTTTCTCGACAAGCGAACGCCTCATGATCACGCCAATATCCCCAACAGCAAGACCTGTTAGCAGGTTCATCAAGAGGATACTCATGAGAATCAGGAACAAAGCAAGGAAAATCAGAATAAATACTTTTGTTATATATTTGCCCTCATATACGAGAAATGCGTCACGATAATCCACTTCGCCGACCATCATTGCGAACGAAGTAAGAAAAGATTTTACGATGTGGTCAAACCCGTCGTCTTTTTTATTGAAAAGAACGAAAAATGTCATCGAAAACGCGATGATGAAGAAAGACAATGGCACGCACACCTAAATTAAGAAATGAAATATTCCATCAGTTTTTACAAAGAAAACTTCGAGTAAAATCGTATACCATGGTCATTTGTAATCATTTTTACCCTGAAGAATGTAATAAATATTTTCTTGGCCATTATGATATAGATTCCATAATTTGGAAATAGTTTTAAGAACCAGGCGAAATTTATCCATCCAAGAAAGATCGCTATAGCACCGGCCAGTCGTTGAAGGTCACTTTTCTTGTCGTACGGTAAAAATATGAGTACACAAACATACATAATCAATTCAAGATAGGTTGAGACCACACAAAAGTACTGCCATTTTTGATGAAATAACTAAAAATAAGATGTATAAGAAGTTTTTTCAAAAAATAATAATATTCATCATCAATTATTCCATCTTATCCTCAAATTTAGTCAATTGTTTTCTTCTCCCGAGAATGAATGTTTTGTTTTTCCAAGAATGAATGCACATTGATGATTCATTGTGGATTGTCTCACCTGAAATCCTTCCTTGATGATGCTTAAGATGACGAAAACCCAGCAGATGTAAGCGATGATCGCACAAGCTTTGTCTGAACTAATTGTACGCCCTGATAAAACAAGAAAAGCCACGTTAAACTGGTTAAACGTTTACGAGGCGTATATTAAATAAGTCACTTAGGGGTTGTTCGTAAAATGGACTTTGAGGTATTGAAATGAATAAATAACACAATTCTGGTAGTCGGTAATGATACTCCCAATAGCATGTGATTGTTCTGTTTCGAAAAGACTTATTTCAAATACTTCAAAATCCATTTTACGCTTCGTTAAATCTCGGTGTAACCGGCCTCATGTGATTGAACAACCCCTTAACGTGCCCACTTCGCAATAATCAACTGCATAACTGAAGCTATACTGTACCAAAAAGTGTAGTTATTCAAAAATACAGTCGTCATTCGTTTGCATAATCGTTTCATAATCATACCTTCTATTATTAATGTGATGTAAGTGGTTAGTGAAAGCAGAAATATTATGTAGACGCCAAAACAACTGAAATACCAATTTCTGGCGCTAACAGACCATTTGTGATCCAAAAACTTCTGAACGACCACATGATTTAAACACTCAACCCGTGAATATTTAGCCATCATCTCTATAGCTTGCAATGACGTGACCCTCTCCTGATCACTACTTTTTACGCCAGGTTTATCTTCTGAAGCTAAAGGCAAAAACACAAATACGAAACGCATAAGAAATATTGCAAATAATCCTGTCTATAGCGACGGGGCTTCAAGTTTTATCAATGAAGGTTTTTTACCACCACCTTGACAGAAACAGTGTTAATACGACTCCTTTCATATTGGTTTAATATGTGCTGGTTGCTAAAAAAGCCAGAGCATTATTTTTATATCTTTTGCAGGTTTGTTTTCGGACCTGTATATCATACCTTTTTTCGTTTGTAGAGCAAAGAAATCATATTCGCTAGTACCATCAGCACGAGTTTTCACACATTCGTTAAGGAACTCAATCGCTACCTCAGGCATAGTTACCACCATTTTTGCTAACAAGCCATCAGGACCCACCCACGATTTTTTCATGGCCTAAATCAAAAGAAGATAGTACCGATTGTTTACTGGCGAGATGCTTACTTGCACAATCAACGGCTTCGTTCACGCTTAGGAGTGATAATAATAGAGTATATTCTATATACCTCTTCCCACTTTCGGCCCTGATCGTACGTGAGTATAACCCTCACAATATCTGGCCGCCTATTCTCAACAGCCCAGTCTAAGCATGTTTTCTTCTTCTCAATACTATCAGCATGACTCGGCGCAAATAGTTGAGCATTTCTGCTGAGTAATAATTCCAGTGTTTCTTTTTGATTATTGAGCGCTGCAAACATGGCCGGTGTCTCTCCAACAAGATTCTCACTGTTGACAATTGCTTTGTCTTTCGCGAGCAAGGACTCCACGCATTTATTGCAGCCTACGTAAGATGCAAGGTGGAGCGCTGTTTCGTTTTCCTTGTCGCTAAATGAAAGATATTTCACGTCAGAAGATTTCATATACCAATATTCTTAGTAACGCTTTAGGATTGGGATCATACTATGATCGAGAAGGCTAAATAACCTGGGGTAAGTTGTATAAAAGACTAGTTAACTTTAAACTGTAGTTAAGGACAGACAAGGCCCGATCAGAGTCGTGTATTTCTGAATTAACTAGGATTTAACTATGCAAAATGTAGTTAAATAGTTCTACACAACAGGCCCCAGGGGGCAGCGTGGCAGCGTCTACAAACAACTTTGCATCGAATGTGGTATAACAAGTTCCTAAATTATAGACAAAACGCTTCTCGACGTTTCGTCCTGAGGGCCTTCATCAGGAGAGTTAGTATGATACTATCTCTCATACAAACTTGCGATACAGCTTCTACACTAACGCTTCTTTCATGCAATATCTGGTAAAAAAGAAGACTTATCCATCACAGGACAACTATAGGGAAATCTATATGGGGGGAAACAGTCTCATGCAGATTAAGATACCGATTATCAGCTAAAATTGGTTAAAAAATGAAGAAGTGAAGAGACATACTATTTGATAGTCGCACCGTTCTCCAACAAGAATGAGACTGTTTGCCATTTTTGAAGCGAAGCAGCAATGTGCAATGCTGTTTGTTGTAGTCTGAAATCAACAGCATCCAAATAATCTTGAAGGGCATCTTTGGATTCATTTTTTTTAACAAACTCCACCAAAGTCTCAACTGTGGAGATATTGCTACACGCTGCGTAATGCAAAGCTGTTTTATTGCTTCCCGAGCTACTGCGAATATCGTAGGGAACGCCATTATTTCCCCCAGCAAGAGTTTAACAATCTAGAAATATACAGAAACTGAGTATTTGATGCAAATGCTCCCTCGGTTTGATAAACAATCCTGCGAATGACCAACCTTGTATGAACCAGCAGTTGCAGCATAGTGCAGCGGTGTGAAGCCATTGGTGTCTTTTTGATTTAGATAATTTTTGTACGCGTTGTACCTCTCCTTGAAACAACGGATAGGAATATACGTTCTAGTTTCTATGTGTAAAATATGTTATCGCTTGTTTACCTACTTTCATAGTCGTTTCCCGGCCATCCCGGGGCCGGTTATACGAAAACTGGAAGCGCTATTCCACCGGATAGTGGTGTTATCAATCGCTCCAGAACTGGTCGCGAAAAAAACACTATACCAGGGTGCATGATAGCGCCTTATTCGACATTTATCAAACGCAGAATTATTGAGTTGTATATTCATATACCTACCGTGCGTTTACACACATCAATCATTAGAGAAAATATGGTGTCGTTTTTTGCCGCATGGTGAAAAGCATTTCTACCGACTCTATCCTGTTCCACGAGTAAATCTGTGTCAGTTGAAGTTTCCAACATAAACTCAACTATCTCAAAGCCTTTTTTACAGGCTATCATCAGCGCTGTCTCTTTCGTGTCCACTTTTTTTTCAGTCAAAGTTCTTATACCGCAAGGTGTACTTAAAATCAGTCGGACAACACCAAACTGCTTGGCTTCGATTGCTCTAAATTTAAAAGGGAAAATAATCATTGAGACAGGTAAAGATTGAAAGCCATGCAGAATGAACGCTGTATTACGTGAGCAGTGGCGTAGCCAGCCTGACGATTTAGTCATGCTATGCAAATTTTATGTTATTATCATTATTCATTTCTTTAGGAATTCATTGTTCTCACAGTCATTGAACACCAAAATATTAGCATAGCCTGACGAAATTGTCAGGCTGGCTACGCCACTGAAAGTGAGCACTAAATTCATACAAGAAATCAGCTCAATTTTCCTCGGCTACTTGCCTTATTAAAGGGGTATTGCCTCTTTCGTCGGTCTTTCGAAAAACCATGTCCTTTTCGTCATTTTCTTCAATAGCTAGTTCAACCAGTTCGACCAGTGGCGTTTCACAGAGTTTGTGAATAAAACTTTTATTTCTTTTTAGTTCTATTTTCAAACACTGGATGATGTGTTCTCGTCCATCTTGAACATTCATGCAGGTTCTTAATTTCTCGGATTTCTCGGACGAGCTACTTTCTAGAATAGCTTGAAGTATTGTACCTCCTTTGTAGAGCTCGCTATTTGTAAAAAGCTGCGATTGATTGGTCGCTTTTCTTGAGCCTTTCGAAAAAAGAAAAGATTCAATGGTACATATATATCACTTGAATTACAAATCAGGCAAATACCGTTTTCGATCTATTTATGAAAGCTCACGAAACTAAAAGCGTGTACAAAGTCTTTCTATCATGCCGGAGAAATTTCGAAACGGGGCTTTGAACGGTTACGATACACGTAGAAATTGGATAGCTCGTTTAATGTTCAAAAACTATATGGTATTTACGATAAAAACGCTAAACTATTCAGACGGTACAATAAGTTAATAAATGGTGAAGCAAATAAGGGCGTTCCTTTATATGACGTGACTGGAATGACGTAATCATACAAAAGTTTCGGGGAATTTTTGCTTCTCAAGGTTCTTCGAAAACATCTGCATCTGCTTGTAGTTGTTCCAGTTCGACCCTATAAACATTTGCATGCTTTGAGGCGTAGTTAGAAAGCTCATAGAATTTATGTCTATTGGCAAGAAACTCGACTTCTTCGGCGCCTTGAATAGCACTATCCAGTAATAATATTCGTTTATTTATCTTCTTTTCAAGCTGTGAACGTCTGTAGTACAAGCTAGACGTTGCAAACTTATAATGACATGATCTAAAGCTGTTCAGGGAGTTACCATCCTTAAGCCTTGAATCACTGACGTTTTTAAGGCAAGTAGCTGCTGTGTCGATAGCTTCTTTGTTGACGAAATGCTCGACAACGTCACCAGATAACGAACAACCTAGCAGTAAGATTGCCATATTTATTTCAGTCTTCTGTTGCATGTCCGCTTTTGATAATGGCACGTAGTCGATTTTTTGCAAATGCTGCAGAGCTTTTCTATAATATACCAAAGCTTCGTCTTGAAATGATCCTTGGCTTAAATCCGCCTTCAGTTTTTCCCTTAGTTTTGCGTTTCCTTGAATAATAGTAAGGACAGTAGCAAAATGGACATAAAACTCAGCAGTTAGGATGCATGGGGATAATATCTCGACAGCTGATAAACAATCCCTTGCGGTCTGGTAACTTCCCAAATGGTCCCCCTGGGTACGTTGTAATGCAGAGAGAATAAGCTTTCCTCTAACCTCAAAAATCGAACTGTTCTTTGCCTTGGTCAGTTTCTCGTTAAACAACGTTAGTTGTTTTGCGGCTGCATCAAAATCACCGTCTTCGCCTTTTCTGTAATGGTACACATACCATTTTGATAGAAGCACCAATTCTACCTCAATTCCATTCGGGTCACCTGCTTTCGGTTGACGTCGTCCAGCTTCACGTATGAAATCCGACCATTTCCCGTTGTTTATAAGACGCAAAAGGTTCCCATCCAATGAATCACACTTTCTTCTCAACTGACGTGAGCTCCAATCGAGTCTTGATAACGAGCGAGGAATAACTCTGTCACCATCTGGACAGAGTAATCGGTTTTTCCAATCCTCAAAGGGAATCGCCTCAATCTTTTTCTCAACGGTAGAACTTTTTGTTTCTCTGTTGACAACGTGATAACTTTCGGGTTCGCTTACAAAAACACCGCCCGTGCAAGAAGGTACCGTTACCACAACAATCCAAAGTTTTTTCGATTCATCTTTGTCACCTTTAGCTGGACTGCCATCGCTATTCATGACCGCATGAAAGCTTATTTCCCACTGCTTGCCTTTCTCAGGAGGAGTACAATGCCCTGGCCACAACATTTTATCAATCTGTTGCTTCAATTTCTTCTCACATCCCTTCTGTTCGGATTCAGCCATACATTCGCCGACAACTCGTCCAGTCTTGTCATCAATACCTATAAATACGCGCCCTCCGACGTTGTTTGCGAAAGCTGACACATAGCTCGTAAATTTATTCTTTATAATACGTTTGGTAAGGTCACCACGAGCTGACTTTTCTGCCTTCAAACATTTAAACTGAAGGGTTTTCGATTCGTTGACGTCCAGAACTGAGTTAAGAATGAATCGATCAGGGGGAACAGAATCTTCAAACTCGGTGACATCGACAATTCTGTTAACATCCATTTTATCAATAACCACAGACCGCTCGTTGATTGGCAGGACTTCGGTATTACTCGGTAGAAACATATGGTAATTCAAAGTACATAATACATTCAATGCTTTTATTTTCAAAATAATTTCACTCCGTTTTTCGCTGCAGACTGTCAGATGCGAGATCAAACAATCAATTCCTATCAAAGGACGCAGGGCTTGTTCAACTGGACGGATTATATCAGCTGATCTTAAACCATGTTCTGTGATATCGCTCACTAACAAATCTTTATCTGGATGGACACTGAGAATAAGTTTGCCCCCGTCACTGTTCAATAAAGCACAGACATACTCTTTGATATTTTTTATATGTTTTTCTCTTTTCTTATTCTCATTCTTCTGACCGGCTTTTTCATCTTTACTTTTTCTCCACTCGCTCAAGGGAATTGATAATGTGAATGTAGTTCGTCTACCGTATTCCGCCATGTTTGTACGATTTTACGAGTCTAAAGTAATCGGATACTTCCCTTTGGCGGTTGTGGGCGAAATACTCTTGTAATTAAGGCAATTTCTAGCGCTGTCCACGGCAATTCGTAGAATTACTGCTCTTTATAATAACAGTTTACCTTATTTACGCGACATGCAATAGTTTTGGGCACGGATCAATCCGCTATTATTAGTGAATCTTGAAGCGAATTAACCAAAGACTCTTTGTAATCAGTACAATGTAAATGTTCCGCATACAACGATTTCCATTGCTACCCGTGGTGAAATGGAATATAGACTGGGAACAAGCGATCCTTGGTTTTTTAAAGATCAATGAGAATGCTGATCACCTGATCACCACATGACAAACCAGGTCATAATCAAGAGTGTTTCAAAAACTGAAAACATTGTCGAAAGGGTCCACTGAGCGAGCGCATGCCTGCTAAAGCTTAGAAGATTTTACATGTTTTGATATTCAGCGAGATTGATTCCTATCAGATCAACCAATCACAAGCGCGATAAGCCAGTCAGTGAAAAAAACAGTTGTGGACGTTTTATGTGAAACGTCATAATTTACCCAAATCATAATGGTCTAGCTTATGAATCAGGTCTCGTGTGTATGTGTGAAATAAATTAAATAATTCTCAAAAACTCACCTTCGACCAGAAAAAGCTGTAATATCTCAGCACTTCCAGATGCGGTGACGCGGTATATAGGGGAATAACCATCTTTATTGACATGATCTATTTTGGCTCCCAGTCTCACCAATGTACGAACCATGGCATGATTGTTGAAGTGACAAGCCAGCATCAATGGAGTAGTCCCACAATCATCTGGATCGTCTACAAGTTCTTTCTTCAACGGACAAGAAGTCTCGATGCTTTTTATCAACTCATGATTTCGCACCTCCTGTGCGGCAAAGTGAAAAACGTTCCTGCCGTCAATTGATTGAAGTGCCATCATTTTATCCTCATGGTCCGGAAAACCATTTATGCAATCCAAGAGAATCTGAATGCAGCTCAGTCGCATTATCGCTCTCATAACACACGGGAGACCGTTCGCATCACGTTTTGTTAGCAATTTAACCAGAGTGTGGAATTCCTCTGCAATTTTCAAACAAAACAAAACATTATTCAAACACTCGCTTTTCCCCTCTGAGCCAGATTTTACTGAACGAGAGTTTCAAAATATAAAAAGTAGTACGTCGAGATCAGTTAAACCCCAATTTCATGATACCTATACTAGCTACACAGCGACCGATAAACGATTACGTCATTCCTATATTTAACTTCCTATCAGTACCTTCAGCCAGTATTTTTTTCACTTTTTCTTCTTCATGGTAGTTGACGGCAAAGAAAAGGTCCTTTTGCTTCTTCTCCAGATAACTCGTGCTGTTTAAACAACAGCAATTTACTGGTCTGGAATCATCTGGACATGGTTGAATTACGTCTTCAAGATCGATTGGATTTTCGATCGAATGTTGTGGTTCTTCTTCTCCATCCAAGCCGAGCCATCGTTTGTTTTCATTATCAATTTCGTCAGCGGGTGAAGATTTGATTGGACGAGCAGGTTGTAAAGGTATTAAAGGCATTTTAATACCGAGAAATGGACTGCCAGTGCCAGGTAGTGCTATTTCGTTATTTTCAACCGGACCATTATCGTCTGGTGGTCTTTCCGCTGTGTCTTGAACTCTCGTGTGATTATCATTTCCATTCAGTGGCGCTGAGCTCTCTGTGGACTGAGGAAGTATCGAATCTATAAAAGTAAAGCCGGATCAGATATTTCTATAATAAAACACGGCGCTATGTACTGTAGGCAGTACTGGCTGCGGCTGCTGACAATAGAAAATGTTGACTCGACACAAATGAGTCAACATTGTCTCGGACACTACGAATAACTTAGAAGTGAAAATAATATTTCCCATCCCTACCAGACCAACTGATAGTTAATAATTGTAAATTGGTAAAATAGCTTAATATGATTACAAATACCTCCCTGGTCGAATATCAATAATTCTGTTTCTTCTACAGGCGTATCTGACATCGTTGGATATCTGTAATAAAAATGCAAATATAAACACTGTATTTCACGCTATGAAAATAGACAAAATTCGATGATACAGTTTGAATGTGTTCAGGATTACGGGTATACAGACGGTGTGCGCAACTCTTAGAAACATACCTTCTGGGAAAGATAATAAAATGTCCTGAGTAATCTAGATCTCACTCTAGATCTGATGAGTGCATGTTGTTGTGAATGAAATGTGCATACAATTAGTTTTAACCCTTAGTGAAGTACGAAAGAGGTCATGACCAAACCCTTCAAGTCAGCCAATACCAACGCGGAATCAGGTACATTATTATAATCAACAGGGGATATCAACTTCCTTTTTGTAAATAAAGGAAAACGAAATTTGCTTATATTTTCAGAAATCCACCCACGGTCAAAAGAAGTTGAATTTCTCGGTTCACACTTTAATTACGTCTTTCTAGGGTGTATTTCACGCTTCTGTGAAACTATTAATAACATGCTTGATCCGTATAATACTGTATTTGGGTAATTCTAGCTGTAGTTATTTTACCCGAGAAGTGCAATGAAGTGGGGTTTTTACCGAATCAAGTAGCTATGCGTGTCGTCAGGGGAAGTTTGTGAAGAGCAAAGCCTCCAACAAAGTCGCTAATTCCCCGAAAGCCATGCATTGTAATAGCATAATAATGGTGAGGGGAATTCTGAGAATTATAAAAAGATAAGGTTTAAACTTTGTATGATTAGGGAACTTTTTTCGTTTGTTATTTGTCTAGCTTTGTTGTGTTCGAAAACAAAGAATGTCTTCTTAATTCACAATTTATCGTTAAACAAAGAACTAGGATAAATAGTAATTCTTTGGCTTTCATAAATTTCTTGGGAAATTGAAAAGAAAAAAGTAATGATATAAATGCGGTTAGATACGGTTCATTTGTAGATTGCTTAGGAAGTGATGAAGACAAGGGTGAGGACCTTGCGGATGTCGAATCTTTTGACCACACTGTCCATAGACACAGACAAATCCATTAATAAAGATCAACGGAAGCCGGCCCAAAGCTATAATTTTCTTCAACTCAGGTGCACTTCAGTTTGAAATTTTAGTTATTCAAATTATATATGCACCCAAGTGTTTATACACTATCAATAAGGTCGTTTCGTCATACATTTACTCAACGAATCAACGTAATAATTGAAAATAGTTGTATTTTCATAAAGAGGTTTTATTTTATTTGCAGAGGAGTTATGAATCGCTCGGCGGCGGCACAGATCGCTTTCATGTTCAAACTGAAAATGAAATTATTTCAATTTTATTTTGAGCGGATGTACAAACTGATCAATAATGAAATCATTACGCCTCGGTAAAAGCCTAGCGGCTAACGACAGGAGGAAATTTGGACGCGACAATTTCCGGTGTTAATAAGTTCAAAATCAAACAACAAAATAATGTTAAGTTGCGGTTTCTGCTTTCATAATTCATATTATCATATACTAACGTGTGAACCTATTTAATAACATTTAAGCCCCGTTTACACTACACTCGATTTATTGGTACGGCACAGCTAAAATGGGTACCCGTGCCCATTTCATCTGTGCTCGGCCTTTGTTTTGGTTGCCTGAGTCACAGAATACCTAACAGAAGTGGAACTCTATATTATTTTTTCGTAAGTGTGATTCGTCATGATTCGTCACTTAGCAAGTGCATTTTTCTGAGGCAGTCACCCCCCTGCTAATGTCTAAAATTAGCCCATTTTTAGTATTGGCAGGGGGGTGACTACCTCAAAAAAATGCACTTGCTAAGTGACGAATCATGACGAAACACACTTACGAAAAAAGTACAGGAGTTCCACTTCTGTTAGGTATTCTGTGCCTGAGTACTAATAAAATTGAGTACGGGTACCAATTTTAGCCGTGCCGTGCTGATAAATTGAGTGTAGTGTAAACGGGGCTTTAGTAACGGGTAGCAGTTTAGCAATTAAGCCTGGTTTACACTTGTCCTAAGAATCTGGCATTCCCTGAGGACGCTGGTGCGCAAAAGGGCTTTGTCTGTCGGAAATAATACAATGAATCTCCCATTTTTACTTCTTAGGTGCTAGTGTAAACAGTGATGTGAACCAGACCAGCTAATTGGTGCTCTTATCAGATAAACGCTGGCTAACATTAACATACTATTGTATATTTATAGCCACAAAGTATTTCCTCTGTGATATATTAGCACTAGTAGCCATTATAGACAGTACCTTGTAGGCCCAGTAATCCAGTATCGCTATGGTATCGCCTTGCGTGACACAGCGGCATTTGAAATTGACCAATAGGAAGCGAGGATTGCGTTGTTAATGGCAACGCGAGCTGTCACAAACATGGCGGACGGTTAACTTGAAATATTATTGTGTTTCGTAAGAGAAAAGAGGAAAAAATGCTTTGATCAAGCGTTATCGCAAGACAACACATATGGAAACGAAAGTTGGACCACTGACGTTCTTTTCCAACTTTGATTCGGGAAACTTAGCTCGTGTAGAAAGAGTAAAACGCGACGCAATTTCGACAAGCGATGTAAATTATATACCAAGCAATCTGACACAGCCTGCAAATGCAGCTGTTTCACTGTCGACGCAAGATCAAAATAATTCATCAACCAGTCTTGGGATGTTCTCGCTTTATTCTCCAGATTTAGAGTATAACTTATGGACTACACCGGATTGTGCAGGCACCATGTACGAAAACCTCAACAGGACGTGGTTTTACTTCGGAGTGAAGGGATGTTTGTCTGGAAAACTTGTAAAATTTACTATGATGAATATGAACAAGCAAGGAAAGCTGTACAATCAAGGCATGACACCACTCGTTAAAGTTGTCCCAGGTCGAAATAAATGGGCGCGGATCAGAGAAAGGCCGTCTCATGAGGTTTGTTTATGGAGGACCTATTTAAGGCTATGTGTACGGAATTCGTTTAATATCATTTTCGTAAAGACGGGTTATAATTACTATTGTATATATTGATTGTTTTGCCACAGGTGGTAGACGGCCAGTTTCAGATGTCCTTCCTATTTCGTTTCCCTGAGCAGAAAAATATGGTGTGCTACTTTGCTTTTTGCTATCCGTTTTCATACGAGGAAACACAACAGTATCTTCAAACGATGGATAATAAATTTAAACATAAACCTACTGATAGGAAAAACTCTATATACTATCACAGAGAACTGATTTGTGAATCCATCGACAAACTGAGAGTTGATTTGATAACAGTGTCTTCATGCAAAGGAATTGTCAACAACTTGGAGCCAAGGTTGGTTGGATTGTTTCCAGATTTGCAGACAAAACGAGCAAATCAATTTAAAGGGAAAAAGGTAACCTAGCATAGATGGTGGTGTGCTCTTTCCAGTTCAATATTCTACAATTCTCATATACATAAAATTTTGACATTAATTATCTTGTAGGTATTTATATTAACAAGCCGTGTCCATCCAGGAGAAACTCCTTCCAGTTATGTGTTTAAAGGTTTTCTTGACTTCATAATGCGTTTGGATGATCCAAGGGCAGCTGCATTGAGAGACAGATTTGTTTTCAAGCTCATTCCCCTGCTAAACCCAGATGGCGTGAAGCGAGGTCACTACCGCACAGACCAGCAAGGGGTTAACCTGAACCGCGTGTACCTTGATCCAAGCCCAGAACTTCACCCAACTATTTTTGCAGCCAAGTCTCTGGTGGCATATCACAACAGCAAAGTTTCAAACAATGAACAAATATTGAAGCTGGTTGAATCATTAGATTGTGAAGTTCCATGCACATTGTTGAATGAGAACACTTCATCAGGTGCTGAAATACAGTCTGCTGCATGGTCCTCCTCCTTTGAAAGTACTCAAGGTGGCTTACAAAGAAAGCTGCCGAATTCTATGGATGAGGGAGCCTTAGACAGCATAACTGAGCAAGAGGATCCTGCAATCATTGTGGAAGAAATTGTGGAGAAAAATGATGAAAACGAACATAAACAGAACATGAACCATGACAAACTGCAGATGACACGCAACAGTTCACCTTCTTCTAGTAATATTGGATCAACTTCTGCAAATGATCTCACGGAGGACAGCAAAGCTAATGGATATACAATGAAGAGAACAGAAAGCTCAGAAAGCAGTGAATCCGCTTGTGACAACACTGAAAGCCCTATCAGTGACTGCAGTTCGGAGAAAACGTCCGTCAACAACTCGCGTTCAAACGAATCTTCATCTTTGCTTGAGTCTTGTTTTGAGGGTCATAACAACGAGACATCTAAGCCAAAGCTTCCAAGCGGTTTACCCACCAAGAGATGCGACTGCAGCGTTGATGAATTCAGAGAAAACCACCCATCACATTGCCATGTAGTCTCCCCAAGTGAACTCGAAAATAATTCAGCCGTTTCAGGATATGCTCAAATAAACGAAACACAAACGAAGATCTCAGAATTAAACAACGTAGTGAATGATCAAGTTATTGTGCTACAATCACATGGAAGCTCCAAAGACTGTAGCGATGATTTGTCAAGCCAGAGTTCACAACTTTCAGGCAAAAGTGATGCCTTAAATACTACAGCTTCCAGTGCTAATCTCGCACAGAATTCCTCAGAACAAGGAACCTGTCAACCTGTCTCTAAACCCGACAAAACGAACTGCAGCTCGTCACCGAATCACAATGAATCAATCAACGCAACCACGGTGCCGTGCTCAGAGACACAAGACCAAATTGGCCTTGAAAATGATGAAGACGGCAGTTCTGTTCACGCGAGTTGTGAAACGAAGTTGGCATTTTACGTTGATCTCCACGGTCATGCGTCGAAACGAGGCTGCTTCATGTATGGAAATTACTTCGAAGACGACGAACAATACACACAATGCATGTTGTTCCCAAAACTGATTTCGATCAACTCCAGTCATTTCGACTTCACCGCATGTAATTTCTCGGAAAAAAACATGTACAGTCGTGATAAACGTGATGGGATGTCCAAGGAAGGCAGTGGTCGTGTTGCTGTTTACAAGATGACTGGTTTACCCCACTGGTAGGTCAGATCACGGATATTTTAACTAGGTTTTGTATTAACAACATGGCCAAGTTACAAGTCACATATTCACTCTCAATATATGATCAGGTCTTTATGAATTGACAATATTTGTTTGTTTATTATCAATACAGTTACACATTAGAATGCAACTATAACTGTGGCCGAAGTACAAACGCCGTCCCCCCCGCCACGTGCGACGGTGGACGTGCCACACCACCGCCACCCCCCGGCTTTCCACCACGATACACGCCAGAGATTTACGAAGAGGTAAGCACTTGTGGAGATGAGATTATGATAAAATAATTATCGATTGAGAGATCAAATCTCATATCAGATTAGATAACTTGAATAGAGACTTGAGAGATCTAGGGAAAAAATGAAAATTGCACCCAAAGAAAGATACAGTTAAGATCGAGTATGATACACAGCTGCGTGAATTAAGGACCTACGCACGAGCATGATAACTATATGATTGTATTTGTCAAAATAGGTCGGCCGTGCTGTCGCTATTTCAGCCCTGGATATGATGAATGCTAACCCGTGGTCAAGACTACCGTTTTCAGAACACAGTTGCTTGGATGGTTTGAAGAACTGGGTTGGTCGCTACATAAAGAGCAATAGAAACACGTCTTGCGTGATAAAGAGGACTACAAGAGCACTTCCAAAGACATCAAGGTACGGTGAAGGATAGAAGAGGATGTACAGAAGTTCGATACAAAAGGTCGCCTAATTTCTGGTTTTTATTTCAGTATTACAAGCGCAAGTTGTCCACCGATACATCGCGTCACTGTAGCTACCAAAATCGTTCGTACGAACCCTGATCTGACAAGTCAAGCTGGCACAAGTGAAGCTACGATAATCGCCAAGAATCAAGATTGTGTGCAGAGTAAGTATGGTATGGTATATGGTATATATATATGGTATATGGTATGTGGTATGGTATATGGTATGGTACAGTATGGTATGGTAAGGCATCATGGTGTGACCTTTCGCTGTTAATTCAAGGTGTTACTGGTAAACAGTTGTCATCACTGAGTCGCCACTCACCGGACAAGAAAAGGCTGAATTCCTCCATTACCACAGGAAGTCCAGTGAAAAGTGTCCAGGTATGTTCATAACGTATCCACCGTGTATTTTTCAACCAATCACAATCTCAGTGTTCGCTCGAGCACCAATCAGATCCTTTCATACATTTTCAGATGAATCAGATCAACCCAAAGATGAAAGACCAAGGAAGAAAGCGTCTCGACTTGGCTAAAACGGTAAAATATAATTTTGATTCATATGGCTATAAGCAACTTATGTACCATATTAAACCTTGGTTTAAGTTGAACGTTTATTATTTTATTTCAGACACCGTTGCTAGTGCTTTCAAACGCCGAACCACGCCACTCAAAACCAGACCGAACTGAGAAAGCGTATGTACTAAAAATTTGTTTTAAACATTTGAATATAGCATTGACTCCACGGTGAACTCGTGCACTCGATTGCGTGATTGTAGTCTGCCAGTCGCTACGCGTATCAAAGCGACTGCGCATGTATACATTGATCAACATGGTATATATTGACTCACAAATATGAGTTGCGTCTGTTTTCCAGAGATCAGCGCATGTCGCTGACGAGCTTCGAAAAGGAGAGATCAAATGTTGCGACGAAATTACGCGAGAATGTTGCCGTTGCGCGACTGAGAGATCAAGCTCACGATCGTGCAAATGGAAATTATGTTGGCAAGAATTTTGAGCGAAGGAGAAACAAGCTACCAAACATGTCGATGACCGCGAGAAATGCAGGTGGGACTACTCATTTAGCTCTCTGTTTATTGAGATCGCATTTGATCGTTCGCGTTCGTTTTATACATTTCGTGTTTAAGTTGTTCCATTTCGTGTTGTTTTGAGATCATATCGTGTCGTTTCAGATAATATCGAATCAAATAATGACGTCTTGGGGTACGCCATTTGCACTTTTGAAATTTTACAGATTTTCCTCGCACGATGTTATACATGAAGTTTTGCAAGCGAAGCTCGTCTGTTCATTGGTCTCATGTTATTATATTTTAATAATCGGATATTTTGCTTCTTCATTTAATAGATCTGATTTACCAGATAGAGACGGCAACAACAGAATTTTACGAAGACCAATATTATCACGAAGAAGAAAGTCAAAGAGGCTCGGTCAAAAAGTAAATAACTTTCCTTTTACATGTATTTCATTGGTAACTTACTTTGAACGAGTCGTTCAAAGTGGTTGATTACGATTTCAATTTTAGCATGTATTTATTGTCGACACTAGACTGTATTCTTTTCTATTTTACCAGGATCTAAGAAAGATTACTGCTGATGTAGTCGGTGTTTAATATCCGACACAAATATAGACATCCATATTTGACTAATCCATCTCATATTAACATGCGATAAAGATGTGTGTCTACGGCCGTTTCTGCGCGCATCGTAGCAGCTTGCTTGCCAGCGTTCAGTAGCGATCTATACTTGAACAATATTAATATATATAAGCTGTAAAACTATATTTATTTCTCAACATTTTAAGAAGAGTGTAAAACATATTAAATGTATGTATGTGTAAATCTATTTTTACTGAGTTTTAATTATATTTAGAAAAAAATCTTCACGCTTGTTTTAAATCGCACAGATCATTAACATATGGCTGTTTCATACACATTATTCTGTTTCTATCGTTTCTTTTCCATCTTTCTACGCTGTTTGGACACACCATTTCATTGAGAGAAAACAATTTGTTTCTGTTCTCACAAAGAAAGCCCAGGATATCTCTAAAGCCAAGATTAACTTGGGCATGTTTTGGCTCAAGTAACCTGCTTGCATGCGCCCAGTTTGGTTGTGTTGTTATCCCTCGTTTCCTGTTAAAATTACCTCTCGGCCCCAGGCCGTGTACACCTATAGGAAGATTCAAGAGTAAATAATCGCCGATTAAGCAGCTGAAGTTGTTGTTTCAAGATGAGAGCATTGCTGAATAATGCAATGTTGTGCTGGACCCAAGAACATGGTTGTTAACACGTTCCAGCATCTTTTCAACATTTTAAACAAAAGCTTGCTGCAACTTGATAACCCTGACGTTCGTGGAGTACAGCAACACAACATTGTTCAGTCACGTGTTGATCAATTAGTAAAAACTATTATAGTGAGGAGATACTTCATCTTGTCTAGTTGTGTTGTACCAAACCCAGTCAAACACACTCCCGATTTCTTATCCGCGTACACAAATTTGCCCAGTCGGAAGATGGGCTGAACTGGACAAGGTTAACTCCTAAGCTCTGCGATTGCTATCCAGTAAAGATAAAGTTGCGTAGTTTGTCCAGTTAACTCACCTATATGCCAAACACGACTCAACGTTGGAACGACAAACCTGAACCCTTTGTTATCGTTGTGTCTTCCCAGAACCAAGCCCATCGACATGCACCAATCGGGTTGCTTATCGGCGTTAAACTCTTTCTCGAGGGTTTTAAAGTACAACCACGTCGATTGGTTGATACCGTACGCGATCCCACGCAGATCTCGCGCGGTGCGCACGATAAACGTGTCCGGATGTGCATTGATCATGTTCTCTCCAGACCATCCGCCAAGTGCGAACTGTATGATGTCAGCATTACGTCGCTTCACCTCGCTTGCATACCACATGACCTTTACGAAGTCTGGTGATAGGACAGTGTCCTCTTCGACGAACAAGATGTCGTGCTTGTAACCAAGCAACCAGCCGTTAAACGAGCTTCCTTTTGAAGTCAAAGAGAGAAGACGTTATGAATGGTAAAAGTGTTTGATTGTCTAGTGAAGAGCGGTCTAAATTGCTGTGAAGAGCGGTGGAAATTGCGGTGGAGAGCGGTCGTAAGTCAAGAGCGGTCGTAAGTGTGGTGAAGAGCAGTCGTAATTGCGGTGAAGAAAAATGTTACGTAGACAATAATTTTCTCTTTTACTATGCTTCATACACACAAGAGCATATGTTTTACATCGATTTCACATGACTTTTCAAAGCGCGGTTGTATGGACGATAGTCACATGGAATTCAAAAAGCATATAACTGTATTTACGGACTTGAAACACTGAATCGTACAAAGTAAAGATCTTGGCCAAAATCCGGCTAAGCCTGCGAACTTGTTTTTCCAAAAGAATGACACAAGAACTGTGACATCAATTTTCTTCGACGGCGAAGGTGAAATTTTGGTTTCGCCTTCATAAGAGATAATCGTCATCTTCATTGAATATTGCAAGTCATATTGCATCACTGTATGGCACACTGGTATTGCATGGAAATCCGCGATTAAATTTTCACGATACATAATCAGATAGACACGAATTGTAGTAGTGTGTTGTAACGAAGAACACTGATTGCGTTAACTTATTCATCATTAACACTTTCGGAACAGCAATAGCAATAAATCAAACGACATTTAGCGTAAAGAAATATTCATTAACACAAAGTTCTCTCAGCTGCGTTCTAATATGTATACATTATTTACAAACAAAAGATATAAGGTACACATGAGAAGACGCGTTGTTCACTTCGAAACGTTGAATTTTAAAAACAAATTTTGATAGACTGCCTAACCATTGCGAAATGTACAGCATGGGGCAGACTTATAAGCATGCAGACCTACTTGCAAGAGAACACATCCAGGGATAAAACATACTGCACATATATTGCTGTTTTGTGAACAGACAAATATTATAGAATGCGAATTCTAATCTTTATTTTGTACACCTTTACATTAATGAATATTTCTCTTTGCTAAATGTGGTTTGATTTATTGCTATTGCTGTTCCGAAAATTTGAATGATCAATAAGTTGACGCAATTGTTCTTCGTTTCGTTCTATTGATTTTCACTTTACCGAATAATTATACAGGGTGAGTAAAAAAAACTGACACTTTGAAATTCAAATTTGTCGCACAGCGGCTGTAATGTGACAGAAGTTGCTTAAAATATTTCATAGCAATACGAAGCATATCATATTAATCAACCTAAAACATAAGGTTTGTTCCCCGTAAGCCCCGTAAGAACAAAAGAACAGTTTTATCAAATCGTTTTTGTTGATTGTACATGGGAATTGTCTTATTATATAACTTGCACCGTAGGACGAGAACGAACGAATATGCAGGAATTTTAATTACTTGTGCTTAGATTTTTATGTTCGTTATGCACATATGAGCGATATAAGACAAATACGAACGAGAATACCGACAACAGGAGACAATAGAATGGGCCATTGCATGTGTACTGAATAAATCTGAGTAATATACATTATTTAACTTTGAATGCCTTTGGCATGCATATTAAATTATTATCTTCATAGTTCTTCTTGCTGTCAAACGTACACGCTATTTTTGACGTTACCACGTATCTATGGTTAACCCTACTACCTATACAGAAGCTTATTTACACATGGCCTTATAGAAGTATTTATCGCCGTATAACACATTAACACTATTTATAATTGAATGCCAGGCTGATTTGTCATGCAATTGTTTATAAATTTGAATTTCAAATGTGTCGCTCAAGGTTTTTTTTACTCACCCTGTACAAAAACGCGTTGTTGTTGAACTTCCACACTACTACAATTGATGTTAAATTAGCGCTGTTGTAGTTATTTCAGCGGTATGTTCTTCTCTTTTCTTTAAATAACATGCAAATGCTGTAATTAAATTCGCTTCATGTTTCACGGACATATTCTAGAACGGATCACGCGTCACGTATTACTCCTTTGCCACCCGCAGAGATATACTGTATATCAACGCAATTGCATACGATAGGAATATTTCAAAAAGATATTTTCAAATTGTTTATGAACTTAACCTTCGCAGTTTGTTCTGAAGTTCGAACATTCGAAACGTATTTGCGAACTTCACAACCGCGCTTTTAAAAGTTATGTGAGATCGACAATGATCGCTGATTTAGGCTTTAATTCGATGTGATTTGTCAGAGGTATTATAAAGGAGTAAGAATCAGGCGCCAACAGATAAATCGCTGTCTGTTTTTTGTCATAACATGCATTTAAATTTTGTCGACTAAAACTGGAGCGAGCGCAGATGGTTAATGCAGAATTATGAGATACATACCAGTGAGAGTTGCGTCAAAGACAGACTCCAGAACAAACCACCAGTGACGTTTGAGTCTCAAAGCGTAGTTTTTTTCTTCAGTGTCTTCTTTAACTGTCCACACGAAGACTTTGCAGAACGTCACGTTTCGAATGACCTCAAACGTTTGGTTCACGTCTCTAGCAGTGGTCTTTGGTGTACGATGGAGAACAAACACACATACCGATGAATTGTCGATATCTGTTGAAGCCAGCGCGATGGACTCGAGACATTTTCTAAGATACGCATAACGATAAGATACAAAAAACACCAGCACTCCACGCCATGGTTTGAACCCTGTCCACTTCGGAGCTTGGAAACGCTCGATCCATTGTGGTAAATCGTTTTGTGTTTTTTTTTCTTGTAGCTTATTTATATCGTTTCTTATATCTTTGACTCCCACTAAAATTGTCTGCAGCGCTGCATTTACATTCTGAAGTCCTAATTTCATCTCAACAAAATATTGTCCATTTACTCCCGATTTTTTCTCAGCGACAAACGTCCACAATAAGCTGATGGTTAACAGCAGCAAAGTCACAAAACCGACAAAAACGAAACGTGATTTGAACAGCATTTCCTGTGACTCTATCTTTCAGTTTCACACCAAAGCAATGACTGAAAATGCACTTCAGTAACTCACAGTATTTGCATATGACTGTGTTAATAGAGGGGTGGGAAGAGTCACGGAAGAAATGCACCGAATTGAAAAGAATGCATAATATAGATAAATGATATCAGATACCCTACCTCCCTTGTGGTTGTCATTTTGAAGTGGATTTCTGTGGTAAAAACGTATACAATCTAAGACGTTTCGAGTGTCATATCAGTGTTAACCATTTCACAAACTTCCTGGATTACTAAATCCAAATCTCAGGCATGCACTAAAGTCTAGTTTCAGAGATCATTCTGCTTTATTTGAAATATTTCAAATTGGCACAAAAACATCGCACAGATCATTAACATATGGCTGTTTCACACACATTATTCTGTTTCTATCCTTTCTTTTCCATCTTTGTACGCTCTTTGGACACACTATTTCTTTAAGAGAAAGCAATTTGTTTCTGTTCTCACAAAGAAAGCCCAGGATATCTCTAAAGCCAAGATTAACTTGGGCATGTTTTGGCTCAAGTTAGGTTCTGCTGATATGCCTCGTTTATCGTTAAAATTACCTCTCGTCTCCAGGCCGTGTACACCTAGGAAGATTCAAAAGTAAATAGTCGCTGATTAAGCAGCTAAGGTTGTTGTTTCAAGATGAGGATTTATCCGCGTACACAAATTTGCCCAGTCGGAAGATGGGCTGAACTGGACAAGGTTAACTCGTAAGCTCTGCGATTGCTATCCAGTAAAGATAAAGTTACGTAGTTTGTCCAGTTAACTCACCTAAAAGCCAAATACGACACAATAGAGACACAAGACCAAATTGGCCTTGAAAATGATGAAGACGACAGTTCTGTTTACGCGAGTTGTGAAACGAAGTTGGCATTTTACGTTGATCTCCACGGTCATGCGTCGAAACGAGGCTGCTTCATGTATGGAAATTACTTCGAAGACGACGAACAGTACACACAATGCATGTTGTTCCCAAAACTGATTTCGATCAACTCCAGTCATTTCGACTTCACCGCGTGTAATTTTTCGGAAAAGAACATGTACAGTCGTGATAAACGTGATGGAATGTCCAAGGAAGGCAGTGGTCGTGTTGCTGTTTACAAGATGACTGGTTTACCCCACTGGTAGGTCAGATCACGGATATTTTAGCTAGGTTCTGTATTAATAACATGGCCAAGTTACAAGTCACATTTGTTTATTATCAATACAGTTACACATTAGAATGCAACTATAACTGTGGCCGAAGTACAAACGCCGTCCCCCCCGCCACGTGCGACGGTGGACGTGCCACACCACCGCCACCCCCCGGCTTTCCACCACGATACACGCCAGAGATTTACGAAGAGGTAAGCACTTGTGGAGATGAGATTATGATAAAATAATTATCGATTGAGAGATCAAATCTCATATCAGATTAGATAACTTGAATAGAGACTTGAGAGATCTAGGGAAAAAATGAAAATTGCACCCAAAGAAAGATACAGTTAAGATCGAGTATCATCCTTCCTTGTATCCAGAGCTTTTCGCATGATACACAGCTGCGTGAATTAAGGACCTACGCACGAGCATGATAACTATATGATTGTATTTGTCAAAATAGGTCGGCCGTGCTGTCGCTATTTCAGCCCTGGATATGATGAATGCTAACCCGTGGTCAAGACTACCGTTTTCAGAACACAGTTGCTTGGATGGTTTGAAGAACTGGGTGGGTCGGTACATAAAGAGTAATAGAAACACGTCTTGCGTGATAAAGAGGACTACAAGGGCACTTCCAAAGACATCAAGGTACGGTGAAGGATAGAAGAGGATGTACAGAAGTTCGATACAAAAGGTCGCCTAATTTCTGGTTTTTATTTCAGTATTACAAGTGCAAGTTGTCCACCGATACATCGCGTCACTGTAGCTACCAAAATCGTTCGTACGAACCCTGATCTGACAAGTCAAGCTGGCACAAGTGAAGCTACGATAATCGCTAAGAATCAAGATGGGGCTGCTTGTATGCAGAGTAAGTTGTTAACGCATTATACTTCCTTGTGTTAATTCTTTTTTTTTAAGAAGAGTGTAAAACATATTAAATGTGTGTATGTATGTGTAAATCTATTTTTACCGAGTTTTAATTATATTTAGAAAAAATCTTCACGCTTGTTTTAAATCGCACAGATCATTAACATGTGGCTGTTTCATACACATTATTCTGTTTCTATCGTTTCTTTTCCATCTTTCTAAGCTGTTTGGACACACCATTTCTTTAAGAGAAAACAGTTTGTTTCTGTTCTCACAAAGAAAGCCCAGGATATCTCTAAAGCCAAGATTAACTTGGGCATGTTTTGGCTCAAGTAACCTGCTTGCATGCGCCCAGTTTGGTTGTGCTGTTATGCCTCGTTTCCGGTTAAAATTACCTCCAGGCCCCAGGCCGTGTACACCTATAGGAAGATTCAAGAGTAAATAATCGCCGATTAAGCAGCTGAAGTTGTTGTTTCAAGATGAAAGCATTGCTGAATAATGCAATGTTGTGCTGGACCCAAGAACATGGTTGTTAACACGTTCCAGCATCTTTTCAACATTTTAAACAAAAGCTGCTGCAACTTGATAAGCCTGACGTTCGTAGAGTACAGCAACACAACATTGTTCAGTCACGTGTTGATCAAAGTTGATCAATTAGTAAAAACTATTATAGTGAGGAGATACTTCATCTTGTCTAGTTGTGTTGTACCAAACCCAGTCAAACACACTCCCGATTTCTTATTCGCGTACACAAATTTGGAAGATGGGCTGAACTGGACAAGGTTAACTCGTAAGCTCTGCAATTGCTATCCAGTAAAGATTAAGTGAAGTAGTTTGTCCAGTTAACTCACCTATATGCCAAACACGACTCAACGTTGGAACGACAAACCTGAACCCTTTGTTATCGTTGTGTCTTCCCAGAACCAAGCCCATCGATATGCACCAATCGGGTTGCTTATCGGCTTTAAAATCCTTCTCGAGGGTTTTAAAGTACAACCACGTTGATTGGTTGATACCGTACGCGATCCCACGCAGATCTCGCGCGGTGCGTACGATAAACGTGTCTGGATGTGCATTGATCATGTTCTCTCCAGACCATCCGCCAAGCGCGAACTGTATGATGTCAGCATTACGTCGCTTCACCTCGCTTGCATACCACATGACCTTTACGAAGTCTGGTGATAGGACAGTGTCCTCTTCGACGAACAAGATGTCGTGCTTGTAACCAAGCAACCAGCCGTTAAACGAGCTTCCTTTTGAAGTCAAGAGAGAAGACGTTATGAATGGTAAATGTGTTGGATTGTCTAGTGAAGAGCGGTCTAAATTGCTGTGAAGAGTAGTGGAAATTGCGGTGAAGAGCGGTCGTAAGTGCCGTGGTCATAAGTGTGGTCATAAGTGTGCTGAAGTGTGGTCGTAAGCAGACTTATAAGCATGCAGACCTACTTGCAAGAGAACACATCCAGTAATAAAACATACTGCACATATATTGCTGTTTTGTGAACAGATAAATATTATAGAATGCGAATTCTAATATTTATCAGTTTGTACACCTTTACATTAATGAATATTTCTCTTTGCTAAATGTGGTTTGATTTATTGCTATTGCTGTTTTGAAAATTTGAATGATGGATAAGTTAACGCAATTGTTCTTCGTTTCGTTCTATTGATTCTACTTTACCGAATAATTATACAGGGTGAGTAAAAAAAAAACTGACACAGGGTGAGTAAAAAAAAAAACTGACACCTTCGAAATTTAAATTAATCGCATAGCGGCTGTAATGTGACAGAAGTTGCTTAAAATATTTCATAAGGATACGGAGTATATCATATTAATCAACCTAAAACATAAAGTTTGTTCCCATTGGGAGTTACAATGCATTCTAAGCTCTGTAAATACAAAAGAACAGTTTTATCAAATCGTTTTTGTTGATTGTACATAGGAATTGCCTTATTCCAGCCATGAGTTTGCAGCTAATTTGAATTTCAAAGGTGTCGCTCAGTTTTTTTTACTCACCCTGTATAAAAAGGCTTTGTTGTTGAACTTCCACACTACTACAATTGATGTTAAATGAGCGCTGTTGTAGTTGTTTCAGCGGTATTGAAATACCAATAAATAATTTTAATGTTCTTCTCTTTTCTTTAAATGACATACAAATGCTGTGATTAAATTCGCTTCATGTTTCACGGACATATTTTAGTACGGATCACGCGTCACGGCCGGATTACTCCTTTGCCACCCGCAGAGATAACTGTATATCAACACAATTGCATACGATAAGAATATTTCAAAAAGATATTTTCAAATTGTTTATGAACTTAACCTTCGAAGTTTGTTCTGAAGTTCGAACATTCGAAACGTATTTGCGAACTTCACAACCGCGCTTTTAAAAGTTATGTGAGTTCACAATGATCGCTGATTTGGGCTTTAATTGGATGTGATTTGTCAGAGGTATTATAAAGTAGTAAGAATCAGGCGCCAACAGATAAATCGCTGTCTGTTTTTTGTCATAACATGCATTTAAATTTTGTCGACTAAAACTGGAGCGAGCGCAGATGGTTAAAGCAGAATTATGAGATACATACCAGTGAGAGTTGCATTAAAGACAGACTCCAGAACAAACCACCAGTGACGTTTGAGTCTCAAAGCGTAATGTTTCTCTTTAGTGTCTTCTTTAACTGTCCACACGAAGACTTTGCAGAACGTCACGTTTCGAATGACCTGAAACGTTTGGTTCACGTCTCTAGCAGTGGTCTTTGGTGTACGATGGAGAACAAACACACATACCGATGAATTGTCGATATCTGTTGAAGCCAGAGCGATGGACTCGAGACATTTTCTAAGATACGCATAACGATAAGACACAAAAAACACCAGCACTCCACGCCATGGTTTGAACCCTGTCCACTTCGGACCTTGGAAACGCTCTATCCATTGTGGTAAATCGTTTTGTGTTTTTTTTTCTTGTAGCTTATTTATATCGTTTCTTATATCTTTGACTCCCACTAAAATTGTCTGAAGCGCTGCATTTACATTCTGAAGTCCTAATTTCATCTCAACAAAATATTGTCCATTCACTCCCGATTTATCCTCAGCGACAAACGTCCACAATAAGCTGATGGTTAACAGCAGCAAAGTCACAGAAACGACAAAAACGAAACGTGATTTGAACAGCATTTCCTGTGACTCTATCTTTCAGTTTCATACCAAAGCAATGACTGAAATGCACTTCAGTAACTCACAGTATTTGCATATGACTGTATTCATAGCGGGGTGGGAAGAATCACGGAAATGCACCAAATTGAAAAGAATGCATAATATACAGGGTGTCCCAAAAAAAACGAAAACTATTGAAATCACCCATAACAATGCAATTGTTAGAGGGTTTGAATGCCTAAGCACTCCGTTGGGACCCACAGGTGTATAAATGTTTACCATACTCATTTTTACGCAAGCATATGATGCAGTAAAATTTGCTTGTTCGCAAAAATGATATTTATTAACAATATTTACAATTTACAAATATGGATAACATTATTTAAATGTGCATCTCAAGGACCATGATCTTCAACATGTCCCCTTTCTCTAGCAACACAAAGCATTTAGCATTTTATAAGTTGCATTAAATCCCCACGGGCTGAAATTCGTTAACACGGCATTCAAATTTTAACCATGAATGATTTCAATAGTTTTCGTTTTTTTTGGGACACCCTGTAGATAAATGATATCAGATACCCTCCCTCCCTTGTGGTTGTCGTTTTGAAGTGGATTTCTGTGGTAAAAACGTATACAATCTAAGACGTTTCGAGTGTCATATCAGTGTTAACCATTTCACACAAACTTCCTGGATTACTAAACTCAAATCTCAGGCACGCACTAAAGTCTAGTTTCAGAGATCATTCTGCTTTATTTGAAATATTTCAACTTGGCACAAAAACGTCGCACAGATCATTAACATATGGCTGTTTCACACACATTATTCTGTTTCTATCCTTTCTTTTCCATCTTTGTACGCTCTTTGGACACACCATTTCTTTAAGAGAAAGCAATTTGTTTCTGTTCTCACAAAGAAAGCCCAGGATATCTCTAAAGCCAAGATTAACTTGGGCATATTCTGGCTCAAGTAACCTGCTTGCATGCGCCCAGTTAGGTTCTGCTGATATGCCTCGTTTCTCGTTAAAATTACCTCTCGGCCCCAGGCCGTGTACACCTAGGAAGATTCAAAAGTAAATAGTCCCTGATTAAGCAGCTAAGGTTGTTGTTTCAAGATGAGAGCATTGCTGAATAATGCAATGTTGTGCTGGACCCAAGAACATGGTTGTTAACACGTTCCAGCATCTTTTCAACATTTTAAACAAAAGCTGCTGCAACTTGATAAGCCTGACGTTCGTAGAGTACAGCAACACAACATTGTTCAGTCACGTTTTCACCAAAATTGATCAATTATAGCACAGTCAATAGAATATACATGGTTTGGAGACCACATAAAACTACAATACAACTCATTAACTGTGTTGAGGTAGATTTATGCAAAAAATTGTTCCTTTCTCATCCCATGTCTTTTGTATTTTACACAGATAAACCAATAGAAATCTAATAATTAACAAATTCTTTTAAGTCATGGTTGAGGAGCTTAGCAAGACGAATGCCATTGGTACGTTTGCCTAAAATACAATAGACACGCAGTGGCGTAGCCAGCATCGATAATTGGGGGGGTCCATATTCATATATTCATGTAAACAGACTGTACAGACAATTGATTTGAAAAGAAATTAATCCTGCGTATCACGAATATATGAATATGCCCCCCCCCCCCAATTATCGTTCTGGCTACGCCGCTGTAGACACGTGACAAGAAAGGAACCATTTTTTTTGCATAAACCTGGACAATAACATAGTTAATGAGTTGTATTGTACTTTTATTTAGTCTCCAAACCTTGTATTATCTATTAACTGTGATTATTGTGAAAACCTCAGTGACTGTAGGTACTTCATCTTGTCTAGTTGTGTAGAATCACAGTCCCGATTTATCCGCGTACACAAATTTACCCAGTCGGAAGATGCGCTGAACTGGACAAGGTTAACTCCTAAGCTCTGCGATTGCTATCCAGTAAAGATAAAGTTACGTAGTTTGTCCAGTTAACTCACCTATATGCCAAACACGACTCAACGTTGGAACGACAAACCTCAACGCTGTGTTATCGTTGTGTCTTGCCAGAGCCAAGCCCATCGATATGCACCAATCGGCTTGCTTATCGGCTTTAAAATCCTTCTCGAGGGTTTTAAAGTACAACCACGTTGATTGGTTAATACCGTACGCGATCCCACGCAGATCTCGCGAGGGGCGCACGATAAACGTGTCTGGATGTGCATTGATCATGTTCTCTCCAGACCATCCGCCAAGCGCGAACTGTATGATGTCAGCATTACGTCGCTTCACCTCGCTTGCATACCACATGACCTTTACGAAGTCTGGTGATAGGACAGTGTCCTCTTCGACGAACAAGATGTCGTGCTTGTAACCAAGCAACCAGCCGTTAAACGAGTTCCCTTTTGAAGTCAAGAGAGAAGACGTTATGAATGGTAAAAGTGTTTGATTCGTTTGTGGGTGACAGAAAAAATGTTACGTAGATTACAATTTTCTCTTTTACTATGCTTCATACACACAAGAGCACATGTTGAAATTTTACATAATTTTAAATCGATTTCACACGACTTTTCAAAGCGCGGTTGCAAAGTTCGTTGCGAAGTTGCCAGGCCTTTACTTAGTGCGATTTGTTTAATTATTTCAAGTACGTAAATACATTTATATGCTTTATGAATGAGGACAATTCCGTGTGACTATCGTCCATGGGTATGTTGATAGCCTGGCATCCCACAAGGAAAAATTCGTCATACCCATGGACGATAGTCGAAACGTAATTGCGAACTTCACAACCGCGCTTTGAAAGGTTTTGTGAAATCGACAATAATCGCTGATTTATGCTTTAATTGGATAGTCTATGGTCATAGTTATTATAAAGTAGTAAGAATCAGGAGCCAACAGATAAATCGCTGTCTGTTTTTTGTCATAACATGCATTTAAGTCTTGTCGACTAAAACTGGAGCGAGTGCAGATGGTTAAAGCAGAATTATGAGATACATACCAGTGAGAGTTGCGTCAAAGACAGACTCCAGAACAAACCACCAGTGACGTTTGAGTCTCAAAGCGTAATGTTTCTCTTTAGTGTCTTCTTTAACTGTCCACACGAAGACTTTGCAGAACGTCACGTTTCGAATGACCTCAAACGTTTGGTTCACGTCTCTAGCAGTGGTCTTTGGTGTACGATGGAGAACAAACACACATACCGATGAATTGTTGATATCTGTTGAAGCCAGAGCGATGGACTCGAGACATTTTCTAAGATACGCATAACGATAAGATACAAAAAACACCAGCACTCCACGCCATGGTTTGAACCCTGTCCACTGCGGAGCTTGGAAACGCTCGATCCATTGTGGTAAATCGTCTTGTTGTTTTTGTGCTTGTAGCTTATTTACATCGTTTCTTATATCTTTGACTGCCGCTAAAATTGTCTGCAGCGCTGCATTTACATTATGATTTCCTAATTTCATCTCAACAAAATATTCTCCATTTACTCCCGATTTATCCTCAGCGACAAACGTCCACAAAAGGTTGATGGTTAACAGCAGCAAAGTCACAAAAACGACAAAAACGAAACGTGATTTTAACAGCATTTTTTGTGACTCTATCTTTCATACCAAAGCAATGACTGAAAATGCACTTCAGTAACTTACAGAATTTGCATATGACTGTATTCATAGCGGGGTGGGAAGAGAAACGGAAATGCAATTGAAAAGAATGCATAATACAGATAAATTATATGAGACCCCCTCCCTCCCTTGTGGTTGTCATTTTGAAGTTAGGGCCTGTTTACATGGAGCAAGTTCTCTCGGCTGGGAGAGGTGAAAACTGCATATAATGAAGGACGAATTAGATTAAGCCTGTGATGTGATGCGCCTTTTACCTCGCTAGCCGGGATTACTCGCTCCACATAAACAAGCCCTAGATTTTCTGTGGTAAAAACGTATACAATCTAAGAAGTTTCGAGTGTCATAACAGTCTTAACCATTTCACAAACTTCCTGAATTTATTAGACTAAAATCTCACGCACTCACTAGCTATAGAATCTAGTTCGGAGATCATTTTTCTCTATTTAAAATATTTCAACTTGGTACAAAAACATCGCACAGATCATGAACATATGGCTGTTTCACACACATTATTCTGTTTCTATCCTTTCCTTTCCATCTTGCGAAGCTGTTGAGACACTCCGTTTCTTTAAGAAACCAAAATTCAATTCTGCTCTCACAAAGAAAGCCCAGGATATCTCTGAGGCCAAGATTAACTTGGGCATGTTTTGGCTCAAGTAACCTGCTTGCATGTGCCCAGTTAGGTTGTGCTGTTATGCCTCGTTTCCAGTAAAAATCACCTCCAGGCCCCAGACCATGTACACCTAGGAAGATTCGAGAGTAAATAATCAATGATTAAGCAGCTGAAGTTGTTGTTTCAAGATGAAGCAATGCTGAATAATGCAATGTTGTGCTGGACCCAAGAACATGGTTGTTAACACGTTCCAGCATCTTTTCAACATTTTAAACAAAAGCTGCTGCAACTTGATAACCCTGACGTTCGTGGAGTACAGCAACACAACATTGTTCAGTCACGTTTTCATCAAAGTTGATCAATTAGTAAAAACCTCAGTGACTATAGGTTCTTCATCTTGTCCTTTTGTTTTAGTTTGTTCAGTTAACTCACCTATATGCCAAATACGACTCAACGTTGGAACGACAATCCTAAACCCTTTGTTATCGTTGTGTTTTCCCAGAACCAACCCCATCGATTCGCACCAATCGGCTTGCTTATCGGCGTTGAACTCTTTCTCGAGGGTTTTAAAGTACAACCACGTCGATTGGTTAATACCGTACGCGATCCCACGCATATCTCGCGCGGTACGCACGATAAACGTGTCCGGATGTGCATTGATCATGTTCTCTCCAGACCATCCGCCAAGCGCGAACTGTATGATGTCAGCATTACGTCGCTTCACCTCGCTTGCATACCACATGACCTTTACGAAGTCTGGTGATAGGACAGTGTCCTCTTCGACGAACAAGATGTCGTGCTTGTAACCAAGCAACCAGCCGTTAAACGAGTTCCCTTTTGAAGTCAAGTGAGAAGGCGTTATGAATGGTAAAGTGTTGGATTCTTTTGTGGATGACAGAAAATGTTACGTAGTTTAGTCATAGTCATTACACAGGAGTGAGAATCAGCATCGTCGACTAAAACTGAAGCGAAATATGACATACATACCAGTGAGAGTTGCGTTAAAGACAGACTCCAAAACAAACCACCAGTGACGTTTGAATTTTAAAGCGTAGTTTTTCTCTTTATTTTCCTCTTTGACTGTCCACACGAAGACTTTGCAGAACGTCACGTTTCGAATGACCTCAAGCGTTTGATTCACGTCTCTAGCTGTGGTCTTTGGTGTACGATCGAGCACAAACACACATACCGATGAATTGTCGATATCTGTTGAAGCTAGAGCGATGGACTCGAGACATTTTCTAAAATACGCATAACGATAAGTTGCGAAGAACACCAGCACTCCACGCCATGGTTTGAACTCCGTCCAGTGCGGAGCTTGGAAGCGCTCGATCCATTTTGGTAAAATTTTCCTTCTTTTTCTGAAATCTTTTACAACTCGTTGCGGTTTTCGTGCTTGTAACTTATTTATATCGTTTCTTATATCCGTGACTTGCGTTCTAATATTCTGCAGCGCTGTGTTCATATCTCGCATTTCTAATTTTAGCTCAACAAAATATTGTCCATTTATTCCTGATTTATCCTCAGTGAAAAACGTCCACAAAAGGCTGATGGAAATAAGCGAGAAAGTCACAAAAACGACCAAAACTAAACGCAATTTGAACATCATTTGTTGTGACTCTTTCATTCATGACAAAGCGATGACGAATGTGCTTTTTTACAGACTGCAAAAAATCTGGCAGCGCAGATGCCATTCACGTGGCAATGGATTATTGCTAAGTAACACGAGTATACAAGTGGCAATTTGATTAACGATGACGAACAGTCACGAACGATAGGCAAGGATTGGATATATATTCCAGCATGGATATTGGGCCGGGAAAACAATAGAATCATATAATATACGTAAACATTTTATTACTTCAAACTTTGACTTATAATTAATCTTCGTCTCTGTATACATGCATGCATAAATAAACTTTTACATGCGTACGCTGATGAAAAGGCATAACTGCCATAACATAGCGTCCACACAATATGTATATACCAAGACACCTAAAATTACAGCGAAATCCTTGAAACATTCTTAACCTGTCCAGGGCAGCTTAATTTTATCATGGCATGTACGGAAACCTTCCTCGAGGCTGTCCAAAAATTCCACATCATCTGTTTCCAACTCAAAATCAAAAGCAGTGATGTTTTCCTCAATTCTTGCCTTATTGCTGCTCTTTGGGATGCAAACGTAACCTTTTTCCAAACACCATCGTATGAGAATCACGGCCGGACTTCGTTTGTATTTCGTGGACAATTTAACGACGCTGGGTTCGTTCAATTTTCGGCCGTTGGCGAGTGGTGAGTACGCCTGAACGACGATGTTATTTTCCTCGCAGTATTTCACCAATGGCGTTTCTTGCAAAAAAGGATGAACTTCAATTTGGTTTACTGCCGGTAAAACGTCCAAAGCTTTCTGCAATTCAACCAAATGGTGGATGCCAAAATTTGATACACCAATTGACCTGAGAGACAATTTATTTATTAGAAGCATGCATGATTTTTGGAGCACTAGTGACGCGTACTCGTACTATTATTATTGTCGTACTGAACTGTAACTCAAAGTATACTATGCCAGGACAAGTATAGTTCTGTACAGTGTACAGCGCTACCTTTTGTATAAATAATGAATAATAATTCACGGTAGCTAAGTAACAAAATATTACATGCAAATTATATTTATATTACCCATGCATATCAATTATCACTAATTAGAATAAGCATATAACACAATTATAATATTTAGAACGATGAATATAAATATCATATTCGAGAATATCACATTTCCTCCTTTCTAAAAATTGCGCCAAAATTGGGAAATTTTATTACCTTACAAGTCTTCTGTTTTGAAGTTCCATCATTGCCCTCCACGTTGGCAATATCTTTCCATTTAGCGGAGAGTGAATGAGATAAAGATCAATGTAATCTAATCCTAAACGATTCAAACTTTTATGAAAGGCTTGAAGTGTTTCATTATAACCATGACTATCATCGTACAGTTTCGTGGTCACATAAATCTCTTCTCTTGGTATTCCTGATTCTCTGATAGCCCGACCAACACTTGCCTCGTTCCCGTAACGAGCTGCGGTATCAATTTGCCGATATCCTGATTTCAGAGCCCATGTTACAGCGTTCAACGTGTCTGAACCGCTTGAGATCTTCCAGACACCGAGACCAAACGTTGGAATATAACTTCCATCGTTGAGTCGAATCCTCTTGTAATTCTTGTAGACGTTTTCCACGTTCCTACCACAATTCGTGCCATCGCATTGACCGCTTTGAGACGAACATAAAGTGAGAGAAGTCAAAACTAAATACAATGTTACTACGAATATTGCCATGATAGTTCGCCTGCTCCTTTCTTAAGGTTGAGAGGTCTTAAGGTCTTGGCTAACGTCTTTCTTAATCACTTACTGTAAAGGTCGCTTAGAAATTCGACTAGCTCTTGGTGAATTTAACGAGTACAACTCGAGACCAACAATCCTTAGAGATCGTCCAAGATTACCACGCAACATATTTGCCAGTGTCTTGTTTTATCAAATGTTTGACTTAATTTCATCTCTTAGACTTTTAATTGTCAGGTTAATTCTTATCAATGAAACGGAAGAGTTAAGGATGCGACTGTGGTAATGCACGCAATTTAAAATATTGTTCAATTACATCGCTGGTAAGTTGGTCACTTAGTATAGCTTAGTATAGAACGGCCATATTGATTTAAAATAGTTCATTGTGATGTCATTCGATAATCGGATATAGTTCACGCAATCCACGCGAGAAACACGCTCTGAAAAACCATTATAGCATCCGATAGTTGCATAGTTTTGATAAAAAAGACTGTAAATGGTTCCAGACTCCAGACTGTATATGCATGGTTCGCAACTGACTAACTATATGACTGACGAGATGGCAATGATGGGATAAAATTGAACGTAGATATTTTGCTGTTTGCCAGTTTATGGCCTCAAAAGAGTTTACTTCCTTAAGTTCGACCCTTGTAAAATGTGTTATTATATCTAATGAAAATTATAACAATTAGTAACGTTGTCAAATTAAAATTAGGCAAATATTTTAATTTCATGTATTTATTAAATCAACTTTCTGGAATTCAAAATAAGTTCAGTACCGCAGTTTTTCGTCAGAAAAGATCATAAGAAATGCTGACTCATGTAATCTATTAAATAAAGTGCAAAATTTGATGGGTAAAACACGATATATAATACAACTTAATACAGATAAAACACGATACATACAGGGTGTCTAAAAAAAACGCAACCACTTACGTATGCGAGAATATTAATATTGTTCGGGTTTGCACCATAGTTCAGATAAAATGACTTTTAGCATTTTAAATGAAGGTTAGGAGCCATTTTCAATTCCGAGAGGTGCTTATCTATTGCGCTTTATTGAGCTCTATTAATGTTCTTGCATATCTAAGTGGTTGCGTTTTTTTTTTATACACCCTGTAGTGCAACTTAACACAGATAAAACCATGCATAAGCTATTATTGATGAAAGTCAATTAGAATATATATTTTAGCCAATGACAAATCAGCTATTAAAAAAAGTGGGAAGGATACTATACGTAATATTATTAATTATTGAAGATATTATTCACAGTAATTTAACAAGAACAAAACACAATTTGCTAAAACTGTTAAAGAATGTCAGACGTTTTGTTTGTTTGGGATCATGAAAGCAACATTCAGACTTCACACTGAGTTTTATGAATATTTATCTTATCGCAACAACATCAACGATTTAGTTCGTCTTCCGGCTTCGTTTAAACTTACATCTTTACTGCAGATATCTTTGTCGATGAATCGACTTTTTAAAAAGAAAAGATGTTTTCCAAGTACTACGAGTGGAAATTATCAGCGTTTATTGTCAGTCTCTTGTATCTTCACAGTAAGTAGCTATTAAAAAATTATATCATGCATTTAAAATCGAAATTCTCTCTAATCATCATGCGCTGTGTCGATATAAACATGTTAAGTCCTGGTCCAACCAGAATGCGAGTTGATGTGAGTTGCAAGTCTCGCTTGCGTTTTACTGCTCGGTCGTTGACGCAGATCGGAAATTGCGTTAGTCCAAGGTTGATGAGTACTGATGAGCCTTACATTAATGCTTATGATAACGTCATTATGTTAAAAACATTTTGTTTGTGATAAATGTTTTGTGCGTCAAGTAGAATGAATGCAATGGATATGTTGTGATGAATTTATTATTGTATATTATTGTACTTTTCAGAATGCGCCAAGAATTACGTATTTCACATTATTTTCAAACCACAATATTTTCAATATGGCTTTCACTGACAGAGAATCCTCCTATTTTGGTACCGGGAGGAACTGATTTCCTGGCCCAAGATGCATTCGTTATGAGATTATTCAAAGGGTTCATTGTCGTCGACTTTTGCATTTTTATGATTTTTCAGGTGTTGCTGGTTTCTTTGTGAAACATGTCAAGACAGGAATGTGTATCTATGACACAGCACAAATACAGTCACAAGGCTCGGGCTCGGGCAACTTATCTTTTCTTGAACTCTCCAACAACTGTCTGGATCCAGGTGCTCAGTTTCAGTTTCGTGATAATGGCGCCATGTTGAATTTGAAAAGACAAGGATGTCTTGCTGCTTTTGTCAACTCTTTTTCTGGTCACTATCTTGATATGTTTTATCTTTTCGTCCCTAACACCTCCGTAAGTTTAGATGTTTCTGCCTGTGCGCAAGATCCCGGAAGGAAAATCTATCGTCGTATAACCCAGACCTCCTGGGGAGGTTTATCTGTATATTATAAACGGCAGCATGCCAAAAGCGTATTTCAGAACTGGTGTGCAGTCCCTAGAACACTCACCCCACTCGTTCAAAGTTACAGAATAGACTCCTTCATTGGATTGGAATATAATTGCAATGACGAGGAGGATCAACGTTTCAACTTTGGTAAGTTTCTGTTACATGTCTGTCAAATATCCAAATAGGAAGTACTTACATATACCGATGCAAAATATTTTGTCTTCAGGTCCTAGGAAACCATCTTATATACTGCGTCAATTTCATTGCAATAAAAGTGCACTTTTTTTCAACAGTGAAATTAGATACGTATACTATAATGATACTTCGTTTTATTTTCCAGGTTCAGTGACATGTTATGGAAATACGACAGAGAATGTCACTTGTTCTAAAGATCAGTTCATGGTGGTCAAGACTGCATCTTACCGTGGATTGTCTGATTCAAAGACATGTGGTTTGAGTGATGATTATAGTTGTGCAGTTGATGTAACATGTCTTGTTAAGAAACAATGTGATGGTCAACATGAGTGTAAAATGACTGTGAATAAAACCTTGTTCTCTGATGATCTGTGTCCTGGATTGAAAAGATATCTTTACTTTGAATACCGATGTTTTAATGATGTGAAAAATTATAACGATGTTTGCGGTATGTACATGTGTACCGACTATAAATATATTTAGGCGTAGCAGAATTTCATACAAAATATTAAAATATAAAATATTTTTTCATGTTTTCCCATTTACTTCAAGATTTTTTTGTCTTGTAGTTCGTGACGTATCTTTATCTTTATCTAATTCGTCTTTGCCAAACGAAGGTATTGTGCAAATTACCGCGAATAATTGGACCAAGAGTGTTTGTGCAGGAAGTTTAAATAATAAAGCCAAGAATGTTGTTTGCGCTCATATGGGTTACAAAAGAGCAGAATCTGTTGTTAATACGTCGGTTCTACCCGATTCAAAAGTTGAAATATTTTCTGGAACCATAAACTGCAATCATGATGACAACGACTTATCCTTCTGTTCGTTCTCAAATTCCACCTCCAGTTGTTCCCAGTTGTCATACATAAAATGTAAGTTTCAATGTTATTCAGGAATTACGAGAATCTATGAGATAAAAATTATCAGAAAACAGTTCAAGAAGTGGAAATGAAAACATGACGTAGAAGCTAGTTAAAGCTAATAATCACTTCAGTTTCCATATTTCAGGTCATATATGCGACAGTCCTTTGTTAGAAGACAAAGAAAGAATTCCAGATTCGTCATTCACTGCCTCTTCAGAAGGTCACAGAGCTTCTGATGCAAGGATATCTAGTGGTAGTTCTTGGTGTGCTCCTGTCTCAGATGGCAAGCATTATCTTCAAGTGGATTTTAAAACACTTTATTCGATAAATTATATCGCAACATTTGGAGACGGTACAAGTGCCAAATGGGTGAAGACGTATATCTTGAATTATACGACAGACTTGATAAACTGGAAACAATCCCACGCTGTATTCCAAAAGGTGGTCGCTATAAATCACCATGCATATTAAGCCGCAACGTCAACTTATAGATTTCCTACCAATTAATTGCACTTTATATATATTGTTTTTAGATATTTCGAGGAAACCAGAATGCTTTCAATGGCGCAGCAATAAGAAATTTAAATGGCTTAACAACAAGAGCTTTACGGTTTATTCCATTATCGTATGAAGTTCAACCTTGTATGAGAATTGAGATCTGTGGTCAGAGTAAGTTGCATGATGTGAATAAAAAATAATAATAATTTTCTTGTATGATTGCATGGCGACTTTAGTAATTATAATAACTTGTAGGTACACCACGTAAGTATTAAATACTGCAAAGCTTTCGGTCCGTTAACCCGGACCTTCATCAGTGCAATTACTTGAATAAAAAATAATAAGTTGAAAAAACACTGTGTTCTGACTTGTTATTAGCATTTGCGTTCAAGTGTGAACTATCTCACAGGGAAAAGAAAACATGACGAATTTTGAATTATTCGTTCACTTTAACTAAGAAGTTATCCATTTTAAGCTTGAAGAATGGACAAAGTGGTTTGTTTGACTTTCCTCGAGTAGCACTATGTAATGGCTTCGGTTAAGGAAAATTAATCCGCCACTGTACGATGTATACGTACGACGATATATACGTACCATATCGATAGAAAACAAGCATAAAATGTGTATCTTGTAAGCTTGAAACGTTTGATTTAGCATGACTTAATGTTTCTTTAGCACGGTTTTTGTATATTATTCTTAGTTAAACGTTTTTTGAAGGTAAATTGATCAAAATTTATTGTTTGAAACGTACGTAAGCAAACCCGTGGAATAATTAAGGCTTCATACTTGAACGCAAATGATAATACGAGATCATACATCAATGTCATGGTTACATATGCTATAGTACTGCATCATAGAGCGTTTTCCTCCGTTTAATGGTGGAAGCCGTACCAACGATTTTTTTAGTCGAAAAATTCTTTTGTCATAGGAGCCGCTGGCTTTTTTGTGAAACATGTTAAGACAGGGATGTGTGTTATCGACACAGAAGTTGTGAAACATTCAGGCCCATTTTGGGGTAGCTTGTCTTTTTTGGAACTTTCTAACAACTCGTGTTTCGATGAAGCTGCTCAGTTTCGGTTTCGTGATAACGGCGCCTTGTTCAACATTAAGAGAAAAGGATGTCTCGCTGCTTATTTTAAACATAATTTTGGTTCCCAATTTGATGTTTTTTATCTCTACGTCCCCGCTACATCACTGGCATTAGATTATTCTGCCTGTGCGCAAGATCCTGGAAAGAAAATCTATCGTCGTATAACCCAGACATTTTGGGGAGGTTTATCTGTATATTATAAAGGTTATACGAAAACAACATTTCAGAACTGGTGTACAGTCCCTAAAACACACGCTCCGCTCGCTCAAAATTACGGAATTGATCCCTACATTGGATTGACAACAGATTGTAATGACGCCGAGGATAAACGTTTCATTTTTGGTAAGTTTTGGCGAAATCATCCTTCTGGAAATCCTAGAGATGTTTCAATCCCATACGAAGCCAATGGATTGTCGTTAACCGTCGTAACTAATAAACGCACCAAAAATGAGTTAATACAAAATAATATGACGGAAATGATGAGCTTGAAACTTATAATTTAATTTTCAAACCTTTCGAATAAAAACGAGACAAAAAGGTTTATCTGTTTAGGCTCAGTGACGTGTTATGGAAGGATGGTAGGCAATATCAACTGTCCTAAAGATCAGTTCATGGTGGTCAAGACTGCATCTTACCGTGGATTGTCTGACTCAAAGACATGTGGTTTGAGTGATGATTATAGTTGTACAGTTGATGTAACATGTCTTGTAAAGAAACAATGTGATGGTCAACATGAGTGTAAAATAACTGTCAATGAAACCTTGTTCTCTGATGATTTTTGTCATGGATTTAACAAATATCTTTACTTTGAATATCAATGTATTGATACTGTGAAATCTTATAGCGTTGTTTGTGGTATGTATTAACGATACCAAAATACTAAAGGTGTAGTTCGAAGGTCTGAGTGACCCGTGGTAAAATTTCTAGAGAAATACGACCATAAATTTTACCAATTGACCAAGGGGAGACAAAGCGGAGCGTGTTTGTGCTGGCAACAAGCATGTTGTTTGCATTAGACTCTGTTGTTAATACATCCTTCCTATCAACTACCAAAGATGAAATATTCTCTGGAAGTATAAACTGTACTAATGTCCTCGGGGATTTACCTCAATGTTCGATCACAACCCCCACCTTGAGTTGTTATTTATAAAATGTAAGTTTTGAAGCGAGAAAATGAAAGACAATCACAAATGATCTTTGTATTTCAGGTCATATTTGCGACAACCCTCTGTTAGAAGACAAAGAAAGATTTCCAGATTCGTCATTCACTGCCTCAGTTTCTTCAGAGGGTCACAGAGCTTCTGATGCAAGGATATTTAGTGGTAGCTCTTGGTGTGCTTCTGTTTCAGATGGCAAACATTATCTTCAAGTCAACTTAGGAAGACTCTATGTGTTATATAATGTGACAACGTTTGGTGACAGTACCAGTGCCAAATGGGTGAAGAGTTATAATATAAATTACACTGTTGATTCAACGAATTGGAAACAAGTTCAGACTGGAAATCACAAGGTAATTGATACGTGACACCCTTGTTTTCCAAAAACTCACTATTTCCTTTGGGATCATACATTAAGTGTAAAATACTTTCGAAGATATTTCAGGGCAACAAGAATGCTTTCAATGATGCAGCAAAAAGAAGTTTAAATGACATAACAACAAAAGCTTTACGGTTTATCCCATTATCGCATGAAGTTCAACCTTGTATGAGAGTTGAGATCTGTGGTGACAGTAAGTTACGTTTATTTCTATCGAAGCCCGGAAAGATTTTAATTAGAAGGTTATTGGCAGAGGTTATGTGGCTCACGTGACTATCTTTACTGGGGGTTGAGGGTTGTAATTCCGACGTTCCACCGACGAACACGCGGTACTTGAAGTGATCCAGAGAAAGCATAGGGCATTCGGTCAGTTCACATAAGATTTGCCAACAGAGCGGCTTACCGCAGTGGGTTTACCGACGCTCATGTGTCATTACCGACAAACTTCGCGATTAATCGATTACTTTGCCAAAACTGTGGAATGGACTCTACGATTATTATAGATAAATATTTTTCAATGTTTGCTTTCTTTTATGCCAGCTTTATACCCAGACCAACCTAGAAACATCACCGTCTCTAATATAACAACCCGGAGTGTTGAAATATCGTGGATTGATCCTGAGAATCAAGGACTTACCAACGTATCAAGATTTCGGATTAAAATGAAGAAAGACGACTCGCTTATTCTGAATATCACCACGGGAAAAATATATGAATATAAAATAGACAAGCTCACTACATACACAAGTTATGAAATATCTCTAGCTGCTGGAAACAAGGATGGTTTTAGCGAAGAGAATACTATTGTGTTTTCGACAGGAGAGGAGGGTAAGAAGTGAATGGGTAATTCCTTAACGCGGTGCCCGCGCAACATTTGTTTCATGTGTAAAGGAGGCTGGTGACCATATCACCCAGTTTTCAACAACATTCAATGTCTTTTTGATATGGCATATTGTCACAGCCGTATTATATCCCCATCTGTTACATATATACAAACACTTTTTAAAACGAACCCAAAGAAACAACTTACTATTAAATTTCCAGCTCCAGAAGGTCCTCCACTGAACGTCAAAGTCACCGCAGAAAGTTCATCCTCATTATCAGTCACGTGGGATCCTCCCGAAGAAGAGAAAAGAAATGGCGATATCGTCAATTATACTGTGTGTATCTCACATGAAGAAACTAAACCTTGCTTTAAAGAACATACTACAGAGAAGATGATGTTAGTCATCGACAGTTTGAATGCATCAACCAAATATTTTGTTCGTGTTCTTGCAAGTACTAGAGTTGGTCGAGGAAACTATAGTAAAAGTCAGGGAATGTTTACAAATGGAGGTAAGGCCTATATTTCAGAGTTTCGTTGTTAGATCTCATCCCCTTAAGAGAAAGCTAACATCACAACTTAAATACCGACATTCAAGTTCATATCATTGATGTTATTTATTTTACAGAAGGAACAAAGGTGGCAACTAAGAGAACAGAAACTACATTAACTTTCTCGTTACAAATTCCTTCAGAAAATTTCACGTAAGTTCAAAACCGCGGCGTTCCTAAAGCAATATTTCAGATAATTGCATGGAAGAAATTATTTCGATGACCAGCTTGAGACTTTATCTCTTACTGAACAAACGGAATATGTTTTAGGTATTTTTACGTGGTAGCTTTGGAATTGAGAAAAAGCAGCGACTGTCTTCGACCATCCAGCAGTTACAATGATCTAGTGACATACAAAGAAGCTACAACGTCAGCTGAACCAAAACCTTATATTGCCGCCGTCATAACAAGCAGAGATAAAAACATGTTTATACTTGGTGATGGTGGAAATACAAGTTTTCAAACAACACGAAGACGAAGATCATCAACAAATGTTTATTATAATGGACCACTGGAGTCTGGAGCAAGTTACAGTATTTTTCAAAGGATCTTTCTTGATGACAAGGTATTGCTAGTTATGATATTACATTCGAAGTGATTAGGAAAGACAAATATATTCAATAAAACAAGTGAACTTTCTGCATTTTCACTAATAATCGTCTCTTTCTCCAAAATATCCTATAACCTGTTAACACGAAAACCTATTTTTATTCACTCCAAGGGTGAATTTTACTCCACTGATTGGAGTCCCGCATCGACAACGGTAACACAAGCGCCAAGACCGAGCCTAACCACAAACACAGGTATTGCATATGAATAATCACACATTATTTTTTGAGCAGAATAAAAAATGGTAAGTTTACATCAAAAAAGAAGAAATATCTCGGTTTATTTTAAGCTGTTGTTATATCATATTCTATACGCGAAGTTATTCGAAGACCGCGCCACGCAGCTCTTGGGTTATATTGTAACGAAGGTGTATTTTTGTTCCTCAGGTGGTGCCCCTGGTGTGTTAACAAACATGTCCAGTGGTGACGTAATGGCAAAGGAAGGTGATCTTGTCACCCTGTTGTGTTCTGCTCAAGGGGAACCACCGATCACTTTCAGTTGGGAAAAAGATCAGACGTCACTGGATGGATTCATTGTAAAGGACATGCCTCATCGTAGTTCCTTACTTGTCGTAACAATGAAAGACGAAACAAGTTTTGGAAAATATATTTGCAATATTCAAGATCGATTTACAAAAACTGCTCATAATATTTCAGTTGTGAAACTTACAGGTAATTTACAAACTAAATTAGGGAGAGAAAATAACTTGTGTAATTTCCAGAGCTTATTGCATCGGTTACAGTTCTACAACAGTGGATTTCAGGGTCTTGAAATGAATACTAAACGGAGTGTAAATCTCTTGTATTCTGGGTTGCATCTTTCTAATTTTTGCTCTTCCTTTCATTAGCTCAAGAAGAGTGCGAAGGTTGCGGAAATCATCTTGTGGGAATTATAGTATTAATAATTCTTCTGGTCATTTTACTCATTATTATTGCTTATTTATTGTTTCACCGAGTTCATCGTCTCAAATCGTCAAGCACTACGGGAAATTTGGAGAGGAAGACCAAAGACAGTTCCAAAGATATTTATGAAAATCCTAACAAAGATGACGTCAACAATTATGAACAAGTGGAAAATGAACAGTCGACGTATACAGCTCTTAAAAGACCGGGAAAGGACGAAGATGATCATGTTTATAGTCATCTGAATCAAAGACCTCAAGAATACGAAAACCAGAAGGAAACTGGATTATAAAGAGGCTTTTGCACGGAACATTTACAATAAACTTAAGATTAACATTTCCATAATGAAATAAAAACGTCCAGGTGTTATCTATAATCTAGTTAAGACCACCTGTTGGTTTAAGTTAATATTTCGACCTGAACGTTTTACTTAATTTTAATAATTAACCCATCGACAACAAATTTGGTCTAGAGAGGATCATTTCTCTTAATAACATGCACGACCATGTCATTTATACATAGCTTTTGAGAAAGATGACAGATTTTGATTGATGTCGTTATTTACAGTAGTTTAACAAGAACAAAACACAATTTGCTAAAAGAATGTCAGACGTCTTGTTTGTTTGGGATCGTGAAAGCAACATTCAGACTTCACACTGAGTTTTATGAATATTTATCTTATCGCAACATCAACGATTTAGTTCGTCTTCCGGCTTCGTTTAAGCTTACATCTTTACTGCGGATATCTTTATCGATAAATCGACTTTTTAAAAAGAAAATATGTTTTTCAAGTGCTACGTGTGGAAATTATCAGCGTTTATTGTCAGTCTCTTGTATCTTCACAGTAAGTAGGCTAGCTATTAAAAAATATCATGCATTCAAAATCGAAATTCTGTCTAATCATTATGCGCTGTGTCGATTTAAACATGTTAAGTCCTGGTGAACCAGAATGCGAGTTGATGTGAGTTGCAAGTCTTGCTTGCGTTTTACTGCTCGTTGACGCAGATCGGAAATAGCGTTAGTCCAAGGTTGATGAGTCTTGATGAGCCTTACATTAACGCTTATGATAACGTCATTATGTTAAAAACATTTTGTTTGTGATAAATGTTTTGTGCGTCAAGTAGATTGAATGCAATGAATATGTTGTGATGATATTATTATTGTATATTATTGTACTTTTCAGAATGCGCCAAGAATTACGTATTTTACATTATTTTCAAACCACAATATTTTCAATATGGCTTTCACTGACAGAGAATCCTCCTATTTTTGGTACCGGGAGGAACTGATTTCCTGGCCCAAGATGTATTCGTTATGAGATTATTCAAAGGGTTCATTGTCGTCGACTTTTGCATTTTTATGATTTTTCAGGTGTTGCTGGTTTCTTTGTGAAACATGTCAAGACAGGAATGTGTATCTATGACACAGCACAAATACAGTCACAAGGCTCGGGCGCGGGCAACTTATCTTTTCTTGAACTCTCCAACAACTGTCTGGATCCAGCTGCTCAGTTTCGGTTTCGTGATAATGGCGCCATGTTGAATTTGAAAAGACGAGGATGTCTTGCGGCTTTTGTCAACTCTTTTTCTGGTCACTATCTTCATATGTTTTATCTTTTCGTCCCTGCTGCCTCCGTAAGTTTAGATAATTCTTCCTGTGCGCAAGATCCCGGAAGGAAAATCTATCGTCGTATAACCCAGACCTCCTGGGGAGGTTTATCTGTATATTATAAAGGGCGGTTTGTCCATAGCGTATTTCAGAACTGGTGTGCAGTCCCTAGAACACTCACCCCGCTCGTTCAAAGTTACAGAATAGACTCATTCATTGGATTGGAATATAATTGCAACTACGCTGAGGATAGACGTTTCAACTTTGGTAAGTTTCTGTTACATGTCTGTCAAATTTCCAAGTAGTAAGTACTTACATATACCGATGCAAAATATTTTGTCTTAAGGTCCTAGGAAACCATGTTACTGCGTACAATTTCATTGCAATAAAAGTGCGATGCACTTTTTTAAACTGTGAAATCAGATACGTTTTTACTACTTGAAATATTATTTCGTTTTTTTAAGGTTCAGTGACATGTTATGGAAAAACGACAGAGAATGTCACTTGTCCTAAAGATCAGTTCATGGTGGTCAACACTGCATCTTACCGTGGATTGTCTGACTCAAAGACATGTGGTTTGAGTGATGATTATAGTTGTACAGTTGATGTAACATGTCTTGTTAAGAAACAATGTGATGGTCAACATGAGTGTAAAATAACTGTGGATAAAACCTTGTTCTCTGATGATCTGTGTCCTGGATTGAAAAAATATCTTTACTTTGAATACCGATGTTTTAATGATGTGAAAATTTATAACGATGTTTGCGGTATGTACATGTGTACCGACTATAAATATGTTTAGGCGCAGCAAAATTTCATACGAAATCAAGACCACAAAATATTTGATCATGTTTTCCCATTTACTTCAAGGTTTTTTTGTCTTGTAGTTCGTGGCGTATCTTTATCTTTATCTAATTCGTCTTTGCCAAACGAAGGTATTGTGCGAATTACCGCGAATAATTGGACAAAGAGTGTTTGTGCAGGAAGTTTAAATGATAAAGCCAAGAATATTGTTTGCGCTCATATGGGTTACAAAAGAGCAGAATCTGTTGTTAATACTCCGGTTCTACCCGATTCAAAAATTGAAATATTTTCTGGAACCATAAACTGCAATCATGATGACAACGACTTATCCTTCTGTTCGCTCACAATTTCCACCTCAAGTTGTTCCCAGTTGTCATACATAAAATGTAAGTTTCAATATTATTCAGGAATTACGAGAATCTATGAGATAAAAATTATCAGAAAACAGTTCAAGAAGTGGAAATGAAAATATGACGTAGAAGGTTAAAGCTAATAATTATATAATCAATTCAGTTTCCATATTTCAGGTCATATATGCGACAGTCCTTTGTTAGAAGACAAAGAAAGATTTCCAGATTCGTCATTCACTGCCTCAGTTTCTTCAGAAGGTTACAGAGCTTCTGATGCAAGGATATCTAGTGGTAGTTCTTGGTGTGCTCCTGTCTCAGATGATAAACATTATCTTCAAGTGGATTTTAAAAGACTTTATTCCATAAATTATGTCGCAACATTTGGCGATGGTACAAGTGCTAAATGGGTGAAGACGTATATCTTGAATTATACGACAGACTTGATAAACTGGAAACAATCCCACGCTGTATTCCAAAAGGTGGTCGCTATAAATCACCATGCATATTAAGCCGCAACGTCAACTTATAGATTTCCTACCAATTAATTGCACTTTATATATACTGTTTTTAGATATTTCGAGGAAACCAGAATGCTTTCAATGGCGCAGCAATAAGAAATTTAAATGGCTTAACAACAAGAGCTTTACGGTTTATTCCATTATCGTATGAAGTTCAACCTTGTATGAGAATTGAGATTTGTGGTCAGAGTAAGTTGATGTGAATAAAAAATAATAAGTTGGAAAAAACACTGTGTTGTGACTTGTTATTATCATTTGCGTGGAATAGTCAGGTTTCATACTTGAATGCAAATGATAATACGACATCATACATCAGTGTCATGGTTACATATGCTATAGTATTGCATCATAAACAGTGGCGTAGCCAGCCTGACAATTTGTCCCGCTATGCTAATATTTTGGTGTTCATTGACTGTGAAAACAATGAATTTCTAAAGAAATGAATAATGATAATAACATAAAATTTGCATAGCATGACTAAATCGTCAGGCTGGCTACGCCACTGATCATAAAGCGTTTTCCTCCATTTAATGGTGGAAGCCGTACCGACAATTTTTTTAGTCGAAAATTTCTTTTGTCATAGGAGCCGCTGGCTTTTTTGTGAAACATGTTAAGACAGGGATGTGTGTCATCGACACAGGATTTGAGAAACATTCAAGCCCACTTTGGGGTAGCTTGTCTTTTTTGGAACTTTCTAACAACTCGTGTTTCGATGAAGCTGCTCAGTTTCGGTTTCGTGATAATGGCGCCATGTTCAACATTAAGAGAAAAGGATGTCTCGCTGCTTATTTTAAAGTTGATTTTGGTCCATATTTTGATGTTTTATATCTTTACGTCCCCGCTACATCACTGGCATTAGATTATTCTGCCTGTGTGCAAGATCCTGTAAAGAAAATCTATCGTCGTATAACTCAGACGTCTTGGGGAGGTTTATCTGTATATTATAAAGGTTATACGAAAACAACATTTCAGAACTGGTGTGCAGTCCCTAAAACACACACCCCGCTCGCTCAAAAAGAAGGAATTGATCCCTACATTGGATTGACAACAGATTGTAATGACACTGAGGATAAACGTTTCAATTTTGGTAAGTTTTGGCGAAATCATCTTTCTGGAAATCCTAGAGATGTTTCAATCCCATACGAAGCCAATGGATTGTTATTAACCGTCGTAACTAATAAACGCACCAAAATGAGTTAATACAAAATAATATGACAGAAATGATGAGCTTGAAACTTTTTATTTAATTTTCAAACCTTTCGAATAAAAGCGAGACAAAAAAGTTTATCTGTTTAGGCTCAGTGACGTGTTATGGGAAGATGGTAGGCAATATCAACTGTCCTAAAGATCAGTTCATGGTGGTCAAGACTGCATCTTACCGTGGGTTGTCTGACTCCAAGACATGTGGTTTGAGTGATGATTATAGTTGTACAGTTGATGTAACATGTCTTGTAAAGAAACAATGTGATGGTCAACATGAGTGTAAAATAACTGTGGATAAAACCTTGTTCTCTGATGATCTGTGTCCTGGATTGAGAAAATATCTTTACTTTGAATATCAATGTATTGATACTGCGAAATCTTACAGCGTTGTTTGTGGTATGTATTAGTGACGATATCATATTCGCCGGAAAATGACAAATACGACCATGGTCATATTCGCCGGAAAATGACAAATACGACCATGGTCATATTCGCCGGAAAATGGCAAATACGACCATGGTCATATTCGCCGGAAAATGACAAATACGACCATGGTCATATTCGCCGGAAAATGGCAAATACGACCATGGTCATATTCGCTGGAAAATGGCAAATACGACCATGGTCATATTCGCCGGAAAATGACAAATACGACCATGGTCATATTCGCCGGAAAATGGCAAATACGACCATGGTCATATTCGCTGGAAAATGGCAAATACGACCATGGTCATATTCGCCGGAAAATGGCAAATACGACCATGGTCATATTCGCCGAAAAATGGCAAATACGACCATGGTCATATTCGCCGGAAAATGGCAAATACGACCATGGTCATATTCGCTGGAAAATGGCAAATACGCGACCATGGTCATATTCGCCTGAAAATGGCAAATACGACCATGGTCATATTCGCCGGAAAACGGCAAATACGACCATGGTCATATTCGCCGGAAAATGGCAAATACGCGACCATGGTCATATTCGCCGGAAAATGGCCGAATACGACCATGGTCATATTCGCCGGAAAATGGCAAATACGACCATGGTCATATTCGCCGAAAAATGGCAAATACGACCATGGTCATATTCGCCGGAAAATGGCAAATACGACCATGGTCATATTCGCCGGAAAATGGCAAATACGACCATGGTCATATTCGCCGGAAAATGGCAAATACGACCATGGTCATATTCGCCGGAAAACGGCAAATACGACCATGGTCATATTCGCCGGAAAATGGCATATACGACCATGGTCATATTCGCCGGAAAATGGCATATACGACCATGGTCATATTCGCCGGAAAATGGCAAATACGACCATGGTCATATTCGCCGGAAAATGGCAAATACGACCATGGTACCAAAATACTAAAGCAAACCCAAAGAAACAACTTACTATTAAATTTCCAGCTCCAGAAGGTCCTCCACTGAACGTCAAAGTCACTGCAGAAAGTTCATCCTCATTATCAGTCACGTGGGATCCTCCTGAAGAAGAGAAAAGAAATGGCGTGATCGTCAATTATACTGTGTGTATCTCACATGAAGAAACTAAACCTTGCTTTAAAGAACATACTACAGAGAAGATGATGTTAGTCATCGACAATTTGAATGCCTCAACTAAATATTTTGTTCGTGTTCTTGCAAGTACTAAAGTTGGTCCAGGAAACTACAGTAAAAGTCAGGGAATGTTTACAAATGGAGGTAGGGCCTATATTTCATAGTTTCGTTGTTAGATCTCATCACCTTAAGAGAAAGCTAACATCACAACCTAAATACCGACATTCAAGTTCATATCATTGATGTTATCTATTATACAGAAGGAACAAAGATGGCAACAAATAGAACAGAAACTACATTAACTTTCTCGTTACAAATCCCTTCGGAAAATTTTACGTAAGTTCAAAACCGGCGTTCCTAAAGCAATATTTCAGATAATTGCATGAAAGAAATTATTTGGACGACCAACTGCAGACTTTATCTCTTACTGAACAAACGGAATATGTTTTAGGTATTTTTACGTCGTGGCTCTTAAAATGAGAAAAAGCACCGACAGTCTTCGACCATCCAGCAGTCACAATGATTTAGTGACATACAAAGAAGCTAAAACGTCAGTTGAACCAAAACCTTATATTGCCGCCGTCATAACAAGCAGAGATAAAAACATGTTTATACTTGGTGATGGTGGAAATACAAGTTCTCAAACAACACGAAGACGAAGGTCAACAACAAATGATTATTATAATGGACCACTGGAGTCTGGAGCAAGTTACAGTATTTTTCAAAGGATCTTTCTTGATGACAAGGTATTGCTGAGTAGTAGATGATACATTAGGAAAGACAACAACACCAAGTGACCCTTTTGTATTTTCACTAACAATCTTCCCCAAAATACTTTTGCTATATCATATCCTGTTAATACGTAAACCTTTTTTTGTCCACTGTCTGTCCTAAATATTTCATTAAAGGGTGAATTTTACTCCACTGATTGGAGTCCTCTATCGAAGACAGAAACGCCAGCGCCAAGACCGACCCTTACCACAAACACAGGTATTGCCGGTATAGTAAAAAAGCTTTGGGGAAAACTCAGGGGGTTTTTTGCAAGAAGAAAAAAAGAGCATTTTTTATGTTTGAGTAAATTTTACTCGTATTTTATGTAATCTGAACTAACTACTCAAAAAATTGAGTTCGTTTTGCCCCTTTTCTCGTGGGGATAATTTCACTCTTTATTTTGAGTAGATCAAAACTCGTATTTTATCAAAATCTCTTGAGTAAAGACAACTCTTTACTCATCAATGAGTAAATTAAAATATTCTATTTACTCAACTACGGAGTTGGAATTACTAACTCAGTGTATTGCTTAATACATATTGGAGAAAATATTTGAAGAATTACTTCACATGTGAGAATTCACACAGTTTCGAATTCACAAAGTTTCGAATTCACACGTGCAATTTCACATTGTGAAATTTTTCTAAGGGCACAGTTAATTCCTTATATATATTCTCTATAAAGTCAAACTTATTTATTTCATTGTTGTGTTACTCATAATAAGGAATTAATGGCCGTCGTCCACAGTGGGTGAGTAATTGTTGGGTTTCCGTCGAAGCAATTTGTTTGAGTAACTCAATGCAACTCATTCTTTTAATAGAAATTACTCGTATTTTGAGTAATTTTTTTGTAGAGAGCTATGCTAGTTGGGGTCCCTCTTGTGTTATCCACGCAGTGTTGGCGGAATAGCAAAGGAAGGTAATCTTGTCAGACCTGCTGTGTTTTGCTGAAGGTGAACCACCAATCACGTTCGTCTAAGAAAAAAATCAGACGCGATCGCGACTGGATGGATTTATTGTAAAAGACATGCCTGTAGGGAAATACATTTGCTATATTCATGATCGATTTCAGAGCACAACTGACACAGTCTATCGAAAAAACCTGCACGTAATTTCCCTTTCAAACAGATTTCAACACTGACTGTTCTATCAAGAATTTTGTCAGAATCCTGTTTGAAACATATCTCATTGTTCAAGATTGTTAGATATAAATTTATTACGTTATTAAACAGTAAACATTCCGACTTCCCACTGAGTTTCTCTAAATATTTATCTTCGCTACAATGATTCAGTTTTATCTTCCGCCTTTGCATTTCACAGAGTCGTTTTAGATCTGCTGGATTGAAAAGATGTATTTCAAGCGTCTTCAACAGAATTTAGCAGTTTTCATTTTCATTCTCCTTTGTCTTCATGGTAAGTTTGAAGTACTAATGTACGTTGATCGATAGAATTAGCCTCGTTATCACTTCATGAAGGAGGAAAAAACGTTATCATGCAACAAGGAAGCAACGTATCTACTTTACTAGTGAACAACTACAGTATGTTTTTGAAACAAGTCTGAGATACTTCAAGTGCTAATATATTGTGTTAATGATTCCAGCCTGATGCGGATTGACGTGCTATGGTTGGGCTCCTTGTATATATCCTCGCTCTCTTACAGTTGCTTACACAAAACCATTCCGTCATGCGCTGTGTTTAAATTGCAATCTAAATTAAGTAAAGCAATCTAAACTAAAACGTATAGTACGCAAATCATGTGCGCCTAGTTAAGTTTGAGTAAAAGGTAAAGGTTTGTGACGGGTGTTTGCGCATCAAGTAATTCAAACTGCTCTCTCTGAAGGCTACTCTTCCCCTCTATTTTGTCCTATGATATTTCAGGTGCAGCTGGTTTCTTTGTAAAACATGTGAAGACAGGAAAGTGTATCTATGACACAGCACGAATACAGTCACAAGGCTCGGGCTGGGGCAGCTTGTCTTTTCTTGAACTCTCCAACAACTGTCTGGATCCAGCTGCTCAGTTTCAGTTTCGTGATAATGGCGCCATGTTGAATATGAAAAGACAAGGATGTCTTGCTATCTATAGAAAGCGCAGGTTTCCTGAAATGTTTTGGGTCTACGTTCCTGCTACCCCAGGAGCTATAGAAATAGCTGCCTGTGCTGACCACCGGGTTATAAAACAAACCTCTTGGGGAGGTTTATCGGGACCTTATCGTTCTGCAGGCAGGTGTGCAGACCCTGATGGATACATAAAAACGACCACAAACTGTGAAGACGGGGAGAATAAACGTTTCATTTTTGGTAAGTTTCTTTTCTGCTGGTACGATCTTTCTGCGTGATATAGGGGTTGTCTGAGAAATGTATTTCAACAGTAAAGAGAAGAAGTGCTCAGAAAGTAATTCTATATTCTCAAACCAAGTAGACAAACTCACTTCATCTTTTTAAGTTTCGATCGAGGTCTATATTTTGTCCTATATCCTTATCAAGGTTCAGTGACATGTTATGGGAAAACGACAGAGAATGTCGCCTGTCCTAAAGATCAGTTCATGGTGGTCAAGACTGCATCTTACCGTGGATTGTCTGACTCAAAGACATGTGGTTTGAGTGATGATTATAGTTGTACAGTTGATGTAACATGTCTTGTTAAAAAACAATGTGATGGTCAACATGAGTGTAAAATAACTGTGGATGAAACCTTGTTCTCTGATGATCTGTGTCCTGGATTGAAAAAATATCTTTACTTTGAATATCAATGTATTGATACATCAAAACAATATTCATTATGTGGTATGTTTGATTTGGATTGAAGTTGCGTTGGAGTGCTGAGTATTTAATGCATGTTTCTCGTGCGAAGTGCAATAGCGCAAAATAATACTGACTAGGGCAACCCTCAAGCTTTAAACTCCCAAAACCCAAAAACCTCAAAACCCCAAAAGCTCACTAGTAGAAACCTGCGTCTGCGTGGGATATTTTCTAGCTATTTAAATTAAATGTCAATGCATGCGATTAAGTGATATAATTGTTTCTGATTTATACTAAAAGATATAACTAAGGCTGTTTGTTTTTGGGCCAAATGAAATCACCATAGATCCTCAACCATCGTGAATATGAAGATAATATGTAGCTTTTGTCCTGGATATAACGTGATAATCGCGGAATAGCAAATTCATTAAGTTGGTACTTATTTACGCTCAAGAAAGTCAGATGTTTATTTATTAGTCGCTAAGAAATACCCGAGAAGGATTCTTTTTAAATTATGTGACCATTTACTATTGTTTTTTTTTGTAGTGGATGACGTGGATCTGTCAGACTCATCTCTACCAAACGAGGGTTGATAATTCTTCACAAAGTTTCCTTCAAAAACTGCACTGACTTATTCGTAATAATTGTTACCGCTATTAAAATGGAATTTAGGTGTTTGTGACTTATCAATATATCTTTAACTTTATATTTACTACCAAATATTTCATTGTAATTATATGTATTCACGCACCGGCCGTGTAAAATAAAAAACACGCGTTTACAGTAAAGTCTTTTGCATATATAATCTCTTAAACAAATACGTTGCATTCATATTTGGGTTTGCATGGGCCATGCAGTCATTTTCTTTACCAGAGTGAACACATGTACGAACGACGATAAAGGCTAATTTGGCGAGAAAGGAGAAAGCAAATTTATTTATTTTTTCTACGAGTATGATTGTTTGATTTCTAGTACGTTATTAAACAGTAAACATTCCGACTTCACACTGAGTTTCTCTGAATATTTATCATCGCTACAATGATTCAGTTTCATCTTCCGCCTTTGCATTTCACAGAGTCGTTTTAGATATGCTGGATTGAAAAGATGTATTTCAAGCGTCTTCAACAGAATTTAGCAGTTTTCATTTTCATTCTCCTTTTTCTTCATGGTAAGTTTGAAATACTAATGTACGTTGATCGATATAATTAGCGTCGTTATCACTTGATGAAGTATGCATGCAGTCTGCCATGTATTATTATATCATGCAACAAGGAAGCAACGTATCTACGATACTAGTGAACAACTACAGTATGTTTTTGAAACACTGAGACTTAAATATAATGATTCCAGCCTGATGCGGATTGACGTGCTATGGTTGGGCTCCTTGTATATATCTTCGCTCTCTTACATTTGCTTACACAAAACCATGACGTCATACGCTGTGTTTAAATTGCAATCTAAATTAAGTAAAGCAATCTAAACTAAAACGTATAGTACGCAACTCATGTGCACCTAGTTAAGTTTGAGTAAAAGGTAACGGTTTGTGATGAATGTTTGCGTATATATCAAGTAAATGGAATGCAATTTTCTCGTTGCAATTTCCTATATAGTAAATAAACTGTGATTAATTTAACAACGGCAACCTTAATATTTTATACTTTTTAAAAATGCGTCAATTAAGATTACGTATTTTACATTATTTTTAAAACACAGTTTTTTTAAATGCATGTTCCTGTGCATGTGCATTTTCTAAATGCAAAATTTTACCACACTTACTTAGACCTGTTGCTTCAAAAGGAGCATAGGCCATCGACAACAGTCCTCCATCGCACTCGGTTCTGGGCCGCCCTCTCCGCTGCCTGCCAGGTGGTTCCGTACTCCTTCAGCTCTGCTTCCGTGTCTCGCCTCCAGGAGTTCCTGGGCCGTCCTCTCTTTCTCTTGCCCTGAGGGTTCCACAGTAGAGCCTGGCGTGTGGTGCTGGATGCTGGTTTCCTAAGGGTGTGTCCGATCCAGCCCCACTTCCTTTGTAAGATTTGTCTGTCGACTGGCTCTTGCCCCGTCCTCTCCCAAAGTTGGATATTGCTTATCTTTTCAGGTCAGATGGCCCCAAACCAGGGTATTTTAATATAGCTACTACAATATACACCATGACCAGTTTTTTTTACTACAGATTTGAAATACCTTGCTTGCCGAATATGGCTTTCACTGAAAGAGATTGTCAACATAGTTGTACATTATTTCTCTGGGTGCCTCCTATTTCTGTTTATAAATTTAATTTTACCCAATAGAGAGCATGCATAAATTTGTGCACCAGTGGAATACACGATAATACGTCATAATTACGCCATAATAACCTCCGTGAGCCTCGCTCTCATGAAAGTTAATCTCCTCCTCTATTTTGTCCTGAGCTCGAGAGCAAGCGATTTCCAAGTCTAAAATGTATTCGTAACGTCAATCGAAAGGTTTTATTGTCGTCTACGTTTGCATTATGTTTTTTCAGGTTCTGTTGGTTTCTTTGTGAAACATATCAAGACAGGAAAGTGTATCAATGACACAGCACGAATACAGTCACAAGGCTCGATCTGGGGCAGCAAATCTTTTCTTGAACTCTCCAACAACTGTCTGGATCCAGCTGCTCAGTTTCGGTTTCGTGATAATGGCGCCATGTTGAATTTGAAAAGACAAGGATGTCTTGCGGCTTATGCTAAACGTGATTCTGGTTATCTTGACATGTTTTATCTTTACGTTCCCACTGTATCACTAGGATTAGATTATTCTGCCTGTGCGCAAGATCCTGTAAAGAAAATCTATCGTCGTATAACCCAGACCTCTTGGGGAGGTTTATCTGTATATTATAAAGGTCGTGGCAAGAGCTCATTTCAGACCTGGTGTGTAGTCAATAAAACACACGCCTCGCTCGCTCAAAATGACGGAATTGATCCCTACATTGGATTGACAACAGATTGTAATGACTCTGAAGATAAACGTTTCAACTTTGGTAAGTTTCTGTTGCACGTCAGATATCGAAGTACACGCGTAAAAATCTTGTTGATGCAAGTTGTTCAAAACAAGAGTAAGCAATGTTGTGCTGCACCCTGCATGTGAACAGTACTGTTAACAATGTTGTTGCAACATGTTATACAACAACATTGGATCGTGATTGCAACAACATTGATCATTCAACAAGGTTATGCCGTGTAGCAAGTACTTCCCCATACCGATGCAAAGGACATAATATCAAGACAAAAAATTTTGTCTTAAAGAGGAAATCATCGTATACATAGTCTATACTTTTTACAAAGCTCTTTGCGGCCATACCAAAAAACTTTCTTTCTCGTGAAATTACAGTGCACTTCACAACACACAGTGAATGTTCCGCAAGTTCGATTAAATCGCTATACAAACATAATAAATACGAACAGTGCAATGAATCAGCCATTATTTATGTGCTTGTGATTGTTACAGAATACTACATAATGTCTTTATAATTAATACTATGCGGGACTGTCAAACACAGAACATTGCCATGAATTTTAAACTTAGAAATCAGATGCCTTTGACTACTTGAAACGATAATTATCTACAAATTTGTTTGAGCCGACCCAAAGGCGACTTTTTTGTTCTTTACATTTCCTTTTTTTTCCAAGGTTCAGTGACATGTTATGGAAAAACGACAGAGAATGTCGCCTGTTCTAAAGATCAGTTCATGATGGTCAAGACTGGATCTTACCGTGGATTGTCTGACTCAAAGACATGTGGTTTGAGTGATGATTATAGTTGTACAGTTGATGTAACATGTCTTGTTAAGAAACAATGTGATGGTCAACATGAGTGTAAAATAACTGTGGATAAAACCTTGTTTTCTGATGTTCTGTGTCCTGGATTGAAAAAATATCTTTACTTTGAATATCAATGCATTGATTCAACAGAAAAGCATTTGTGTGGTAGGTTTGAGTGCCTAAAATTCCTAACTGTATCTCTTACATACAAAAACTTCCTAAAAACCTAAAGAAACAACTTACTATTAAATTTCCAGCTCCAGAAGGTCCTCCACTGAATGTCACAGTCACTGCAGAAAGTTCATCCTCATTATCAGTCACGTGGGATCCTCCTGAAGAAGAGAAAAGAAATGGCGTGATCGTCAATTATATTGTGTGTATCTCACATGAAGAAACTAAACCTTGCTTTAAAGAACATACTACAGAGAAGATGATGTTGGTCATCGACAATTTGAATGCGTCAACTAAATATTATGTTCGTGTTCTTGCAAGTACTAAAGTTGGTCGAGGAAACTACAGCAAAAGTCAGGGAATATTTACAAATGGAGGTAAGGCCTGTATTTCAAAGTTTCGTTGTCAGATTGACATCACGAACTAAATACTGACATTCAAGTTCATATCATTGATGTTATTTATTTTACAGAAGGAACAAAGCTGGCCACAGAGAAAACAGAAACTACATTAACTTTCTCGTTACAAACCCCTTCAGAAAATTTTACGTAAGTTCAAAACCAGCGTTCCTAAAAGCAATATTTCAGATAATTGCATGGAAGAAATCATTTGGATGATTTGATGTCTTTTACTTAATAAACGGAATGTGTTTTAGATATTTTTACGTCGTGGCTTTGAAACGAAAAAACAATGACAAACTTCCATCATCCAGCAGTTACAATGATCTAGTGACATACAAAGAAGCCAAAACGTCAGCTGAACCAAAACCTTATATTGCCGCCGTCATAACAAGCAGGGATAAAAACATGTTTATACTTGGTGATGGTGGAAATACAAGTTTTCAAACAACACGAAGACGAAGATCAACAACAAATGATTATTATAATGGACCACTGGAGTCTAGAGCAAGTTACAGTATTTTTCAAAGGATCTTTCTTGACAAGGTATCTCTAGTTATGACATTACATTCGAAGTGATTAGGAAAGACAAATATATTCAATAAAACAAGTTAACTTTCTGCATTTTCACTAATAATCGTCTCTTTCTCCAAAATATCCTATAACCTGTTAACACGAAAACCTATGTTCATTCACTCTAAGGGTGAATTTTACTCCACTGATTGGAGTCCCGCATCCGCAACGATAACACAAGCGCCAAGACCAACCCTAACCACAAACACAGGTATTGCATATAAATAATTACACCTTATTTTTTGAGCAGAATAAATAATGGTAAGTTTACGTTTAAAGAGCTTAAGGATAATCTCGGTTTATTTTAAGCTGTTGTTATATCATATTCTATAAGCGAAGTTATTCGAAGACCGCGCCACGCAGCTCTTGGGTTATATTGCAACAAAGGTGTATTTTTGTTCCTCAGGTGGTGTCCCTCATGTGTTAACCAACATGTCCAGCGGTGACGAAATGGCAAAGGAAGGTGATCTTGTCACTCTGTTGTGTTCTGCTCAAGGGGAACCACCGATCACTTTCAGTTGGGAAAAAGATCAGAAGTCACTGGATGGATTCATTGTAAAGGACATGGCTCATCGTAGTTCCTTACTTGTCGTAACAATGAAAGACGAAACAAGTTTTGGAAAATACATTTGCAATATTCAAGATCGATTTACAAAAACTGCTCATACAATTTCAGTTGTGAAACTTACAGGTAATTTACAAACTAAATTAGTGAGAGAAAATAACTTGTGTAGTTTCCAGAGCTTTTTGCATCGGTTACATGCAGTTCTACGACAGAGGATTTCAGGGTCTTTGTATTCTGGGTTGCATCTTTCTGATTTTCCCTCTTCCTTTCAGGAGCACAAAGAGAGGGCGAAGGTTGCGGAAATCATCTTGTGGGAATTATAGTATTAATAATTCTTCTGGTCATTTTACTCATAATTATTGCTTATTTATTGTTTCACCGAGTTCATCGTCTCAAATCGTCAAGCACTACGGGAAATTTGGAGAGGAAGACCAAAGACAGTTCCAAAGATATTTATGAAAATCCTAACAAAAATGACGTTGACAATTATGAACAAGTAGAGAATGAACAGTCGACGTATACAGCTCTTAAAAGACCTGGAAAGGACGAAGATGATCATGTTTATAGTCATCTGAATCAAAGACAGCAAGAATACCAAAACCAGAAGGAAACTGGATTATAAAGAGGTTTTGCACGGAACATTTACAATAAACTTAAGATTAACATTTCAATAATGAAATGAAGACGTCCAGGTTTTATCTATAATCTGGTTAAGACCACCTGTTGGTTTAAGCTGATATTTCGACCTGAACGTTTTATCGCCATTGGTTGATGGAAAGTGCCAATAGAGAATAATGTTGACATGCATGTATCAGGCAATTATGAATATTAAATACATATTATCAGTGAGCATTTAATACATTACACAACACGAGATTCCAAGGTTTGAATAATTATAAATTGATGAAAGTCATTGAGAAATGCTTATACACCTGTATAACCAAATGACATACGACATATAAGCAAGAAATGGCGAAAGATATAACATGGAAAATAAATCATATAGACAGTGCTAAACTAAGCATACCGGAAAACAAATAAATAGGGCCACAGACCATAAGTAACTGTTGCTTATTTAATTTTAAAAATAGACTCATCGAAAACAAATAAGGTCTAGAGAGGAACATTTCTCTTAATATAACATGACCATGTCATTTAGATAGCTTTTGAGAAAGATGATAGATTTATGATTGATGCTATTATTTACAGTAATTTAACAAGAACAAAACACAATTTGCTAAAACTGTTAAAGAATGTCAGACGTTTTGTTTGTTTGGGATCATGAAAGCAACATTCAGACTTCACACTGAGTTTTATGAATATTTATCTTCGCAACATCAACGATTTAGTTCGTCTTCCGCCTTCGTTTAAACTTACATCTTTACTGCAGATATCTTTGTGGATCAATCGACTTTTTAAAAAGAAAATATGTTTTCCAAGTGTTATGAGTGGAAATTATCAGGGTTCATTGTCATTCTCCTGTATTTTCATAGTAAGTAGGCTAGCTTTTAAAATATTTCACCATGCTTTAAATTCTGTCTAATTCACAATGATTTGTGCACTGTGTCATGATTAATGCGAGTTGATGTGAGTTGCAAGTCTCGCTTGCGTTAGACCGCTCATTACCAAAATTGCGAAAGTCCAAAGTTGTAGAGTATTGACAATTACTGACGTTGTTGACGGCGGTCGGGCGGAGGTAAACATGTCTTGTGACTTGCATTAACTTCCATCAACTCCCATTCTCGTTTTAAAACTGCATCAAACGATGGCAATGAATACATACATTATAATTATTTTTTTATGTGATGAATTAACATTTTTTACCGCTGGATACAACTGAGTTAGGTTATAAAAATATGTCCTTATGAATCCTACTAGTTAACTATGAAAAATCCCCGTCTATCAAGAGTTTGCCTGAAGTTTTAAAATACCGAGTCTGTGCCGAGTCCATTTTCTTTTTTATTATATTTGCCTCCTGTTTGCCAGTTGACGTAAAACTTGATTTTTAAACTCTCTAATATTTGGTAATAACATCGCAGGAAAGTCAATCAATCTCATGAATCTTAAATTCTTCAGGTGTTGCTGGTTTCTTTGTGAAACATATCAAGACAGGAATGTGTATCTATGACACAGCACGAATACAGTCACAAAGCTGGCTATGGGGCAACGTATCTTTTCTTGAACTCTCCAACAACTGTCTAGATCCAGCTGCTCAGTTTCGGTTTCGTGATAATGGCGCCATGATGAATTTGAAAAGACAAGGATGTCTTACTATATTTGATAAGAGGGGTTTAGATGAAATGTTTTACCTCTACGTTCCTGCCACCCCAGTAATTAAAGAATCATCTGCCTGTGCTGACCACCGGGTTATAGAACAAACCTCTTCGGGAGGTTTACGTGGATTTTTTAATTCTGCAGCCAGGTGTGCAGACCCTGATGGATACATAAAAACGAACCCAAGCTGTTTACACGGGGAGAATAAACGTTTTAATTTTGGTAAGTTTCTTTTCTTCCGGTACGATCTTTCTGCATGCCAGGGTTTGTCTAAGAAATGTATTCAACAGTAAAGAAAAGAAATGCTCAGAATCTAATTATATATTCTCAAACCAAGTAGACAAACTCACTGCATCTTTTTAAGTTTCGATCACGATTAACATTTCGTGTTATCCTTATCAAGGTTCAGTGACATGTTATGGAAAAACGACAGAGAATGTCACTTGTCCTAAAGATCAGTTCATGGTGGTCAAGACTGCATCTTACCGTGGATTGTCTGACTCAAAGACATGTGGTTTGAGTGATGATTATAGTTGTACAGTTGATGTAACATGTCTTGTTAAGAAACAATGTGATGGTCAACATGAGTGTAAAATAACTGTGAATGAAACCTTGTTCTCTGACGATCTGTGTCCTGGATTGAAAAAATATCTTTACTTTGAATATCAATGTTTTGATAATGTGAAATCTTTTAGCGTTGTTTGTGGTATGTATAGTGTCTATAACTGAAGGTTCTTGCTATCTTGCAAGGTCTTAACAAGTGATCTTCGTATTTCAGGTCATATTTGCAACAATCCTCTGTTAGAAGATGAAGAAAGATTTCCAGATTCGTCATTCACTGCGTCAGTTCCTTCAGAAAGTCACAGAGCTTCTGATGCAAGGATATCTAGTGGTAGTTCTTGGTGTGCTTCCGTCTCAGATGGCAAACATTATCTTCAAGTGGACCTGGGAAGACTTTATGTGATATTGATTGTCGCAATATTTGGTGACAGTACCAGTGCAAAATGGGTGACAACTTTTTACTTAAATTACACTGTTGATTCTAACAATTGGAAACAAGTTGAGACTGGAAATCACAAGGTAATTGATACGTTTTCTTTTACATTTTTATGCCTACATCAAAAGAGGGAAATATCATATACGGTATTATTGCATCAAAATGAGTAGTCCAATATTCAATTCTCGCGCAAATGTAAATTTTCCTGACATTTCTATGCATTTGTTCAAAGATATTTCAGGGCAACAAGAATGCTTTTAATGGTGCAACCATAACAAGTTTAAATGTCACAACAACAAGAGCTTTACGGTTTATTCCATTATCACATGAAGTTCAACCTTGTATGAGAATTGAGATCTGTGGTCACAGTAAGTTACGTTTATTTCTATCGAGGATTTGGTAAAGCATTTGCAGTTGGTGATTAGAAAGCGATAATTATTTAATTATGAGTTTGATTTCCTTTCTTAACAGCCTTATATCCAGACCAACCTAGAAACCTCATCGTCTTTAACATCAAGTCACGAAGTGCTGAAATATCGTGGATTGATCCTGTGAATCAAGGATTTACCAGCGTATCAAGATTTTGGATTAAAATAAAGAAAGACGACTCGCTTATTCTGAATATGACAACGGGAGAAATAAATAAATATAAAATAGATAAGCTCACTCCATACACAAGTTATGAAATATCTGTAGCTGCTGGAAACAAGGATGGTTTTGGCGAAGAGACTATGATTGCGTTATTAACACGAGAGGAAGGTATCGGTTTATTCTTCGCGCATTGTTTAAGATTGCTACAACTCTCGCGATAGAAATTTTACCTGACTGATACCCTGCCTCATTTGTTACATGCTTGAACCAGTCGAAACAAAGAAAATTCGAAGAAACGTCTTACGGTTGCCATTTTGATATATTTAGCACCAGAAGGTCCTCCACTGAACGTCAAAGTCACTGCAGAAAGTTCATCCTCATTATCAGTCACGTGGGATCCTCCTGAAGAAGAGAAAAGAAATGGCGTGATCGTCAATTATATTGTGTGTATCTCACATGAAGAAACTAAACCTTGCTTTAAACAACATACTACAGAGAAGATGATGTTAGTCATCGACAGTTTGAATGCATCAACCAAATATTTTGTTCGTGTTCTTGCAAGTACTAAAGTTGGTCGAGGAAACTACAGTAAAAGTCAGGGAATATTTACAAATGGAGGTATAGGGCCTATATTTCATAGATTCGTTGTCAAATCTCATCATCTTAAGACGAAGAGTTAACATCATAAACTACATACTGATATTCAGGTTCATATCATTGATGTTATTTATTTTACAGAAGGAACAAAGATGGCAACAAAGAGAACAGAAACTACATTAACTTTCTCATTACAAATCCCTTCAGAAAACTTTATGTAAGTTCAAAACCGGTGTTCCTAGAGCAATTTTGAGATAATTGCATGAAGAAATTATTTGGATGACCAACTGCAGACTTTGTTTTTTACTTAACAAACAAAATATGTTTTAGATATTTTTACGTCGTGGCTTTGAAACTGAGAAAAAGCAATGACAAACTTCCATCACCCAGCAGTTACGATAACAATGATCTAGTAACATACAAAGAAGCTAAAACGTCAGTTGAACCAAAACCTTATATTGCCGCCATCATAACAAGCAGAGATGAAAACATGTTTATACTTGGTGATGGTGGAAATACAAGTTCTCAAACAACACGAAGACGAAGATCAACAACAAATTATTATTATAATGGACCACTGGAGTCTGGAGCAAGTTACAGTATTTTTCAAAGGATCTTTCTCGATGACAAGGTATTGCTGGTTATGATATTACATTAAAATAAACAAATATATTCAATTACACCAAATGATCCTTCTGCATTTTCACTAACATAGGCTATCTCAATATCTTATATATCCTCATACCCTTATATCTAATATCCGTAAACCTATTTTTTGTCCACTCTATATCTGTCTGTCCTAAATATTTCATTTTAGGGTGAATTTTACTCCACTGATTGGAGTCCTCCATCGACAACCCTTAGCATAAACTCAGGTATTGCATAAAAATTGTAACACCTTATTTTTTGAGCGGAAAAAACATGGTATGTTTACGTTTATTATAGATTTAATTCTACATGCCCCCAACCTGCTCATCAGTTAACTTGGAATGTATAACTGCATGTTTCTGTTCGTCAGATAATGCCCCTCGTGTGTTAACCAACATGTCCAGTGGTGACGTAATGGCAAAGGAAGGTGATCTTGTCAACTTGTTGTGTTCTGCTCAAGGTGAACCACCAATTACTTTCAGTTGGGAAAAAGATGGAAAGCCTCTGGAGAGTTTTTTAGAAAAGAATACCCCTTATCGCAGTTCTGTTTTGGTTGTAACAATAAAAGACGAAAAAAGTTTTGGAAAATACATTTGCAATATTCAAGATCGATTTACAAAAACTGCTCATACAATTTCAGTTGTGAAACTTACAGGTAATTTACAAACTAAATTAGGGAGAGAAAATAACTTGTGTAGTTTCCAGAGCTTTTTGCATCGGTTACAGTTCTACAACAGAGGATTTCAGGGTCTTGAAATGAGTCCTAAACGGAGTGTAAATCTGTTGTATTCTGGGTTGCATCTTTCTAATTTTTCCTTTTCCTTTCAGGAGCTCAAGGAGAGGACGATGGTCGCGGAAATCTTCTTGTGGGAATTATAGTATTAATAATTCTTCTGGTCATTTTACTCATTATTATCGTTTATTTGTTTCACCGAGTTCATCGTCTCAAATCGTCAAGCACTACGGGAAATTTGGAGAGGAAGACCAAAGACAGTTCCAAAGATATTTATGAAAATCCTAACAAAGATGACGTTGACAATTATGAACAAGTTGAGAATGAACAGTCGACGTATACAGCTCTTAAAAGACCTGGAAAGGACGAAGATGATCATGTTTATGGTCATCTGAATCAAAGACCGCAAGAATACGAAAACCAGAAGGAAACTGGATTATAAACAGGCTTTTGCACGGAACATTTACAATAAACTTAAGACAAATATTTCAATAATGAAATGAGGAAGTTCGGGTATTATCTATAATCTGGTTAAGACCACCTGTTGGTTTAAGCTAATATTTCGACCGGACCTTATCGTTTTATCGCCATTGGTTGATGGAAAGTGCCAACAGGCAATTATGAATATTAAATACATATGATCAGTGAGCATTTAATACATTACACAACAAGATTTCGAGGTTTGAATAGTCATTGAGAAATGCTAGTCATTGAGAAATGAAAGTCATTGAGAAATGCTAAGACCTATATAACCAAATGACATACGACATATAAGCAAGACATGGGGAAAGATATAACATGGAAAATAAATCATATAGACAGTGCTAAACTAAGCATACCGGAAAACAAATAAATAAGGCCACAGACCATAAGTAACTGTTGCTTATTTAATTTAAAAAATCAATTCATCGAAAACAAATTTGGTCTAGAGAGGATCATTTCTCTTAATATAACATGACCATGTCATTTAGATAGCTTTTGAGAAAGATGATAGATTTATGATTGGTGCTATTACTACAGTAATTTAACAAGAACAAAACACAATTTGCTAAAACTGTTAAAGAATGTCAGACGTTTTGTTTGTTTGGGATCATGAAAGCAACATTCAGACTTCACACTGAGTTTTATGAATATTTATCTTATCGCAACATCAACGATTTAGTTCGTCTTCCGCCTTCGTTTAAACTTACATCTTTACTGCAGATATCTTTGTGGATGAATCGACTTTTTAAAAAGAAAATATGTTTTCCAAGTGCTATGAGTGGAAATTATCAGGGTTCATTGTCAGTCTCTTGTATCTTCACAGTAAGTAGGCTAGCTATTAAAATATTACACCATGCTTTGAAATTCTGTCTAATTTACAATGATTTGTTCACTGTCTCATGATTAATGCGAGTTGATGTGAGTTGTAAGTCTCGCTTGCGCGTTGGACCGCTCATTATCAAAATTGCGAAAGTCCTCTGACGATTACTGACATTATTGACGGCGGAGGTAAACAGGTCTTGTAACTTGCATTAACGTTCATCAACTCCCGTTCTCGTTTTAAAACTGCATCAAACGATGGCAATGAATAAAAACATTGTAATCACTTTTTTATGTGATGAATTAACATTTTTTATCGCTGGATACAACTGAGTTAGGTTATAAAAATATGTCCCTATGAATCCTACTAGTTAACTATGAAAAATCCCTGTCTATCAAGAGTGTTCCTGAAGTTTTAAAATACCAAGTCTGTGCGGAGTCCATTTTCTTTTTTATTACATTTGCCTCCTGTTCGCCAGTTGACGTAAAATTTGATTTTTAAACTCTCTAATATTTGGTCATATCATCGCAAGAAAATCAATAATTCTTGTGAATCTTAAATTCTTCAGGTGTTGCTGGTTTCTTTGTGAAACATGTGAAGACAGGAAAGTGTATCTATGCATGACACAGCACGAATACAGTCACACGGCTCGAGCTGGGGTAGCCTATCTTTACTTGAACTCTCCAACAACTGTCTGGATCCAGCTGCTCAGTTTCGGTTTCGTGATAATGGCGCCATGTTGAATTTGAAAAGACAAGGATGTCTTGCTATATTTAACAGGCGTTATCAAGATGAAATGTTTTACGTCTACGTCCCCGATCCCTCAAAAGATATAGAATTTTCTGCGTGTGCTAACAAACGGGTTATAAAACAAACCTCTTCGGGAGGTTTACACGGATTTTTTGATTCTGCAGCCAGGTGTGCAGACCCTGATAGATACATAAAAACGACCGTAAGCTGTCTAGACGGGGAGAATAAACGTTTTAATTTTGGTAAGTTTCTTTTCTGTCGGTACGATCTTTCTGCATGCCAGGGTTTGTCTAAGAAATGTATTCAACAGTACAGAGGAGAAGTGCTCAGAATCTAACTCTATATTATTAAACCAAGTAGACAAACTCACTTCATCTTTTTGAGTTTCGATCGCGATTAACATTTCGTGTTATCCTTATCAAGGTTCAGTGACATGTTATGGAAATACGACAGAGAATGTCGCCTGTCCTAAAGATCAGTTCATGGTGGTTAAGACTGCATCTTACCGTGGATTGTCTGACTCAAAGACATGTGGTTTGAGTGATGATTATAGTTGTACAGTTGATGTAACATGTCTTGTTAAGAAACAATGTGATGGTCAACATGAGTGTAAAATAACTGTAAATGAAACCTTGTTCTCTGATGATCTGTGTCCTAGATTGAAAAAATATCTTTACTTTGAATATCAATGTATTGATACATCAAAACAATATTCATTATGTGGTATGTTAAACCTGCGTCTGCGTGGGATATTTTCTAGCTATTTAAATTAAATGTCAGTGCATGCAATTAAGCGTTATAATTAATTGTTTCTGATTTATACTAAAAGATATAACTGAGCGTTATTTGTTATTGGCCCAAATGAATTCACCATAGGTCCTCAACCATTGTAAATATAAAGATAATATGTAACTTTTGTTCTGGATATGACGTAAGAATTGCGGAATAGCAAATTTAATAAGTTGGTACTTAATTACGCTCAAGAAAATCAGATGTTTATTTATTAGTAGCTAAGAATACCCGAGAAGAATTCTTTTTAAAATACGTAAACATTTACTATTGTTGTTTTTGTAGTGGATAACGTGCATCTGTCAGACTCATCTCTACCAAACGAGGGTTTTATACAAATAGATGTGAATTATAATGGAACCAAGACTGTTTGTTGGCAGAGTTTAAAGAACAACGCCAAGGATGTTATTTGTCGTCAACTGGGTAGTCTGGGTTATACACGAGCATCCTCTCTTGTTAATAAGACTGCTATGTCTAGCACGAAAGAAGAATTTTCTGGAAGCATTGACTGTGATGGCGAAGAGCATCACTTGTCTCAATGTTCACTTACAAATTCTCAAAAAAGCTGTTCACAGCTCTCTTACATCAAATGTAAGTAAATTCTGGATATGCTTGTGCAGGTTACGTGAACAAATATGGATTAACATTCTTTATTTCAGGTCATATTTGCAACAATCCTTTGTTAGAAGACAAAGAAAGATTTCCAGATTCGTCATTCACTGCATCTGTTTCTTCAGAAGGTCAAAGAGCTTCTGATGCAAGGATATCTAGTGGTAGTTCTTGGTGTGCTTCTGTCTCAGATGGTAAACATTATCTTCAAGTGGACCTGGGAAGACTTTACGTGTTATATGCTATAGCGACATTTAGCGATACCACTGGCTCTAAATGGTTGACATCATTTAATCTTAATTACACTGTTGACCTGGTAAACTGGAGACGAGTACAAAACGGGACGGTAATTTTTTTGTTCCAGTTTGCTGTTTTCACTAGACTAGCTACCTTAAAATACAAAAGCCTCTAGCTAAAAGGTGATTAGAGACATATTTTTTGTTTTAGCAACTAAATCTTTCATAGCAAACAAGCAAAACATTATTTAGACGGTTTATTATCATTAAATATTTCAAGAACGGTATAATTAACAACAAATGAAATATTTACTTAATTTTACCCTTTTTAATAGATATTTCAAGGCAACAAGAATGCTTACAATGACGCAGTCATAAGAAATTTAAATTACATAACAACAAGAGTTTTACGATTTATTCCATTATCATATGAAGTTCAACCTTGTATGAGAATTGAAATTTGTGGTGACAGTAAGTTATACATTACTTTATCTCCCATCAAGGCTTTAATAAGTTAGTTAATAGCTGCTAATAATAATTTCTAAAGGATATTTATCTCATTTATTTTCATTCCTAATAGCCTTATATCCAGACCAACCAAGAAACATCACCGTCTTTAACATCAAGTCACAAAGTGTTGAAATATCGTGGATTGATCCTGAGAATCAAGGATTTACCAGCGTATCAAGATTTTGGATTAAAATAAAGAAACATGACTCACTTAATCAGAATATCATCACGGGAAAAATAAATGAATATATAATAGATAAGCTCACTCCATACACAAGTTATGAAATATCTGTAGCTGCTGGAAACAAGGATGGTTTTAGTTCAGCGAAAACAATTATGTTTTCAACACGAGAAGATGGTAAGTGGATAATTATAAGTAAGTTATACATTACTTTATATCCCATCGAGGCTTTAATAAAGAGTTGGCAATGATAATTTAGAAAGGAAATTTATCTCATTTTATTTTTATTCCTAACAGCTTTATATCCAGACCAACCAAGAAACCTCACCGTCTCAAACATCAAGTCACGAAATGTTGAAATATCATGGATTGATCCTGAGAATCAAGGATTTACCAGCGTATCACGATTTTTTATAATAATGAAGAAAGCGGACAACTCGCTTATTCTGAATATCATCACGGGAAAAATAAATGAATATATAATAGATAAGCTCACTCCATACACAAGTTATGAAATATCTGTAGCTGCTGGAAACAACGATGGTTTTAGTTCAGCGAAAACTATTATGTTTTCAACACGAGAGGACGGTAAGAATGATGGATAATTTCTTAACGCGGTTTCGAAGCATCGGCTTCATCGGTAATTGAGGCGGCTAATCATATAATACAAACACTTTCTAAAACAAACTCAAGGAAACAACTTACAATTAAATTTCCAGCTCCAGAAGGTCCTCCACTGAACGTCAAAGTCACCGCAGAAAATTCATCCTCGTTATCAGTCACGTGGGATCCTCCTGAAGAAGAGAAAAGAAATGGCGTGATCGTCAATTATACTGTGTGTATCTCACATGAAGAAACTAAACCTTGCTTTAAAGAACATACTACAGAGAAGATGATGTTAGTCATCGACAGTTTGAATGCATCAACCAAATATTTTGTTCGTGTTCTTGCAAGTACTAAAGTTGGTCGAGGAAACTACAGTAAAAGTCAAGGAATATTTACAAATGGAGGTATAGGGCCTATATTTCATAGTTTCGTTGTCAGATCTCATCGACTTAAGACGGAGAGTTAACATCACAAACTACATACTGATATTCAGGTTCGTATCATTGATGTTATTTATTTTACAGAAGGAACAAAGATGGCAACAAAGAGAACAGAAACTACATTAACTTTCTCGTTACAAATTCCTTCAGAAAATTTTACGTAAGTTCAAAACCGGCGTTCCTAAAACAATATTTCAGATAATTGCATGGAAGAAATTATTTGGACGACCAACTACAGACTTTGTCTTTTACTTGACAAACAAAATATGTTTTAGATATTTTTACGTCGTGGCTTTGAAACTGAGAAAGAGCAGTGACAAACTTCCATCACCCAGCAATTACGATAAAAATGATCTAGTAACATACGAAAAAGCTAAAACGTCAGCTAAACCAAAACCTTATATTGCCGCCGTCATAACAAGCAGGAATAAAAACATGTTTATACTTGGTGATGGTGGAAATACAAGTTTTCAAACAACACGAAGACGAAGATCAACAACAATTGATTATTATAATGGACCACTGGAGTCTGGAGCAAGTTACAGTATTTTTCAAAGGATCTTTCTTGATGACAAGGTATTGCTAGTTATGATGATACATTAGGATAGACAAATATATTCAATAACACCAAGTGATCCTTCTGCATTTTCACTAACAAATCTCAATATCTTATATCCTCATACTGTTATATCTAATATCCTAATACCCGTAAACTTATTTTTCGTCCACTCTATATCTATCTGTCCTAAATATTTCATTTAAGGGTGAATTTTACTCCACTGATTGGAGTCCTCCATCGACAACCCTTAGCATAAACTCAGGTATTGCATATAAATTATAACACTTTATTTTTTGAGGGGAAAAAACATGGTATGTTTACGTTTATTATAGATTTAATTCTACATGCCCCCAACCTGCTCATTAGTTAACTTGGAATGTATAACTGTGTTTCTGTTCGTCAGATGGTGTCCCTCGTGTGTTAACCAACATGTCCAGTGGTGACGTAATGGCAAAGGAAGGTGATCTTGTCAACTTGTTGTGTTCTGCTCAAGGTGAACCACCGATCACTTTCAGTTGGGAAAAAGATGGAAAGCCTCTGGAGAGTTTTATAGAAAAGAATACCCCTTATCGCAGTTCTGTTCTGGTTGTAACAATAAAAGACGAAAAAAGTTTTGGAAAATACATTTGCAATATTCAAGATCGATTTACAAAAACTGCTCATACAATTTCAGTTGTAAAACTTACAGGTAATTTACAAACTAAATTAGGGAGAGAAAAAAACTTGTGTAGTTTCCAAAGCTTTTTGCATCGGTTACAGTTCTACAACAGAGGGTCTTGAAATGAATCCTAAACGGAGTGTAAAACTGTTGTATTTTGGGTTGCATCTTTCTAATTTTTGCTCTTCCTTTCAGGAGCTCAAGGAGAGGGCGAAGATCGCGGAAATCTTCTTGTGGGAATTATAGTATTAATAATTATTCTGGTCATTTTACTCATTATTATTGCTTATTTATTGTTTCACCGAGTTCATCGTCTCAAATCGTCAAGCACTACGGGAAATTTGGAGAGGAAGACCAAAGACAGTTCAAAAGATATTTATGAAAATCCGAACAAAAATGACGTTGACAATTATGAACAAGTGGAGAATGAACAGTCGACGTATACAGCTCTTAAAAGACCTGGAAAGGACGAAGATGATCATGTTTATAGTCATCTGAATAAAAGACCGCAAGAATACGAAAACCAGAAGGAAACTGGGTTATAAAGAGGCTTTTGCACGGAACATTTACAATAAACTTAAAGGACATTGGCAACGAAAATTTTTATTTGCCAAATCTGTTGAAATCATCTAGGAAATACTTAATTTAATGTTTTTGTGTGTCTATCGAATTTGGTTCTTGAGAAAATTTCCAAAAATGTTCATCGGTGGTCCGCCATTTTGAAAATCGAGCTTTATGCTAATTTATGCTAGAATACATTTGTGACGTCATTTGATGGGTTCGGGAAATATGATTATATAAACTATTGTTGTATTCTCATATGGCAACTTGAAAAACTTGGTAAAATAGAGTATAGAGGGGGGACAGAATCAAATACCTATGCAAAATTAACGCATCAACATTGCGGGGACATGTTTTTCAAAATATTTGGAAGAGAACATTGAATATGAACTATGTACACACATATTTACACATGCAGTGCACGTCGATACACAACAGGACGTTACGGTGGCAACACAACACAGCTAATAACCAATCTCCCAAAGTTTAGAATTCTACTTATATTTAGATTTATACTAAAGCTAAGGCGCGCATATTTTCCCCTGCTAACAATTTTACTATATTTTAGCATAAACAAGACGCCTTTTCTGGCGTTAACTCCGGCGTGCCGCGCACGTGCTAGTCTTCAATATGAAGGCTCTGAACATAAACAATACTATGGAATGCCATAGCTGTCTTACGTTGGTATATATTCATCATATGCGGTGCTTTTGTCTCTATATGCTGTCCTTTTGACATTATATGCGGTGCATTTTTCTTTATATGCTGTCCTTTTGACATTATACGCGGTGCGTTTCTCTTTATATGCCATGCAATTGACATTATACGCGGTGCATTTCTCTTTATATGCCATGCAATTGACATTATACGCGGTGCATTTCTCTTTATATGCCATGCAATTGACATTATACGCGGTGCATTTCTCTTTATATGCCATGCAATTGACATTATACGCGGTGCATTTCTCTTTATATGCCGTGCAATTGACATTATACGCGGTGCATTTCTCTTTATATGCCGTGCAATTGACATTATACGCGGTGCATTTCTCTTATATGCCGTGCAATTGACATTATACGCGGTGCATTCTCTTTATATGCATGCAATTGACATTATACGCGGTGCATTCTCTTTATATGCCGTGCAATTGACATTATACGCGGTGCATTTCTCTTTATATGCCGTGCAATTGACATTATACGCGGTGCATTCTCTTTATATGCCATGCAATTGACATTATACGCGGTGCATTTCTCTTTATATGCCGTGCAATTGACATTATACGCGGTGCATTTCTCTTTATATGCCATGCAATTGACATTATACGCGGTGCATTTCTCTTTATATGCCGTGCAATTGACATTATACGCGGTGCATTCTCTTTATATGCCATGCAATTGACATTATACGCGGTGCATTCTCTTTATATGCCATGCAATTGACATTATACGCGGTGCATTTCTCTTTATATGCCGTGCAATTGACATTATATGCGGTGCATTTTATACAGTTCATATTCATTTAGATGCCTTGCAAACCTAAATGTTGTTCGATCGCGAAATTCAGAAGCTCATTGTACTTTAAAAAGTATAGAAGTTTAATTGTTCAAAAATGTAAATAAACCGCATGATACGTTCACTTTGTCTTACACTTTGGAATTCGTGCTTTATATATTAAATCTTCAATCCTGTGCAAATTAACTGCGACGTGTCAACGCAACCATAAGTGATCATATCTTGTTATTAAACGGCGAAATAGCAGCGATAATATTAAAATAGGACCAGAATCTACATGTATTTAATATATTCTTTCCCCAATTAAATCGAAACTTAATCGAACAGCATCAAACGCACGGTTTATTTGTTCCTTTTAGAGGAATTGCCGTATCATGTGAGAGAAATCAAATGAACATGTCATACGACACGACAAAATATTATTTGAGTGACCACACGACGAAGCGCGAGTTTGCGAAATGTTCGTATTCGTCGTACTCTAGTGCTTTTTCATAGCAGCAATAACATTCTACAGCCCTTGTTAATAATGCGCAATGTCCACATTTACACCAAGTAAGTTTTTCAAGGCGCCCGCATTCCCTATTTCGAACTCGCGATCGAAATCTTCGTCAGAGGAAGATGAATCACTACCGTTTTCGGCATCGCTATCGTTAGATATATATCACAAGATTTTCCCTGCGCCTCTGGCTCATATTGGTAGGGCAACACTTCCTCTAACTGCATGGTTTTCGTTAATATGTTCCATGACAATCATAAAAAAACTACAACTCCCTTTTTAAAGCAAAAAATCTCGATAAACACAGTAAACACGCTAGTAAAATATATTGATGTGTTTAGGGAACCCATCAAATGACGTCACTTCCGCCAAATATAATTTTTTCAAAAATTGATCCAATATGGCAGACGAGGTCCAAATTTTGGCTGAATTGTGGTGAAAATAACTCATAAACGAAACATTTTTGGAACAAATTAACACTATATCCATAATTAGACGGTTGAACACTTTAAAAATAGCGAATAAAAATTTTCGTTGCCAATGTCCTTTAAGATTAATATTTCAATAATGAAATGAAGACGTCCAGGTGTTATTTATAATCTAGTTAAGACCACCTGTTGGTTTAAGCTCATATTTCGACCTTATCGTTTTATCACCATTGGTTGATGGAAAGTGCCAACAGGCATGCAATTATGAATATTAAATACATATGATCAGTGAGCATTTAATTCACAACACAACACGAGATGAGAAATGCTAAGACCTTTATAACCAATTAAATGACGTACGACATATAAGCAAGAAATGGCGAAAGATATAACATGGAAAATAAATCATATAAACAGTTCTAAACTAAGCATACCGGAAAACAAATAAATAGGGCCACAGACCATAAATAACTGTTGCTTATTTAATTTTAAAAATAGACTCTTCGAAAACAAATAAGGTCTAGAGAGAATCACTTCTCTTAATATAACGTGACCATGTCATTTAGATAGCTTTTGAGAAAGATGATAGATTTGTGATTGGTGCTATTATTTACAGTAATTTAACAAGAACAAAACACAATTTGCTAAAACTGTTAAAGAATGTCAGACGTTTTGTTTGTTTGAGATCATGAAAGCAGCATTCAGACTTCACACTGAGTTTTATGAATATTTATCTTCGCAACATCAACGATTTAGTTCTTCTTCCGCCTTCGTTTAAACTTACATCTTTACTGCAGATATCTTTGTCGATGCATGAATCGACTTTTTAAAAAGAAAAGATGCTTTTCAAGTGCAATGAGTGGAAATTATCAGCGTTTATTGTCAGTCTCTTGTATCTTCATAGTAAGTAGGCTAGCTTTTAAAATATTTCACCATGCTTTGAAATTCTGTCTAATTCACAATGATTTGTGCACTGTCTCATGATTAATGCGAGTTGATGTGAGTTGCAAGTTTCGCTTGCGTTAGACCGCTCATTACCAAAATTGCGAAAGTCTAAAGTTAAAGAGTACTGACGATTACTGACATTATTGACGGCGAAGGTAAACATGTCTTATAACTTCCATCAACTCCCATTCTCGTTTTAAAACTGATCAAACGATGGCAAACTTAATCTTCATGACTACGCAAATATGAATACACATATTATAATAATTTTTTACGTGATGAATTACTGTAACTTTTTTACCTGGATACAAGTTAGGTTATAAAAATATGTCCGCCGCCCTCTGTTAATCATACTACATTGTTTTATATATTGGCAAAGCAAGTAATTAGATTCGATATTTCGTATCTCTGGGGATGGTTCTTATTATATTGCCGATACTTTATATAACTATATAGAGTTTCCAATGGCAATATTTCGCTTAATGATCGTTCACTAATTATCTGCGTGATTGACTTGGAAAATATGAATAACTAGAGCTTTAAATAAGGAGTTAATTCAAGCATCGCAATTCTGGAAAGCGGAAACGGGAAAGACTGAACTTTCTTGACAGAATTTTCGTCCAGATTCTTCGTTTTCTATTTTTTTTCCTATAAGAAAACAACAATTGCGCCTGGAGTTTTAAAACTTCGAGTTCGTTTACACTTTATCACATTTTTGCCTATATTTTTCTTTGCCTGTTGTTTGCCGGTTGAGGTATAACGTGAAGCTTAAACTTTCTAATATTTCGTTAAAACACCGCAAGAAAATCAAGCATACTCTTGAATCTTAAATTTTCAGTCTCATACATTCAGGGGTAAGCCAGGCGAGATGTGTTTGTGTTCATGTTTTTTCCAGATGTTGCTGGTTTCTTTGTGAAACATATCAAGACAGGAATGTGTATCTATGACACAGCACGAATACAGTCACAAGGCCCGGACTGGGGCAGCGTATCTTTTCTTGAACTCTCCAACAACTGTCTGGATCCAGCTGCTCAGTTTCGGTTTCGTGATAATGGCGCCATGTTGAATTTGAAAAGACAAGGATGTCTTGCTATATATCAGAAGAAGGGTCAAGATGAAATGTTTTGGGTCTACGTTCCTGCCACCCCAAAAATTAAAGAAAAATCTGCCTGTGCTAACAAACGGGTTATAGAACAAACCTCTTCGGGAGGTTTACGTGGATTTTATAATTCTGCAGCCAGGTGTGCAGACCCTGATGGATACATAAAAACAAACGTAAGCTGTCTAGACGGGAAGAATAAACGTTTTAATTTTGGTAAGTTTTGTGCGATCTTTTTTGCCTGCCAGAGTTGTCTGAGAAATTCAACAGTAACGAGAAAAAATTGAGAAAAAGAACGTATAATTAGCTACAGCTGTATTCTCCCCGAGTCCTTTCCAGTCTCAAACGCGATTAACATTTTGTGTTATCCTTATCAAGGTTCAGTGACATGTTATGGAAAAACGACAGAGAATGTCACTTGTCCTAAAGATCAGTTCATGGTGGTCAAGACTGCATCTTACCGTGGATTGTCTGACTCAAAGACATGTGGTTTGAATGATGATTATAGTTGTACAGTTGATGTAACATGTCTTGTTAAGAAACAATGTGATGGTCAACATGAGTGTAAAATAACTGTGAATGAAACCTTGTTTTCTGATTATCTGTGTCCTGGATTGAAAAAATATCTTTACTTTGAATATCAATGTATTGATACATCAAAACAATACTCATTATGTGGTATGTTTGATTTGGATTGAAGTTGCGTTGGAGCGCTGAGTATTTAATGCATGTTTCTAGCGCGCGAGAAACTTCGTACACAATCTATAATTTTGTTAACCTTCATTTTAACGCAGATTAATACTAACTGATGCGACCCTTATTTAGTAAAAACCTAACCTAGAAACCAGCGTATATGGACATCCTATAGCTATTTAAATTAAATGTAAATGCGATTAAGCGAAATAATTCTACTGTTTTTCAACGCCAAATCGATTACAAAAAATAACCGATGGAAGTAGCTTCTAAGCGCCATACCAGTTATTGGCCCCAATAAATTCCAATTCATCATAGGTTCTCAACCATCATGAATATCAGTGAAGATAAACAAAATATAAAAATTCCTCGATATGATGCATGTGAAAATTGCAGAAAAGCGATTATATTGCAGATAAACGATATAAGGAAAAACGTGTATTTAGAAGTAGGTATACGAAAAGTATTCTTTGCAAAATATGTAAACATTTACTATTGTTGTTTTTGTTTTTGTAGTGGATAACGTGCATTTGTCTAATTCCACTCTACCAAATGAGGGTTTTATACAACTAGTGACAGAACGCAGTGGAACTAAGACTGTTTGTTGGCAAAGTTTAAAGAACAACGCCAAGGATGTTGTTTGTCGTCAACTGGGTTATACACGAGCATCCTCTCTTGTTCATAAGACTGGTTCATCGGATGTCAAAGATTCAATATTTTCTGGCAGTATCGACTGTGATGGCGGAGAGATAGATTTGTCTGAATGTTCAATGAATGCTTTTGTTGGAAATTGCTCTGGTTTCTCGTACATTAAATGTAATGTAATACTTTAATTTTTAGAAATTTCAAGGGAAACCAGATTGAAAGAACATAAAGAATGAAAACTATTAACAATGACCAACTTTATCCTTTATGTTGATTTCAGGTCATATTTGTGATAATCCTCTGTTAGAAGACAAAGAAAGATTTCCAGATACGTCATTCACTGCCTCAGTTTCTTCAGAAGGTCACAGAGCTTCTGATGCAAGGATATCTAGTGGTAGTTCTTGGTGTGCTTCTGTCTCAGATGGCAAACATTATCTTCAAGTGGACTTAGGAAGACTTTACGTGTTATATAATGTGACAACGTTTGGTGACAGTACCAGTGCCAAATGGGTGAAGACTTACAACTTAAATAATACGGTTGATTTGAAAAGTTGGAAGCAAGTTCAGGCTGGGAGTGGCAAGGTAATTTACTATATGTGACTTTTTGAAGCAGAAAAATTTACGTTGGCGTCGTTTCCCGATATAGTTATAGCAATAGCTCTTTCGTATTCAGTGAATATTAATAGAATGTTTAATATTTCATGTCAATCTTAATTACAAAGGGGTTTAAAAAATATAACGGTTATTTTATTGTGTCATATAGTATCATAGTGTTGGGTATTTTACGCAAAACACATCACACTTTTTCAAAGATATTTCAAGGCAACAAGAATGCTTACAATGACGCAGCCATAAGAAGTTTAAATGACATAAAAACAAGAGCTTTACGGTTTACTCCACTATCACATGAAGATCAACCTTGTATGAGAATTGAGATTTGCGGTGACAGTAAGTTACATTCATTTTAGTATTGACGCTCCGAGGATGAGTTTACAATTATGATATAAAAAAGTTATCATAGTAAAGATTTGTCACAGTTTCATGTGCTTTCTTTTTCAAGCTTTGTATCCAGACCAACCTAGAAACCTCATCGTATTTAACATTAAGTCACGAAGTGTCGAAATATCGTGGATTGATCCTGAGAATCAAGGATTTAGCAGCGTATCAAGATTTTGGATTAAAATGAAGAAAAACGACTCACTTATTCTGAATATCAAAACAGGAAAAATGAATAAATATAAAATAGATAAGCTCACTCCATACACAAATTATGAAATATCTGTAGCTGCTGGAAACAAGGATGGTTTTGGCGAAGAAACGAGTTCTTCATTTATAACATTGGAAACTGGTTAGAATTGAAATATATTTCTTATATTGGCGACGTTGTGATTAATGACGTTAGTGAGGACATAATCTATGCCTACGACATTGAAGCCTGACTGATTGAAACATAATTAGTTTTCTTGAGAAAACTGTCTTCTTGACAATCCTCTTATAATTGTTTATAGTGCGGTCCAAATTTGACTTACAACACTACCCTTTCGCTGACCTATTGCGCTCGTTATTAGTTAATCTGATAGATTAGTTGCATTTGATTGGTTCATGTTCTCTCAAAGATAGTGCTGGTGGAATTCAAATATGAACCTCGCCCGGAGCTGTTTGTTTTGGTTCAATTGTCTAATAATATACAAAATATCAACTATACGAACCTCCATTTTGATTTTTAGCACCAAGTGGTCCTCCATTAAACATCAAAACCACATCAAGAAGTACATCATCTCTGTCTTTCATTTGGGATCCTCCTGAGGAAAGTAAACAAAATGGCGTCATTATCAGTTATACTGTGTGTGTTTCGAATACAGACGATGGAATTTGCTTTCACTCATTTACAACCACAGAAAGAAATTGGGTTGCGCGGGATTTGAATCCATCAACCAAATATTATATTCGTGTTCAAGCGAGTACTAAAGCTGGTCGTGGTAACTACAGTGAGAGTAAAGGATTCTTTACTAATGGAGGTATGTTGAACAATAATGTTGAACAACACCATTCTGTGATGTTGAATTGGTTCAGATATATTCAAGTATCGAAAATAAGCTTTTCATTTTGTGACCGATTCGAAACTTCACCTAATATCTAAAGATACATCTCAATCGCAGATTTGGAAAACATCTCTGCAGAAAATTGCTAAAATTTCGTTCTTAAACGCGGGAATGTATTATTCATGCACACGCAAGCCCGTATCACATCAACTTAGTTTTGTGTTTTTTATGATCAACATTTTCTCTCATAGGAGCGACAGAAGAGGCTGCTGACGTGACGTCAAGTACACTCAAATTTTCATTGAAAATTCCTTCAATGACGTATTTGTAAGTTTATTTATTTAAATATTAGTGTACGAAGACAGACACCAAGTGCTATTGAAGAGGTAAATGTTTCTCTTCAGGCATTTTTACGTCGTAGCTTTAAAACTTAAAGACGGTAAAGAACCTAAATCATCTGGTAGTTATGACAACAATGAACTAGTGACGTATGCTGAGGCAAGAAAATCATCTGATCCCAAACCTTACATTGCCGCAGTCTTTACATCCGGCGATGTGAATGAAAACGTGTTTATACTTGGTGATGGTAAGAATACAAGTGATCTAACATCACGAAGACGCAGATCAACTGCGAGTGATTACTACAATGGTCCGCTTGAATCTGGCACTAGATACAGTATTTTTCAAAGGATGATACTCAATGACCAGGTAATTCTATGTAAATTTAATGAAAGTCTAGATACAATAATTCCTTTGCCTAGTTTCAGTTTACCAGGCTTACTTACATGTCAAAAATTGAGAGGAAAAAAAATGTGGCTGACAAGGAGACTGAAGTCTAAAGAGTGGAAAAGGACAAATATTGGAAGAGGAACATCGTTACACCAACTAGCAGGACAAGTATTATTTCATGTCATCATCCGTCTTTCTGGGTCATAATATATAATGATCATTTTCCTTAAATAGGATTATTACTCTACAGACTGGAGCCCAGTTTCGAAGACAAAGATGAATCAGCTAGTACATCCCAAGGTAACTTACTCTTAAAGGGTTTATTAAACAAAAACCTGTTTTAGAAAATTGAGGTTAAATGTAAATGCCTGTTAATTTCCTTCCCCAGGTAGTCCTCGTGTGTTAACCAACATGTCCAGTGGTGACGTAATTGCAAAGGAAGGTGATCTTGTCACCCTGTTGTGTTCTGCTGAAGGTGAACCACCAATTACTTTCAGCTGGGAGAAAGATCGAAAGCCTCTGGATAGTTTAACGGAGATAGAAAAGCCTTACCGTTGTTCTTTACTAGTTGTAAAAGTGAAAGACGAAACAAGTTTTGGAAAATATATTTGTCATGTTCATGATAGGTTTCAGAGCACGAATCATACATTTTTTATCCAAAAACAAATCGCCACAGGTAACTTGAATTTTTAACAAATTGAGAAATTAACAAATGCACACTGGCTTTCACTTGCAAAAATGAACGGAATGCCTGGAACGGAATCCTGGATCGTTAGTTCCAGATCTCGATTTCATCAATCTTGATTCGAAAATCAAATAAATTTTAGGATCCCATTATAGATGACCCATGCACGAGCTTTTTAATCGCGAGTTCTGCATGTATATTATTATTTAGGAACTGCATGGTTGGATTTCTTACACTGGCTACGTAGAACATTCACTCTTCAATACATGATCGATGCATCTTCTTAATTTTTTATATTTCAGACGGTGCAAGAAATGAAATTGTTGGGATTATTGTATTGGCAATTCTCCTTGTCATTTCAGTCGTAGTTATCGCTTATTTAATCTACCGTGCACGTGTTGGTCGTCTCAAATCATCAAGCACTACGAAAAACATGGAGAAGAGCAAGGACAATTCCAAAGATATTTATGAAAATCCTGGAAAAGATGACGTCGACAATTATGAACAAGTGGGAAATGAAAAATCGACGTATACAGCGCTTAAAAGGCCTGGAAAGGAGGAAAATGATGATCATGTCTATAGTCATTTAAATGAAGCGCCCCAAAAATATGAAAATCAGGCGGAAACTGGACTTTAATAACAAGGGCTCTTTTACGACGCATTTGTCGATAAACTACTGATATAGTCATATAGTATAAACTTAAAAGAGCTGTCAAATTAGAAATTTCCAGCCTGAATAAATCGACTATTCGTGCAATGTATACTCCGTACATAACCGAACACAAAAAAATTGACAGTTGAAGTGATTATCATAAGAAGTTGATATAAAATATCAGTGTATAGAATTATACTGACTCGTATTATAACCGTTAAATATAATAAACCGTTAAATATAAATAAGAAAAATGGTACAACTAAGAAATGAATGCATGTGCATGTATGGAATTTACGTAGGTCCCCATGATGTAGTTGACAAAAATAATACTGAAGAATTGACAGTTGAAGTTGATAAAGAGGTGATAAAAACTGAGTTGATATAAAATATCAGTATCGAATTATATACTGACTCGTATACATCCCTGTATTATAACCGTTGAATGATAAAACCAATGATAAAAAAGAGATTCAAATTATCTTCTTCGCTATATATAAACGTCTCGTATCGCACCTTATTACCTAATAACCGCCATGCAGACCAGTGAGGCCCTCAGAAGCTTTTATCACGATATGAAAGAAAAAGATTTTGCAACTATTTTGATAACTGATTTGGCTAAGAGACTACAACTAAATTCATTAAAATGTTGTCTTTGTTCGTTTAAGGGTGCTTAAGGAAGTAATGTAAGAAATGTAAACAAACGATTAAAAACGATTATCACTATAGGTCGATTATCGTTCATTATTCAGTAGCTACATATATACCACGATATACAAGTTATATAACACGATATAGTCAACATATGCTACGCTTGATATATAATTTGAAGTTTTGAATAATACTGACTAGTGTAACCCAAGTATAACTTTTCTAAAATATCTGATGTGAAAGAATGTTATTAATTTGGTTTGGGCATGCAATTATAAAATTAAAAGCAACATTCAGACTTTGCACTGGCTTTCTATGAATATTTATCTTCGCTAGATTGATTTAGTCTCGTCTTCCGCAATCGCAATTCACGAAGTCGTTTTCGGTTATATTTGTATATCTCGTTCTTAATGAAGTATCTTTTTGAAGATGTTTCTCAAGTGCTTTGAGTACAAATTTATAGAGTTGATTGTCAGTCTCTTGTATCTTCATGGTAAGTATTAAACTATATCATTTACGATTTATAACAACTGAATATTTGGCTTAATTCGCACTGATGAACTTATCTGATGAATCTATGTACTGTCGCAATAAAGTGATATCTCAAGAGGTTACTTTCAGTTATACGACATGGACAAAAACCAGCGTCTGAAGTATCTATGAATGACCCTCAGTCTCTCATATTCGAGTACATAACTTTTACGTGATCAGTTAACTAGATATATATTTGTGTATGTATATATAATACACATTACACATAGCTATACATAGATATGCATGCACTATAGAGGTTAAACATGTATGCACTATAGAGGTTAGAAATATATTTGCTGTGAATGTGAAAGTGTTACTGTGTATCGCAGGTGGTGCCCTACTTTTTGTCATTTCGCCGAATTCATTCGCGATGGTTTGATAAAAAAAATTGTGTGCATCCCACAGATCATTCGCCTCAGCATTTTCGAACTTGTGTTTCTCAAGATAGTACTACAAAAATTCTGATGGATGACAATATCAATCCGCAATACCCGACATGCAAAATCTAACGATATGCCAGATAAGCAAGCGCGGTGATGTTCTTTACAGGTGTCGCATGTTTCTTTGTGAAACATGTTAAAACAAGAAAGTGTATCTATGACACAGAACAAATACACGACCAAGGCCCGCTCTGGGGCAGCCTATCTTTTCTTGAACTCTCCAACAACTGTCTGGATCCAGCTGCTCAGTTTCGGTTTCGTAGTGATAATGGCGCCATGTTGAATTTGAAAAGAAAAGGATGTCTTGCTATATATGACAAGCGCGGGATTGATGAAATGTTTTTCGTCTACGTTCCTGCTACCCCAGGAGCTATAAAAGTATCTGCCTGTGCTGACCACCGGGTTATAAAACAAACCTCTTGGGGAGGTTTACGTGGAAAATTTAATTCTGCAGCCAGGTGTGCAGACCCTGATGGATACATGGAGACGAACAAAAGCTGTGTAGACGGAGAGAATAAACGTTTTAATTTTGGTAAGTTTTTGTGCGATCTTTCTGCCTGCCAGGGTTGTCTGAGACGGGTTTCGATAGGACCGCGGAGGATCGCTTAGTAGGGGGGGGGGGATATTCATGTTAGCCGACCGTAAAACAATCAATTTCATCATTCTGCTGTGCATAAATCTCTACACACATAATAAATGAATATAATCAATATATGACACCCCCCTTAAAAAAGTAGGTCTTTTAAGTCCTAAATTAACCAGATCGGACGGGAATGTGATTATATAATTATTAACGATCTTCCATGGCCACAGTAGTTGTTAAAGAGAATAAGAAGCGGAATTCAAATTTGGAAGACCACACACACTCCCTGCATCAATCTTTATTTTCAAGGTTCAGTTACATGTTATGGAGAAACGACAGAGAATGTCGCCTGTCCTAAAGATCAGTTCATGGTGGTAAAAAATGCATCTTACCGTGGATTGTCTTACTCAAAGACATGTGGTTTGAGTGATGATTATAGTTGTACAGTTGATGTAACATGTCTTGTTAAGAAACAATGTGATGGTCAACATGAGTGTAAAATAACTGTGGATGAAACCTTGTTCTCTGATGATCTGTGTCCTGGATTGAAAAAATATCTTTACTTTGAATATCAATGTATTGATACATCAAAACAATATTCATTATGTGGTATGTTTGATTTGGATTGAAGTTGCGTTTGAGCGCTAGTATTTAATGCATGTTTCTCGTGCGAAGTGCAAGAGTGCAAAATAATACTAACTGGGGCCACCCCGTCAAACTTCCAAAACCCAAAAACCTCAAAACCCCAAAAGAATGATTTTTAAAATACGTAAACATTTACTATTTTTGTTTTTGCAGTGGATAACGTGTATCTGTCATACTCATCTCTACCAAACGAGGGTTTTTTACAAATAGATGCAAAATATAATGGAACCAAGACAGTTTGTTGGCAGAGTTTAAAGAACAACGCCAAGGATGTTGTTTGTCGTCAACTGGGTTATACACGAGCATCCTCTGTTGTTAATAAGACTGCTATGTCTAGCATGAAAGAAGTATTTTCTGGAAACATTGACTGCGACGGCAAAGAGCATCACTTGTCTCAATGTTCATTTACAACTTCTCAAAAAAGCTGTTCACAGCTCTCTTACATCAAATGTAAGTATATTCTGGATATGCTGGTGCAGGTTACGTGAACAAATTTGGACTAACATTCCATATTTCAGGTCATATTTGCAACAATCCTCTGTTAGAAGACAAAGAAAGATTTCCAGATTCGTCATTCACTGCCTCAGTTTCTTCAGAAGGTCACAGAGCTTCTGATGCAAGGATATCTAGTGGTAGTTCTTGGTGTGCTCCTGTCTCAGATGATAAACATTATCTTCAAGTCGACTTAGGAAGACTTTACGTGTTTTATGCAATAGCGACATTTGGCGATAGCACTGGCTCTAAATGGGTGACATCATTTAACCTTAATCATACTATTGACCTGGTAAACTGGAGACGAGTACAAGATGGGACGGTAATGTTTTTGTTCTAGTTTGATGTTTTTACTAAACTAGCTATCTTGAATACAAAAGTCTCTAAAAAGCTTATTAGAGACATATTTTTTGTTTAAACAACTAAATCTCTCACAGCCGGCAAATACGCAAAATATTCTTTAGACGGTTTACATTATCATTAGCTTTAGATATTTCAAGAACGGTATAATTAAAAATAAAATAAATATTTACTTAATTTTAAACCTTTTAATAGTTATTTCAAGGCAACAAGAATGCTTACAATGACGCAGCCATAACAAGTTTAAATGTCATAACAACAAGAGCTTTACGGTTTATTCCACTATCAAATGAAGGTCAACCTTGTATGAGAGTTGAGATCTGTGGTGACAGTAAGTTATACATTACTTTATATCCCATCAAGGCTTTAATAAAGAGTTAGCAATGATAATTTAGAAAGGATATTTATCTTATTTTATTTTTATTCTTAAAAGCTTTATATCCAGACCAACTTAGAAACCTCATCGTCTTTAACATCAAGTCACGAAGTGTTGAAATATCGTGGATTGATCCTGAGAATCAAGGATTTACCAACGTATCAAGATTTTGGATTAAAATGAAGAAAAACGACTCACTTATTCTAAATATAACCACGGAAAAATTAAATGAATATAAAATGAATAAGCTCACTCCAGACACAAGTTATGAAATATCTGTAGCTGCTGGAAACAACGATGGTTTTGGCGAAGAGAAAAGTATTATGTTTTCAACACGAGAGGATGGTAAGAATGATCATAACTCGCGATGGAAATTTTAACTGACTGATATTCTGCAAAATAATAACGAATTGTTACCCTGCCTCATTTGTTACATGCTTGAACTCGTCCAAACAAAGAAAATTCGTCTTACGGTTGCCATTTTGATATATTTAGCTCCAGAAGGTCCTCCACTGAACGTCACAGTCACCACAAAAAATTCATCCTCATTATCAGTCACGTGGAATCCTCCTGAAGAAGAGAAAAGAAATGGCGTGATCGTCAATTATACTGTGTGTATCTCACATGAAGAAACTAAACCTTGCTTTAAAGAACATACTACAGAGAAGATGATGTTAGTCATCGACAGTTTGAATGCATCAACCAAATATTATGTTCGTGTTCTTGCAAGTACTAAAGTTGGTCGAGGAAACTACAGTAAAAGTCAGGGAATATTTACAAATGGAGGTAAGATCCGACGTTTATTCTTAAGATCTGCCAATTAGTCGGGAAAGAGTAAACTTCACAACTGACTAAAATTATCATAGAAAAAAATTCCATCTCAGATTGCTAACAAATTTGCATATTTTCCTGCAGAACGAACAGAGATGGCCACAAATAAAACAATAACTACATTAACATTCCCATTACAAAGCCCTTCGGATAATTTTACGTAAGTTATCAGTAAACGTTACTGAACTAATAATATACAAAGAATTTCAGAAGAAACTATTCAGATGTCTATATAACTACAGAATTTTTTTAGGTATTTTTACGTTGTGGCTTTAAGAATAGAAGACAATGACAAACTTTCATCACCCAGCAATTACGATAACAATGATTTAGTAACATACGAAAAAGCTAAAACGTCAGCTAAACCAAAACCTTATATTGCCGCCGTCATAACAAGCAGGGATAAAACTGACATGTTTATACTTGGTGATGGTGGAAATACAAGTTTTCAAACAACACGAAGACGAAGATCAACAACAATTGATTATTATAATGGACCACTGGAGTCTGGAGCAAGTTACAGTATTTTTCAAAGGATTTTTCTTAATGACAAGGTATTACTGGAAATTGATCTTAAATACATGAGGTTACCGAAACATATCGAAAATGGAAAGTTCTACAGATGTAACGCTGTCTCAACTTAATATTTCACTCCAGGATGAATTTTACTCCACGGATTGGAGCCCTGCTTCAACAACAGTTGGAAAGATGACAACATCAGCAACAAACACTCCCAGAACAATCAGAACTGACTCAAGCACCACCACAAGTAAACGTAAATACTTAAAACCTCCTGTGTACAACAAATTTAACTTATACTGTAAAAAAAAGGGAGGTAGTGAATCATTATTCAAAGATTTAAACGAACTTGTTTTCCTTTGTAAAAAGGATAAACAATTCAAAATCGACTGCACGTTGTCTTTACCAGAACTAACGATTTTTTTTATGATCATGTAAATGAACATACTTGTTATGCCCACTACAGAGAGTGATGATAACAATGAAGAAAGCGATAATATTCCAATAATTGCTGGTGCAGCAGGTGGCGGATGTCTTCTTCTTATCCTGGTCATAGTTGTGATCATTCTGTGTAGAAGAAGGTAATCATGTTGAAGTTCTGTTTACGAAAGATCCATCCTCTCGGGGAATGAATGAACTCTGTCCTTCAGTCCTTGCGATTATTTATATCCGAGTATCACAACAATCACGGAATGACGAGGAAGACTGTCACAGAGTGTTTCTATAGAGTGCGTGCGTGAACATGTGAAATATTGTATCAAGTTTCTCTTATATGATGACTCTACCATAGATTATAATGGTGATGATGACGATGACATCTTATTTCTCGACATTTTGACGTAAATACGTCCGTTGTTTTGTGCCTTTTTTTCACTGCTTGAATGTCATCTTGTATTTCAGACGCAAAGACAAAAAAGATCATTACGATGAAGTGGATTATAAACTCGAAGAGAAACCAAGATTTGCTTCACCCGCGATCAACGAGGGATATCTTGATCCTAACGACGGTGATCTTGGTCCCAAAGGGTCGATTGAAGTACAACAAAACCCCACCGTTGCTGGGGCAGATGAAGTAGACGTTAGTCCAGTTCAGGAAGAGAAAACATATCCTTCAGATTTTGCAGCTGGTGATAAAAGTATCTATGGCAACCAAGAAGGTGGGTGAAACAAAGATGGGAGAAGGTGGGGGCATCTTACTAAGACAAAGTTCTCCCTGTCACTGACTATAGGCAGCCAGGCAGTGCTTAATGACAGAATATTGTGTTTGATTAAATGCTCGTTAACTCAAATGTATATTTTGCCAGCTGTTGTTGCGAGGATTCATAATCCTGTTCCTGTTGACGAATTCAGTGATCACGTGAACAACCGGAGACAAAACGATAAAAAAGATTTCAAGCTGGAATTTGAGGTGAAGTGAGAAATTCACAACCATAACACGATTTCATCCAAGCTGTCTTTATCATATTTCTGAAATTAGTTGACATCGTTGTAGTAGCTTTCTAAATATGAACCAACTTTCGTATTCAACTTTTCAGGATTTACCAACTGCCCACATTTCCAAAGGAGACATCTCAAAACGAGCGTTTAACAGACAGAAAAACAGATACGGCAACGCTGTCACGTGTAAGTTAGTTAGATTTAATGTTTTCATATGACGTCGTTAAGATTCAAGAATATCAATAAACGATGGTAATCTTCAGCCATCAACGAGTACTGAATGTTTTCTCTGGTTGTAGATAATGATTCTCGCGTCATTTTGTCTGGTGACGAAAAATCAGATTACATCAATGCTTCGTACATCAACGTGAGTGCAAAAACAATGACGTAGGGTAATGTCTCTACCATGATTCTCTAAATGCTTTTTTAAAAATAATTTGTAGGGATTGGTGGAGAAGAGTTACATCGCTACACAAGGTACAACATAATATGTTGACGAATCTATAACATAATAAGTTGACGAACTTTTTTCATTCAGCCTGGATATTAAAGAGTAATTAAAAAGTATGAAAAAAGACCTGAATGATCGTATTTTACTTAGGACCAAAACCAGCAACAGTGAATGATTTCTGGAGGATGATTTTTGAACACAAATGTCCAACAATTGTCATGTTGACCACATTGAAAGAAATGGCAAAGGTTTTGTATTATCGCAACTTTTATTATACCTAAAGCAAGACTAAACTCATAAAATTAGTAATCTTTCACTGTGTAGATCTTGCTCTAGCGGAATGAAATATGACTTTCTTTTTCACAGGTAAAATGTGAGAAATACTGGCCCGATGACTCTGGTTTGTATGGAGATATCAAAGTGACTGCCAGAAAAACAAGAATATTTGCTGATTACGTTACTCGAATATTCACTGTTGAGAAGGTAACTAACTATAAACACAAATTAGCTCTATAAACTCAGACAAGATGAGTAGATGAATGCTTTTTTAAATGAATCTCTTTAATCCAGGGAGGTGAACAACACGGAGTTCAACAGTTTCATTTCAAAGCATGGCCAGACTTTGGTGTTCCTCACTATCCAACACAGATTTTAACTTTCAGAGGACATTTCAAGTCTTTTCATGAGACTAAAGCTGGGTCAGCTGTCATTCATTGCAGGTAGGAAATTATTAGATTACTGTTAGGGCAGGTTAAGATCGTGAAAATTATGATAGATGAGAGTCTCCCAGGAATGGTTGGGACGGGATAGAAGCGATATTCTAGTGAACGTTTGCCATTAATCCTTTCAACGCAGCGCTGGAGTTGGTCGAACAGGGGTCTTCATTGCTGTGGACAAGATTCTGGATGATCTTGACAAAGAAAAGAAAGATGTGATCGATATCTTTGGCTTTGTGAAGGACATGAGAACAAGACGAATGAACATGGTGCAAACTGCTGTAAGTGTTGGGTGACAGAGCTATTGACTTGTCCATAATCAACTATAGTTAGTATAGCGAAATGAAATGAAATGAAATACCTATGAAGATGTCTGTGACATTTACTCTCTCAAAACCAAACACCAGTCCAATATTGAAACAAGGTTTATTTTGTTTACTATCCAGGATCAATATGTGTTTATTCATGATGCAATCGTTGATCACATCAAGTGTGGAGCGAATGAAGTTCAAGCAACGCATGTGAAATTCGAGATCAAGAAATTATCAGAGCAAACTAACGAAGGCCAGACTGGATTCGAAGAGAAGTTTAAGGTAAGGCAACATTTGATTCAGTTGCAAGTTGGACGCTGATGTCATTTCTATCCACAACTATCATAGGATTAAAAGTAATTTTGAGTAGATATATAGCTCGTTGCCACAGTGTATGTGAAGGACTCTTCAATAAATGCAAGATATTCTTCCTTGTCAACAGCGTTTGAACACAGTCTCACCGAAGTTGATGGAAGATCAATGCGAAGCAGGACTTTTGGAGGAGAACAAGAAGAAGAATCGAAAGGAACACATTTATCCATGTAGGTTAAAATGTGTTTTTATTTTAAAATTTCCATTTTAATATTTTGTGTTTATCTTTCTGTTCCAGCTGAGTCTGGTCGTGCTTGTCTCAGTCATATTGAAAATGTCGCGAACTCGGATTATATAAATGCTTGTTTTGTCGATGTGAGTTTATTATTATGGTAACCGAGTAACTAGTGAAAGAAATATCGCAGTGACGAAAACCCTTTTGAAACCGATTCATCTAAATAGGGTTATCTTGGCAAGAATTATTTTATTGCTACACAAACACCTCTGAAGGAGACGATTAACGACTTTTGGAGGATGGTGACAAAATATTGTTCGTCAACAATCGTCATGTTGAATCAGTTGGGTGAAGACGAGGTCAGTAGACAATTGGGTTCTTCAGTCCCAACTGAGGAATCTGTCAAGTCTGTTCTCTATCACCACATCAGCATGCTTGTTCTTCGGGAAAATTTGGGATCCCTTGATGCTTGCTATTGTGAAGCCCACTGCTAATTCTTCACTTTAAATCGTGCTAATACAATTGTTATCATTCAAGGAATACCCAATGTTTTGGCCAACCCAGAGAGCTAAACCACAGTCATTTGGAACCACCACAGTAATGTTGGATTCTTTCGTCAAAAAAGAAAATATTGTTGTTAGAAAATTCATCGTTTCACCCTCAGCGGTATGTATTATCAGTACTCGATTGTATCTCAAACATTATCATCCTGATGAACACTTGATTTGAACTTTCTTCTATACACGACCAGGATTTGAAAAATGGTCACATGCTAAGATTGGTTCAATACATGACGTGGCCAGACCATGGAGTTCCAAAAAATGTTAACGATCTTGTGAAACTTTCGTCTGAAGTTGAAGACGCAAAAAGAGCAGCAGAAAAGAAGGGACCAATCATTGTTGTTTGCAGGTATGGAATTATATACAATTGTGACTTTTTACTGGAATTAATATATTAGTTAATTAATCGGTCAATTAAGAATCAATTAACGAGTATTTGTCAATTAGTTTAAGCAATTTAATATATTTTCTAGCGATGGTGCTGGAAGAAGTGGAACGTACATTGCAATTTCTAATCTTGTGGACAGAGTGAAAGTTGTTCAAGTCATGGACGTCTTTCAGTGCATCAAATTGATCCGTGCAAAGCGTCCACAGTTCGTTGAGACCGCGGTAAGTTAACGCAGAATGAACTATTCCAATCAGTCGCAGTTCTAATGAAACTATACTGTGCATAAAGCTACATCAAGGCAAAATTATTCACACGAGAAAACCAGTTGATTCAGTTCGTGTTTTCTCCCGTTTTAGGCTCAATTCAAGCTCTGTTATGAAGCCGTTTCAGCTGTTTTGAATTCCTTTAATGAATATTCAAACTTTAGCGATACTCAGACTCAGTAACACAGCAAAATCAGCACTTCGGAATCAGCTAGTTAAATACTTAGGTATATAACCGCTTAGTTTTAATTTAATCATCATGGGAATTAGGAAAAGACCAAGGACATGCAGTTCATAAGATATTATTGAGATAATGAAAATAGAAACCTCCATATATTTTGAAGATCAGGCTAAAATATATCGCCTGATGAATTTATGTATACCATCTGACGAGTCAGTTGAATAATATCAACATTTGGGGATTTTTTCCACCGTATGACAGCGAGATCGTAGCGTACATTATTGTTCCTGGGCACTCAACTATAGCACTAATGAATACGCTGCATTTCGTAACAATTAAAGAGGAAAACAGACCTTAGAAATAGAGTTTCCTTGGAAATCTAAATATCGTCTATAGCATTAGCGATTGTTGGCTTATATTTCATGTCCTAAATCAACACATCGACTGTCATTCATAATATATCCATGTCACTTTCAAATTGCTTTTGAAAAATATAACAGAGTTGTATGGTAGAACTCAGCAGGAATTAGTTCAAGAATGTCAGAACTTTCGTTTAACCTTTTGAATTATGAAAGCAGCATTCAGACTTCATGCTGAGTTTCTATGAATATTTATCTTGGTCAAACAGAATTAATCTCCTCTTCCGTCTTCGCCGTTCACTAAAGACGTTTCCTTGCACAACTAAATCATGTAATATATCGCAATCTTTATGAAGTGTCGCCTCAATTAATTGATAAGATGTTAGTCATGTGTTGCAAATGGGAGTTGACAGGGATTATTGTCATCCTTGTGTATCTTCAGGGTGAGTATAAGCTGTTAAGGCAACCAGGAACTATTTGAGAATGGACTATAAGTATTGTCGCGATTGAATTTGTGTTTCACAAAGAAGCCTTTAAAGAGTTCTTTGGGCTCGATTTATATTCAGAGCCGATAAAAATCAGTTTGGGGAACGAACTTGGGGAAAGAGAAGACTTGTACGCTAATATGGTTCGTCTTGACTGTATATGTTTGGTAGCCTAAAAGTGTAACAAGTGTTCAGAGTCAGACGATATTTGCCAGCATATATAAGTATACTGATTATTAGAATGACTATGGCTACCTGACGAATATATGTGACCCTTCTTTCGCCATGAATTAAACCTGCTGAGACATCACTTACGTCTACTGACTGATGATTTAACTGGCTGATCTACGCAAGATGTGCTCAGTAACTTACTTCTAACTTCATGACGTCTATAAAACTAGCGATCCGCAAACACTGCATGCATGGTGCACTTATCACACAATATATTCTACTAGCAGTGATTTTTTAAGGACATTGCGATCTCGAATTGGGTTCTGTCTGTGTGGGCTTTACATGAAAGCTCGCGTTAATCACACGCAAAGAGCAATTTTGCTCTGAGCGCAAAATTTCCTCTAGAGGCTAGTTTCCACTCAGGAAAATTCTCCTTTGGATCGGACAGCACTGAGAAGTTTCCTTTGTATAAACGCCGCCTGAGAACTCATCGACAAAGGAAATTTTCCTGTCTGTTCCGAACCAAAGGAGATTTTTCCTGAGTGGAAACTAGCCTTAGTAGAGAACGTTTTTTAAAGGTTGTTAGAGATATTCTCAATACGCCATATTCGGGACATTTTTATTTAATAATCAGAAAATATTGTTTGCCGTTTTGGCAGTACCAGGTAGGTCAAATGCTTACTGGCCGGATTTATATAATTATACATTTATACTAGAGACAGATGATCCATCGGATCCGTCTGAACTAGAACACGAACTATATTTCGCTTGCCCAAGTTCGTCTAGATGGATGATCCGTTTCTAGAATAAATCGGGTCACTGGATCCACACGGTATTTTGTAATTTTCCAGGTGTTGCTGGTTTCTTTGTGAAACATATCAAGACAGGAATGTGTATCAATGACACAGCACGAATACAGTCAGAAGGCGCGCTCTGGGGCAACGTATCTTTTCTTGAACTCTCCAACAACTGTCTGGATCCAGCTGCTCAGTTTCGGTTTCGTGGTAATGGCGCCATGTTGAATTTAAAAAGACAAGGATGTCTTGTTATATTTCATAAAAAGAATCAAGATGTAATATTTTACGTCTACGTTCCTGCCACCCCAGAAATTAAAAAATCATCTGCCTGTGCTAACAAACGGGTTATAGAACAAACGTCTTGGGGAGGTTTACGTGGCTTTTATAATTCTGCAGCCAGGTGTGCAGACCCTGATGGATACATAAACACGACCACAAGCTGTTTAGACGGGGAGAATAAACGTTTTATTTTTGGTAGGTTTCTGTGCGATCTTTTCTGCCTGTCAGTGTTGCAATTGTCTGAGACGGATTTAATTTCGATAGTAGTCAAGGGCCGCGGAGGATTGTTAAGTGGGGGGTGGGAACATATTCATGTAAAGCCTGGTTTCCATATGACGCAGACCTGTCGCCGACTCATTGTCTGTAATCATCCAAGGAGAAAATGATTTCAGAAAGACAAAAGATTTCACTCATCAATAATCACCGACAATAATACTTTGCCGATCGTCGGGTCATATGGAAACAAGGCTTTGGCAGACCGTAAAAATAATCAATTTCAAAATATACCAATAAGTAATAATGCTGAAGAACGATAGAGAGATTACTTCATAGTTGTGAAAAATCTCAACACGAACATGTGAGCGTAGCCAACGAGTAAGTTATTTCATCGAGTGGATAATAAAAAGCGTAGAAACCAAGCCAACCATGAAGTAATTTGTTAGCTATTAAACGTGTAAAGAGATCAATTTGACAACGAAACGCTTTTAATATACAAAAACACAGCGAGCAACAAAAATGGAAATTTTATGCATCAAAACATATTTATTACTGTTCAGTTTCTTTGTAATTTTGTTCAGTTGAAGTTAAATATTCTTTCAGAAAGATTTGATAATGTGCTGAATGTAATATCCTATATTTTGACGCCATCGTATTTCACGATTTAAAATACAATTTGAAATACGATTTTTATTTCATCATTCTCCTGTGCATAAATCTCTATACCCATAATAAATGAATATATGCCCCTCCCCTTAACGATCTTCCGTGGCCGCAGTAGTTGTTAAAGAGGATAAGAAGCGGATTTCAAATTTGGAAGACCACACACAGTCCCTGCATCAATTTTTATTTTCAAGGTTCAGTGACATGTTATGGAAAAACTACAGAGAATGCCGCCTGTCCTAAAGATCAGTCCATGGTGGTCAAAACTGCATCTTACCGTGGATTGTCTGACTCAAAGACATGTGGTTTGAGTGATGATTATAGTTGTACAGTTGATGTAACATGTCTTGTTAAGAAACAATGTGATGGTCAACATGAGTGTAAAATAACTGTGAATGAAACCTTGTTCTCTGATGATCTGTGTCCTGGATTGAAAAAATATCTTTACTTTGAATATCAATGTATTGATAAATCAAAACAATACTCATTATGTGGTATGTTTGATTGACAATTTGAAGTTGCGTTGGAGCAATAATGACTACCTTAGGCTTAACGCTTTAGGCTGGTTTTCATATAGCATAATTCATCACAATTCGTCTCTTGTCTGAAGTGAAAAAGCATCCAAAAATGCGCGATCTATAATTACTGGTGTCTTTGAAAAAACGAAAAGGAATTCTTGGTTGAACACTACATGTTAAAACATTTACAGCATTTTATTTTGCAGTGGATAACGTGCATTTGTCTGACTCATCTCTACCAAAAGAGGGTTTTATACAAATAGATGAGAATTATAATGGAACCAAGACAGTTTGTTGGCAGAGTTTAAAGAACAACGCCAAGGATGTTGTTTGTCGTCAACTGGGTTATACACGAGCATCCTCTGTCCTTAATAAGACTGCTATGTCTAGCACGAAAGAAGTATTTTCTGGAAGCATTGACTGTGATGGCAAAGAGCATCACTTGTCTCAATGTTCACTTACAAATTCTCAAAAAAGCTGTTCAAAGCTCTCTTACATCAAATGTAAGCTAGTATATTCTGGATAATTATGCTGGTGCAGGTTACGTGAACAAATATGGATTAACATTCTTTATTTCAGGTCATATTTGCAACAATCCTTTGTTAGAAGACAAAGAAAGATTTCCAGATTCGTCATTCACTGCCTCAGTTTCTTCAGAAGGTCACAGAGCTTCTGATGCAAGGATATCTAGCGGTAGTTCTTGGTGTGCTCCTGTCTCAGATGATAAACATTATCTTCAAGTGGACCTAGGAAGACTTTATGTGTTATATGCTATAGCGACATTTGGCGATACCACTGGCTCTAAATGGTTGACATCATTTAACCTTCATTACACTGTTGACCTGATAAACTGGAGACGAGTACAAAACGGGACGGTAATGTTTTTGTTCTAGTTTGATGTTTTTAACAAGAAAATAAATATCGCGTAGTTGATTGGAGCTTATAAAAGCACAGGATAAAAACGGCAAACTCCACTGAAATATTTCTTGTTTCAACAACTAAATCTCTCATAGCAAAACATTTTTAGACGGGTTCACGTTATTATGCATTAGCTTTAGATATTTCAAGAACAATATAATTAAATCATTTAAAATTAATGTTAACTTTTCGGAAATACATATTTCTGTTGTATTCAAAACACGAGAATAAGCGTTTTATCACATTCGTTTGATAATGTTGTCGACCAGTAAATTTGCTCGATGTATAAAATGCTAACTAGGATGAAACATTACATAAAGAATACTAATGAACGTGACATATGATATGTCTCATCCTATAAAGCCACCACATGAATTATTAATTAGTTTTTGAAACACTTTTTCATAGATATTTCAAGGCAACAAGAATGCTTTCAATGACGCAGCCATAAGAAGTTTAAATGACACAACAACAAGAGCTTTACGGTTTATGCCATTATCAACTGCAACTCAACCTTGTATGAGAATTGAGATTTGTGGTCGCAGTAAGTTATACATTACCGTTTATAATTATCCCATCAAGGCTTTAATAAACAGTCGGCAGAAAGGATATTTATCTCATTTTATTTTTATTCTTAACAGGCTTATATCCAGACCAACCTAGAAACATTACTTTCGTGAACATAAAGTCACGAAGTGCTGAAATATCGTGGCAAGATCCTGAGAATGAAGGATTTACTGCTGTCTCACGATATTGGATCAAATTGAAGAAGAATGATAGCATTCTCGTGTTGAATATCACCACAGAAAATAGAATGAACTATCAAATAGATAAGCTCACTCCATTCACAAACTATAAAATATATTTAGCTGCTGGAAATAACGATGGTTTTAGTAAAGAGATTGAGATTATGTTCTCCACACGTCAGGACGGTAAGAATGATGCATGGACAAAAATATCTTTGACGTACTGTGAGAATATCTTCCATTTCGCGGATTTCATTTTTTTGCAAACAAGTTCATAAAAAGGTACTCTAAAGTATACATATCATTTGACTTTTTTTAATGATTCTGAGAGAAATAATTTAGCCGAATTTCCATGATTTCCATTTTCATTTTTCACAACGCTACAAATAAAGGAATGCAGCAACCCTGGACATGACAAATCTTAACTAGTTTGTTAAATACACACAAACACGCACACACACCTTCAACCGAAGAAAGGTTTAGGAAACAACTTACATTTGTCTATTTAGCTCCAGAAGGTCCTCCACTGAACGTCAAAGTCACTGCAGAAAGTTCATCCTCACTATCAGTCACGTGGGATCCTCCTGAAGAAGAGAAAAGAAATGGCGTGATCGTCAATTATACTGTGTGTATCTCACATGAAGAAACTAAACCTTGCTTTAAAGAACATACTACAAAGATGATGATGTTAGTCATCGACAATTTGAATGCATCAACCAAATATTTTGTTCGTGTTCTTGCAAGTACTAAAGTTGGTCGAGGAAACTACAGTAAAAGTCAGGGAATATTTACAAATGGAGGTAAGATCCGTCGTTTCACAAAGTAAAATTCTTACAGTCAAAAATTTCATCTCAGATCACCAACGAATTTACATATTTTCCCGCAGAAGGAACAAAGATGGCCACAAATAGAACAGAAACTACATTAACTTTCTCGTTACAAATCCCTTCAGAAAATTTTACGTAAGTTCAAACGTTCGTAAAGCAATATTACAGAGAATTGCATTGCATGAATGAAATAAATTGGATGACCAACTACAGTCTTTGTGTCTTACTGAACAAACGGAATATGTTTTAGGTATTTTTACGTAGTAGCTTTGAAACTGAGAAAAAGCAGCGACAGTCTTCGACCATCCAGCAGTTACAATGATCTAGTGACGTACAAAGAAGCTAAAACGTCAGCTGAACCAAAACCTTATATTGCTGCCGTCATAACAAGCAGAAATAAAACCATGTTTATACTTGGTGATGGTGGAAATACAAGTTTTCAAACAACACGAAAACGAAGGTCAACAACAAATGATTATTATAATGGACCACTGGAGTCTGGAGCGAGTTACAGTATTTTTCAAAGGATCTTTCTTGATGACAAGGTATTGCTGGAAATTTATCTTAAGTGAGGTTATCGAAACACATTGAAGATAGAAACTTCTACAGATGTTAACGCAGTCTCACCTTAATATTTCACTCCAGGGTGAATTTTACTCCACGGATTGGAGCCCTGCTTCAGCAACAGTCACAACAAGCAATCCCACAACAAGCACAAGTAATTATTTTATGGTGAAAAAGATATGTGCAGAAGTTTTTGAACGAACTTCATCCCCTTTGTAAAAAGGCTAAGCAATTCAAGACAATTTAAAATCGCCGGATTAACGTTATAGGACTAAGGATATTTTTGTTTATGATCATGTAGAGAGTGAAGAAAGCAATAATATTCCAATGATTGCTGGTGCAGTGGCTGGTGGTTGTGTTCTTTTCATCCTGGTTATAGTTGTGATCATTCTGTATAGAAGGTAATCATTTTCAAGATCAGATTACGAAAAGATCGTTAGTGCAGGGGAACGATCTCGATTCCCCAGTTCCAATCATTATTTACATCTAAGTATCACGACACCTTTCAAGGCTTTCAAATAGATTAGTTTCATAGAGTGTTCGAGTGAAGAAATTGTATCATGTCTCTGTGAGGAGAGCTCTAAAATGGATTATATAATAGATTAATAGGCGCTTTAAAAACGTTTTATTCCTCAACGTTCCGATTGTGCGCATTGCTGTTTTACGCTCTCTGCTTGAATGTCATCTTGTATTTCAGACGCAAGAGCAAGAAAGATTCAGAACCATATTTTGAAATGGAAGAGAAACCAAAAGTTGCTCCACCTGCGATCAACGAAGCATATCTTGATTCTAACGACAGATATCTCGGTCCCAACAGCTCTACTGAAGTACAACCGAACCCCACCGTTGCAGATGAAGTAGATGCGGGTAATCCAGTAGAGGAGAAAAAGATAGATCCTTCAAATCTTGCTGCTGCTAATAAAAATATCTATGATAACCAAGAAGGTGGGTGAGACTAATTGTTCCTTACTGCGACGCCAAAGTCAGAGGTTGCTCTCTCTCGTTACACCAGGGGACACCCCACCCTAACCCCAGGACCCTAATGGGGAAAGGTGGAGGCACCTTACTAAAACAAACTTAACAAAGTTCTCCCTGTCACTGACTATAGGCAACCAGTTAGCGCTTAATTACAGAATATTGTATTTCGTTAAATCCTCATTAACTCAAATGCATATTTTCCCAGCTGTTGTTGCGAGGATTCATAATCCTGTTCCTGTTGACGAATTCAGTGATCACGTGAACAACCTGAGACAAAACGATAGAAAAGGTTTCAAGCTGGAATTTGAGGTGAAGTGAGAAATTCACTACCATAACATGATTTCTTTATCATAATTCTCAAACCATTTAGCGTCATTGTTATAGCTTTCTAAATTTAACCCAACTTTCCTATTCAACTTTTCAGGATTTGCCAAATGCGAACATTTCCAACGGAGATATTTCAAAACGAGCGTTTAATCGACCGAAAAACAGATACGGCAACGCAGTCACATGTAAGTTAGTTAGACTTGATGTTTTGAAGACATCGTCAAGATTCAAGAATATCAATGAACGATGGTAATCTTCAGCCATCAACGAGTACTGAACGTTTTCTCTGGTTGTAGATAATGATTCTCGTGTCATTTTGTCTGGTGACGAAAAATCAGATTACATCAATGCTTCGTACATCAACGTGAGTGCAAAAACAATGACGTATGAAGAGGTCTGACCAACGCGTTATTCCTAATACTTGATATGTAATGATGTGTAATTATTTCTAGGGATTGGTAGCGAAATATTACATCGCCACACAAGGTACAACGAAGACCGCAATGAATATCACGCATTCATTAAAAACATTATTCACAACGTTTCATTCTCTTGAAGTGGCATGAAAAATACAACTGTAATTTCTTCTTTCAGCTGGCCCAAATACTAGAGTGTAAATATCTGAGTTAACGTATTTTACTTAGGACCAAAACCAGCAACAGTGAATGATTTCTGGAGGATGATTTTTGAACAAAAATGTCCAACAATTGTCATGTTGACCACATTGAAAGAAATGGGAAAGGTTTTTTATTATGACATTTTACCATCAGACAGCTATGTAAAAACTACAGTTACATAAAAATTTCAAATTAATCTCTGGAAAAATGAAATACGACTTTCTTTTTCACAGGTAAAATGTGAGAAATACTGGCCCGATGACTCTGGTTTGTATGGAGATATCAAAGTGACAGCCAAAGAAACAAGAACATTTGCTGACTACGTTACTCGCCTATTCACTGTTGAGAAGGTAACTAACTATAAACACAAATTAGCTCTATTAACTCAGACAAGATGAGTAAATGAATGCTTTTTTAAATTAATCTCTTTAATCCAGGGGGGTGACCAACACAGAGTTCAACAGTTTCACTTCAAAGCATGGCCAGACTATGGTGTTCCTTACTATCCAACACAGATTTTAACTTTCAGAGGACATTTCAAGTCTTTTCATGAGACTAAAACTGAACCAGCTGTCATTCATTGCAGGTAGGAAATTAGTATATTACTATTAGAGCAAGTGATGAAGATTGTGAAAATTATGATAGATGAGAGTTGCCCAGGAATGGTTGGGACGGGATAAAAGCGATATTCTAGTGAACGTTTACCATTAATACTTTCAACACAGCGCCGGAGTTGGTCGAACAGGAGTGTTCATTGCTGTGGACAAGATTCTGGATGATCTTGACAAAGAAAAGGAAGATGTGATCGATATCTTTGGCTTTGTGAAAGACATGAGAACAAGACGAATGAACATGGTACAAACTGCTGTAAGTGTTAGGTAGCAGAGCTATTGACTTGTCCATAATCAGCCACTGTTAGTATAGCGAAATGAAGTGAAAAGAAACACCAATCAAGATGCCTGTGACATTCACTCTCTCAAAACCAAACACCAGCCCAATATTGAAACAAGGTTTATTTTGTTTACTATCCAGGATCAATATGTGTTTATTCATGATGCAATCGTTGATCACATCAAGTGTGGAGCGAATGAAGTTCAAGCAACGCATGTGAAATTCGAGATCAAGAAATTATCAGAGCAAACTAAGGAAGGCCAGACTGGATTCGAAGAGAAATTTAAGGTAAAGCAACATTTGATTCAGTTGCAAGTTGGACGCTGTTGTTCATTTCTATCCACAACTATCAGGGGATTAAAAGAAATTGTGAGAAATCAGATCAGTTCGTTGCCACAGTGTAAATAAGGACTCATTTCAAAACTTATAACATTATATGCAAGATATTCTTCCTTGTCAACAGCGTTTGAACACAGTCTCACCGAAGTTGATGGAAGATCAATGCGAAGCAGGACTTTTGGAGGAGAACAAGAAAAAGAATCGAAAGGAACACATTTATCCATGTAGGTTAAAATGTGTTTTAATTTGAAGTGTTGCATGATAATATTTTGTGTTTATCTTTCTGTTCCAGCTGAGTCTGGTCGTGCTTGTCTGAGTCATCTTGAAAATGTCGCGAATTCGGATTATATAAATGCTTGTTTTGTCGATGTGAGTTTATTATTATGGTAACCGAGTAAATAGTAAAATAAATATCGAAAGTGACGAAAACCCTTTCGAAACCGATTTATCTAAATAGGGTTATCTTGGCAAGAATTATTTTATTGCTACACAAACACCTCTGAAGGAGACGATTAACGACTTTTGGAGGATGGTGACAAAATATTGTTCGTCAACAATCGTCATGTTGAATCAGTTGGGTGAAGACGAGGTCAGTTGACAATTGTGTCCATCCTAACTGAGGAATCTGTCAAGTCATTGGAGAAATAAATCATTAATCATTAAAAATTCTTGTCCTTGAGTAAATATTGGGATTTTCCTTTATCTTTGCTACTGTGAAGGTCCAACAATGTTCCCTACTAATTCTTCACTTTAAATCGTGTTAACACAATTTTTATCATTAAAGGAATACCCAATGTTTTGGCCAACCCAGAGAGCTAAACCACAGTCATTTGGAACCACCACAGTAATGTTGGATTCTTTCGTCAAAAAAGAAAATATTGTTGTTAGAAAATTCATCGTTTCACCCTCAGCGGTATGTATCATCAGTACAGCTCGATTATATCACAAACATTATCATAAATGACGGGTTCACTGCTAATAATGATTGATTTGAACTTTCTTCTATACGCGACCAGGATTTGAAAAATGGTCACATGGTAAGATTGGTTCAGTACATGACGTGGCCAGACCATGGAGTACCAGAAAATGTTAACGATATTGTGAAACTTTTGTCTGAAGTTGAAGACGCAAAAAGAGCAGCAGAAAAGAAGGGACCAATCATTGTTGTTTGCAGGTACTTTTTACTGGAATTAATATATTAAGAATCAATTAATCGGTCAATTAAGAATCAATTAACGAGTATTTGTCAATTAGTTTAAGCAATTTAATTTATTTTCTAGCGATGGTGCTGGAAGAAGTGGAACGTACATTGCAATTTCTAATCTTGTGGACAGAGTGAAAGTTGTTCAAGTCATTGACGTCTTTCAGTGCATCAAATTGATCCGTGCAAAGCGTCCACAGTTCGTTGAGACCGCGGTAAGTTAACGCACAAAATAAACTATTTTTCAATTGTGCTTCTAATAAAATGATTTAAAGTAAGATGAAGGTAACATTGACAGTGAATAGATGTTGTTTGTTCCTACTTTCAGACTCAATTCAAGCTCTGTTATGAAGCCGTTTCAGCTGTTTTGAATTCCTTTAATGAATACTCAAACTTTGGTAATACTTAAAGAGTAACTAGGCTAGTTATATGTATTGGAGTCACTATACCACAAAGATCACTTACATTGCATCATTTATAACCCAAATAACTTGTACAGTTAAACATTTTAGTCCGTCAAACTAGTATATAATTCTGAACCATTTCCGTACGTAGACGACGTTAAATTTATAGGCATCTTCCACGAGTAACTTATTAATTAAAAATAGCACAACATATGCCAGGCATTATAACATTAAGAATGATAGAATGAATATTCTACGACAGTTGCATGTAACCTTTCTTGAGGCAAGAGAATCCAGAGGGTTTATCGGTTTAATCAAACCTCGTAAGTCGTAACACAAGATATAGTTCGCTGTTCGCATTGTATTCACTATATAGCGCCATAATATAATTATATAAACGTACCACTAAATTAGAATAAAAAATTGCGACTTTAAACAAGTTTAAATACTTTATTTGTAACAATATTTAATAACAAATATGAAATAAACACAGAAACATCGAAGAAAATGCTGTATATACTCACCCAATAAGCCATGTGAACGCCTTGCTTCGGTCATTCAAAGTCTTCATCTCGCTCTAGTTCTCCTTTCTTCTCGATTTTGCACGCTCCGAGTGTTCGTTTGATCAGTTTAGTTCCAGAATACATAGTAAGGCAAGTATTCTTTACGATATTTGCTACATATTCATGTCGCAAGTGAAAAAGAACTTCTAAAAAATTTAAAACGGCCGCCATGCCCGTGAAGAAACGTGCTCTCTTAAAGCACAACTTTACAAAAAAAAACATATGCCAAAATGACATTTCAAGATGGCGCCTGGACCATTGAGTGATACAAAAATATTAATTCGAAAAAACCCCACACAGCTTCAGTAAAACAATTTTATTTTGCAATTTCACAAATTCGCATTATTTCCAATGTGTTTCAATTAAACAACCCTTCGTAAATTCGCTTCAGCTTCAGCTAGCATAACTAACCACGTTACAGAAAAGAATCATCATCAAAACTGCCGTCACATTCTGAAGCGAATTCGAGAAAGATTTGGTTCATTATTTCTACAAATGTCTACATGTATAGTTACACAATAATTGCTTGCAGTAAAACTCATTTACTAAGTTGAAATCCTACACTTTGTCTTGCTTAATACAGACAAACAAATGCCACTCGAGGAATACACTATAACTCCTATAAGTATACTAGTTAAATGGTTAAAATACGAAATCCTCAATTCCTCTACAAAACAGCTTTAGACGACCTCATTCTTGCTCAGTTAATGACAGATTAGAGACGGCATTGCCCAAATCGAGTGCCCTTTGATGATTAAAACCAATAGTATTGCTGTCAGGTCCTGCTGGCTGTCGAATGATGGTGAATCTGTGAGAAAAATGAGAGACATACATAAAAAACCCCGAACACAACTCATCGAAGTTCACCCTGTGCGTTTTAGGGGGGATAGCACAAAAGTTTAGATGATTAATGGAATAATACCTAAACTTGCAAAGAACTAAACTAACCCAACAAACCCATGCAGTGGAATTTATTAAAAAACTTTGAGGTAATCTGACATACTTGAGAGACTGATCATCCCCAATGAGGCCCAAACTTCGTCGTACAAGACGTTCAGGTCGTTGTCTTTCACTGTAAATAAAGAAAAGGTGAGAAAGAGCTTATTGCATGCTGTCAACAGTCAAGAAGGAATGAACTCCGAAAGCATGCACTTACCTAACAACAGAAATCTTGCACGCACTCTGTTTGCCATTTCGAGTGTTGTGGATGATTGAAAATTCCACAGTATCACCAGCCTGCATTTCAAAATATCGTTCATCAGAAAATGAAGACAATGTTTAGGGTTTTAAAACACACACGCGCGCACTACCTTTATCGATATTGTATCATCTTCAATTTCGCTTGTATGAAAGAACAAATTCTTGGCCTCGTCAGTTTCATAAGCTATGAAACCATACTGGAAGAAAAATTTCACAAATGAATTTCAATCATCAACTCCCAGCCTTCTCATTCTTGGTCAAGGCAAAAAGCGTTCGAAGTGGTTTCATCTTCAAACACAAACAATTGAGGTTTACTGCTGAACAGAGCCAATATTTACAGGCCATCACCACTGTATATCAACTGATTTCTCCCCATGTTACAGATAAATCCAGGAGAAAACCCACCTCACCCTTGACAGACTCAACAACTGCTCTCAAACGTTCTCGCTTAGCAGTGATCTCGACAGCAAACTGCTTGTCCGAGGTTTCTGAACAACCAATGCGAAACTCAACCTATGTGAAGATTATAAAATGTTAAATGAATAGGAATCGATAGGACAAAGGACAGATGCTTCTCATTACCTTCTCTCCACATTGCAGTACAGTGTTCTTGTCAACCAAACCAGTTATGCCGTAAGGAATAACATAAACAACATCATCCTCCACGTCTTTGCTCTCACTATCCGATGTTTCTATCATATATTCGATCAAACCTTGGTAATCAACTTGCTGTAAAAAACAGAAACTGGTCAGTCGATCAATGGCGACATGATTTTTCCTAACACTACTCATGCCAGTGATCAATAATGGAAGTCTCTCTAACCTGAGGGTCTGCTCGTCTCAATGGACGAAGAATTCTTCCTTCAAACGTTCCCGAAATAACAGTCTGCAAGAAAAATAAAGAACAAAATCAGCTTCTCCCAAAACTAAGAAATGACTAAAATGGAAGGAGACTTTGAGAAAGTCCACTTCATTCTATAAAATCTTTCGTTTCTCAGGTTAAAACAAAGTATCTTACTTCTTGTGGAATAGTACCGCTGGCTAGCTTGATCAGCCTCTCAGCAGCAACTTTCCCGTTCTTTGCCGTGATATTAAACTCCACCTCATCGCCAAGAGAAAGATCTCCGTCATACTCACTAGAAACGAAAACCAAGAATCGTTAAAGCGCTTCCTGTACAGCGTTAACAATGTTGAAGATTCGCTTCATTCAGGCCCCGTTCAAATCTAACCACCCCAATCAGCGAAATGGCATATTTGAACGAGGACTTTATTACGAGAACCGGGCTTTATTTACATGAAAACATGCAATGTTTACTTACATGAAGCGAAAGAAGATGTCTTTCTCGTGATCTGCCAACTCAATGAAACCAAAAGTATCCTTCAACGCAGCAACAAAACCCTTTAAAAGATGAAAAATGAAAGTTATTCAATTGCACAATATGAATACGACATTCATCAATCCAATACGATGACGTCATTACGTACGAGATGTTTGACGTCACTATTTCGTTTCATCACAGTAACGTTCACAGCCATTTGGTGTCCAGTTCTCTCACTGACCGAAACTTGAAACTCGACCTGAAATTACACAACAACTATTACACAAACCAGATTGGATACCGACCAAACCAGATTGGGTACCGACCAAACCAGATTGGGTACCGACCAAACCAGATTGGATACCGACCACAATAGCCAATCAGAAAGATGCGTGGTAGGCAAACAACGTCAGTTTTTTATGAAGGTCTATAGAGTACCTGATCTCCAAATTTCGCCATCGTTCTGAGATCAGAATCAACGGGAAAGAATGGCAAAGCAATCTTCTCATTTTCAATACACGCAACAATCAAACCACACTCGCTGTCCCTGGAAACCAAGAAACATTGTAAATCATTGGAAGTCAAGCATGGTTTTTGACCTTCTACACCAGGCAAAACTAATGAAAGTTTGATTTAAGGTTTTCACCAACCTTTCCCGCTCCACCTTCCTTGGACTTCGTCCCATCCACGGCGCTGACTCACGCTCCACGATTCCGGTAAACCACTCTTCTGTCATTGGCTGAAGAAGAACACACGCAATACGTAAACAGAAGGTGGAAGATGGTAAATATTGCGGACAAACGAACTCTTACCTTTAAACCAATACTTCCTCTCGGCAGGATTCGCACGCGAATTGCATGAAGACGTCCACCTGCGACATAATCCTACACGGAATATGAGAATTAACAGAATCACCGTTGAGACAATATGTCATATTTATTGGTGTGAATAAAACATTTCCATACCTCGACAATACTGAACTCTACTTCATCCGAAAAGTTGATTTCTTGTTCCTAAATGGTTCGGTGAAAATCAATTCAAATCATCTTTGTTCGACTTATACGATGAATGTTTGTGAATAACACGGACAAGATTAGTGGCTTCGATCATGATCCTTTACACTTACCAGGTCAATAAGCTCGCTGAAATGGAAAAACAACCTCGAGTCTCTGTCACAGCATTGAATAAAACCAAAACCATCTTTCAACGCGGATACAAAACCCTAGAACACAGCAAGAAGTCAATTTTAACAAGACGAGGAAAAATATCAGGTGTTTCGCAGAGATTATGCTATATACCAACCCTTTCTCTGACACTGCCACCGTTAGAACTCTCCGCCTCTTTTATCAGATAAATCTCTGTTGCTCTTCTCAAAGAATCTCGCCGATCTAGGCAAATAATAGAGGTAATTGTGAGAGGAGAATATAGATGATTTGACTAGGGGAAAATCTAGTTTTCTTTGCTTTTATAGATGGTTGTAAAACAGAGTTTTACCAGTTGCAATTTTGAAGCCGACCACATCGCCAGGAAGGATGGTGAATTCACCCAATACGTCTTTCTCACCATAAGGCAGTTCAGAAGTACCATCGTTGGTGCTGTACAATACTTTGCCGTTCAATGGCTCCTGTCTCTTGTTACGACTGAACACTTTCTCCACGGTTCCTTGGAATGTGTCTTTACTGATGTCCTCAAATTTCACCGTGCCTTCCGGAAGAGGTTCCACCGACACTGCCACCTCTTTGCCCTGTAGGGATTATAGAAATATGAAGATGCTCAATGATTGATGTAAATATGAGAATGAATAAGACTTGATTATATCGAAGTTAACGTACGTTGCGGGCATGAACAACAAACTGCACATCATCTCCCAGCAAGAGATCACCAATACCACCTTGGAACTCGCTGTAGTGGAAGAAAATCTACAAGAAAATTCCCCAGAGTTAGTGCACGACCTAGAATTCCTGTTTTACCAAGGCAGAACTCATTTAACCCACAGAATATAGTTCATTTCTCTGGCACAAACCTCGTTGACTTTGTCAGCTCTTTCAATGAAACCAAAAGACTCCTTCAATGAGCAAACAATGCCTTGAACGTAAACAGGAGGAGCTGCTTTGACAAGCAACAGCTCAACCGCACAATGATGACCATTTCTAGAAGTATTGAGATAAAGCATGTCTGCTGTTAGATTTGTAAAGTCAGGCCTTGATTGATTTAGTTGTGGCTATAAGATTTCAAACACAAATACTCTTTTTAACGTTGATTCAGGCTTTTGAGTCCCCTTGTGGGTATGAGGTTTAAAACAGAAAACCAACCTTTTGTTTTCCAGAGTGAAAAATGACACACTGTCGCCTTTGTATAGTTGAGAGTTTGAAATAACATCTGAGTGGTAGTATGGCAGGAAGAACGACTCCTTTCAAGAGAAAAGCAACAAAGATATACAGGGATGTTTAAATAATATTGAGAATATTTCTATACATCTTTCACTAATCTACTTACGCCATTCACTTCGTAGCAAACACGACCAGCTTCCGAGTCACCATTACGGGAAGAAGACTAAAAAGCATGAAACAATGGATCTTTAAACAACCTGTGCAAAACTGTCCAGTATTTTTACAAAACTCTAATACCTGTTTAGGATAACTAAACCTTGGTGGCTTAGCCTCAACTTCAACTTTACCAACCACTCTTTCCTCACTCTTCACCTAGCAACCAACCATCACAAAACTCATCAGAAATTGTGTAAATGAACAATGAAAAGGTTGTGAGTTTTGACAGTCAGAAACTTACCTCAAAAGTCACAGTTCCTGGTTCCAATTTCAACACACGACAGGCAATTGGCTTTCCTGTACGTGTATCTGAGGATACCTCAAATTCAACGTTATCTAAAAGGGATAGACAAGCAACACTTTACTTATTGATTCTCAGGAAATACAATTGTTTTAGACATTTGTTTATTATTATTGAAGATATAATAATTTTTTTTTAACTAACCTCCTGTTTCAAGTTCATTAGCATTCCCCTTGTATTGGCTGTAGTGAAAGAAAACTCTTAACTCCTGCTCTGCGCACTCAATAAAGCCATAGGTTTGCTGTCAAAGAAACAAAATAACTCACATGAAATTGACTGCAGGTAAAATTAGATTACACAGTTGTATGCTTTTATTGAATGAAGTTGTCTAAGAGCATATTGACAAAAACATTAGGGGAAAACATACACAAAGTTTTTCAATCACTCCAGTTTCTCTTATCCTCTGATGAAAGTTATTTGTTTGTTTGCCATTAGAAAAATAGTAGTCAGTGTTATGATGATAATCTCGAGATTCAGAGTTCTGAAGAGAATGCTTCTACAATAAAAAATATATTGTTTTGAAATACTATAAAAAACAAAGTCAGAACGGATGGATTAACTTCCACGTTAATGACACTTGTTTAATTAACAAGGTTTTAATTGTAATTTGACAAACCTTCCAAGCATCTGTTGCCATTTTGAACGACCACGAAAAATGTGAAGATTTTACAATGTAATGCTGCCAGCAGATATAATAACAAGTAGAAAAATTCTCCTTTACTTTTTCAATTCATCAAAAAATCTAATCCATTTGCTCCAAATGACTGGAACATTTATATAATTTTATGAATATTCTTCTAAATATAGTCAGGCTCTGCCTTTGAATGAATGTTTTCTATGAAATGTGGGGGGCAATACAATTTCTGTGGATATTTCTATGAAATCCAAGCGGCCGTTTCCTCATCTTGTTCTCCATTGTTGATATTTATTCCTAGAATAATGGGAGAAACATTTTGTGTTTAAAGATGCCTTGCACATCAAGAGGCAAAATATAACAAACACCAAACATGGATTGGACTTGAGAATTATAAAAGAAAAAGAATGTTTCTCCTTGCATAATTCTTTGCGTGCAAATCTCTTTTGCTCTCTCTCTTAAAAAGAACTTCTGTATAAGACAGTCAGCAAAGACAGTTACAAATAAATAGGGAAAGCTGCCTAAATAGAATATATTTGGCAAATATTGTTTATTTTTGAAAAATAATATATGCAATATTACAAACTACAAAGTTCAAAGTAATATTCATTCTTTCCTTTAACCCTTTTACGCGATCAAAATTATTACATAAGTCTTTTGTATTTTATCTACAAAGATACAGTTTTTGGTACAACGGAGAGTACGAGATTAATGAGAACCTCGTGTCATATTACAATAAAATTTAAAACTCAGCAAAATATATATTTCTAATGAAAACTGAATGTTCTCACCACGAAATATCAATTTCTATACCACACTGGGACGATCGCCTTCATCGAAAATTTGACAAGGTGCCCTACTTTTTTAAAAATACAAGACGAGGGGCAAACATTGTCCCAAAAGGAAATAAAAACTAATAGCATGTGGACTTCTTTATCATTTGTGTCGACATAGAAAACCTTTGTTAAACATCGACGCTATACACTTGCAATAATCATGCTATTATAACGTACCAAAGTGAACAAAAACGATGCAGTATGTTAGATGAAGGTTATAAGTACTTTATAATGATTGATCACAAAGTTTCATACCTTTCAAAGGGCAAATTTTGCCCCAAAACCACAACACAATGAAAGAGGTTGCGATCCGCCATATTACACCGGTCTACTCTAGTCGCATGGGGACTTCCTGCGCATGACGTCACAAACGTGCATAATTATCTATTCTAATTGCATAATTACATAAATTACACGAATTATAAATTAATTTGTAAACAAAACATCAAGATGGTCTGCGTTTTGACTGTCTTCGTGCTAATTTCTAATCGTATCTTTGCGATATGAGCCAGAAACTTGGACGTTTTTCGGACCCACGAGATCCGAAAAGGCCAGAGCGTATTTCGTTGGCTTACGGTGAATGGAAAGATATCCCAAGCAGAATTATAAAAAAGTATGGAAAGGTGGTCACTGAACTTGATCTAAGCTACAATAAATTTTTGTATCTTTTGCATTTTTGATCTTTAAAATCAGGATAACTGTAATAATGTGATAACAATGAAAAGAAGTTGTTCCTTAACTTCATATATCAGTGATTTAAAGTCCTTATGCGGCTTCACGAAGTTAAACACAGTCATCCTAGATCACAACTCAATATCAGCGAGATCAACATTTCCCCAATTGGACACGCTTGAGATATTATGGCTAAATCATAATCAAATTACAAACCTGAGTTTATTTATTGAGAAAATCTCGCAGAGCTATCCAAATCTTAAATATCTTAGCATGATCAATAATAAAGCTGCCCCAAGCTACTTCAATGGTGGCACCTACACCTCGTACACAGATTACAGGTTAGTGATAGTATGCTTCAGGGGGGGATCAGCGAAGGGGGCACCTCTAAAAATACTTATTGTGAACAAAAAAGTAAGTAAAAAACTACAGCTTCAGCTTTTCATCTACAGATTCTTTTGAAAATTTTGGGGGGAATAGGGAATTTCATTGCCAGCAAATTTCATGCCTTCTAAACCTTTCCCTCCTCTCCCTAAACTTTGAGCAATGGTCAATGATTACCCAAGATGAGCAATAGAAGTTTGACACCATATTAAATTAAATCACATGAAAGTTTATACACATTTATGAACTCTATTTTCAGGCATTTTGTGATTAGTTCACTTTGCAAACTTGAAATATTGGATGGCACAATTATTACTGAGAGTGAACGAAAAGAAGCTACAAAGGTGTATGGAAAACGAAGAGTAAAAACTCGCAAGGATTATGTACATAATAAGAGGAGATTGTGAAATCATATATTAATTTTTCTGATATTACACTAAAACCGTTATCAAGTAGTTCATGTTTTATTCACGCTTTATAAAGGTTTTTTAACAATTTTATATATAAATTTATAAATATACATTAATATTTATACAGTAATTTAATATCTTTCTATGTCCACTACCTGAAAGCAGTCGGCTACAGAATTACGACAGTAACTCAGAAACAATGTCTCTGCTTTTGCAAGCATCATGTTCAAGTCCATGTTCATTGATAATCTACGACAAAACAAAACACAAATACAGGAGTGTTACAAAGTCATTTTCAAGTACCCTATCTAATCAAAACTGGCATTTTCATTTTTCACTACTACTACAGTAATCAAGGTTTACATGAATTCAAATCACAAACTTACCCATTGATAGTATTATATATTGAAGCAAGATCACTACAGTTGCTTAATTGTGTACGATTCGATACCAGTATCGCCAAGCAGATAAATAGATCGAATGTGAAATCTGCGTTAACCTCAACAATTCCAGTGTACAATTGTCCATCTGAATTAAAAAGAAGAGTTAAACACACTTGTCAAATGCTTGAATATTACCATATAGTTGTATCATGGCACAATAGCAGGGGAGATGATCAGGAACATTACCCTGGTTTTTTAATTCCTCTGCTCTTTTCTGTCTCCTTTCTTTCTCTGCTTCCAATGACGATAGCTCCAGATGATGGCTACTAATGATCTCAAATATTTTCAGAGAATCCTCGTAATTAAACTCTCGTTTAAAATTAAGCAGAAGCCATCTAACAAGAGTTAAATGGTTGTTAAAATGATTGCATATGGAGCCTAATGGAGGGTACATTTGTAATTTGGAAACACAGAAGATAATCTTGTTCATCACCTGTGACAGAATAGTAACTCTTTGATATCCAGACTTTTGAAGAAGTCATAGAGTTGTGAATCCATTTTTCTCAACAATGTTTGGATAAGTTCTATGAAATATGTTTATCTATATATTCAATATGTACTATTTATTTGAGAATTTGTCCACACAGCTTCTGTATTAATAATGTACCTACCTAGCTTGCTGATCATTCCATCTTCAAGGAACTCTCTCTCGACCCTTTCCATAAAGTTGAGAAAACAATAATATGTTTTATACTCTGACTTAAGCACAACATGAAATCGACTGACCAAATCATTCATTCCTTGTGTATATCCAATGTCTATGAACAAAAAGATGTTAATATATGTCATAAATTCATAAATATGTAATAATCAGTTAGCATCAAATAAACAAGACAAACCTGGTGAAAATGAGACATAAGTTAAAAGGATATTTCTCAATGCTAATAGATTCTTTGGATCTCTACAATGAAACATAGATTTTTGATATTTTTTAATATACTCAAAGAATACAAAGATAGGAACGCATTGTTGGACATACTGATAAAATTTTAAATTGCGATCAGTTCTTGGGACATCTTTATCGATAGTTCTTAAATAATGTCGTAAATTTGGCACATTTATCTTTTGCTTATTCACATTGATCTAAAATAGAAATGCATATATTGGTAGTGAGCCAAGAGCTAGAAGGTTTCTTTTTGACTTTAAGGTCAAAGAGAAATTTTTCCTTGATAAAAAAATCCCTACAATCCAATACTTGATGTTATCTTTACCTGTGCTTCTATTTTTGCAAACATCAACTGCTGTTGTACTTCAACTGATTGGTTTTCCTTGTTGACACCAAAATTTGGATTGTTGTTTGTACAATAGGCTGGGTTCAAGTATCTTTCCAGTTCTTCTGAACTGTTCTGTTCTTTTGCTAAAGTATTTTGAAGTTCTTCATGCCATTTCTCTTTCAAGACATCATATTGAACCATTCGTTCCACTGTTATCACCTCCCGTTCTCTAGTAACAAATTATACCATCAACACAAAAACTCATTTGCCAACCATGCATCATTGGCAAGCACGAAATGACGAAATCATTTACCCATACATATATATATACCTTGATGTTGAGCTAAAAGAGTAAAATCCAAACAAGAACATCCAGACTTCCGCACGAATGTCATGACTTATTCCACCTAAAATAAACACTTGTTTCATGTTGACCTCATTTATCAATCATCAGGAAATGATGTCATTATTAGAACCATCAGATTAACTGAGAACTTAATCAGCAAGCAATAATTGAAACTTAACACTTAATCAATCAATATTTCGTTACAAATTTAAATCTTTCTGTAACAATCTTCCACATGTTCTGTCCAAACAAATCTGTGCATTGTAATGTAACAAATTTGTGTACCTTTAAAAATAGCTTTCCGCAGTCCAGACTCGTTCAAAATTCTTCCATCGCTGTTAAAAAATGACCTCCATTCGGTTTCACAGAGAGGTGGCTCCCTTTCCACGTTCGATGTGGGAGAGGAAGGTTCGATAGCGGCCGCCAAAGGCACGCGATTTTCACCACTTTCCACAGATTTTGCGTCCTGGAAATTCATGTAATCTATAAGCAGGGTATACATCAGAGTTGAATCACGAGGTTCAATCGCCAAATTTTAGTGTATTTTATACAATCCATCCCGATTATAGCCGTCAAAGTTTCCAAGTGTACGCAGGGTTGTATAAAATCATATTATTTCTCATCATATTTGACGGATAAGTTGATAAATCACAAAGGAAGGAGAAACAATGACATTATACAATATACAACTTCACTACACCCGATTCGTACACCTCACACCTGGCTCGTAATATTTCAAACCAAGTCACCTGAGAAGTTCCCATGTGCGGCAAGACGAAGAGCCTGGGTGCAAGACCATGGGGGGTGGATATTTTGGTAATAATTTCACGCCCAGAAACCACGAACTTTTAATCCTAAATTTGACCCTAACCTTTACCCAACCACTTATACCAAAGGATTAGAATCAAGGATTATATTCGTTGATTCTGGACATGAAATTAATACCGATATTGTGTCCTCACGACTCAAAAGAACGAGATTTTTTGCACTCGAGTTTGGGAGTAAATTGTCCTAGGAAGATGGTGCAAAATATCACACAAAAATGGTGTTTTAAAATTCTTTTTTTCTTTGAGAAAATTCGCGAAGTAGTACATTTTACAATACTATGAATTCTTATAGAAAATATTATTATGTTACAAATTGTAATGGCCAAAAAAACTGGCCACGATGTCAATAATAAATGCTAGAAAAGCACATAAAATTTCCTCGACTGATATCCTAAAAACTAGGTCAAGCCTCATCTGCTAACGCACGCATCCTTTACCCGTTCGACCTGAGTATATTAGTGTGGCAACCAGACATACAAGTGTGGGAAAAGTCTGGGATAAGAAGGCATCGTTAACATATTGGCTCGTCCTTTCCATCGCAAATTATTTTTGAATAAGTAAAACCTACACAAAAACAATTTATTAAATACAAATTTTCAACCGAGTAGATACGTTCACGATATGAAATAAACTGAAGTATTCAAAGTTTTTTAAGTGAAATTCAGTTAGGAACAAAAAATGAACAGCTATTTGTTTCCATCCTGATAGTATAAATTCCTATTTGATACTGAAAAGTATGATTATTTCTTCAAAACTCTTTGTTTAAAAACACTTTTCAAATATTTATATAAACACATTTCAAATATGCCCTGTTCAGCCCATATAAATATGACTATTTTTACCTTCCTTTTTATATTTTTTAATCGGGCGAACAGTGATTATTTTTCTGTTGTAGTTCACTTGCACGTGTGCGTAATTCAGGCAGTGAGCTCAACTTATACCTGGAGTAAGAATATCTAATATTCTACCAATCTATAATTGCAAAGATAATAGTTGACAGGCGTTTTAACATAATATGCTTGAGAAAGATTTGCTGAGTCAACCTTTTTGGGGTAAGATCCTACTCCAGGTTGGTTTAGAGGTCACTGGATTTAAGCAGCTCTGCATAAATTCACTTCATGAATGGTGCGAGCCGCGAGTGCATGCTGGTATACGTTGGACATTCGGGCAAGCCAAGCTGTTTAAATTCCATGATTTAGCATGAAGCGATCTTCACATCACATTATGGCACAAACGGTGCTCTTTAAGGATGAACGACGCAGGGACTGATTGATGTCTGATCTCTGATTCGTGATATTCTGACGCTGCGAAACACAAGGATAGTTATCTTAATAAGCGAACCAGGAAGACACCTGGAATCGCAGTAAAACTAGGAGTTCTTATCAGAAGAAGGGAAGAATGGAAGAAGGGAAGAATGAAAGAAGGGAATAAAAGTCTTCTTAGGAGTCTACTTTGCCAACAAGTGTGATAAGAATATCAAGATGATGATATATCGTGAAATGCACAAACGGAAATCTTATATACCTTCTCTTTAGCTTGCTGTTTCAACTGTTCCTGAAACGAATAAAAAAATGCTCAGTTTTCAAACGAATATTACACAACAACAACATGAACTTTAACACAAGTTAATTTCTGATTCGAAAAAGATAAAAGCATTTGAATAATGCGTGTGTTTGTACGTCTGCGTTCTCTCGTTTACACAACAATTGAAATCAGACACGGAACGTTTAGGGAGAAAAATCCCGACTTTGAAAAGTCGATGAAGATAAACGAATTACAGCTGGATTGTTTATTTACCTCTTGCAGTCGTGCAACTTGTTCTTGCAGTGAAATAACGATGTGAAAGTTTTCTTGTAGTTGACTACTTTGCTGTAGATACAGGAAGTATTCACGTTACCGGGACGTGACTGAACATCCTGGCGGTAATTTCCTTGAAATTACTGAAACAAGGAAATAATATTGTCGCAATGTCGCCTACCTTTAACAGCTCGTTTTTCAGCACTTGTATTTCGTCAACAAGACCTTTCTCGCGTACCTTTGAGAAGGAAAAACAACTTGAAAAACGAGAAGCATAAACATTTTATAGTTGAAGGGAAAAGGGGGAGTTGTGACAACGACCTCGGCCGTGTTTTGTCTTACCTTGGCCTCTTTAAGCTGTTCGTTGTAGTCAACGTGACTATCTGACACACAGCCATTAGTGTGAATACCAGGTTTAGGAAACTAGAGAAAGAATACAGCAGAATGTACAATTAACGAACTTCGTTTATTTCTACTAAAGAATTGACGCAAATTATCAGGCTTAGTTTACCTTTGGCATTGGTTTTATTGGAGTAAGTTCTTTCTTGTCACGAGAATCTTTTCTCCCTGTCTGACTTGGAATCTAAAATAAGACATGAATTTTACAAACATTCCAATGGTCACAAATCCAGGATAAAGTGGCATAACTCGGGGATAAAAATCCTTGTCCTTACCACAATCGCTGGCATTTTTGTTGTCTTAATATCTTCTCTTGGACCGCTATATAAAGTAAAAACATAAATAGTCGTAAGAACCCAATGAAGGATCATTACCATTGCATTGTTACAGACGTCTTTTGCCCAAGTGCTATAAAATTGTCAGACATGAAGTACCCCGCAATATGCTTGAGAAAGACGCGAGAATGTTGTGACATCGCTGAGGTACTTACACTCTTCGTTTCGCTGGAATTGAGCCATTCGTTGATGACGTTCTTGTTGCGGGTCGTTGCCTAAAGACAATATTAAATAGAGACATAAGCATAGAAAGTTAAGTGTTTACATCCCACTGAAAGCATGTAATTGTATAATAGGCTCGCGCCAAGTGCCCCAAACCTATATTAGGAAGTTGTAAGTTGTAACAATGTTGCTTCAAAAAAATCGTCTCTTACAAAGTAGTTAAGATAATGCTCGATTTTTTTTGCGATTCTAACAGCCTTTTAAGCTGTAACAGGCCAAAAAAAACAAGGTTGTAACCGAATAACAAAGTGCTGAAACTTCTTGAAGATGTTGACCCAGATGAATAGTGAAATAAATCACTGCTAGAAAACCATTCATCATTTGGTCTGACAGCGCTGAGATTGAGAACAAAATGAACTAAGTACTACTTTGTACAGCTCACCTGCTCTCGATTGATGGCGGCGGTGCTGGATTGCCCCATGCTTTGATGCTATTTGGGGTCCCACGAGGTTTTCCAGGTGCGTTAGGGGATAATCTAGGACAAACACATGAAACAAAATGTTTATAAAAACACGTTGGTTCGTATTCTAGTATGTCCCACACATGCAATTGAGAAGACGCGATATAAACCTACCCTCGTTTTGAGACACTTTTCGCCATCCTATGATGAAACAGGACAAAGAAAAATGATGATATTGTTGAAGTAAAAATATGGCTACTAACGTGATATCAGGCTACGATTTCACCTGCAATACTTACCCGTTATTTTGCTTCATCCGGCTCTATGAAGAAAAGAAACTCAAATAAATAATTGAATAGAATATATCCATACTTGCACATAGAAAACCACACCATACAACTATACGATTATGATACAATAACACACGATATGATGTACTATACTCTACCACACCATATATATATACTGTCCCATTACCACAACGTACTTCAACCATGCCACACCATACTTCATATACCAATACCACAACATACTCTATGGCAATACCACATCATACTTCAACCATATTCTTTCGTCAAATTTGGTAATCATGCTCCACGCATTACAATACAATACAAAAATCTGACATATTTGAAAATGACTATGAAACATTTTGTTATTGTCGCGAAACTCTTCCGCAAACTCCTCGTAATAATAGCGAAATCCTAACGCGGGTGTTTTATCGCAAGACAATACAATCTTTTGCGATATCTGCCGTGATGCGCTGCTAAAGACTTTAATCGAAGAATTAATCGCAGAAGACGTTTTACACTCGTATTGCATGCAATGGCTCGTGCATATAGTCACAGATCCCACCTCATATCGTGTTGTGAATTCTCCCACAGAGCATCATCATTGTTGGTTATTGTTAAACTGTGTATTTGTTTAAAACTGTCACTATGGCGAACGCAAATCTTCAACAAAACGCTTATCAATAGCGTCAAACTATGCGCTGTTAGTCTAGACGCGAGAACTAATAAAGACAGCTGATCTAAAGACAATACCTTTGATTAAAGCCATTCGCGACTTTTAATACCGTCAAGCAAGTATTGAGAACGCAGAGTTTACAACCCAAGCCATGCATCAAAGCTTCACACACACTTCAGGCGCATCAGAGACAAAGAGCCAAGAAACCCCTAATCCTCAGTTTCTATTCACGACGAAGGAAATACGTGTTCTCTGTTTACGAAAGTCTCAAAATATGTCTAATCTGCCCGAATTGCCCACATTTCTGACTTGTGATAACGTATTGAATTACAAGAGCTGCATGCTTATGCTGTTGTGTCCGCAAAATCAGATAATAGGATAAACTTTAGGAAATAAAAAGCCGGCCACTGCATGGTCGTGATATGCTTCACAAACGTCCAGGATTCCCCCAACACGAGCAAGTGCGATTATTATTTTCAAAACCACCCCTAACAGCATCAGTTTGTTTACTTATTACTAGCTAACAACGCAAAGGTGACAAAAGGTTAAAAATTTCTATATTTAGAGAGCTGTTTCGACTTGGCAAGGACCTCGGTGTGTCCGATTCAATCCAATGTTTATAGCTACCTTTATATATCATGTTGTGTGACAAAGTCTCTGGCAGGCAAAGCGTGAATAACCCTGGTTAAAAGCATTGAATATCCTGTGAAAGATGAATGCAAACCTAGACATTCTGCCACCAAATAATAGTTTTGATTAAAGATAAAGTCAATTCTTCGTTCTTTATCTGTCCACAATCGATCACTCAAATTGGTCAGATGAAATGAGTGGAAAATCACTCTCAAAGTGAAAATTAATTGGGCGAAAAGTAAGTTTGTTTCAAACGGAAATTGCAAGAATTATAGAATTATAGAATAAAGCTAAGCATGTACTTAATGCTTTTTCAATGATTGGAATACCAGTCAACCCATGTTCAAAATAAATTTATCAATTGGAAGCAGAACTTCTAGAAACTACGAAATATGAACATTTCAGCAACTTTGATATGATACAATGATGGATGGATGTGGGATTGTACCGTTGTTTTTTTACATTTTGACAAGTTGTGTGTGAAACCTAACACTGGAGTTGCTAATATATGTAAGAATACTGGCTTCTTGGATTTCTTGTCTCAAGAACGAGAGAGCATCAGAAAATAACACAAGACTGATGAATAAAAACGAGGAATGCCGAGGACTCATATCGAGTACTTGGAACAAAGACATTTTCCTCCAAAGAGTGAGTCACGTACTGAAAATAGTTCTCATTATTTCAGCCACAAGAGGTATTTGCTTATGCCAAAAGCTTTCCGACTACACCCCCACAAGACTTGAAACGTGTTCGCCTACAGACATTCTTTACCTTTCGTGATGCTTGTTCCTTGGTTGGCGCGGGAGTCATCTTGACCTAACGCAATATCCTACCATACGAATGCCGGCTAAACGTACGACGCTCGGCGGCCGCTGCGAGCTCGATGCACGCGTAACGTACATCCAATTATAAAGTTACCTTCGACGACGACAAAACGAAATGTGCGAGATTTAAAATCCCAGAAAGGTTTTAAAGAGGAGTTTCACTTAGCAACATATTATGAGGTCACTCATAAAGCTTAACATTTTAACACTATCAACGCCTAATCGTCTGTTAATCCACATGACCATACTGCGTTGCTTTGATGAAGTCTAAAGAACGAGGTGATGCGTACACTACAGTAGCTCAACTATAACGCGCAGAGCGACAGAACATCTGCTGAACACAACAAACAAAGACAGACGCCATGTGTGTGCATACTCTTGTGTTTTGTACGCACACTAATCGCATTCAAAACGAGTTCTATTGTTTATCATGCTTCGCGTTTCTTCCAGAACTTATCAATGTTGGAAACATGAGATGTTTTTATCGCACCGTTATAGCAAGCGTCATGACAACTCAAGACAAACTAACCTCCATCGAGCCGTGTTGTTCCGTCGGTGTCATCTCGACGCCGCTCTCTGAGGTAACACTGGCTGGTCGTAATTTCTCCGAGCCTACCGGAGCACGAAGGCTTGCCGTGACGCCACTGTGCTTCGTACGAGGAACGCCAGGTTGATAAAACACGTCACAGTTCAGTTGTACTTTTGTTCGTTTTCGCCGCGGTTGACGTGACTGCGTGGACTGGGCACCATCTGCGGGCACTTGACCCGGCAACACCGCAGCCTGAAAAAAAGCAAAACTTCATGTTATGATTTTCGTGACATGATCTCGTCGTACCCAGGGTCTTCTGCTCTTCGAGAGGTCTTCTAATTCCCCCGTATTTCACTCTGTGAGCAGGCTATCTGCTCTTCGATTCATAGGAATCGTAATTCAAAATTGCACTTACGTCATCAGCAGGGGTTTCCAAGGTAACACCTCCAACATTCTTCGTCTCGGCGCCCCCCTTGGTCTTCGTCCGATACTTTGTGTAAGGTTTTCCCTGCGATATTCCCGGCTTTTTTGTCGCGAGATCTTTCTTTGGTTTTATAAAGACCTCTTCCTCAAGGTCCGAGCCAGCGCTCTCGTCAACGGAGGAAATACCGTCGTCAACGTCGAAGTTTTTATCTTTCTTTATACCGTCTTTCAGCTCGTCTTTCAACCATGTCGGAGCCTGGCGAACAAGACACAATTCGTTATACTATTCTTACTAGGCTTCTGCTTTACACGATGTGCATGCATATAAATATATGTTCACCAAAGCAAGTAAATATCTCTGAGATGAAAAGTTTGCCTTCATTGAAATCATGAACCCATACCTAGAGTGTATCCAGGTGGGAAAACCAATACCCTTTACTATTTACTTCGCTACATGTGACAGAATTATAGAAGTCGTAGGCTTGACATTACTCACATCTCCAATCGTGTCCATTTCTGACGAACTGGATTGATCCGCGGTGGACGAATCAGTATGACGACGTAGACTAAGAAATAACAAGTGAAATTGAGATCAGTCAACTGCATATCACAGAAATCCAACCAGGAGGATATTCGTTTTCAACTAATCGGTAACTTTGCTTACACCTTTTTAGCAACCCAACAACAGTCCTCAGAAGTCCCCTGAAATCCCCAGAAGTCCCCTGAAGCTTAAGTCTTCAAAAAGGCGAGAAATCTTACCTCGTTCCGGAATCATCGAGTCCATTTTTCGACTGCTGCTGCCTTAGGCTGATTTCCGACGACGTTCTTCGTTCGGCTACGGTCTTCATCGGACCTTCTTCGCGTTTCGTCGACCTTCGCTTCGACTTCTTCCGTGGCGCCGGCGCAGTCGTGTCAATCTGAACAAACGTGTTTTCGGCGTAACCCGAGATGCGTTTAAGAAACACGGGATAATCCCCGTCCTTCTCGCTCGGTCCACAGATCGCGTCCCACTGGAAGAGGAGGGTTGGGACAGAGATTGGATCGCAATCATTCACACGAAGACAGCCGGCGATACGACAATGTGAGAGGTTGCTTCGAGACACGCAATCTCGGAGATAATTGCCTTGATTTCGCCAGAAACCACTTTTAGGTCGATCACCACTCGCAGAACTTGAAAACGAAAAGTAGTACATCAAATCATTAGACAGATCATTAGGTCTTCTAAGTGATATTGCATGAGCTTTAGCAGTTTAGCTCCGTTTTCCACCAGGCAAATAGGGAGTTCAAGATGCAGCAAATCTACGAGGCAGACGTGACATGAAAACAGCCGCTAGTGTTTACATATACTTTGGCTTTGACTTCATTTTACCAAAGGGAAATTTTTTTATACCTGTTGTTAAACTGTGCATGGAAATAACGGCAGTATTACGTCAGGTCTGCGTCGTAGATTTGGTGCATCTTAAAGACTCAAACTCGCTAATATATTCGCGCGAATGGTACGAGATGATATATTCATATATGGGAAAGTTGGCAACCTTTCGCCCGAAGAGAGTAATAACGTTTCGAGAATTGACCTCAGAGATACGAAATATTAGACTTATAGGAATTATATATATGTATGAGCGTTAAGCATGCAAGCACAAGGATAATAAATACGTGCTCACCTGGGTTTTCCATCCACGCTTAGGTTTGCATTTGTACTTTCGGACAAAGTGTCTTTTCTTCGGGAGCCAACATAATCGTGATCCAAGCCTGAACTTGGCCTCGTACGAGAGTAATCGCACTTGCCTGAACTGGGTCTGAAAAGAACATGGATTTGTTACTGGTTAGAATCAAAACTTTCTATCTAAATAAACTGGTAAATTTGTAGCTGGTCTTTAGTTGCAATTGGAATTAAAATCCGGAAACTAGATTTGCTGTCGCCTTTCGTCGCAAAAATTTGTAATCAGGATTCTACCTGGGTGAGGATACTGTACTCTCGGAGGCTCCAGAACTTAGACTAGAGCTTGCATTTCGACGATGTTTCTTCTCAAACGCCTCATCAGATCTTGGTCCAACTTCGTCGCAATCCACGTGAACATAAGGCATGCTCCCCCAGAAATATATCGTGTCTTCATCTGTTCCAGTCAGAGTAAATAAATCACCGCATTTCATCATCTGAAAGGAAGTAATAGCCATAGTGTTAGGATAATGATTATTTTATAAAAGTATAAATTGATTGAGATATAACTACGAGAAAAAAAACAATCTGCAGTACACAAGTTCAAATCTTCTGCAAAAGCACCAAACCTACCGTAACACGTTTATCAACCAGAGATTTAACACAGGCTGGGGACTCGACTGTTTTAACATTGCCATGGCCCAGCTGACCATGTCTATTATCCCCAAATGTATACAAGTTTCCCGACTCCATGAGCACCGAGCTGTGGGTTGGTCCCAGGGACATATCAACAACACTGTGGCGCGCTAGAATCTTCAGGGCTGTGGGTGTCGTCCGCCCTTCAACTTGTACCTGGGGAAAGGGGAAAAGTACATCAAGGATGAGCAGTTGTTTAAATATTTCTTTTGATAATTTTTAAGATCCCCACTGCCTTACCTTAGTCAAAAGATTCTTCATTTGCACGAGAAATCCTTGTCTGTTGTTCAGTCCGAGTTTATTGTTTGTATTCCTGGGAGAAACAAAGAAAGAGTTAGATATGACATTCTTTGCCTCAAGAACGAAAGCTGAAACGTTTTCAACAAGCATCTTACTTTCCACAAGCGTACAAGGTTCCTGTGTCTGTTAGAAACATTGTGCCATCCATTCCACATTGCGCTTTAGTGATCATAACTTTATCTCCAAATTCAACCTTTGTGGGAATTTTTCTGACGAAAAAATTTTATTATTTATTGTTAGACCCTTAAATGAACCATTTAGAATTGGTAGAGACCTCATGTATTGAACATTCTCTAACAATAACAGTATTTCACTCATAAATTATCTATATTACATTGATTCTGTAAATACTCCAAAAAATACCCAACTACCCCAAGTTACTCACCTGCTATCCTCATCACCTTGCCCCAGCCTTCCATCAGCGCCACAGCCCCACGTGTAGACGCTACCGTCATCGCAGACGGCGGACACGTGATGTGGACCACAGCTAAGGCTGCCTGTGTCCACAGCAAGAAGCCCTTCAACTAACTTTGGGCGGGAAACGCTGGACCAATCACCGTGTCCCATGCAACCGTAGTCGCCATCACCAAATGACATCACGATACCGTTGTCTGTCAGTAAAACTGTGAACCGATCACCGCTACAGGCCCTGATGATTCAAAAAAGAAAAAAACAATATTTAAGCATCCATATTAGCTTGGATGAGGTAGTATACTTCCCCCACGTATACTTCCACTTTTAGACAGCTTGAGTTCAATACTTCATGTACTTACGTGACAACGTTCTTTCCTTTCACTCCCTCGACCTCTGTAGGCTGATCTCTAGCCACAAGATCTCCATGACCGAGCTGTCCTTTGCTATTATCGCCCCAGGTAAACACGCGACTGTCGGAGCTCACGACACAAACATGATTTCGACCAACGCTCACCTAAAAACACAAACTCACTGAATACCAAAATTTGATTCCTAGCTGCAGTTGTCTTAAAGTTTTACCTCAAATCAAATGAAGAACAATACTGTTTTAGGTGGTTCTTAGGCACATCCTCTACAGAAGATCTAAAGGAAATGCAGCCGTTTTGATACAACTATCTTCCTAGGCACTTACATCAGTAATTAAGATTTTCACCGGAAGATTAATTGGCACCACACCAGACATTGATCCCAAATCGACATAATAGAGTATTGATCTAAAATCAAAATAAAAGTTATAAAAAAGATTCATTTTAACTACGACAAATTTGAAGAGAAAATTCACCTTCGTTTCTCCTTTCTCTTGGGATTCAGCGCGCTTTTCAATGATTCCTCATCACACATGTCGAACTGACAAAGCAACTAGAATTTAAAAAGAAAGGTTAGTCATCATATGGTTCCAGTGGACTATCGCATGTCATGTTTTTCAACTATAGAGTTATCTAAAAACACGCTGCATTGATCTGGGTGATTCTCTGGTCACACATGTGACAATGCTGTTCTATTTTGCTACATGCAATATATGAAGGCTGAAGAAACAGCAATGTCATGCACGTGTGTGACCAGAGAATCACCCACTTACTTCATGGACTCTTGATACTAATTCTGAAGCATCTGGTCTGTATTGTGGCTCAATTTGCAGACAATCGCGAACCTGGTAAGGGAATAATTGTATTTTTTATTCCACTGCAGAACTACGATACTCATTTGTGAACAAGTATGTTGTTTCAAACAGTTTCCTTGTTCAAACTGAACTTATGAAAGGTGTAAAAGAAACGAGATGTCTACTGCTTTAGCGGCAATACCGCACATACCAACGCTTTGAAATCCTGGCTGTAGTTTCCACGAATGGGAGCAAACTGACCCTGTCAAACAATGCATAAAAACTTCAAAATGCATAAAAGTATAGTGAAGATTGTTTTCAAAGCTTGATTTTTTATAAAAATTGTCTTCCAAGCTTTTTTCAGTTTTTGCTCCCCAAGGTTAGATGGACTACGGACTAAATGGCAAGGAAATCCAGAGAGGTGTATTAGGCCTACACATGGTAAAACAATGCACGCGGCTTTTGAGCGTACCTTAACAATTTTATTCACAAGTGCGGGTAAGTTCGTACTCTCAAATGTCTTCTGTTTATTTGCCATTTCGTAGAGAACACAACCAAGAGACCAAATATCGCTTTTTTCATTGTAATCCCTGCCTTCGCACTATGAGACCAAAACAAGAAACGAACTGATTAACCACGTATGTCACTTGAGCCACATTCTACCACTTAGAAGGTCGGGTAGTATACACGGTATGGTATATAAACACGATGAACAGAGAAGAAACTCACAATTTCAGGCGAGATATAGTACGGAGTTCCAAGGACAGTATTAGCGTTGCTCTTAGTGTTCCCAAGCTGTTTACTGATTCCAAAATCACCTAACTTTACGTGGCCTTCCAGCGTTAAAAATATATTCTGCGTTTTCATATCCCTAGGAATAAGGAAAGTTGTTAGACCGGGTCTTGTGCCATGGACTCTGAGAGATCGAACCACGGTCCTCAAAGAATAGAAATGATTTTTATGACGTGTGTATGTGTGTTTTTCTTCACCTGTGTAAAATCTTATGTTGGTGAATGCATTGTAAAGCAAGCGCCATCTCGTAAAACATTTTCAAAATTTCCTTCTCTTCCATCTCCCGATCAAGTTTCGTCAGGTACTGGGCCAGGGTTCTAGGAAACAGAATACAGAATATTATGCAACGACAGGACGAGGAAAAGCTTTCTGTGAAAAAGACGCTTCGTGGACCATCGATAGAGGGAGATAGCTTCACTCTCTACAAGTCCAGATGAAAGTTTTTTGAGGCCATACCCGCCATCAGCGTATTCCATTTCTATCCAAATGGTGCCATCTTCTTCAAAACTATCGTAGCAATTGATGATGTTTGGATGATTTAGTTTTGACATAATCTTTGCCTAAAACGTGACATAAATATACTCATATACGAGAGGTGCAATACTGCGTCAATGAAAACTGGAGTATCCTTAACCGCACTCCTTCCGAATTGCATATATTATGTAGTGCTGTTTCAGCTACCTCGTTCGTCGCCAATTGCCGTTCCTGTGCAGTGAGATCGTGCATGTTTATCTCCTTCAGGATCACCAACGAATCATCATCTTTCTTCCGGTACAAAACAGCCGCGCCATAAGACCCTAAGTTCAGTAAAATTACCGCTTAGCTACACTACAAATACGTTCGTTTCTTGAACAGCTATCTTATGATATTTCAAACATCGACGCAATTAACTTTGCCTGAAGGCAAAATAATATTGAAAGTCCAAGAGACAGTTCCTCAGGAAGCACGCTTGAAATTGTCATATTTTTATAAAGTACAAAACGAAACTCTAAGAGACAGAAGTAATTTTGTGATACCGTTATAACCAACTGCTTTTATAGCCACAGGGCAAACGATATCCTGTCATGTTTTGATGTAATTTACGTTCAAAATAAATGAAAGTTTCTTCATGAAGTATTTACCTTTTCCAACAATTTTTATTCTTTCAAAATTGCTGATGCTTCTTGGGGTTGCACCTGACCATTTTCTGAGCTTCTCTGATTGGAAATAAAGATCTCCAGGCTCGCAACTGAAACAAGTGAATGAAATTTAAAATACATAAAGAATTGAAAAGGGAAAATAAATGCAATTACTTTCAAATTCTTCAATGGAAAGAATGTTTGAATTGTTTTACAGTAATGTTAATAAAGCTTCCCAAATTAAATGCAGTTTTGGGATTTTGCCTTGATAAGCAAGGATAGATCCAGAGAGGTTTTCTACATAGGAGGGAGATGGCTGGATTATAGGGCTTCCCACACCTGGCCTGGCCTAGGCTAGGGGGTGCATGCCTCCCCACATCCCCCAGTAAATTTGACCCCTGTTTATAATAAGCATGACAATCCCCACCTTGTTCCATGTTCAGAGCTCGACTGCTTCTTGCCAGATATCTCAGGCCCCATGATGTCCTTGGTCATGTTGATATTCAATCCCTGCAGACATCATGAAAATGAGATTACTTTATAAATTAAGACAGCGATTTAAACCAAATAACTTTATGGAAAACTTTACTAATATATGATGTACATGATAATTTGTCTATAACCTTGTACATTTTTCATTTAATGTAAATAATTGTGAAATTTAGTCTCTTATTGCAATGCAGTTTTGTATAGATATTTTACAATCAATCAATTAAGAAATCAAACCTCGACAATAGCCTCCAACTCCTCGACAACCTCTTTCCAGTCTGTTGACAGTAAAACTGGACAATTTAGAAAATCAAGGCGTGCTGAAGAGTCGCTTCTATCAATAAACGTCGCAACTTCTTTGAAAAAGTTTCTAATGTCTTCATCTTCGGCCAAGGATGGTTTCGATAATACCTAAAACAGATTACATTCATTTTAGCTATGCACAGCTCTACACTAACTCTAGCAATAAGCCTTGTTAACTAACACAAGCTCTCTTTTATTGAAGTATATCAAAATTTCTTCTTTGTTTCTTTCATTGGTTTTTAAATCAAGATACTTTACTGTTTACAAGAAAAACTCACAGATTACAGGTGATTAGGCTGAATATCTCATTCACAAACTCTTATATCTACAATCCTAGCTCAGTCAAACCTGGATTTCCTAATATGCGAGGTTAATTTGTTGAATTATAAATACAATCCACATAAGACCTAGCAAGTGCACTGTTGACTGATAGGTAAGCAAGAGATTGATAGCATTCTTCAACCCACAAGTACAATTGCTAGGCAGGATGCAGGATAACGATACAATCACAAATGGTTTAATAGATTACATAAAAATGTTTATCAAAGTTTTTTAGAAATATCTCAGCAAGAATACAACCAATTACTAGGGTGAGACATTGTTTGTTTAAATGCACCACATTCTATACAATATTGACATTCTAAAGAACTGAATCTACAAAAGGGTTCGTAATCATTGTATGACATTGAACTCAACTGTAAATGAACATTGTATACAGACTTGCAGATACTCTACAAATAAAAATAGGGAAAGCATGCAATCAAAATTTAAAAAACACAGATTGAAATGAAGAACAAAATACCCTTCTTTTGAAATGAATATCATGACCTTCAGGCATATTTAGGCAAATTTTACAAATCAGATTATCTTGTTTCATGCAGTATTTATTCAGAATGATATTCTAATATTTCTACTCTTTGGCTAAGTTCACTGTATTATAGAAAGTAATTCTACATCAGAGGTGTTAGTTGAGAATTATAACAAAAAGGCTGAAGAAATATATATACATTCTTTGTAATATTTACATATTAACTGCGGCTTAAGTGTCTCAGATTATTTACTCAATCCTAACAGGTGAATTTATGGCCATTCAGTTAATATTAAACCTAACGTGTTGCTAACACAAATAAGTTGTGTAATAAAACGATTGCTTAGAAGGAATAAACCACTATTCCCCAAGAGTTTTAGAGGTACGAGATCTTCACAAGATCGACAACTTTTAGGGAACTTACATAAACCGAAATTATGTGAATTGATATTCCGTAATTAATTTCTTTCTAAACGTTGTCTAGCTGCATCAATCATCATATGCCCGTCAAAACATTTGTCATTATTTCATTTTCCGCATATTCACTCACCTTTTCTCCTCTCCCAGAGCATAAAACCATACTGCCAGGATGTCCATGAGCCAAAAAAGCGATGCTGACGGGCTTCGTGCGAGTACAAGCTTCCTTTATTTTCAAAAGCAAACTATCTAATTCTTCACCATCTTGTTGATAAATGAGTATAGTAACACCGTTCAGAGCTGCGGTCTCTAATGCCGAAGGATGTCTAATCTTTGAAGATACAACTACCAAACGATGCACGTTTGAAGAAGCCGATACAGAGAGCAAATTTGTGGACGAAACACTGCCTGATATGGGCTTAACATTGTCATGTTCCTCGTTTTGAGTCGAATTCTCGTCAATTTTTTCCGGCTGTTCAACAGCCGCCATAAAGCGCAACGCAAGGCGAAATCCTTTAGGATTTGCCCCTACATTGTCCACGGTGTATCACACCATTTCTCGTCAACATTTCCAGTATTTAAATGCCATTTATAACAACAAAACGGTGACGATCCTGGGCCATATTTTACAGACCACAAAATAGACACATAGCACTTTTCGAAGTTAAATATATTATGACATTTTCCACTGAAATAATTCCTCCGATTTAGGTGTTGAAATGAAAATAATGATGCTCTCTTCCGTGTTTAATATATTATACTCTCGACGCTACAATACTCAACCAAGTTTATATAAAAAGCAATAAAAGAGAGCTGTTTTAGCTTGGTAAACATTTATTAACAATCCAAAGTAACAAGTACTGAATTTAATGTACACCGGATATTGAACCCGTTAGATACAGGCACTAATATCCCACCGGTAATTGTGTCATTTTTAGTGCCGGAGCCCCGATTATGTCGTAATCACAGATCTCTGTAAAAACTGGATGTCAGTTACATTTTATGAAGAATTTCTGCCTAGAGGTAGTCATACATAAGGGTTCCTGACTTACCGCTGGGCCGGGTCAATTATACCAGAAGTAATCGCCTTCATCACTACCACCATTCAGAACCTTGCTCTGTATTGATAGTCGAAAATCATGAAAGTTGCAGACCTTTCAATTTTTTATTACATCACACAAAATTTCAGCATATAAGATCATTATTACAACTCCATACTACGAGTATATTAATCAAATATATACATATTATTCTTGAACAAACATTTCACCATTTATTAATAACTGATGAGCACAAAATGAAGAGAATCCTCATTTAATTTTGCTCCGATAAGGTGAACTATAAGCGGACTACACTTACTGCAGGGGCCTAGCTGACTAGCAGTTACTATACTTATATCAATTTGCCTCGTTGTATCTCACACAATTTGAAGAAGTAAGTCTATAAAGTGTCTTGCATTTTATTCCATGCAATTTTAGGCGGAGATCCTTCGCCGTTTGCCGTCTTTGTTTCTTTGAATTCAGCAACCGTGACACAATTCACCGAGCAATCAGTTTGCGACATTTCTGCGACAGGTGAGACTGTAGTGCTGCCTTTGATGCAGCAGAAGATCCTCCTTAACAACGCTTTGTAATCATTACGAAACTCCGAGCTATAAATGCCGTAAAGTACAGGGTTGACAGAGGAATTGGCGAACGAGAAGACAACCAGCCAGAAATGTGTAGCCCATTAGCATCGTTGAGATTCAGCTTGCTCAACATGAAACTAACACGACTTGGCAGCCAGCCAATGATTAGGGCACAGGAAGCAGCCAGGGCTAGGATTGTGATACGTTTTGTGATAGATGCGCCACGGCCTTGTAGTAGATATGGCAGTTTCTTCACCTTGTAGAGCATGTGAGAGTATAAACCAACCATTATTGAGAAAGGAATGATGCATTGAAGTGTCATGTCAATATACGGAAATGGACCTTCACCGATGCTCAATTTCACCCACTTACAAGTTCCTGCCAAAGAAAGAAATTAGGAATAAACCAGGGATTTCGCGCATCAAGGATTTCATCAAAAACTAAACTTTTACAAACCTTTCTCGAAATCAGGTTTTGCGCGGAAGAGTGTTGTCGCCTGAACCAGGAGCCCCCAGAACCAAACAACTCCAACCACCACAACAGCGTGCTTCGGTTTCGTTTTTCGATAAGTGTTCGGCTTTACGATTGCCAACCATCTTTCAATCGTTAGAACGAGGCATGTGTAAATAGAGACATAACCCAGGCCGAATAAGACGCACGCGTTCCAGATCGTGCTGCAGAAGAGAGATGCCGCGAACTTACTCTCGGGCATGTCAGGAAGATACAGGTAGCGACTGAATATTAGGAACAAAGCTGTAATAACATCTGTACAAGCCAAACTACAGATGAATATGTTGTACGGTTTTTTGAGCGCGTCCCGTTTCAAGACTAAGACTCCAAGTACCAACATGTTTCCGAGAATTGAGACAATCACGATCAAAGAGAAGGCAAAGTATGTTCCAGGATTATTTCCTTGAAGACCCATCCTGTAAAAATAATATAAAACTTGCTATTCTCAGACAAACCGTTCTAGTTCGATTGCCTGGGTCGTTAATAGATCACCTTCATAAGAGATCACTATATGGGCACAGCATGTTTCTATAGTATAGATTTTGAGAAAAAATTCAGTGGTTGATTGTGTCTGATACCAATATAAACCATATCATATGCAGTCTGGCATTTCGTATATTCACTGGAGGCAATATGCAAGGATTACGCACACGCAAACGACTGTCATTCACCTTCGCGCGGCTGTAGAGCGCAAAGCAGTTTGCCACCAGCTGAATTTTAAGATTGAACAAAGTATTTTGCTTGACTTTCTTTGTGACCTGTCAAAGGAACCTGGTACGGTATCGGGAAAAAATCGGGGAAAATATTGTTTTTTCATTTTCGCTGTATATTGTGCACTAGTAGCTACATCACAGTGTTTATAAAAAACAATTTCTAAAACACTTTCAATTTCTTAAACACCCCATCAACGAACCACACTATATATATATACTCAGCGTATAACAAGTCAGATTAACCTACCTTCCTATAAATCCACGTTCGATTTATGCCGGTGTGGAAGACCTTTCCTGCAGCCTTTTCAAGAGAAATTTTACTTCATAAATTGATAAATTGACTTGGATCTCCTGGCAACTGAACAGTACTTAACAATCAATTTAAATCGTGCGCATCATGTGTTAATGTATACTGTTATATTGTCATTGCAAACAAGTCCAATATCTGCACAAAGAGATAGAGATAGTTAGCATGCACAGAAGCTGCGAGTCGCTTTGATCAACACCCGGGATCATTTATCTGCACTCAAACCATTCTGGTATCATTTGCAACTGCCATTGAATGGGGAGAGGGCGGGTGTTTGATGGTGGGAAGGTGTTGACACTAGTGAGTGTTTTCGAGATACAGCAGTCGAACTTCGCTTGCCTTCCGGGGTTGTCTGCAGCAGATTCATTATAACCAATATGCAAATCGATCTTTTAGAGCTTCCTACGACCCCCTCGTTACTCCTGCCGATGAAAAGCAAGAGAACCAGCTGTCCCTGACGTCCCTCGCAGCTGTAAAGCATCCCCAAAATGGATAGCTTTGACTTTTATTCATTCTAATTAATTTAAACCTCTTTCTCATGGATATTATATTATGCAGTCGGTGCCGGCCTACCGCGAAGAAGCTTATGATTATATCCTATGCCATGCAATGCAAGTATATTATTTTACAAGTTTATTTTATATTCAAACGAACATGCACCAAGTCCGGCTTCTTTAACTGATAAAACGGATCCATTTAGGTGCAACATTTCGTGTAAATTTCGAAGAGAGAGACGAGGAGATACACGATTGTCAACACTGTCACGTTTTGGAGCTGGAATGAAAATTTACTACTTTTGCAGAAAACGACACGCGCACGCAGTTTGACACGTTCCTGAAACGGAGGTTTAGCAAAAAACGTAAAAATAAAATTAACTGAAGTCTTACCCGTCTCTTGTCTTCAATCTCTAATCCATCTCCTTCAAACACAGCGCGTATATTCTGATTAGAAAAATGAGTAACAAGCTCAGCTTTAAGATAAGAAATGTATTTTTCAATTCATGCTACAAAAGTCATTCAGTCTTATATATATATATATATATATATATATATATATATATATATATATATATATATATACGCAGCGTAAAATTATCAAGTGCTTCATGTGTTGTACCTTAAATAGCAGCTACTTCATGTCAGCTGTTGATATATGATACTATAACTTCCAACCTGACAACGTACTGTTTATAATGTTTAGATTCAGTTACAGGCACAGACGCACAATCACGACTTCCCTTGGAATTATGGAAATAAAAAAGATGTTATTTATACACGACATGACACAAGTTTTATGTAACTTAAAACTACTGATGTGGTTGAAAATTCAATGAAGCATGTCGAATGCTGTTTACAGAAACGTGCACTGATCTCTGCATTAGTTTCCTGCATGTATCTTTACAGACTGCATTAGTTTTCTTTATCTTCATTTTTTTTACAGATTTTTATCCGTTAAGCAAGCAGTGTCCAGATTGCAAAAAACTGATTCGTATTAAAAACCGCATGAATTCAAAACTACTATAGTTGCCATTGACAGCGGGCAGATTCATATATGAGTGATTATTGTTTCTAGAGCACAAAATGAACAGAATATATATATATCAACTTTTATTATAATATAGCTTGGTGACTGGTCAACGTTATTGTCTCGGCTCTGTTCATTTTTGAAGATAATTTACGATAAATAAGAGAAACTATAAGATCTCAATACCTTTATTTATTACTTCAAGTTTGAAATCTCATCAATCACACGCGGGAATTGCAGGATTTTTGGAGAGGCAGATAAGGTGAATTAATATGCTTGGAAAAAATATCAAAAGAAAATTGGTTCATTAAAAGTGTTGATCAAAATGATTTGAATGTAAATTAACAAAAACCTTTTGCCAAATCCTCTTGTTTGAAAAACAACAGGATATAATATGGTCGACGTAGCCAAAATTGATATAGATGAGATAAAGCCTTTTGAAGATTGCAAATGCATTGAGTGTAATTATATCTACAAGCCGGCAGTCTAAAATCAAAACTTTGGCTTTGAATTTATCCATTGAGGTCAGGGTTTGTTATCGGGGGATCTGAACAGCGGCGCTGTTAAAGCCCCGAAGATGCAATCACAGTCACAAGTTTCAGTTAAAACGTTCCGGCTTGCAAATTAGAGCAGAAATTAGAGCAGGGCTTCTGTTCTTTTTTCGCTATATATCTAGAAATATCAAAAGCACTTTAGTTGTAAACATACCCTGTGTAAACATACCTTTAATTCTATCACAGCAAATCACAGTATAAACCTCAGTTTTATCCGAGAACAAATATATAATTCAGTTTATAATCATTTACGAAAAGCTAAACACCAAAACGCACGTATCGTCTTCTGAATAATACACAACATGTGTCTATCAATTTGAAACAGGACAGTGGCTATAAAATTTTTGAATGGCAGATGTACAACGACTGCATGTATAAATACGGTTCAATTAAATTTTCTATATATGCCTCTATACACTTCAACAGAGTATTATCTCTGCATGTGTCAATCCATATATATTTCGTTTTTATTTGTTCTTCGGTTGAAGTTATTGTTAATAGTAAAACCATATTACGAGTTATCAACGGCATATTCAGATTTGTTTTTTGGCCGTATATTTTTCTTGTTGTTTTTCGACTTTTTCGACAGCCTCTTACGAAAGCATGTAATTTGCAAGGCATGCAGAGGAAAATTAAACCGGGCTCGGCGCAATCACACCCATACAGCTGTCAGTGTTGGTAATGATGTCGTTTGCACGTGCGGGTTGTAAATTACGTTGCAAAGTAAGTCAAAGCAAATGTATTAAACAGGATATTGCACAGTAATTAAACTGCATGTGGAGGCGTTGAAAATTTCCGTAGCGTCAGTTGGAAAACCAACTTGATCTTAATTAACATAACTGAAAATAGTTACGATATACTTTTTCTAGTGAGCATTCGGATTACAGCAAATGAATATGTACTGTACGCAGTAAAGCATAATGCAGTTTTAACAACTTCAAACAGTTTTAATTCACACTGTTAGGCAATCGTAGAAATTTTGTTGTAACTCGCTATCATTTTAGCAAGCTTATGATCAGTCGCTGTTTAACCGTAAGCAGGCACGAATACAGGTTTATTATTCCTCCAGTTACATCAAATATATTTTTGTTTTTTACTTCAAGTTATCATTGATTACAAAAATTCATTTTTCTATTACGATACGGGAGAGATAGTATGTAGTTTATCATTATCATTATAATATTTATCAGGGTTTTGTATGCTAGAGCAACGAATATGTCCCGCTGTCCTGGCGGCTGTGGTTTGTGGTTCTCAAATTTAGTCCGCTTGTCTAGTGTCTAAGGTCTCTCTCAGAAGTAACATGGGTTGGTTTGCTTCCCGAGTAGTATAAGAGGTTAGTATAAAAACGGCAGCAATCTTCATTTATCTCTAAGGGTTTAGCTTGAAATGTTCCTGAAGAATGTCAGATAGGAATTCCTGTTCTCCCTCGTCACTCGCGTCAACTGATCGTTTGCGTATTTTTGTCTTTATCTCTTCCGCTTTATTTGCGTCCAGCGGTAAGTCTGAGAAAGTATGCGCTGCTTCTTCAGCCTGGGGACCGACTGCCGGGTGCATTTCTCCGTATTCGTTAAGTTCCGTGCGGATTGTCGTTATGAGGTCTGAAGTGCAGAAATTGGAAATTTTAAGGTTGTGCTTAGTTTCCTTTACACTTTATTCTGTTGATTACCAGACAAAGAATTTCAGCGTAATATTTTTTTAGTGTGAATAACTTACTGTTCACGCTGCTAGTGCCAGTCTCTTTAATATCTTTCCGTATTTCGCTGGTCACCTGATCTTTTTGCTCTGGTGGAATGGCCAGTCCGTTAGCAACATCTGTGGCCAGTTTCTCGATATCTTCTTTGAATGAACCAATCGAAGTTGACTCCTTCATGACGTCAATAACACCGCCAATAACGTTCTCGATTCCTAGAAACACGGGTTTAAGTTAAAAATTCATGTACAGTGATCATCCTCGTTCCCAGATTTTTCGCGTAAAGCGTATGCAGTACGGTGATGCATTCAAGATTCAGTAATCTTTCTTTCTGTTGTCAAACAATAAAAAACTGACCTTCTTGGACTTTGTCGTGATACAAACTCTTGTCAAAAGCGACGCTTCTCTGAAATGAAAAAGAAACGGCCATTAACACCTCAATAAAGTGTCTTTGGTGGCTTGATTATGATATAAAAGTTCACTAAACTTCTACGCAAGCTCTCACTAGGCAACGTTAGCTCTAAGTCCTCTCAACGTTAAGTCTTCTAGGAACTTCTAGGAACTATTTCATCGCTACACAAAGCCCGCTGCCTGCCACAATCAACGACTTTTGGCGGCTGAAATATTCTTTGTTTCATCCATGATTTTGTTCGAATCTACTGATACACAAGTTTCCAGGAAGACAATCTATTTACTTCATTCCTGGCAGCTGGTTCTACTATGAGTGAAGTTAAGATGACGTGTTGAATATGATTGATATTGAATACAAACCTTTTCGGTTGTTTTTGATTTTCTTCTTCTCAACATTTCTCTGTCCTCTTTTTCTTCTTCCTCGTCGTCAACATCACGACTGTGTCTTGACACTTCTTTATCTGACATATCCTTCGTTAGTAGCTCTAAAAGATATAAAATAGAGTTGTTTACCAAACCGTAAACGATGAGATCAGATCTGGGTTGAAAATCCCAAACCTCGTCGCGACGGTTCAGCGAATGCAGTCTTTGGGTTAGTAGCGTCACTGCTGTCCGCCATTGCTCTCGACGCCATCTTCTTACGACCATCAAAGTCTTCGGATTCCAAAGACCGCCGACTTCGTGTTAATTTTTTCCCATCTGTAGGCTTTGATATAAACTCCCCGTCTCCTTCCTCGTCAATAATTTCACGTTTGTATTCAAACTTTAGCTTCTCCACTAGAAAGAAATTGCAAGGTTCAATGAATGTACTCGCTTAAACCACATCTTGAACTTCAACGCTCTTACCTGGCTTGTTTTCATCCTCAGCCGACCTGTATTCTCTGTCATAACCCCCAACGTTACCAAGGTAAGCCATGAGAAGATTTCGTCCATCTGCATTCTCTGCAGACCTTTTATCAACGCTCTTTTCCTCAACAATATCATCCACAGCTGTAGAAGGGGCCAAGAAATATACAAACAAATAAGTTGTTTACTAAACCTTAGAATATCAGACCAATCTAGAGCTTCAACCAATTTGTTCCTCCCTGAAATACTGTCCCCTCGTTTGTGCAGTGTGATGATAATTGTAAATGATAAATCTTGTATTCTTCTTTTATATTTTACCTTTCAGAGCCTTCTTCGCTTCTTCTTTATTTTTCATAAGATCTTCGCTATCAATTTGTCGTTTATCTTTTCCTACGAATAAAATGGTCAGGATATCAAGTTACAGCTACGCTATGACTGAAGGAAACTTTTAAAAGATATGTTTTACCTGATGGCAGTAACTTCTTGGCAGCTGTCCATAAAAAGACGAAGAAGACTTTAGGTGTTGTTCGTCATATGTCAAATAATACACACAATTCTAAACGTCTAGATAATTTATCAAACTTACCTTTCAAGGCGGAAGAAGCCGCTAAAGTATAAAAAAGTAGATGAAATGACATTGCTTAGCATTTAAGAGTCTTAAATTATCGTTTGCATTCAAAAGTAGAATTAAAACAACTAAACAATGAGGGTAGACATAAACACCAACCTTTCATCAAATGATTTGCAACTTCAGCTAAAAATGATTATAATAATATAAATTGAGAATTTGTTCAAATACAATTACTGTAGTTCAGAGTATCAAAATACGTTTATACCATGTTCTTTTTCATCATCTTTTTCAGATTTATCATCGTCTTTCTCCTCCTCGTCCTCGTGTTTCTTCTTATCGTTTTCATCATCATCATCTTCATCATCATCCTCGTCTGGCAGAGCTGAGAATTCATCCACATCGTGATGTTGGCCATCTAAATTACGTCCAGCAAATTATTTTAGAAAATAATTCCCGTCGCGAGATGCGTTTGACAAGACAATTAACAGTCACCTCTCAACGAAACCGCTTGTTTCTCTCTGTCTTGAATTCACTCTCATCCGCGTTTGAGGAGTGTTTTAATACAGACGAATGGATGTGCAATTTTTGTTATCAGACCGAAATTGGTGCTTTCTAATTTATCTTTACTAAAACACTGGCCAAAACGTAAACAAAGTACTCGATGAAGAGTTGATTTCGAAAAAGACCTTTAACTTACCAACAGAATAAATTGAATTATGCCAGAACGATCCACAGAAACGATTTTTGTCGCCATAACAACGGCTGCTACATTCAGAATCAGGCACTCGGCCATATTTACCAAATCTATTGCCACAGAAGCACAGATAGGAATACTGAACACCAGCAAAGCGATATCCTTCTTTTTTACAGGTGTGCAGGCACCATTCAGGTGTCATCTCGAACTTGGAGAAATGTTTTTTCATGTCACGATGAGGTTTTCTATCCTTGAAACAACCTTGATAAGCTATAGAAAGTCAAACCAAAACAATACTTTGATCAAGTTTCTGATTGTAGTTTGGCAGGGTACTTAATGCATCGACTGCCTGGATAAAATGCGTGTAGCCAGTGGGACTTTATGAAGGACTACTTTATGAAGGAGATAGATTTTTCCATTTTGACTCAATCAAACACCATAGATCTTAGTATTAATATGGAATCTGCACCTTCATGCTTCTCGTTCAATGGTAGATTTTCTCCCGTCAACTCTTTATCAACTTGATCGGCGAATTGCGCAAACTCGGTAGCTGGATTTTCTGACTGAGCCTTTTCCATTTTCGTGGCAGTTCTTACGGGCGCCATTTTTGGTTGTTTGTCTGAAGAGAAAGTATTGAAATATATTAATTTTTTGTTCGTTTCATCTTAAAAGGGAGCTCAATGTGGTTAGGGTGAAATAAAGTTTCTAATCACGATATTGAATCGAGTCCTTGCAATTCAACTTTTGCGTATTCTGGTTTTCTTCTGCATTACAGGAGCTTATAGAACTGGTACTGCCACTAAAATGTAACGATAAAAATTACGGACATTGTACCTCCTCGTACTAGTGTATCCCGATACACTGGCATATTTCCTAAGGCATCCCGCACTATTTGTTCATACAATGGTTTCAGAGGTGTTTCCGTCTTCTTCTTGAAGTGAACTGTGAACGTCACAGCAACCTTTCCCCTGTCCTCTCTGTAATGGATTAGCAACGGATAGTACGGGTGAGTTTATATTACCAGACAACCAGCAAGCAGTGGGACATATTCTTCGACTATCTGCACATGCACAAATGGTTCTAAATTACCTTAATTTCTCAATGGACACACTTTTAAAGTTCTTTTTTGCTTCAAAGACGCGTGCCAACTAGGTAGGATAAATAAACAGCAATACGTGCGTCAGATGCGTGTTATTACAAAAAAGAGAAGAGTGGAATGAATAAAGATGGAAATAGGAATTTAGGACAGTGCAAACCTCGCGTTTTGCTTCCGTCTTGAATACACGATAACGGGTCGATCTCTTCTTTTCAAAATCAGCCGACCAATTTTGTTTGAAGAGAATTGAAGCAATTACGGACTTTTTCGTGCCTTCAAAAGATAACATATGGACATTTATCAGTTGTGAACTAGTCTGAGCCAGTTTAAAGCTTGGTTTTCATATGTCGTAATTCAAATATACAAACCTGTAGATTTGTCAAGTTGATCTTTATGCAAAGGATATGGTCTTGGTTCTGGAGGATGATAGTTACCATTCTTGCCCACGTATGGTCGGGGTGGTCTGTACATATGGTCATAATAATAATTCTGTTGTCTTTGGTCCTGTTGATATTGGTACGCAGCTCTTTGTTGGTTATATTGCTGTTGTTGTTGCTGCTGTTGCAACTGTTGTTGTTGTGGATATTGTTGTTGTTGTTGATTAAACTGCTGCACGTTACTTTGTTGAGGTTGTGCAGGAACAGGTTGAGGTACTGCTGGATTTTGCTGCGGTTGTATCGCGGGCGCTTGTTGTACGGCCGGAACTGCGGGCTGAGCCTGAACACCGTATCCCGGCGTTCCAGGCAGTACTTGATTTCCAACGCCTCCAAACTTGTTAAAGTAATTCATCGCCTCAATAGGGATAGGCCCTGGTCCAGTTTGAGCAAGCATTTTCGAGGCCTTCATTACATCAGCATAGACATTAGGCTTCTTTCCGGGTGCCTGGGATGGTGCGTTTTGTGTTGACGATGATGCGGGCATATCGTTAGCCAATGGTTGTGGACCTGCATGTGCGGATTGAGCTACGCCTGATACCGCAGGTTGGGATCCAAGCGTATTTGCAGGCTGTGATACAACGGAGGCTACTGGTTCTGATGAACCTGAAACTGGCTGACCAGGTAGCGATGCGAAACTACCAGCAACTGGACTAGACACAGACGTCTGACCCGCAACGGGCGGGGAGACTGATGACGAGTCTGATGATGTAGTGGAAACGGTTTCAGTAGAGGTCGTTGGTTCGTTTACGACCGTCTCCGAAGCTGTTGCACTCGGTGTTGTTATGTCACCAGCGGCTAGAGCAAATGAAACTATCGATTCAGAATTTGGCGATCATCAACTGCGTCGATACTAAACACAACTTACTTACCAAATATATCCGAAACTTGGTGTTCAACGTCGATGATATGACGAAGGGATTCGTGGAATTCCTTTGGCTGTAGTGACATAAACAATCAATACGATGATTAAAAACTGAATGTCTCTGAAGACTATTATATAAATCTAAGATAACCTCGCTTTTTTAACCTCGCTGCATTATGAATTTTGGAAGCACGCGTTCCACTCAAAAGCTTTCGCAGACATTTCCAATTTAAGGCGAACGTGTTTGATAGATATGCATATGATATAAAAAAGCACCCATTGAACTATATTCTTTAACACCACTTCATATTGGAGATGTAAGTACTACTGTACTAACCGGTTTGGACATCAACCATTCCACTAAATCCTGAACTTTACCATCGTTTCCCTGGAGATAAATAACACAAGAATATTAATTATACACAGGACCTCCATGTTAAAAAATCAGAGTTTAATAACGACTTCTCGCTATCATATATACTAACTGTAGATCGTTTGGTCTCCAATTTTCCTTTGGAGCTTTTGTCATCTTCCACCATGCCAATGCTGTTGAAAAGATGTTCAAGCTCTGAAAATGATACAAACAAGTGTAAATCATGGATGAAATTTGATCGAGGCTCATGGTTTTCATAACTTCATCAAATATCACGCACCTTTCTTGTCTGCATCCGAGATTTTAGAGTCTCCTTTCCAGTTCATTCCAACATCATCTAAACAATATATATGAGTCGAATTAAGGCGATAGTTTTTTGAACTAATAACGTACAACTCAATACACAAGTCGTGAAGTTTTATTTACCTTTCTCTGGTTGTGCTTCGTATGATCTTTTCTCTGGAAAGAAAGTGAAAAACATTCCATGAAGGAATTTTATCACATATCTATGGACAAAGAAACTAAAGAATTGTTTATAATTTTGCACATACCCACAGGCTTGTCCTGTGTTCGGGAAAGAAGAGCTTGGAAGAACTGATCTAAAATGAGAATTACTCAGTCAATTATTTCTACTTTTTCACCAGCCATATCATTGATTCTGCACTGCGAATATATATGATAAGAAACTTCGTGATAATGTAACCAACCTTCCTCTTCCGATGCCCTTTTCTTTAATGGCGGAAAATGTTGCTCAACTAAAAGACAAAATCAAGGTAAAATATGGGCACGGGAAAGACATTTAAAGCGTCCAAAAAGGCTTCAATTTATCCAATCAAAAATCTCTCGAGGATCTCCTTCTTTTAAAACGGTAAAATGTCGATTTTTTTCAAGTTCCTCAACTGAAAGCAGGTCAAAAGGCAACACATATATTAACTTACCTTTTCTTGGTTTTCTTGCTTTTAAACCTTTCTTATCCTCTTCTTCTTCATCAAATTCTGATCTCAGGACGCGAATCAATGTTCGATCTGACGGATCAGCACCGGCCTCGATAAAATTAGTTTCTGGTTTGAACAAGAAATTAAGATGAAGAAAGATTGCTTTTGCTAACTTGTAGAGAAGTAAATCGGCTTTTAAACTATAGATTTCTAGCATGCGTACTTCATAACCTAAATGTCAATGCGCTTTTTCTTATTCCTCTTTCAGTCAGAATGGTACAAAGCGATTTATTAATCTCGTTTATTATATACGGTCCAGCAAACTCGCGCTTTTAAATGTCATATAATAGAATTGCACCCATGCAACGAGCAGAACTCCAGGCACTTAATTGTGTTAGGATTTTGGACAAAATTATGTATAGAGAAGTACAGGAGCTCCTGTATTATTTTAGGAAAAGATTTTGATTGAATTTGTTTGGCACAGTGAACCATAATCTTTATTTTCTATAGTCTAATTTCCTCGGGAAAAAAGAATACTTATACTACCTCTCAACTCTTTGACAAGAATTGACGAGACGCATGATTTTATACACGCGATTTTCCCGGCTATAATCCTAAAGATTAGCTGAACAGAAATGAGCTTCCTATATTATATGATTATTATTGTATTTGTCGACACACAGAGAACAGAGAAAGGATGCGTCTCATGCCGGTCACGCCTCGTTAACTCATAGCCCAAACTACCTAAAATTCATCTTCATTTTCTCATATGTCTATATCTAGAGATCGCTTCCACTCATACAAACATTTAATACAAGACGAGAGATTTGACATATAAAGATTTGTTCAATTCTTCAGCTCATTTCTCAATGAAATGGTTGAAAATTGTAAAAGGGACGAAGTTCACGCGAGCTTGTTAAGTACCTGCTGTTAGGATTACTGAGGAAACTTTAAACGTCAATAAAACAAAATTTAAATGATATTTTCTACGGAAAACGACATACCCGTTTGCGGACGGCTTTGGACAAGAACTACGATACAAAATAACGTCGTTATCCACAGCAATCCAGTTAATTTATATCTGGCTTTAGTAGCCATCTTTTCACTTTTCACTAAGATTACTTTTCACTCGAGATTCTTCGCCCTGATGAGCACCAGATCACATACTCTCAGCTGATTGGCTGTTTGCTGTGAGGTCACGGATTGATTTTGGCGCCCTCGTCTGGTGTCAGAAGTAACACTGACTATTAAAAACAGACCAATAATAGTAGGCCTATGCTATAGCATTGAGATTTCAAGAAAAATTAGGTTTTTAATTAGGTTTTGCTGCTGCATGTTTGCAGTTTTTATTTGCATGGCCACATACGCTAAAATTTGAAGACAGGAACGATTAATTAACCAGAATTTATTGGATATCACAGGATCAATAGGTTTAGGAATTTCGTCCCAAACACAACTGTGGCGTATGGGTTTTAGTGACTGACAGATTCACAATGGATAAATGACGTCATTCCCGAACCTGTTACTCGTCAGCAGGTCGACAAAGACTCGTTTATATAAACACCGCCCTTCCAAGTTGCAACAGTTTCTAAAAACTTAAAAAACTCAAACAAGCATTGCTCTTGCAAATAAATATACGAGTTCCATATTTGCTATATATATATATATATATAGCTGACATTAAAAACCTTTATTACTAATTAACTAGATTGTAAAATATATCTACAGGGTACGTAGAATATATATACAGTATATACAAGATGTGTGACTTTAAATCTGTTTGCATAAGAATCTTTCTTCCTAGAATAAAGTGACGTCGTTTGTTGAACAACAATTTGCGGTCCAAGCGGAAAAGATAGTTTTAAGGCATGCAGTGAGGTATTACTCGTTGCACATTGTACGTATATTATATTGTTCAACTCTGCAGTTATTGCACGACTTTCACAGGTGGGGGATGATTCACGTTCATTGCCGTCTGCCTTGGCTTCGTTCTTCCCGTCTTGCTTGCGTTCTGCGACGGTTGAGCGTGACGTATCGGTTTGGATTGAACCGCATCAGGACCAGAGTGTCTCTGAACCAACACAGAACTGACCGTACTCGCGCCAGGAGGACCGGAACCTGAAGAAGAGTGGCGTAGACGTTAATGCGCGTGCGTCAACGTTATCTAGCTTTACTTTCGCACATACTTCGTTATATGATCGAATCCAAATCTTACCTGCCGTCGTAGTTTTCCCAGCAGATCTAAAATCAGCACGGCCAATTGCTTTCACGTTGATGGTCCGAGTTGGTTGGACCAGTGTTGTGGTGGGATTTATACCACCACCAGCTGTGGTTCTAACCGGCGCCGTCGTGTGTGGAACATGTGGTATACACGTGTTGGGAATGGTTGATGTGGATGGTCTGGGAAGCTGGGATCGAGGATTCATTTCATTTCCTATTAAAACGTGATATAACTGTCGTTAATGAAAGAGGTGGTTTTGGAAATTACTGGTCTTTAGCTGCGTGGAGATGACAGTTAAAGTACCTGAATCACTAGATCCTCCGGCATCCCCCCTGCCTTGGGTATCACGTGACCCAGCGGGTACATCATCGTCACCAGGTTCACGGAACATGTGCATTGCCTCCAGGTTGAGGGCGCACACTCCTCGCATGAATGCTTTCTTCATCGTCTCTTCGTAGATCTCTCGTTCTGCGTGCAACCGGCTTACCTCGACCCTGGCAGCATCCAGCGTCTTGTTTGCCTGTCAGGAGAGAGTATTGAGAAGTTGAAGGTCAACTGACCTCGTGTTTATGTCATCTGAAGAACATTCATTCACTAACGTCAAGGAGCTTTGCCTCGTATTCGTCTGTCAATTTGACACAGACATCCTGCGCTTTTGACTAAAACAGATATGAAATACTTCAGGAAAGCATTAAGTGTTGTTGTTTTAGTATTAACAAAAGGAGAAAAGATTGCTAAAAAATCCGATGTACGTTTTCAGTTTCCAGAGGTTTACCTGACAAGCCTTCTCAACTTTCTGTCTCCACCTGGTCTCCACCAGAGAACGCCAAGCACTCCAGATTTTACACTTCATCACATGATTACGATGTTTCTTTGCAAGATTGGTGCCGAAACCCTGGAGTCGATAGTTACATCTAATGAAATCACAGAGAATGTTATAAAAAATCCAAGATACCTGCTTTCTTACCTCTTTCTTCTCATCCACATGTTTTATTTTCCAAGTGTTAAATCTTCGTAGCAAATCAAACCTTTCTTTCTGCAAAGAGTAGAAATGTTTACATGATTTCACTGAGCAAATTTCACCAAGGATATCCTGTTTTCCATTGAATGGCATCTCACTTGTTTTTGTATGGCCTTAGTCATGTTGGAAATAATGTTATCCTTATGTTCCATTGTTTTCTCATAAGTGTACAACAGCTCTTTTAGACTTTCAATGTCATTTTGCTTCTTGTTCATTTCTGCTGCATGCCTAAAATTTAGTTTAATCAAATGTTAGTTTGATATCATTTTCTATCACAACTACAATTATACAGATATTGTAATTGTAAGCTACCTTTGTTTCTCTGCCCTTAGTGCATGTTTATGATTTTCCAAAAGTGCCATCTTTGATTGAGCAAACTCAGCCTTAAAAATAATTAGTTTAAAATTCACAATTTATTGCTTTTTCACAGTTTTAATAATTATCAAAAGATCAAAAGATGTAGAACTAACAAGAATATTTCTTTTTAAATCCAAACACCATGAATCCAATTGTGATTCCATTCTCACAAGATCAGTATCAACAGTTGGTGAAATCATTCTTGGACTATCATTCATACTGTTATCTGGTGTTGTTGACTGACTTGAGGTGAAGGAATTGTCAGTTTCTTTCACTTCTGATGAATTCTCTGCAGAGGTGGTTTGAAATTTCAAAATAAAAACACAATAAAATAAACACCAATTTGACTAAAAATCATAGCTGAAATACAGTTCAACCTTGAGTTAATTTATAGGTGCTTATTTTATTTATAATCTACAAACCAGTTGATCCATGATTTTTATATAGGCCAGCATCAGCCCTCATCGGAGTGGTTGGCAAACCAGTAACCTCTTGCTGTACATCCTCAGTATCCTGTTCATAAGAGCCTCTACTTGTTTCAGTTGCTGTAGATTCAGGTACTTTACTTATATGTGTTTTCATTTGTGGTACTATTACTTTTGGAGTGACTACAGCATAGCGTAGCAATTCCTCGTACTCCTTTTGCAACGAAGTTGACACCGAACTGCCAACAGATTCCACCGGTAGCTCGGGCACAGACGAAACCTCACTGCTGGTCGACATTTATCACATTAACAATTGTCAGATCTTTATAAAACACTTTTTAAAACGATAAACTTTACAGCTTCTTTGATGATCACAAGCAATATTTCAAGTTTTAAATCAAATTTCGAATACTGCGCTCTGATTGGTTGAATGCGACGTTCCTCAAATTATACCACAATCCTTTGCAAACTTGAAAATCCTAATTTATGCACGAATTTTGGTGTACTTTGGTACTATACTATTACCACATATACCGTGTGGTACACCTCAGGATCCCATCTGCCCCAACCCCAAAAAACAGCACTGCAAAAACACGATGTTCTTGTAAATATTTTATCCAGGAAGCGATAATTATACATAACAGGCGCACGACAATTCAAAGAACAGAATTGAGTCAACAATTTCGCAGGCAATTCTATCGTACGCTGACGCAAGCAAACTGTACATTATTATCAATAGACACCTTCAAATTTGCTTGAGCGCTATTCAAATAAATGACGTGCAAGGAAACGTGCAGTTGCCTCTAGCGACTAAACTATAACTTATCAAAACCGCTCTTCTCTTGTATTGTATACACTCAAGCGAAATCTAAAAGGATCTATACAAATCTATATTTTACATATGCAGACAGAGTTTACTGAGCTTGAGTAGAATTAGACGAAGGAACAGGCGGAGCTGGCCATTCAACAAGATATTTTGTGTAGCTCTTAAAATTGTCCCGCACATTTGTCTTGGTCGTGGTACACTGTTGCAGACCCTCGGAGTGCCCAACCAACCACTGGTCACACGTGCTTTTTTGCTCACGTGATACGTTATCCATCGCCCAACTTTCGAGCCATCGTTGGAAATTCTCCGTTAACTTTCGAGTGACCTTCGGGTAGTTCTGAAGTGCAGAGAATTCCAGGTTAAACTTTGTACATTGTTTAAAATACGTGAAAGCATAGAATATAGGCAGATATTGACAGATCAACAAACCTGTCTTGCTCTTGGCAACGACTTTTTCCTGTAGAAGAAATTCAGTCCACCTGCGACAAACTCTAGTTTATAGGAATTAGAAGAGATCTTGCATTCCATACCATCTTCGTTTACGATATCAGGAGGCATCTCCTCGCCCTCGCCAGCCGATGGACTGCGAGTAAAAAAGAATTTCTCATATTTTAGTCTCGATGACAGTTGCTTAAACACAGAGAGGACTTTGCAAAAAAAAGCATTGAACTGGTAATCCACTGTTTTCGTCGCCTTCTGAGAGACGAAATGCAACGTTTAAAGAAAAGGCTCAGTCTGGTTTAGTACCTGCATCCACGTTCATCACTTTCTACGCCAGTTCGTTCACCATCTGTCGCTGTCTTTGAGCGTTTATGCTTCGCAGTTCTTGGCAAAAATATTGGTTTTACTTTCAACCGTTCCGTGACCTCCGGTGGTATCTCTTGATTAATGACATATTTGTCCACGTAATCATTCCACTTCTATAAAATGATGAAAGAACTTTTTGTACCATCCCTGTTTATCTAGTATCATCCGTGTTTATCTAGTATCATCCCCGTTTATCTAGTATCATCCCTGTTTCAAGCACCATTCCTGTTAAAGTTTTACTATTATTTGTAAGGAAGGAAAACAACGAACCCCGATCACCAACATATCTTCAGAATGGGTGTCTTCCGTCTCAATCAACTCAATACTAATCGTGATAATTGTCTTGTCTTTGTGCTGTTACGAGGAGAGATCAAAATCAACATTTTGTGCCTGAGAAATAACATTTAACAATTCATATTACAGCGTGCACTCACCACGATAAACTTATAACAACACTCGTCGTTCAACAACGTTTCAGCTTTCTTTTGATACGACATCTCCTCTTCTTGGCGAAGAACCTGGGTAGCAGAGTTTCCCCCAGCCCCTTCGCGTGTTTGCTCTTGCTGATAAAGTTCCTTGACTTGAACACAAGTCTCTTCAACAACAATGGTCTGAAGCTGGACGCGAATAAAACGAAGAATACTTTAGAACTGATAGAGTTATTCAGCATCAAGTTAGTGCAGCACAAAACGAACATATTTATAGATTTAGTTTTGTTTTAAAATTCATGTTACCTGTCGTACGATATTCTGTACTAGCTTATCAATGGTGAAGACGATGTAAGCATGTACACCAAACATTTCTCTGCACGTATCCTCAAAACTGCTCATTTCCATATTGCCTGGATAAGAAAAAAGGAAACATCAATGCAAATTTACTTGTGCAATCTGTGCAGTACCGAACTCCATGCTGAGAACATACTAGGTAACTTCAAACTTTCTACAATCCTAAGCCAACAATATTTTCTAAGGAAACATCGTATTTGATATATGGAAACTGTCGAAAACACACCCAGAGAAGACATGTATATGTTATATGTTATAGAAAGTATCAAAGCTCACCGTCTAAAAGATTTCGCACCATATCAAGGAATGCTGGGTAGTATTCTTCAACGTCAATATCCGTTGGAGCCTTCAGACGTAACGCGACAGCGGTTGATTCTTTTCTTTGCTTCTTATCGGAAGCTTCACCCTCGGCGATCTCGACAGACCGCTGGTACATTTTCAACAACCGTTCGCATAACATCTGTCAGTGCAAGTGAGAATTTACATGAAGTATTCAGCATAAAAAACAGCCGTTACTATAGGGGTGACTAGAAGGTGATGACATGGTGCTGACCTGATGAAGTCTTAGAAAGATATACCAGTTGTTGTTCACAAAATACAGGTTATACGCATCATCCTGAAAACACAACGAATGTGAAACATGTATTGCCTTGAAGAAAATACCCAGTCAGATTACTCATTTTCTTCGTAGAACCTTTAGGCTGTTTCAAAACTACTCTACTCAGGTCAACTTACCGACTCAGCCTCGGGCAGTCCGTTGGAAAGCTCAGCTCTTCCTAAAACAACAAAAATATTCAATGTCACTTTTGTTCACAGTGATTGAAATTAGGCGAAATGACTATGCCCAGTAGTTACAACGAGAAATGCTACCATTGCCATTGCTGTCTTTAACAGAGTCTTCGTCATCACTCAATTCACCTCTAAAAAGAAGTGAAAAGTTTGAATACTTCATGATAAACGGGTTCATAACATCTTTGATACACGAAAACCACAAGAATGCCAGCTATTTTCTTTAGTAACTAAGGTGCACTGGACCATTATCGCTGGAGTTATCGCTTCTGTCATATACTTCTCGTACGAACCTTGGTGCAAAGAATAAATCTGGAACAAAAATGCTGAGCAAAGATTTGATCTTTGACTTGTCTTCTTTGTGTATTCCGGTCTGGCGTTTCATGTGGTGCACAATTAGACCAGCAGCATCGTCAAGAATAGATTTATCCTACGACGAAAGTGATCTGTTAGAGACATTACCAATCTTGCTGGTTGTTTTTCCTCGTGACAAGCAAGTACAAGTGGTCTCACTGCAGTTAAAAGGTCTTCAAATCAAAGACAGACTATTATGTCGCCGTTTCAACCACATACATACCTTGTATGTAAAGATCATGTGTGGTCCACTGAGATCAGCATTGCCTTCTGCCGCTTGCTCTTGTTTCTGATATGAAATATCGGAGTAAATTATTTTGCAATAATTCGTGGGATATCATCATTGCTTCAGCAAGAAGACCCACGCTCTTACCTCGTCATATATATTTTCAATTTCTGTCACCAAACTCTTGGACCGCATCGCTTTGAGGTCATTTTGCTTGAACGTCATTCCTTGGTAGTCCAGCGACTAAGAATACAAATGATATTCACAATCATGACAGGGAAGAGGAACCTGGAGTCAGATGACAGCCGCTGATAGATTACCTTCAAATAATACTTTTCATTTTGATCTCTCCATGTTTTATTGTAGAGACGCTGAGCTGCCCTCCATTCCTCCTCCTTGATCTTCAACCTGATAAGATACATCGTAGTTTAGATGTTGAATGTCTGCATGAACAATCTGATTTCAAAGAACATCAACAAAAGCGTCCATCGTATTGAAACAGCTCGTGACAAGAATCACATGCAGGCAAACGTTTTTATCGACATGCGTTCGAGACAAGTTTTTTTTTGAAACCATACCTCTTCAACACCAGCGGAACAGCAACAGCAGGTGTCTTCTTCAAGCCATCAATAATATCCGGGGCTTTATCGCCATATATCCTTTGAATTGCCTTTTTATGAATCACTTCGGACATTCCACCAAGTGAGCTATCCAGCCGGAACTTCTGCTGCTCTTCCGATGTCATATGATTCAGTTTCTTCTGCACCGCCTCAAGGACGCGTATCGTCGACAAATTCACCTCAAGAATTCCATCCAACTCGAATCTTTCATCCTCGCAACGGAAGATGTACTCTTCGTATTGTGTCTTCTTCGTTCCCAGGAATGTCGTGTCCTCGGACCAGCTCGGGAAAGACACCCAGGTGTCGTTGAGGACCTCGCGGCATAAGGCGGTACGTCCGCTGCATTTTGGTTGAGTATAACTCTTGGGAAGTGCTCGATAGCTTGTACCACAACGTTTGCAAGATGAGTAATCTACACAAGACAGACATCGCTCGGTCATAGACCTTCATAAAACGGGTTATAGACCTTCATAAAACGGGTTATAGACCTTCATGAAACCGGTTATAGACCTTCATAAAACAGGTTATAGACCTTCATAAAACAGGTTATAGACCTTCATAAAACAGGTTATAGACCTTCATAAAACGGGTTATACACCTTCATGAATCATGTTTCTGATAGGCCAATGTTCTCGGCCAATTATTGCCTTGAATCAACCGTTGGATACGGCCAACTCTCGTCCGGCTGTTTATCATATGTCCTTACCAATCTCAAGATGGGCTAGCTCTCCCGAGGTGCGCTCTTTAAAACCTGGAGTCTCCATCGGACTTGAATCTTTGTAGCCGAGAAATTCCTTAAACCATTTGAACAACTCGGGAAATTTCCTGCAAAAGGCAACGTATTATTATTTAAACACTGAAATCATCAGAGGTTCAAGAACATCTTTACATGCACGTACCCTAGGAAAGAGGACACCAGTTGAACCAAATCAGCTCTGGAGATAACTTCTTGATTGAACAACTTGAGACAACGGAGGAAATCTTCGTAAACTTTTTGACTGCGCAGTGCCTTCCTCACCTGGAAAAACAGACAGTTTAAGAAGCTGTCCTAGACTAGAAATTGTGATGTTAAACGTGGGATACCTTGTCAAAGAAAGCGAACTCTGCAACGGAACCAAAACTAGTTGGATCAGATAAACTTATCTCCTTTATTCCAGATGACTTTGACTTCACCTAAACAAAAACATAGTTATAACGTCTTTCAATTTAATGCCTGGACATCCTCGCGAATTTTGGGAAACTTTACAAGCAGCGAAACGACAAAACCTTTCATTTTCGTCAGCCTTACCTTGCCCTGGAGAGAGGTGGATGACCTTCGTATCTGGCCAAGATTTCTCTTCACAGAGTTTGAACTCACTACAGTAAACAAACCAGGTATGTTAATTACGAATCGTTTCAACTACAGACGGAATATTTGAGCTATGATTTGACAAGATCTCGACTTACATGCTTGCTTTTTACTCGGCGGACCATACGATGACGTGAAATTTGAAATTTGATGGTGAGCTCGCTTAGAAAGAGCACTCTGCGGAGAGAATTATTGTAACATGAAGAACGGGGGAAAAAGAAATATTGCTGGCAAATTCTTGAAAAGGAAACGCACCAGTCCGCTCAATTGAGCGCCATTAGCATCTGGAAGAAACTGACTGAATTCTTGAAGTAGATCTTCTTGATTCTTGAACAATTTTGCAACTTGTTTGTAAACATCGTTTGCAAGTTTTGCTTCACGCACATACATCTAAATGCAACAGAAATGCATTATATTAATTCATATTTCACTAAACAATTTGATTTCAGTTAAGCATTTCTAAGCAGTGTCTTTGACAAACCTACCTCTTGCTCCGTGATATGTGGTCCCTGAAAATAAAGGAAAAGATTCAATGCTGTAGCCAGATATATGCTAAATTAAGTAAATTTATTTGCAGCAAACCTCAAGCATCAAATATGTAGGAAAACAGATTCAAGATGATTCTGTATACATACGTCTGGGTCTATGATCCCTCCTTGCGAGGCAGCCTATATCAATATCAACAATCATAGATGTTATTTTAGACTTGGATTTTCCTTTTATTATCAAAATTCTAGAAAACATACATCTTTGATGTTCTTCTGTTCTTTCTGATATGTGTGCAGTATTTCCAAGAAAGCCTTGTACGTATCTGGCTGTCCTTGGAAGCGAGTCTAGAAATAAACAATGAAAACAAGTCTTCATTGTTGTCTCCTGAAGCCTTGACAGTTGGTGAATGATGCACATGCCTAGTGTTCTCAATTAGTTGACACAGTAATAAAGTTTTTTACCCATTTATCCACATACCTTTATTTTATTTACATAATTGATTGCATGGTTGAACTCAACGGGTTGTTGAGGCTGAAAATCAATCATGATACAGGTCAGAACACGGCAGTGGTAGTTCTAATAGTGGACCAAGTAATGATGGTGACATGCACAGACAGATAACAATGTTATGCAACTCTGTACATACCTGATTTTGATTTGTTGGAGGTGAATGAAGACCTCTTGGCTGTTGTTGATTCTGATGTGGTATTGGCTGCTGTGGTTGTGGAAGATTGTTGGTTGGAAGTTTCCCCTGTTGTTGCGACGTTGCATGTTGAGATAATGTTGACAACTGCTGGTGCTGGGACTGCTGTTGCTGGACATGAGTTGTGGGAGGTTGTTGAGAGGTTTGCTGTTGCTGCGGTTGTTGTGACGAAGGATGGAGTGGGAAGGATGGAACATGGGATACATTATGAGCACCATGATTGCCCGTCAGGCTGATCTATTTTCCAAAAGATGACAAACTATAAATTACTCTCCCCACATCTTGTCACACCCCTCAAATCACACCCCTCAATGACATCCCTCAAATCACACCGCCGTAAATGCACCAGCATCTCCTAAGTACAGCACCTACCGTATGGACAGACTGACCAGTCAATGACGTCTTCTGTAAAGTTGTTTGATGTGGGGTTGTGTAAGATATAGAGTTTGCGTCATTAGGGTGAACTTCTATTTTATAGCCAGGAGGAAGGAAGGTGTTAAAACCAACAATCAATTCAGGATGACCTTTGAAGAGGTTGGAGACACGGCTGATTACACCAGGTGTGTCGATACTTTGAGAAAAAGAAATAAATATAAGAGATGATTAGTTATAACAGTTTGAGGACATTCTTTTGATGTTATTGTAAAACTCTGAGCATATCTGTAAGCACCTTTGCGATTTAAATTCTTTCATGATATCCAAGAAGTCGTTGTACACTTGAGGTTGATTACCAAACTGCATTTTCACTTGATCAAGGTAGGACAAAGCATCTTCAACCTGAAGCAAAGATAGAAATGGTGGTTTAGGAACATTGGCATGTTTCTTAAAGCAGTAATCAGCACTTGGTAGAATGTTGACGTTGATCACACATTTGACTGACCTTTAGTCGTTGAAATTGTTGCTGGCCGGGGCCCCCTGGTCCCTGCATATGAGCTTGTGCTCCAGGCGGGTGAATGTGAGCCTAGAAATAAAACATTTCATATCATATAACTGATTAACTTTTCGTTTCTCAACAAGATGAATCACTTGAAATTAAATTTTCATGTATTGTTTTTACCTGTGGATGAGAAGGCAATGGACTATGACCTTGTCCTGGACCAGCAGGTCCTGCAACCCTAGAGAATAAGAACAATCAATCGCACACAGAGGAAATTGGTGTGACAGACTACAACACGAAGTATTTTAGTACGGCAGACAAATTTTTCCCTTCAAAACACAACACTCTCCGTACTTGATTTCAAGCTAGTAAAAGTAAGATAACTTACGGATAATTTTGAGGAGGTATCTGTGGATTAGACTGATACTGTCCCATGGATACAGCAATATTTTCTGGTATAGGATCAAAATTACCAGGAAGGCCAACTGGAGCTGGTGCTAAAACTGGATGCGAAAATCCCCTGTGTTGACCGTAAACTTTCTCGTGCTCTTCTCGAGTTCTTTTCATCTTATCCAATCACATGGCCCTGATGCTTGCACACCTGCCAACAAACGAAACCGTTACAGCCTACAGGTCTGCGAGACACAGCAGGAATGTTAGGGAAAATTGCAAAATGGGAAGGTAATATTGTATATCATCTAGTATTGCATTGTTTTGCATATCTGTACTGTACACTTAGGGGCAGAAATATCCTTAAAACATCTGTTATGACATGTACTATAAAGTGTCAAATATGTTGGCAAATTCCTATCATGTTTGAAAACTGAAGTAGGCATATTCTGTGTGTTAGAAAAGTAAATATCCGTGAATATTTTACGTATCCCCCACGAGTTTTCACTCCTGCACAAGCAGTAACATAGAAAGGAAACCTTACTCAATCATTTAACTACATAGTTAGCAAACAACGTTCACAGATGATACGGTTAAGAAAAGGATTTGAACAAGGTTTGAAATTTACAAACCGTATTGATGTTGACAGGAAGTGAAGCGGTGTAATTTTGAATACTATTCTACGTTACATTCTTTTTTTTTCAAAGCAACAATGTTAAATCTTAGATCTGGGTAGAATTGTTGTGTTTGCATCGTTGTAAGCGAATATTAATAGTCCTAAGGTATATAAAAGGAAGCTTTAGACCACAAATGCTGAACGATTCCGCGAATCGAGTGGATAAAAGTCGTATTTACATACGTCGTGATATTTTTCAAACCTCGAAAAAAATTGAGCAAAAACGAGCAGTAAGTGCATGGATATCCCGCTTTGTGTGATTAGCTAAAAAATACAAGATTCCCTGAGGGAATACAGGCATAGTTTACTGGAAAATATGCCTATATAAACATCAGAATTTTGCATGAAATGCAAAAAATGCAAGACAACAGAACGCAGGTCGATAAAGAATTCTTAACGTTTACGAAAATGATTTAAGGAAATAAGCGCAGATTTCGCTGGAAAAATCATTCAGCATTTTATTTTCAAGAAAAAAATGCAAATTATTTGCTATGATTGCAAAGAAATCGAGAGATTACTCACCAAAGGCCAAGATATCTTCAGAAATTTTTACTTCTCTCAAAGCGAAGATCCATCACAACATGACGTCAGGAACAATACCGGAAGTAATCTCGTCGAAATAGCCAGTTGACCAATCAGATTGCTCCGTAGATATTTTCAAAACATTCGCGCGTCGAGAATATTTCCGCTGTTTCCGCCGTCAAAAAGGAAACGGATTAAAAAAAAATTTAAAAATAGAATGGTCCTTTGTGGAAACATTACTCACTGAGCTGTATAGCTCAGTGGTCATCGGAAAGTCAGTGGTGACCACTGGTCCATGGTGGTCACAGACAGAGAGAGTTAAGTTTAAACTGTGAATTTTTACTTCACTCCGAAGTCTTCCTCCATACAGAATAGAATCCTTATAACGTAGCTTATTTGTCTTCTCATTGGTCCTGTACTTCGGGGCAACGATCCCTTAATACCTTTAATATAATTATAAATAAATGAATGCTATCTTTCTTTTCCCTACTCCACTCGAAATATTCCAGGGGAGAGTGTTGTTTCATGTTTTTTCGGAGAGGTTGCTTATCTTTTTATACAAACGTGAGCAATGGACACTTTTCTATACAGTTGGGGACAAAAAACATACAAACTTTGATGTTTCTTCCCTTCACCTTTCATGACGATGATAGAGAAATGAGAAATGCCGACATTCTGTTCATCTTCGTAAACTCTAAAATAACGAAATCTAAAATGTTGTGTTAGATTTCACTGCTTCATCTATCATACTACAAAACAGTCAAGTGGCATGCCGGAATAACGCCACCTAAAAAGTGAAATATGAAACCATTTCTGTCACAGCTGAGTCAGCTTAAATTAGATTTGTTTTAATCCGCCCACAATAAAAGAAAACGCCGTCCGTGAAACAATATCACATTTAATAGATACAGTCATTAAAATCACGGTGATATTTAAGCGACTATTGTGTGGAGATTCGTCAAGAGTAGGTTAATAGCCGCGATATCACATAATACTTTTGTCCGTACTTGACTGAATGTGCTGACACCTGACAAACAGCCAGTGATTTAATTAAAAATTCATCGCAAAGTGATGAGGTGCTAGACTGATCCATCAGCTAGCAACGTACGTTCAATATTGACGGCTAAGCCGGCGTTTGAACAACTTTGATGTAGAGCAAGGACCACGCGAAGACGGCTGAAGAAACCCTTCATTCAAAAATGGCTGCCGGGAATTTTGTAGTTGTGAGAAGAACAATATCGCAAACCATTGTTCCGTTGAAGGAAGTGGAAGAACGATTGTTGCTGAAGAGATCAAAAGCAAAAAGTACAAGCCTCGGGTTTAGTTCTACAAACAATGTCGCTCGATGTGGCGTGAATAATACACAGGACACAAAGAAGACGCAGAGATCATTGGGTCTAGAAAGAAGCCGATCAGAAGTTTGCTTGCGTAGGAAGAATTATGTTCGTGATATTTCGCTGGATGTTTTTGAAGAACGAAGAGACGAAGGGTTGGTGAAACCGGTTGTACGAAGACGAGACGCATCTCAAAGAAAAGTAAATACCGCCAGGCCGCAATCGGACTTCTTTCCCGAATTCACAGTCGAAAGTAAAAGAACGGAACGAGATCGTCGGAGTGTCGATGAAAAAACAGCAGTTGATCTGTCACAAGATCCCGGAAAACGTTTGGGGCGATGTATCGCTACGTTAAGACGTGAAATGGTAAGACAGCTCTTTCATTTTTAATTTCAAAGAACCCGCTAATGAAGGCATACTTTATTGCAATTTAGCGTTTATTAAGGGTTGGTAGTGATAAAATGATAGCCATCAAGCCGTGGCGGTTTCCGCATGAGCTTAAATCAATTTTACTACGGATAATAGCCGGGGTATTCAACATGCGCGGTTGATTTCAAACACACGTCTTTGGTCAGAACTCAGAAGTGGAGCATTGTAGTCATACCTTAGTGCTTCTAATGTCAACAACGTAGCCTCGAGTCACAACAAACACTAATCACTACAGTTAAGTTAGGTAATTTGAGGTCACTGAGATCCGGTGGGTTTTTCAAAGATATTCGAATGCCTACATTCGGCTGGCGTTTATGGTGTCTATTTTCTGACGGCCTTCCTAAAAGCTTCATTAAGTATTATCGTTTAATAAGACTCGATAGCCACACCTGATATAAGCTGCTGAATATAGGTTGGGTAATCTAAATTAGGAAGATAGGATTGAGGATGATCCTATTCGATGTACTTATATCTGCTTGTTCTCAACGTTTGCATATTTTAGCACATCAGGTCATTATCCTTGATATTCGATCGTTATGACCTAGAAAAGCTGTTAGCAGGAAATTACTCGTGTAAAATCGATAAAACGTGATTCTTATATATGGAAAGATAAAAAGACAATCTGTGTTGAAAGATAAGAACGAAACATCTTCTTTTAAACGTGTTTGTCACGCATGCGTTGTATAGATGCCCAGGTAGAAATACTTCAGAACGACTTTGACTTAGAAGCTCCATGATTTCCAGTGTGCTGACTGTTGCTGTTTTACGATATTTTTGCAAAATTGTTGTACCTGGCATAGCTTCATTTTTGTGAAGTAACAAAGGAGGGAAAGTGCTCTTCAATCATTTCCAGCCAAACCTATAACTCGATCAGGAAGCACGATTAATAAGTGTTTGGCAAATGGAAAGTAAATGTATGCATGTCGGGGGGTTGACAATGAAAGGTTTAATTTATATATTTGTGTACATTCCTACATTACCGGCTAATCCGTTGGCAGCAAGCAAGACCACAGGACAGCAATCAACTCCTTGAGGCAGGCTTTGCTCGTTTTACCATTTTTTCTGATCTCTAACTCTTGAAGAAGGGTAATAAAAATAGTTAATTGAGATTCACTGGACTGCATGGAAGTGAAATTGCCACTGTTGATTGAAGGAGATTGTGTTCGTTCTTAAGTTTGATGCAGTATTTACAGTAATACTGTAAGTGAACTATCGTCGTTCAGTATGCAGTCATGCAGATGTACTCAAATGTTATAAGAAAAGAACCTATAATGCAACTATAAACGACGTTTTCCGCGCTAATCCATGCTCGATACTGTTCAGTTCCATTAGAATTCGTTATCGAACGGATTCTCTGCTCCATTCGGAATTTTGTCTTTGCTATTAAAATGGTTTTTCAAACTAAATGATTGTATACGCCTAGTTTTTATGACGTCCATATGGAAGAGATGAGACAATAATTGGCGATGACAAGGTCTTGTAACAATTAAACCATCTTTAACCTTCCCGGCATGCGATATTTGGCAAATATATGTTTCCACACCCAGACTTTTTTTACACATAAAAGACATGCATGTTTGTATCCGTAAATTTGATAGAAAGACTCATTTTCATACAATTTACTTCAATTATTTTATCATTTACTCTCTTGCACGTAGTTGGACGGTAAATTCAAAGTTGCATTACTGATCTGTGCCTAAATGACCACGAGAATTGCGTGGTGAATTATTTTGTTTGTGATATTAAAATACAGCTTTGCAAAAACAATTCGTCACGGGATGCCCTTTGAGTGTTGACTTTAGACAATGAAATGAATGTACTTAAGGCAAACAGAGACAGGCATAATTTCCTAAAAACAACACCAAAAAAATACTTTTTTGTATGGAGCAATGTAGATTGTTTAAACGCGAGAGGTCAGAATTTAGGTAAAGATGATTTCAAATATATGACCATATTCATTTACTAATGATCTAATCGTTCTGAGAACCATATCATTCTCTTCGTTTTTATCAGCTAGTTCATTAAATTATACCACTTGCTTTATCTATCCTCTTTGTTTATTAACGTGTCAGTTTAAGGTTATTAATTTGTCTATATTTCTACCTCTCATAGATGTCGCTACGCAAGCAAGATCAGGCATTGTTAACACAGCTGACATCACTTAACCAACATATCCAAGATCTCAAGGTAATCGCCGCTGCACAAGGGGGTATATTCGGAGCAAACGACGAACACGAAGACTCGCCTGAAAAATCCCTGACAAACCCTTGTAGTCCTAACAAGGATACTCTCATCAATGGAAGAACGCGCACAAAACAGGAGCGAGAGAAGAGCTTTGAAACTCGCAAGAAAGAGCCGCTTTCAAAACCCCTAAAAAATGAGCAACAAAATTCGAGCAAGAAGATAAAGAATGGCGTTCATGGACTACAAGAGACATCCTTCGAGTACGTCGAAGCCCCCCGCGATACTTCAACACCGAGACAAGTCCGTCCAAAGGCGAATGCAAGCCGATCACAATCGACGACGATTGTCGATGTTTCTCGCAAGAGAGTTGCATCTCTGCAGAGGTTGGAGAGAAGATCGTTGAGTTGCCAACTTTTAGATTCTGGACGGCAGGATAAAGTTGTTGAAGGAAAAAACACACGAAAGACATCAGAGCCTGCACGGAAAGAACGTCCTTTGTCACAAATAGACGCTGACGTGAGCAAACAGGCAAAAGATGTCAACATCCGGCAAAAGTCTTTATCTTTATCCACATTACGACATGTGACGAAGACCACGGAAGGGTCGACGAGTGACAGCGAGTGTTCGACATCGGGATGTTACGGAGGCTCGTCGACAGGGAGCGACGTCGAATTAGAGCGAGGGGTGGGATGCTTCAACGCAAAAGGCTCAATTGAATGCAGAGAAAAACTCGATAAAGTTTTCGAACTAAACAGTCTAAACTTACAACCTCTTGGGAAAAGATACCTGGCGTTGAATGAACAAACACATTTTCGGAAAAAGATTGTTTCAGTTTAAGACTTCACTTACTCTAGAAATATTAAGGTTGATCTGTTTAATTCGTTGATGAACAAAAAAATTATATTAAGAAAAGATGAACCAGTCGAGGAAAGATTGAACTAGATGATATTCAGTATATGAATGTCATCCATTCTGACCTCGGAAGTAAATTATTTTTGCCCATATTTAGTCTTACATAGGAATTAATTTTAGTTGCGTATAGATTTGATTTTTTATTGAACTTTACTTAAAGTATACGCTATCTTAATTATTGATTGTTATTGTGACATCCATCATGCAAAGCGCGTACAGTGGATGAGTTATGCAGACTCCAGTTTTATAGTCCTTCGTCAGATTCATGAATATCAGTTCATGATAACTCCAGGTTTTTGTTGTTACTTTTTTATGTCACCCACACGTGTAGTTATCTAATTGGTCAATCATTAGGGCGCAGTAACAAGGGAAAGTCCCTAGAAAGGAAAGACAAGTGAATCAAAATGATGTAATGGATAGTGTTTCTTAAGATAGCCATTACAGTTGAATGTTACGAAAAGACGGTCCTTAATTAAAGTCCTTATTCAAGGTCCTTAATTTATTCTTTTAAGGTCCTTAATTTAGTCCTTATTCAAAGCGGTGTGATGAGGTAATTTCCCTCCTCTCTTCTCAAGGGACTTTCCCTTGTCATTGTATCTCAACTATATGAACCAATCAAATGGCTACCTGTGGCTACTTAAAGGCAAAATATAGCCAAGATTGTTCAGTATTTTGGTGATACGTCTCTCCCTACGAAGACTGAAAAAATTTGATGGGCAAATTGGAAGTAGAGATGGCTTCATCAAGCAATGAAGGTAAATGTTCCGTACAACGCGTGTTCTTTGGATTTCTGTTTTGTGTTGTCGTTGGTCTGGTTGGTTTTGTTTGCTATCTGTCTCTAAAAGACATCGAACACGATGATGAAATCAATTCTCTTAAGAGAGAGAACGAGTTTAATCTACGGGAAGCAAATAAGACGAAATTTAGAATCCAGACAGCGTTGAAGAACGACTTGCGGCAGTACATAGACAGTCGAACGTCAGCCAATACGAAGGAACCTATAAAAACAGCAGATGACAACATAACTGTACCAAGCATCGGTCCAGAGTTACGTGCGAGTTTTAAGGACATGAATGAACGTTTAAATGACGTTATTTCTATGATCGGAAATCTAAGCGAAGGTGTTTTGAGAATGAACAGATCTTCAGACTCGAAAATAAATCATTTGCGCATCAATATAAAGAAGGCGAGATATGACCTTATAAGACTTAGCATCGAGATGATGCAACTAAATAACACTGTACATAGAAAACTGTCCGACTTCGTTTTTACCGTCAAAGACGTGAGGAAAGATTTTGATACGCTAAGGAACTCCACCGTGACAAATGTAACTCAACTTTGGAGACACTGGAACAAAACGAACCAAGTTATTGAGGATGTTATTAAACTCATGACTCGACAAAATGAAACGTTACACTTCAAAATAGCGTATCACTCAGATATCCTGTATTCGAAAGTCAAAGATCTTGAGAAAAAACAATTGAAATTTCATAACAAGACTAAGACAAGCTTGAACAATCTTCGCGGCGACTTGAACAGCACTCGCGACATTTTACAGGTAAATTTCCACAATAAAATCACCGAGGCCAACAAAAGCTGGCATGACGCACTTCAAGTTTTTGAGAATTCCATTGCGTCTTTGCGATCCTCAGTTACAAACCTCAGTCGAAAAGTGGCCACGGTCGAGAACGATTTACAAACAAAGATCAACGATATTGAAACGGAAGAGAAAAAAATGAAAAAAGATTTCGAAGAAATTAGCAAAGATTACCAGGAACAGGACAGGAAACACGATTCTGCTATTTCCAAACAAAAGACGGAAACGGAAACACTGAAAGAAAAGGTCGCGAACCTGGAACAGGAAAAAATACTGAATTCAAGGAGGGAAGCCCAGCAAAAAAAAGATTATTAAAGATCAAGAAGAATTGAAGAACTAAAAAACGGAGCGAATTCAATAACTGGATCTAATATAAAGTTCATTGTTTTAACTGTGTTTATCGCGCTTTTCCATAATTATCTAAATTGATAATTAAAACTATGGTTGATTATATTAGAGTAATTAGACTGATAAATACTGATATTTAAAAATTGTAATATAGAATCACAATGGTTTAAGAAGTACTGCGTGACATAGATGAAATCATAAGGTGTATAAATATGGCGGATTTTACTTTTTAGTTGATCAAACATCTAAAGACGGTATAAGGCAGTGAGGCTACTGCATGGAAGCACTCCACCGGGTTGTTTTGGATCAATGAAACGACTTCTCAAGCTCATCAATAAATCACAAATAACCAAAAACTCAATTCATATAATATTACCTGAAAAGCAAAACAAGGGCTTCGACCTTCCTAACGAAGTTTCTTCGCTCGAAACGTCGAAGTTCTTGTTGTGTTTTTGAGGTAAATTGATCCGAAACAACTCCGATATCAACTTAATAAAACACCTGTTAGCAAGGCGTTGCAGTATCTTCATTAATTTCATGTAAATAGTCCTTAAAATGGCAGGTTTAATATATTTGTAATTTTCTGTGTCTAACACTATAATAAAGTTTTTTTATGTGATCGACACTGTTTCATTGTGTTTATTTTAAATTTTCATTGATTAATGACCAGGTGAGTTTTTTAGCACTTCTTTTGTCTATATATATGTTGTTTAGTTCATGAGCAAGATCTTAGATCTTACAGGAATATTCCCCGGAAGACATTCGGGAAAACTACAATAATTTTGAACATGATCTCGAAGTAAAGTCTACTGTCCTGATAAGCAGCATTTGGACCTAAGCAGCACAAGTTTTGAAAATTGCAACTTAAGGCATTCTTATCAAACCTGTTCAACACCTGCTGTGGCTACCGTATTTGGCAGCAACTGAACACAAAGTTGTTTATGCTAGACTGCAACACGCCTTCATGTTTTGGAGACCGTTTCAAGACGGTGTTGTCGGCATTAGGTGTAAATTCATGAATCTATATGGGGCACGAGGCACATCTATCATATTTCAGATTGGTTGGAAGGAATGAGCGGAATGTGCTGAACAGCTTTCAAGCTCAGCGGGGAACGAGTTGAAAACACTTGAAATTGCATTTTGTGCATATTCAGCAAACCCATTAACGTCAATGATGAAATAAACAGTGCTCACGTATTAGGTACTTTCCCAATATATTGCACTGTCACGCTGAACCAATCAGATGGCAACAAGTGTGACACGTGCAAACGTAGCATAGAGGGTTTTAAGCAAAATATACCCGAGGTTGTTGGGTATTTTGATGTTAGTCATCCCGAGAAGAGAATATGGAGAAGTTTCAGGTATCCTTGCCGAGCCCGTGGCCATGCGAATTCCAAAACAAGAACTCATCAGAAAAATCATATTCTAAAGCATGTTTCTTGAAGGTACTTCTAATCATCTTGTTCATTCTTATTATCTCTGGTGGTTTTATCTATCTTGGCGTGGAGTTCGACAAACTTCGTGGAGACGTTAAATTCCTCGAAGCAAGATTAGAACAGAAATCACGGAATGACGACGAGAATTTCGCGTCTATTTCAAGGCAAATGAAAGCAATGAATGACACAGAAAAATCCTTGCGACGGTTCACTAACGAACAAATGAACACAATTCAGGAGGAAATTCGCCAGATGAAATCTCCCAATTCCTCTAACACTACACGGATGACTGAAGGGAATTGGAGACCGAACTTAAAGCAAATCCAAAGTCATCTGAATGCTCTTCTTTTAACAGTCCGAAGCCTAAGCAAAGATGTGTCAAGAATGAATGTTTCGTCAGACTCGAAGTTGTCTCGTTTGAGTGGAAGTTTGAACGCCATTCAAAATGACATCATCCTTTTGCAAAACGATCTGGCGCAATTGAACAAGTCCGTACATTTAGATATAACGTCATTCGTTACATCGGCTGTTGATGACCTGAGACAAGAGTTGAATAAAACCATAACGAAACTTAGACGTCTTTCGGAGCGAACAGACGAAGAGATTGATGATATCGTAAAGTTGTTGTCACAGCACAATGAGACACTTCATTTCAAAATAGCATATCATTCGGATGCCCTCCTCTCTGAAGTGAAACGCGTTGAAGAAAAGCAAACGAAGTTTCATAATGATACGGCCAAAACCTTAAAGAATATTCGCAACGAGCTGAACCAAACGAGGGTGAAACTACAACAGAACATCGTAAACGAAATCTCACGAGCTAGCGAGATTCTTCACAAAGAGCTTCGAGTAGTTAAAGATTCAGTTGGGTCCGTACGTGCGTCCATTAAAAAGATAAATGCCAGTGTGAACGGAATTAAAAATGATCTTAAAACACACGTAAACAATCTTCTCGACAAACAGAAAAAAATGAAAAAGGATTTCGCCGAAACCAAAGCAAAGTTCCAAGAAGAACACAGGAAATATGACGCAAGCAATGCTGATCGGGTGGCAAAGATGGAAAGTATGAAACGAAGGATTGATAACCTGGAGCGAAATCGAAGACTGGACTCGACTAAGATTAACAAGCAACAAAAAGAGATTGATGATTTAAAACGGGAAGTTACTGGCGTTAAAAATGGAGCAAACAGAATCCTGAGAGCAGATGTTAGACTCATTTTCTTGTTTGTCTGTGTGATACTAGGATACATGCTTTAATCAGGCTGTACAATAAAACTACAGGAGCTCCACAGGGACCTAGAGCTTGATTGGCTGATAGTTTATAGGCGTTGTTCATTGTGGTCTTCATGTCTTGGCATATGTAAATAACATGATTTTTAGGTTATTAAATATTAGATCACTTTAGAGATAAATAATGCATGTAATGTTAAATTACGAGAGACATAAAAGATACATAATTAAGAATACTTTTAATACTCATAAATAATGTTCTGTGTTGTATATATTCTAATTTTTTTACTCAGTTAATAAAATGTTTTTGTTATCAACAAATGTTGCGAAGGGGTCTGTCTCACTGTGTGAGCAGACAATTTGAGTCAAACAGATTAAATCTCCTGGTGATGTTTTAGTCAATCCTCTACTCCTCCTGAGATCAAAATTTTATTTTATACAGGTAGAACCAAAAAGAACTAGTGAACCGATGAACACGCTAGACATGATGCGAATATACTAACAATTATACAGGGTTGCATTGCTAAACTTTTAGCCAAATCTTAACTTTGCTATGGCAACTATCAAAGAATATCAACACGACTACACAAGGTGCTACTACCACGCAAGCCCCAATACACATCTTCTCTGAAGTTACATAACCTTTCATGAACGTGCCTTATAGCAGTTTTCAGTAGCCTGTTTCAAACGTCTTGCTCCATACGACGAACGCATTTAAAACAATAGTTAATCTATTGAGAAGCTTTTATTTTCTGCCGTTATTGGAGTGAATTCTACTTCAACCGTATCGTAGTCACTGGTCCGGCTGAGATCGTAGCAAAGCACAGCAATTGATGGGTTTAAAACAAAGGAATACGCTTCGTTTCACTACGTTAAAATTAAAATGCATGGAAACAGGAAAACTGCATTGTTCGTTGGAATGTTCTTTGAGGCAATAAAAGAAGGTCGAATTCGAGTTGAAACTTGAAACTAGAAATTCAGACTTGGTAGTCTTCAAGAAGGACGAAGTTTAGGGAAAAGTTGGAAGAATCTTGCTCAGGTACATATGTGGTCGTGGTTAAAAGAACTCGTTGGCTTGATCTTTGGCTTTGCAAATTAAATTCCATCGTCGTGTTGCATGATTTGACTGAATAGAAGCCAGAAGAGATTAGCGCCTTGAGGCATATTTCTAGTTGATTTTCACTGCTATATCTTGTATATTTCGATTCAAAATATAAAATGCGAGTGAGCTGTTAACTTGATTTTGTTTTTCCTTGCTTATTTTATCACAGAACGAGCTACGGCGCCGAAAAATGGGGAAGGGGAAACACAAACGCTTGCTCGCAGGGAATAATAGGTATTGTTCTAGTAATATATGTGTATTTTACATTTGTGACTTGAAATAACACTTACTTGTGCTTCGACTAGGCCTTATACGTCAGTATTTTTTTGTTTTACCGAGGTTTTCTCTTCTCTAGAATGAAAGAATTGTTGGAGTCAAGAGTGTCGGAGCTGCCTTGGGACATTATGCACGCAAATACAACTCGATTTGATTTCGGTGAAATATGCATGAGTAAAATTGCATGGCATTTGGCTTGTTTAGCTGAGATATGCCTAAGCACTCTTCTATTTACCTCCTTGATTTTCAACTTTTCGACTTGTTGTTTTTGCATGAGTTTTTACCAGGTCGTGTCAAGCGCATGCGGAGTAAATACAAGTGATTCTGGGGCCCCAATCACTTGTATTTTTCTCCATCTTGAACGACAATAGTCCGGAACAAAAACTATCGCTCAGAGAGCGTTTAAAACTTCAAAATGCATGAGAAATTGTATTTCTAGAAGGAGATAATAGTCGAGTGTTTTAGTTTTCTCAGGAGCATGAAGAAAACGATGAATATTTCCTACAAAACGTGCATGACATTTTGTATTCGCGTGCGCGATGCGAAGGCCTTGGACGAGTGGCGTAGGAGATGTTGGAGGTCTATAATCGGGTTTTGATCATTTTATTCTGATGCTTTCTACATAAGTGACATTTCTCCTTTGGAAATTAATGATATTGTAATTTTCGTATGCCGTTAATAGATCAGATGATGATGGATCGTCGCAGGATCAGATGATGGATGGATCGTCGCAGGATCAGATGATGATGGATGCTCGCCGCAAGATCACATGATGGAGGATTGTCGCAGGATCAGATGATGGATGATCGCCGCAGGATCAGATGATGGAGGATTGTCGCAGAATCAGATGATGATGGATCGCCGCAGGATCAGATGATGAACTATCGTCGAAGGATCAAATGATGAACGATCGTCGCAGGATCCCATAATGGAGGATTGTCGCAGAATCAGAGAATGGACGACGAGACGGGTGTACAAGTAGAAGCTGGTTGAGGTATATACTATAGATATACTAATTAGAGTAATGCATGCCTAATGTAAGTGCATGATTTATTTTCGGATCCTCTTGGTGGTCTAACCTAGTATATTCACACATCAAGTGACATTCCACCCTTTTCGACAATGCATGATAACAGCAAATTTCTCACAGCTCTTATGCATGAGGACGTTTTCGAGCTTTCTCGATGAAACATTCCTAGTTTTGTCACTTGCGTGTGAACGACTTAACAGCTGCGGAAGATGCATGATGGCGTTGAAATGAAAGTAAGAAAGCGCAATTAGCATGAGCGACGCGACGCGCGCGCAACGAGAAAATATTATCAAATTCGTATTAGCCTAATTTTAGATTAATACGAAGGTAATCGCGAGTACTTATATGATTATATAAGTTTCTCTGTTCAGCCTGTTATAATGCGACCATTTCGAAAGACCGTCCGTCAATGGCAACAAAAATTATACTTTAATCTGAAATTCGAATGATTAAACTTTGAAACGAAGAAAAAATGACTATTTGATGATTGCACACCAACACTCTTCAATTTTGCTTGTACTTCTATTAATTTTTGGGATTGTATTTTAATCCCTGAAGATCTGTTTTATCTAGAGCATGAAGGAAATAAACTTAATCTAATCATTTTGACTAATTTAAAGTTTCTATAAGAAGTAAAATTTACCTAGCTACTATATTACATTGATATATTACATTGATATATTACATGGATATATTACATTGCATAACAACACGTTTATAATATTTGGGGGGGGGGGGATCTGGGGATATAGTGTTTAACTGCAGGTTAATATTGTATAGTAACCTCTTGCATATAAAAAGTGAACCTCTTTATAAAGAGGCTTTGTATTTGACACACTTACTATGTTTTTTATTCCTTGCACGCCACACCGTCGAGATGTTGTTGAAGAAGAACGCAACTGTCTGGAGCAACGAAGCAAATCAATTTCGCCACTATGTTTACCAAAGGTAATTATACTGTACGAAAGGTGAGGTACATTATTGCTTAGCCATATTGAGTAAGTTGCATGCTGAGCCCGATTACGTTTATAAATTACTTTATAAATAAAAAATATATACACGGTGCATGAGGAGCATGTCTTAAGAAGGGGCGGGTAGTAGAAGAGTGTTGTTGTCTACATCGGTTTCAGATGAAAAAGCATGCACGGAGCATTTCTTTTCAAAAAAAGCATGAGCATAAAATGCATGGTATTTGAATAATTGAAATGATTTTTGTTGCCATTGTCGGACAAAGCGCAGTTTATTAAATTTTGGCAGCCTGCTGCACGTTTTGCAATGAACGATATGCGCGCTGCGCACGTTATAGACCACCACCAGGATTCGATTGACGAAGCTCAAGAATTGCATAGCTGTATGCAATTCCTGGGAACTAAAACGGTCAACTGTGAGTAAAACCTGAAGTATCATTGCGGACGATTTCTAAATGAAAATACCAAATTCGGACCGCCGGTCAGGTAACCTGAAATTCAGGTTGCTTTGGAGGGTTTTTCTCCGGGCACTCCGGTTTCCCTCCTTTTCGTTTGGCTTTAGAAAACAGTGTCCATGTTTGGGGCCAAACCAAAACGTGTTCGTTGATAGTGAAGAGATTTCTTGCACATTTTCACAGCATCGAGAAATCCTATTTGTGCCAGAACTAGCTGTTAAAAACGCGAGTGTTTGGCTTCTGGGTTGGATTCCCAGAACACTGTCCCGCTCAGTTTTATAGTTTATGTGCTTTTGTATCGCTGTTTTAATACAATCACAAAAATTACATCTATCAGTGCGGAAATATCTATGGAAAAAGATATCAAAATTTGTAAACAAGGGATTTAAAATGGTGATGAGAATATTAGCCCAGGGTTAAGCTATAATCGTCTTTTGAACAACCGTCCTCAGAAGTGCGAGTGTAGTTTACACTCCGAGTTTGGCAAACAGAGAACATGGCAATCTAGTTTCTTGAGCATTGCCTTTTTATCGCCAAGAATTCTCGTGAGAACGAGATTGACAAGCCAAACTGACATCATGCTTTCAGGCAGCATACCTACCCACAGGCAACCTAGTGTGTGACAGGTTATATCGTTGTCATGTGGATAAATAATTATTAGGTTTCAAAAGTCAATCGATGACGATGTACTCGCTTGCTGTTCATGCAATATCCAACTATACAAGCGCGCCATTGACTTATTTCGTATCCTTCCCGTACACAACATAATGGATAGTAGCGACACAGTGGCTATGTTTTTACCAGAGGAACCTGAACGTGACCGACGACGCTGTAAGCCTGGTAGACGATTTTTTTGTATTCTTGCCGTGGTAGCTTTTTTTACGCTGACGATATTATTTAGCGTCGTTCTTAGTCTTTCCGTCATGAACACAAATAAATACGAATCTCTCAAGGAAGGGTATGTCGGAAACGGTGAGCTACAGCCACTGATCGACAACAGAATCAACGACTCCGAATATACATGGAAACGCAAAGTTGACGCTCGTCTCTTGTCTATCGATCGCAATATGCTAAATCAAGTTGAAGCTGACAAAGTCTTACGATCTCACGTGAACAACAGTTTTGAGAATATAACGCATGATGTGGAAAATCTCATTTCGTCTGTGGATAATTTGACAAGCCGTCTATCAAGAGTCAATTCATCCTCTGCGCAGAAAATGCTTCATTTGCGCACCGCATTGTCGGTCATTAAGGATGACCTTAGCCAGACGCGCGCAGCATTGACGAAGGTTAATGAAAGCTTACGAAACGATTTGTCTCAAAGTGATAATTCTTTTCGGGCGTCGGTGAAAAACCTCAAAGACGAATTAGGCAAATTGGTCGGGTCAACTACATCGGAAAACAACGAACTTTGGGACTATGTTAATAAAACCAGTACTGAGTTCAATAAAGCTTTGGATGACTTGGCCCACCACAACACCACTCTACATTTAACAGTCAAATACCGTTCTGGTATCTTCAATTCAAAAATCGATATGGTTAAGAAAGAACTTGAACTTTTGAGTAAAAATACACGCTCTTTAGAAAGAAATACTTGCAGGATGTCGAGACAATGTTGAACAAGACACGGAGCAGTCTTGAAGCGACATTCCGCAAGGCAATTCTCAAGACCAACGCTGATATGTCGAAAAAGATCAAGGCTTCTGAGACTCAGTTGAAGTCCTTACTCTTGAAAGTTGAGACGAAAATAGACAATGTTAAAAATCAACTGGAAACAAATCTCACGGATCTGAAGGAACAACAGGGAAATATTAAAGATGATTTGTCGAAAACAAAAAATAATTTCGAAGTTGTTGGAAGCAGGCGCGATACAAATATCTCTGCTCTTGCAGCCAAAATAGAGATGATTACAAACATGGACATTCGTGTAAGAAATGATTTAAACACAGAGAAAAAGAAAAGACTGAAGCTTGAGGAGGACATAAAAGACTTACGCGATATTGTTAATAAACATTTAGCCAAGGCATCTGCGGAAATATTGAAAATGAATACTCTCTTAATACTCGTACTTCTGGTGACAAGATCATATCTTTGTTACTGAAACAGTTTAAAATAAACATTATCAATCTGTTGACGATGTCGTACATATTTGAAAGTAATCTTTACGGATATGAGGCAGTTTCATGCAGGTCTTAACTGCTTTCTACATTAGTGCATGTATGTTTGATTGTAAATTGATTTGCAATGCAGCTGTAGCCGCATTCGAAATTCCGAGCTAACATGAGTTGTCTCGGGGGCACTGACCTATACCAGATAATCCATTAAAAGGTCAGTGTCTCTGGGTCTATAGACAATGGACTTTAAGGCTAGTTTCCACTCAGGAAAAATCTCCTTTGGATCGGAACGGACAGGAAAATTTCCTTTATCGGTAAGTTCTCAGGCGGCGTTCATACAAAGGAAACTTTCCTGTCCTGTCCGATCCAAAGGAGAATTTTCCTGAGTGGGAACTAAGTCAGCTTAACGAGCAAATTCATGAGGAATGCATAGAGTTTAACTGTTTAAGATTAGCTTGAGAAAACGTTAACCAAATTTTGTAATTATAGAAACTAAACCTAACCTTGAAATTTACTTGTTTCACAGCTATACACTAGTTCAGGTACAAGCTTCAGTGAGATGAATTTCAGAGAACCAGAAATTGGATTATATATGGCTTTTAACGTGTGGTATAGATTCCACAGTCGCTAAGTATATATGATACCAGACCGTTAGACAGATGATCATGCAAGAAATTCACGATATTCTACCAGTGAACTTAGTTCATTTTTTCCACACACACCCAGACAACATTGAACGGAAATTACTACAATACACTCATAAAATATGTTCTTTGTAAACAGTTCTAAGAACAGTGCATGTCCTGACCTCGTGACACGAAACCTGAGTACTTTCTAATATATTCCTAATATATCATGTTGTTTAAGTAATCTAAGCCAAGGCTTAACCAACATACAGACAGAGTAAATTGTTCGTGACTTTGTACAAATAATTTTTGATTAAATAAAGATGGCTCTCTTGGAAAGATCCCAAATTGGTGTGAAGGAATTTGGTAGCGCAACTTTCGTGCAAAACGACCCGAGAGCGAAGCTGATGTACTATTTGAGCTGCGTTTGCTCCGTAAGTGGACGAGTTAAAACACTTCCGTGTTTGCTTGACGGGCCGTTTTTCTTCTAGAAAAGATTTCGGATTAGTTTTCACAACTGTCCGCATCCTACTGATGAGTCACCACTCAGTTCGGTCCATTTGTGGGAATAAAACTATCACTTTGTATCCACGGTATAGAGATGAGGTCATTTCTAAAATATTCAATAAAAACAAAGAAACAAACACTATGTATTCGGGCTTAATTCAGCAAACAAATCTTGCACCGTCGACTTATTTTATATCTTCGAATCTATCAAGATCGATGGCTCTACAAAATAGAAAAAGCCAATACGTTGTAAGCACTGATAGTTATAGCCAGAAGTGCGGAATTTTTAAAGGTCAGCCGGAATATGAGTTTCAACACTGCACGTTAATTGACAATCTCTAAGAATCTAAGAATCTATATTCTCGTATTCCTATATAGGAAACACTTCAAAATATTAACAAAGAACTAGCAAAACCCCCACAAAACTTGCTTTAATTTAGTTTTGATTTTCAAACTGTGTTTAGGTTTTAGATTTGCAACAAAATGTTCCATATCGGCTTACCCAACATGCCACCACCTACAATCATTTAACACCAGATGAGATGACGGAGTTGATGGCGCTTTGCATCCTATTTTCACCAGATGTCCTCAAAGATCAGGTCTTTTTTTATGACAACAGTAGCTTCGGTTCCCGCAACAGGTTCCTTGAGCTCTCTGCCGTTAAGAGCTCCATGCTGGTGGCTGGAGATGTGATAATCGGCGGGCAGCGGAGACGCGTAGCTAAGATAATGACTTGTACCAGAGAATGGTTACAATACTACTACGAACAACCAATGGCTATGATGCTCTCAAGACGAATGTGCGCTGCACCGGCATATAGACCAGCTATTCAAGCACCACCACCACAACCTACAATATACTACACGCCCCCAAGCAGAAATAATTCCGGCTGTTGTGTTATTCTGTAAGATTATGATCAGGACTTTACCCAATTGATCAGGAAAAGATAGTGAAAACCACAGGAACAGGCAGTCTTCGTTTAAAATTTTTATTTTCAAATGTTCATACAACTACAGTTGGATATATTTCCCAAGCTTCTGTCAATTAAGACGTATGATTCATATAAATTATTAGTTAGAGCTCCACTAACACTATAAAGCATTGATATTAGCTGCATATTATATTAAGTTGTAAATTACTAGGAGCAAAATATATATATTGCAGGTTATTCTATAATACAGTAACAATGTAGAGTTTGATTATTAAATACTAGTTGCAAAGTGTCGACATTCTGCATAGTTATTTCACGTAAATCATGTAATGGTAAATAAAAAGCACACACAAAAAACTATTTGTTTGGTACCTGAGTGGAAAAATACTTGACCTTTTTTCATTGGTAGTAGTCCTCATAGTAACCTCTATGCTCATCAGCAAAATATTACTGAAGTTATCGACCATTTGCTTTCCTGTGACATGCAGTAAATGCACTGATACCCAGCATAGTTTAAACTACCTGTGGACTATTTGAGTCTTTTCATAACAGTAAGGATTGTGAAGTTGCAAGGATCGCAAGTCTCCTTCTTTTTTACAGTCATATCCGCTTGTTAGTATTAGATTAAAATGTCACTGTGCATCTGAATAGTCAGTTGCCTCAGTTGTGAAGAAGTCCTCAAGTTGCCATTGCAGTGTCTCAAATGTTGGTCGTTCATCCGGAACTGCCTTCCAACATTCCAACATGATTTGATACAAAGCATTAGGGCAGTCTTTCATCTGCTCCATACGATATCCAGCTTCAACCTTTCCCAAAACCTCAGAATTTGTCATTCCAGCATATGGAATACGCCCTCGGGTTACCAGCTCAGTAAGTAGAATCCCAAACGACCACACATCAGATTTTATAGTAAACTTATGAAATAGTGCAGCTTCAGGTGCAGTCCATTTGATGGGGAACTTTGCACCCTCATGCGCGATATATTCATCATTATTGATAATACGGCTTAGACCAAAATCAGCAATTTTTACAATATTTTTCTCACCAACTAAAACATTTCTCGCAGCAAGATCACGATGAATATATTGACATTCTTCTAAATATGCCATGCCTTTGGCGACTTGGGCACCCATGTCAATCAAAATTGGCAGACTTATCCTCCGATTATGATCATTTTGAAGAAACTCCAACAAACTTCCATTGGTCATAAGTTCAGTGATAATGTAAATTGGATCACCCTTTGTACAAACAGCAAAAAGTTGAACAAGTTTTACATGTTTGAGTTTTTTCATGATTTGTGCTTCCTGTAAAAATGCATTAGCAGTTTCCTGAGTTGCTTTTGAACCAGACTTTAAGGTTTTTACAGCAACTGCTGTGGTTTCATTCCATAACCCCTGCCAAACCTCTCCAAACTGACCTTGTCCAAGTTTATTGAGAAGACGGATTTGGTCACGTGGGATTTCCCACTTGTCGTTTGTATCATGGGACAAGCCAATGGTGGTAGGAGTATCAATATGAGGGCAAGGTTGATGAAGCTGTGCACATAGGCCACTTGCATTGATTTTGTAGAAATCTACCAGTTCCTTTAACGTAGTGAACACCTCATTTCTCGCGATGAAATAACCACCTTGATCAAGAGTACGAATTCGATAATGTTTGATGCTTTCACCATCACGTAAGGATAGGGAATAACCACCTTGTTGGGTTTCACTTTCCCTGATGAGGAATGAACCTTGCTCCCCGTGGTTGATCAACAACTTTTCAGCATCACTTCGCTTCATCGGTCCAAAAAACCATCTAAATATAAAAATATTGGAACCTTTATAAATTGATAACATAACACCTGACTTTAATAGCATTACATTTTATCTAACAAAACGAAACTTTTCTTGTTGATGAAACAGCACTGATAGCATTTATCATTTGACCTCTATAAGAACACTCTTGAATTTGAAACGTATGATACATAATAATGTATTGGCCTTCATATGAACATCCTCAATATTTGGTCATAACCTAAACACACCACAATTAAGTGATGGCTGACTGCCAAATTATAAAGGCATACAATGGCATCGAATAATATTTACGACATATATGTAAAAAATATTTCGTTTATTTCCTGATGATTTCAAGATATTTTATTATGCCATATTAATAATGTCTACCAACGATACTTTTTGCCTATCAATATCTTGCATAGATACGAACGAAATATTAGGACAACATCAAAGATCGCTTAGAAACTACCCAGTTGAAAGATTTCCGTATGCCTGATTATTTTTTCATAAATGCATATATAAATGCATATTTTATATTATTGTCATATTTTCATAACACATAAAATTCGATATCTTTTTCCAACCACAAGACAAAACCCAGCAAAACGTTCGCTCATATTTTGTAACTTCGAGTCATATTGATCTTATTGAGGTTCTGACTTGCAAAATAAAACATGCGATTTAAATACTTTAGATTCTTTCAGGAGATCGGATAAGAAATAAGTGTTGATCATCGCATTATATTCACGAAGAGAAAGACCACAATTACACCGGAACATTGAACTGAAATTATTATCTTAAACCAAGCCCATTCACGCAATATTCACTTGGTTATATGGCCATGGGAAGGGAAAATGAAAATCGAACATTACAAATGTAGCAAATTAGGAATTTCGAGTTTCGTACAAATGTAGCAAACTACGAGTTTCAGATCGAGACAAACACCATGCAAGTGATCGCTGTACTTGATCACAACTTTATGACGAAATGCTTCATTCATATTACGAGTGTTTGTATATTGACGTACATTCCCAGTGGGCGAAACCAGTTTAAAATGCAATACTTGGTGTTAAAAAACAAACACATTTCAACTTACTCCTCTGTTTGTAATGACGTTACTGGAGCGATATAATTACTTGGTACGTATCCAGATTCACCAGAAACCAATGATTTTGCTTGCCACCAGCCACCTTCTTTGTTATTGATAATTTCCATTTTTTCCCCCTTATTAAAGCTGAGATCTTCGGCCGTTCTTGCCTTGTAGTTGTACAAAGCAACGTACAACAGCCTTTCTTCGGCTGTTCTTCGACCAGGATTTGCTTCAACGTTATTCTCCTGACCATTTTCCCCATTCTCATTTTCACGTATGATTCTCAGGAATGGAAAACTTTTAGTCCACTTTATACGACGCCTTGGCGTTGAGACAACGCCGCCCATAATATAAAAGTTTTAATAATCTACTCTGCTCAGAAATGTATAAATGTTGGCATGTCGTGATCAAACTGATCATACATAGCCTAGAGGAAGCAACGACGTCGTAATAATTTCATGCTTGATCACAATCTTCTGTGAATCAACTTTAATTTCTGAATAATTTGACAATATTTTTCCGACAGATTATATTCAGTCTGAAACTAGTTTGCGGATGTCTGAAGTGAACAATTTAGGTGGGCGACCACTCGACCACCAGGGGACAACTGCGTGAAGAAGAGGGTCATCGATGGACAGATTAAGATCGAAGTAGTCAAAGTATCCGTTTTGAACCTCTCCATCAATCTTGGACCCCCATTCATATCTGATCGTTATGTTATACTATATAACATTTTGTCTTTGTCTTTGCCCCAAAATAGTCGTATTTTTCATACTGGGTCAATGTAGGCTCATAGTCAGGAGTTACTAAATAGTTAATTGAACTGTCTGGATCACTCATATAGATATCTATTTATCTTTACTCCCAACTGTACCCATTTGTAGATATCCACATCCAAATCTATCCATCTTCAGTCCTTTCTATTCATCTTTGACACATGATTGTCCCTCAAGTGTCTTTTCCAATATGGCGAGCAAAGAGCGAAGTTCTAGTCGAGCAATGCCTGCAAGACAAAGGATTGAATCTGTCAATTTGGAAGGTTTGGTATGTAAAAAAACACCACAAAGCATAAGTATAAATGTAGGGAAAGGCCGGAATGAATTATGCCTCACGCGTTTGGATATAAGTTGATGATACAAGGTTCTGATTTCCGTCATAATTCACACGTGTTTTAAATGCATTACGTGTTATATAGAGATGTTTACAACTTTACATGTTTTTTTTCATTTCAATGATCAAAGATGAATTCATTTGATAGAATGAGCCTGGTTGTGTAGATGATAACCATATTGAGGGAAATTTAATTTAAAAATGTTGTACAAAGTACAGAAAACAGAAAGCTTATCATTATATTCATTGGACGTTTGTAACCTGTAGGTTGTTCTTAAGATAATTCAACATTGTCAGGAAGAAGGGGCAGAAGGTGATGTTGTTCAAGGAGTGTTGTTGGGTTTGGTTGAAGGAAGTAAACTTGAAATTACAAACTGTTTTCCCTTCTCTCAAAACTCTGAAAAAATGATGAAGAGGATAGTAAGTCAAAATGGAAATTTGATAAAACTTTTTCAGTTCTTCTGTACCACCATTTCCTTCTTAACCAGCCCCCTCCTCACCCTTCCCTTGTTTCAAATTTACACCCCTTGCACTTTTTCACATTTACACCCCTTCCTTCCACTCTCCACCTTCATTCCATTTCACCCCATTCATTCCTCATACTTTTGTGAAGACACATCACACATTCACAGCACAATTTCATTACCTTCCCAGTCTATTATCAAATGGAAATGATGAGAAACTTAAGATCAGTAAATATTGACCATTTACATGTTGGTTGGTATCAATCCATTTACCTTGGAGCCTTTGTCAATAAAAACCTGCTTGACTCGCAATATGGTTACCAGAACTCTATCTCAGAATCTGTGGTACTAGTATATGGTGAGTTGTGGAGCTTTTGTGGTTTTACAAGAGAGAGCAGATGACATTCATCTTATACATTTTTGTTATTTGAATTTCAATCATATATTTCAGACCCGTTAAAGACTTCACAAGGTATATTGTCATTTCGAGCGCTTCGGCTTTCCCAAAAAATGATGGATTTGTATTCAGAAAAAGAATTCACTCCTAGCAGGTAATAATTTTATTTACTGTTGATATAATTGTATATCTTAGACATGCACCAGTACCTACCAATAGTTTATGTTCATAGTTTAAACAAAGTTGGTATGAAACATGATGAAATGTTTGAAGAGATACCATTGGTGATAAAGAATTCAAACTTAGTGAACACACTACTGTGTAAATTGGATGAAAACTCAACGGAACCGGAACAAAACGATTTCTTGTCTTTGGCGAGAGGGTTAGTTGCTATTAGCTTGTAATGCAGCCAAATGCATAATTATAACAAATTTGTATGATTTTGTTTGATTTAAACCAATGCAGGAACTTTATTGAAAAGAATGTTCAACTCTTAATGGAGACTGTGGATGAACTAGGCCAAGACACACAGAAATTCCATAACTATCAACGCAACTCAGCTAGGCAACAGCAGCAGAAAGATGCCTATCTTATGAAAAGGGTAAGGAGAAATGTGATGATTCTGGTACGAATGAAAAATGATACTGGTATGACAGGATTTTAAGTGACATTTGCAATGGAAAATTTCGGCTAACAATTTGTCTCTTGTTCTGTTTAGAAAGCAGAAAACCAAGCACGCAAAGAACGAGGAGAACGACCATTACCTGAAGAAGACCTGTCAAAATTATTCAAGCCATTGCAAGTTCCTTCTCGACTGGATAACTTATTATTGTCTGGACAGGCAGAAAATTATTGTAATGAAATCAATGGGTTTGCTTCAGAAAGTTTTGCTAAACTTTTCCTTTCCGAGGCACTCCAAGATGCAGCTCAATGATCTCCAAGTGAAATTTACCCAGAAAAAACATTGGATTGATTTATTTAAAACGTCTTTTCTGGAACAAGCAATTCTCCTTCAAAAACAGGTAAACTGCCACAGGAAAGGTCATTGGGTGTACAGGCAACTAATAAATAAATAAAAAAGATAACAACTATGGCATTTAGTATATTCATTTAAAAAATATTCAGATGTGGCGTTTGAAACGCTGCTGAATAAATCCGTTATATCCAGTGGTTATAACGCCGTTGAATAAATCCGTTATATCCAGTGGTTATAACACTGTTGAATAAATCCGTTATATCCAGTGGTTATAACGCTGTTGAATAAATCCGTTATATCCAGTGGTTATAACGCCGTTGAATAAATCCGTTATATCCAGTGGTTATAACGCTGTTGAATAAATCCGTTATATCCAGTGGTTATAACGCCGTTGAATAAATCCGTTATATCCAGTGGTTATAACGCCGTTGAATAAATCCGTTATATCCAGTGGTTATAACACTGTTGAATAAATCCGTTATATCCAGTGGTTATAACGCCGTTGAATAAATCCGTTATATCCAGTGGTTATAACACTGTTGAATAAATCCGTTATATCCAGTGGTCATAACACTGTTGAATAAATCCGTTATATCCAGTGGTTATAACACTGTTGAATAAATCCGTTATATCCAGTGGTTATAACGCCGTTGAATAAATCCGTTATATCCAGTGGTTATAACGCTGTTGAATAAATCCGTTATATCCAGTGGTTATAACGCCGTTGAATAAATCCGTTATATCCAGTGGTTATAACGCCGTTGAATAAATCCGTTATATCCAGTGGTTATAACGCCGTTGAATAAATCCGTTATATCCAGTGGTTATAACGCCGTTGAATAAATCCGTTATATCCAGTGGTTATAACGCCGTTGAATAAATCCGTTATATCCAGTGGTTATAACGCTGTTGAATAAATCCGTTATATCCAGTGGTTATAACACTGTTGAATAAATCCGTTATATCCAGTGGTTATAACACTGTTGAATAAATCCGTTATATCCAGTGGTTATATCTGATGGTAATGTCACAGATAATGACGTCAATATCTCTTCCTGCTACGTCGTAATCCCATTCAATACTCAACCCAGTCCCTGCCTTCATATTTCTTCAATATTCTCAACCTTATCCCTGCGAACTAGTTGCTATATCAGTATGTACATGTATAATAAACATATTTCTTTGCCAATCGAGTGAAGCCGAAGGTTTTAGTATTACTGTCCACTTGTTTTTTTTTCTACCAACATTCACGTTAGTTCCACATGGAATCGTGGGATTATCTTCGGATCTTCCTTCCGATTTTGTATTTTTTACTTTTGCGTTATCTAACCATTCAGTTCAGTGGTCGCTTTGAGTTGTAAACTTTATTTCCAGTCGCGTCTGTTGAACAGCGGGCATATTTCAGTAATAAAGCTTTCAATGACTGACCAGGCGATTCCAAATCTCTGAATGAAACGAAAACAAATGTTATTCAAAAAAAATGATCTGGCTTATTTTGAAACTCTGCGGTATGAAATTTTGTGCATGTTGGCTATAGAAGACTTGGAAACTGATACTGTGCTCCTGTGTAAACAACAGATAGAAGTTTGGTCTATACTGAAACTTACGCTAAGTATGGCTGGATGTCATCTAACGTCCATTTTTCTCTGGTCTTGAACAGCTTATTAAATCTTTGACGAGAAACATTGAGAATCAGGACAGAAGCAATGCGGGAGGGTGGGGGGAGAGGACTATTGTTAGCCATGGTTCTAGCATACTGAACGCCATAGTGACTGAGGGTAGCGGAGAGATACACTATACCTACCTCATTGCCGGATCAGAGGGAAGATTATCCTTTGGAAAATGCCATATGACAGCTGGTGATGACGCCATATCGCTTAGAGCAATACCCTATTACAGAGGTACGATATGAAGAGACGTATTTCATATTGAGGGCAAGATATTCCTAATACGGTTTACCACAAATCTTGACAATCTACAGACTACAAGCTAGCCGCAGAGACGCCAAATACTCGAATAAAAGACTTGCAGTCTAGACTCGAACTTTTGCGAACAGTGATTACGTGCACTTTTTACTCGACTTGAAATTAAAAACTCGAAATTAATACAACCAAATTTTAGTACTGTATTGGAGGAAAGAAACTCCTGGTCTAAATCACAATCTTTCAAGCTGGAAACAGTCGAAAGCGCCCTAAGCGAGTGTCTGATATGAATATACCATGAATGGCCAACTACCTGAAGATGAGTGTCGTCCACGTGCATTCCCTCAGGGACCGTCTGTTTCCAGGCTTCCATAAACTCATAATAGTTGAACTAGATATTTTAAACAGCTCGTTATATGTAAATCTGAGAAGTATTCTGAGAGAAAAGTACTGTAAAACTGTAGTTTGTACCAACCCTTCCTGCTGGTCGTAAAAGAAACTCCGCATAAAATGTACAAACTTTGGCTTCTGATAGTTTATAGTAAGTTTCCTCGTTACCTGGTAAACGACAAAAGATGCTGTGTAAGCGTGATTGTATCTCGTTTCTGGTAAGCGACAAAAGACCCTGTGTAAGCGTGATTGTATTTGAGGTGTTGGTATGTATGAGCGGATTCTTTGAAAAGTCAAACAATATTTTGATTATAGACAATCGTATCGTGTGCATGGGGTGTCAGTTACCTTCTTCTGTTTTCATTGAGACAACCTCTCCATAGCACTTCAGGCAATGGGAAATTACAAATCTGTGAAAGTACGCATTGGACTAAAAGACTAAACACTATAGTTGTTTCTGCTATGTTGTAAGTTATGATTACTGAGAGTGTTGACTGGGTTGAATGAGCAGTGAACCTAGCCTCTGTTTCAGTTACCTTGGTTCCAGTTCTTCCAAAACGTCGCATGTTTCTTTCATAGGTACGCGATCATAACTCCAGGAGTTTTCATCCAGTAAATTAAGGATGGCGACCACGACTTTTTCACGATATTCTGTCTCCAATATCCGCCAGTAGCCTGTGTGTAAATAAACCACCCTCAATAAACATGTTTTCCTCTCTTTTATTACAGCAGGGTGAACAGAATTGGTACGAAATCCCGGCGTTTGATAGGGAAAAAGTGAACACACGTCTCACAAACGACATAAATCAGAACACAGGTATATGAAATCTCAGAGAGCGAAGTGAAATTATGTATAATGAATTACTCAGAGTAAACAACGCTCGTTTTTTTTTGTCACTGACCATTTATTTCAAGTGCTTCCATCTCCCTTAATCCGTTTCTTAGCTCATTTTCACTGGCCTGGACTCTCTCGCGTAAATCCTCAAGCGTATACTAGAAAACCATCAAATTTGGTGAATGTCTATTATTTTTTTGTTCAAAGTCAATATAATGAGTAGATTTTCCCCCATAAAAACTACTAATAATATACAATACAGTATGTCATTATTTGCAATCCCTAAAATTGTAGGTACCCACTCTAACAAATAATCCATCTTTCACTTGTTTTTCAAATGTCTCTCCCCTGTAGGACGTCTCTTCTAACAGCTTCTTCAATCCCTGTAGTTTTGCCTGACAGTGTCTTAATTCATAATACATTGATACACATCCACATATCTGAAAAACAGACAAAATATAATGATTTGTACATATCTTGTTGGTTATAGATGTTCAGCTATAGGAATCTATGCTGGAACATTTCACAACAGTTATTTCAAAATTGATGTGGTTATTTTAGTTTTACTCCAACCTCACTTTCTTTTAGGACTTCTGAGGAATCAAATTCTAGGAGTAAAAGAAACAGGTGCAAGATATTGCTGGGATTATAGATATTGATACAGATGGATGGATATTATCATATTTTAAGGAAACTGCATTTACCTGTCATTGTAGGTAAGAGTGTGTTTGAAGTCAGTAGCATTGTATTGGACATGTCAGCAAGCTTCAGATCAAATGTGTCATTCTCTGTACACAGCACAGCATCATCCTGTACATCACCACGGATAACAATCCTCGCAAATTAAAAAGATTCAAAATTATGCAGAACTGTGACGTTTAAAGCAATGGCTTATTGTGATAAGTTTTTACTCTTGACAATCTATCAGATTTTTTTGTCAACACTTTGCAGGCCCAGTAAGAAGCTATATGGCACTCAGACAAAAACCACATACTATGGTACACCACTACAATGAAACACCAATTATACCCATATTCCTATAAAATCCTTCGTTGGCTCTGACTTTGGAGAAAATGTGAAGAATGATTTGCAAGGCATCCACAGACTACCCACAAGTCAGTATATCTGCACCTACACTGGATCTCAAAATAACATTGAATACAACACACTGCCTACCGTTCACCATTCTCAAAGCTATCCAATACTCCAGAAGGTAACTCTAACAGTTTATAATTTTCGCTCATAAGATTGTCTGAGAATTTTAGCACCTGAATGACACCACTTGTTTTCTTTAGTCCTGCAGCATTGGCTGCATCTGTAACTTGGTCTAAAGTTCTAGGTCTAAAAGAACACAGCGCTTTTATACTTGTACTGTATTAGTGTACTTAATTCTACTTGTTATAAAGCTATACGGCATGTACATATGCCAATGTCTGTACATATGCCAATGTCTGTACAACAGTAATGTATGCCGGTAAATTTTGATTAGAAATTACTTCGTTCATAGGTGATAATGTGAAGGCCGACGTAAGTAAAAAGTTTCATTTAAAAATTCAAAAACCCCGCACCTTGTCGCAGCCATCTTGGATAGATTTTCAAAATATAACAAATATATATTATCGCGCAAATTTGATAGTGACTGACCTGATTGACCAATAGGAAACCGTTTATGCAAATGCGCATCAGCCAATAAAAATACGCCACTTTCCCGCGCTTGAATCCAAAGTTGTTAGAGAGAAGCGGATGTCTATCTCCGAAACTGCGCATGCCTAACTGCGCACAGCAGACCCAAGATGGACCAAATCAATGCTTCGTGATACACGTGATACTGTATAAATTTGTATAAAAGCGCTGATAAAAACTCGACATTATGTAAGACATGATCCTTATGTGTTTGTGACTGTGTGGGCGACTTTATTGTAATGTAAACAGCATGGGTGCATCGTTATGATTGTAATATATATATTTGCATTTTTGCATTTATATATGTTGAACAACCCGGTTCATATTATGAAAAAAAATCCTTACTGAGGCATTGCGCGGAATTTGTGCTAATTACGAAATGAATTTGTGACCTACTAACCTATATATGGGTGAATTTTGTTGAACATAACACACGATCTTAATTAACTCACGCTGGGTCTTACTGTTTGTAAGTCATCGATCACCTGTTCACAAGGCATTGTCTTGCAGTTCACCAGACGCTAAGTGTCCCACTCGGAATTCAGCGCTAGATAGAGCGGAATTTGGAGCGAGGAAGTGGAGCGGAGCAGGGTGGGGCTCTTGGGGGGTGGTGATGGGTGATGACCTCGCCTCCAGAGATGTTTTAATTTAGCACGACTTATACCAGAAATCGGGTAACCATAACCAAGGGCGGTCAGGTTTGATCTAAACCCTGTCCAATTTTTAATGTTTCACGGAGAAGATCTTTTCTTTACTCAGGTGATATTCTCAGTGCGACAGTAATCACGGTTATTAGCTTGAGTCCAAAAATGGGAATGAAAAACGAAAACTTCATCTGATACAAATCACTTCGTTTTTGGCCCAAGTAACGACCATCGCGTGTCTTTCATAAATGCATCATTAACTTACTGAGGTAAACTCCGTTTAATATTCAATACGTACACGGCTTTTAACAACACATTTTCATCCTTTCGTATTTTGTCAGTAAAAAAAGAGCATTTAATAACAGTTTTCAAAAAACTCAGCAGTATTCCTGCTCCAACAGACGGCAGCCTCCGCAAAAAATGATCGATATCATTGTTTATTGAAATTTTGGTTGTTAATTACGGTGCCGGAACCTGAGCTCGGCAGAGCTTGGAGTAAGCCATGTTTTATGATTTCCACATAAAGTATGAATAGTTTTCATCAATATCATAATTCGTACTTTTTTACACAAATTTGTGTTTGTTCATTGCTGATAAAGTACCGTGGAGAGCGAAATCATGGAAGATGGGTTATACAGGTGTATACACTTCTGGACCTACAAATCCGTGCGGATTTCTATTTCAAAACTCAATCGGCACACCAGGGTTCGCGTGGGTTGAACAAGCCGGTGCATTTTTGACAAATAAAAATGTACAGACACAGTGAGGTTGCTGGTATTCCCAAGTCATCTTGGTGAGGAGAACTGCAGCAATATGAAAGTAATTTCAAAGCTTTATGCTTTATGCCAAATCTCCGTTCTTCTTTCCATCGGAGTTCAGGCGAGGCCATCTAAAGGTATGATTTCTGTTTTTCAACAGTTGCATTCATTTTTTTGCAAACATATATCATATTATACCATAAATTAATGTGTTTAATTAAATGATTGTTAGATGCTTGTTTAACTGCGAAAAAGGGTAAAGGTTTTTTAGATGCACAGAAATCGCATGAATTGGAACGTTTAAAAAACATAGCTTGTTTGGTAAACTTGAATATATTTGACTAAAATACAGAATGTGCACGAATCGTCAGTTGTAAATGACAAATGGTCTTCACAAGCTGTTTTTGGATAAATAATTAATGACAAATCAATAGCTACGCAAGCAGTCATCTTTAATCTTTTCCAGATTCGAATTTCTTCAAAAGTCTTTTTAATCACGAGCTAAGCGAGCGTGATGCAAGTAAGTTTAAAGCCTCTACTCCTTATTGAAGACGGGAAACGGCAATGCTAAAAAAATGATTAGAGTATCGCCACATAAATGATTCTAATTTATTTTCAGATGATGAAAGCAAAGCATTTCAAGAATGGGTGACCAGGGAACACGGCAGCAACAACGAAGGTTATCTAAGGATTGTTAGACATTTTGAATAGACTTTTCAGAAAAATTTTTGTGCAAATCAGATTGAAAGAGACTCAAGATCATTAAATGAAAGAAACTCGGGTCGTTTGGAAGCAATATAACATTTGTCCATTTTTCGTTTAGATTCTGATCATGTCGTTAACGTTGATGATGGTGGAGCGTCATTGAGTGATAATCCACCTGGAAACATCGTCATTACAAATGATGATAAGAAGAATGGTAAAATCTTGCAACATGCATTTACATAGGACATTCTCAGGACTTATAACAAAAGCCATACAATAACATACAGTGACATAAAGTGACGTAAAGTGACATAGAGTAACATACAGGGACATACAGGGGCATATGGCGGATTCAGGATTAGGTAGAACAGCGCATCTCTACTACGTACCGCTCTAGGTTAAGATATTTCAAATTTGTATTAGATGATTATGACTATGAGGGTAAAGTTGATGGTGATTATGAAGATGATGATCAAGGAGGTGATGATAATGACGATCAGGGTGAAGATGATGGTGATTATGAAGATGATCAAGGTGAAGAAGGTGATTATGAAGATGAAAATCAGGGTGAAGCTGATGGTGATTATGAAGATGATGATCAAGGTGAAGATGGGAATTATGAAGATGATGATCAGGGCGAAGATGATGGTGATTATGAAAATGATGATCAAGGTGATGATGGTGATTATAAAGATGATGATCAGGGTGAAGCTGATGGTGATTATGAGGATGATGATCAGGGTGAAGATGATGGTGATTATGAAGATGATGATCAGGGTGAAGATGATGGTGATTATAAGGATGATGATCAGGGTATAGATGATGGTGATTATGAAGATGATGATCAAGGTGAAGAAGGTGATTATGAAGTTTATTTCAAAGATGAGCATCTAATATCACATTTCCCGTCTTTTTCTTAGTTAACAAGGACGGTCCACATCCCTTCAATTTTGAGGATAGTGAGTATAATAGCCATGCTTTTTATTTGGATCAGAATGATAACTGCTTAAATTTTCACTGCTTCATAATTTCCCTAAATCATGACATGTTATGCTAATGTGTTATCCATTCTAAATGGAAAGTACTTTATGCGAGATAGAGTCCAGTAATGTCCTGGGGGGCCGGGGGGGAGATAAAAAGCGCGACGTTTCCATCCAACAGATATTTTTGTTTTCTAGATCCAGACATATCCGCGTCCGATATTATATATCAAGTCAATTCGAGTAAGCTTAGAAGTTATTTAATGTAATGGATGATGATCATTAGGTCTTCTCGCAGTAGAAATGAATTTGTCAATAATATTAGATAAAAATTTTACATTAACCATTTTAAATTACCCTTAGTTATTTTACATCAGCTCATCACTCACCCTATCCTACTTTATACTTCACATATCCTACAGATGCTGGTTTGATGCATAACACTTTCGAAGAAGACATACTTATCGATCCCTCTCGAGTGCAGGAAGTGGCCTCATGGGGGCCGAAAATGACATCACTAAACGCATGCCGACCTCGGTAAATAATCGGGAGTACAGATGGCCGGGTGGACTGGTGCCCTATAAGATTGGTAAGATCGTGATTATCATTTGGCTTTTCAAAATCCTCTATTCTGATTGGTTGACAAGCAGTCAATGTCCGTATATTCCGTATCTGGACCAGTATCCCGGATGTCTTATGCCGCTCAGCCATATAATAACAGATTATTCACCTCACTTGCTCGATCTTGTACTGTGAAATATCAGAACGAGGTATTTTACATGAACCTCGCTCATTCGTCACTCATTCCATGCTAAAAAACCTCGGTCTGATATTTCACAGTACAGACCGAACAAGCGAGGTCAATAATCAGTTATTATTTACATTCCTTTTGTAGATTCTACTTTCCTGAGGGATCATAAATCTAATACTCAACAGCTCGAGGCTGCTAAAGCTGAGTATGCCTCAAAAACATGCATTAAACTTGAAGAACTACCGCCGGGAAGACAGAGTTATCATGTCAATCTTATCAGCGATAGTGGGTAAGCTGCATCATGAATCAGTTAAAACTGATATTGCATTGAATGAAGTGTTCTGCGGTTGTTTTCATAGATATTTAGGCGGCCACAATTATGACTAATCCTAAATCCAGGCTTAAATTAGTCGAAATGTGGATATCATTAGCAATACTCCCGCCTAATCAGTATACGATAATACAATACTAATTACTAATGGATAAAATTTTGATTACCAGGTGCTATTCATACATTGGACGACTATCCGGCATAAGTGGCTTTAGCCAAAGTCAAGATATCTCCATTGGTATAGGTTGCAACTTCAAATCAACAATTGTTCACGAATTTCTCCATGCATTAGGATTTTGGCATGAACAGAGCAGACCAGATCGGGATGACTATGTTACAATTTTGTGGCAAAACATCAGGCGAGGTAAAACCAGTTATTGATTTGTGCTTTCTATTTATTCTTTGAAGAATTTAAAAGCTGCATGCGAAGCCTCTTATCTCCAGTATATTTTGTGTAACATCTTTTTTCTACATTTAATTGCATTGATGAATTTGATTCCTTTCCCGGGGTTCGGTATTTTGAGAAAACGTCGTAGTTGTTCCCTCCTCAGTCCTCATTACGTGATTTGAAAAGCAATATGAGTCGCTTTTTCTCGCGTTATTTTGAAAAACAATTAAGAGAATTGTTTTTCATGATACTGGCTTTGACTATGTATATTTTTCGACTGAAATGATCATGATAGGCGCCGCGTGGATATTTCCGAAAATTTGACAGAATAAACACGCGTTTACTGTTGAGACCGCCGAGGTTTAGCAGACCAGACGAGGAGGAGGAGGACGACATGGAGCCTGGGCATGGGCCTAATTCAAAAGGTCCGCTCTATTATCTCTAGTCTCTTAGGATAACTCATGACGTCAACACAGAAGTAGTAATCTATCAACAAAGCAGCCGGCAGTGAGATTTTTTATCAGTGCAACATATACTGTTATAATATAACATTCATGGTACGCGCGTGCTGATTGGTCAAGAAGCGTGTTTCTATAACTGTGTAGAAACACGGGGGTTTTGTTGACGAGACTCATATCAGTTAAATATGCCTGAGGTTAGCTACCGTCATCAAATCCATAAGAAAAACGATATAGCGTCTTCCTCTAATATTAACTTTCACACAAACAATTAAATAGCAAAGATAATGAAACTTTTATCAAAATTACTTAGGTGTAGAGAATAACTTTCAGAAACATGGTTCAGAAAAAACTACAAACCTTGGTGTGGAATATGATTATGAAAGCGTGATGCACTATGGGAGGACAGCATTCAGCGTAAACGGACGTAAGGAAAGATTAATCGTAACAAAAGAAATACTTATTTTAGATAATAAGAAAAAATATAGTTTATAAATATAGCAGGAACCGGTTGTATAAGGGGCTGTTTACATCGGCCCGGTTACCCGAGATTCAACGAAGCGTGAGAGGACTTTGAGGTATTGAAGTAAGTTTTTATGACACCAAACAAGCACATGCTATTGTTGTGGTGATTATACGACTGCCAGGATCATGTTATCTGCTCATTTCAATACCTCAAAATCATCTCACGCTTCGCTGAATCTCGGGTAACCGGGCTCATGTAAACAGCCCCTTAAAAGGTAGTTAACTTTTAACTATAGTTAACGGTGGCAGAATTGGCCAATCAGAATAATGTATTTTCTAGTTAACTACGATTTAACTACTTAAAAGGTAGTTAAGAGTTTTATACAACCAGCCCCAGGAATCCAGATTCAAGTATTTGATCTTTTTAAGTCCAGTTTAAAGATTCAAAATGCAGCATAAATCCTTTTCAGAACCCACTATTGTAAGGAAAGATGACCCTGAAGGTGCACTTGGCCAACGGACTTACGGCGGATTGTCTGCTAAAGATGCCGAAGAAATTAACATTTTTTATAACTGTAAAACTCCAGGTAAGTGCTACAGGCAATATCATGGCATACAGGCAATATGGCATGATTTAACAAAAAGGGCTACGGGTAACAAACCCCCTCCTTCTCCCAAATTGGTCTGCTACTTACTATATATATATATATTTATATATATATACTTAAAATGAATAAATCTAATAATTTATGTTTGTTCCATTATAGGAACAACAGCGCCACCTCCGGCAACACCCTCAACCACACCTCCGACAACACCCTCAACCTCACCTCCGACAACACCCTCAACCTCACCTCCGACAACACCCTCAATCTCACCTCCACCAACTATCGAGATTGAATCAGGTACTTTGCTTTTTCTACAGCAGAAATGACGAATATCACGCAATAAACACTTGCCAGTAAGATCACAGTTGAGCTATACAGCTCATCGGTGGTAAAATGGCTGCCTTGGGACACTTTTAAACCGAAGATAGAATCTTTGCTTTTCCCATTCGTCCATTTTTTATCTATGACCTTGCAATAGATCTTGCCGATCCTTGAGCTGTAGGAATCAGTTTCACTAAAAAAGGAATGTAGAAGTCCTGTACTAACCTGAATAAACAGGAAACTTTAGATGCTGCCACTGCAACAAAAGCTAGTAAGAATACGAGATAATAGTCACAGTAAAATACAAATGTTGTGAATGACGGTTTCGTATTCAAGACAAAGACCAAAAAATACCTGCAGTGGCAGATAATAAACTGAAAAAATCTTGCAGTCGTACTAGATAATCGTTAGATCCTGCATGATATTTACACATCGGACGACAAACTCAATTGCCATTTGCCAACCTTCACTTCTTTTTAGTTGATGGGCAAAATCATTTGTCTTTTTTCTTTGTCTACTCCAGCTACCGGATATAAATAATTTTCTGCCTTTTTTACCGGAACCCATTCGGGCCATTTTCAGTAAAGTACGTTCCTAAACATATGTGACAGAAAGAAGCGTGTGGGGCGGGAAGGGAGCCATTGGGGAGCAGGGGAGGCAAGGGGAGGCAAGGGGAGGCAAAGGGAGGCAAGGGGAGGCAAGGGGAGAACTGCACATCCAGAAAAATTTGAATCCGGACAAGGTAGACGAATTGTACCGAAATTTAGAAAATGTTTTGCTGAAATTTAGGGACATTTGTACTTGTGAGTTTTAGAATAGTCCCTCAATGATCAAGAAGAAATACATCGCTGAATGTCGGTCTCATTCGACTGAGCTGTACTATAATTATATACTATAAGTTATGCGCTATATGCACGGTACAGATCAGTCATTTGTCTCGTTCTTTTTTAAGGGGTTCGTGTGTTCATCAAAAGTGTAGGTTGCTATGATCCAGGGGTGACAAATTGCGACACAACGGAAGCAGTAATCAAAGTTAACGATGCTGTAATGTCATGTCCAAATCCTAAAGGCGCCTGTTTAACAATTCTTGACGGAGTTACAGGTAGAACATTTAAACAAAGACGTCACATAGTTTGTCAAATGTAATCTAAGGCCCGTTTCAGATGTCGAAATTTTCGTGTGCCAAAGCTAACGTCAATGAGCTGGGGCCGGTTGTATAAAACTCTTTAAAGTTGAATGACAACCCTCTTGCCATCAATCTCCAAGGTAGCCGGAGAACTTGTTATAAATCACATTGCTGAATACTTTAAAATAGAATGAATAAACTGCTACTTTCAGGGGAAATAGAAGAAACAATAAACGAGATGTCAACAGACTTGGTAGACTATCTACCTATATTATCGAGCAAACCTAAGTAAGTTGCCGATTTTATTTTGCGTATGAAGAGAAGTGGCCCAGTAGTACACAACTATTTGAGAAATTAAGGTGATTCTATAGCATCACGATTGTTGTTGTGTTCACAGGAAATTGATCCTCGGAACAGTAAAGGGAACGTGGTCCACGCCAAGAGATCGTCGCTCTTTACGCATTCTTCGCCGTTATTTGTACAGGCTTCGTGTTTTAGGACGACGAGTTTACTTCCGCAACGCATCATTTGCTTTTATTGGATGGTCTGGCCCGGGAAGAGTCAGCGTCACTAGAGGAGTAAGAAATCATCTTTATTATCGGTTTATCCGTTTTACCATGTAAACACATGCATGGGACCGGTTGTATCAAGCTTGTTTGGCTTAAAAGGCGGATAAGTCAAAATTAGATAACACTCTTACATCACTCTTGAATGAGTCTACTTGAATTTTTTGCCCTGAATATATAGTTGTAAACAGTATCTTTGTATTAAGGTTAAAAAATGCTTAGTTTGCCTCTTGAATAGAACGATAGACTTGCTGTCTATTTTGAACTTAACCACCGTTTAATTAAGTTAAACGGGCTTGATACAACCGCCCCCTGAACTGATTTTGAGTACGGTCCCAAATTAGACTGGCGAATTGAACGTGGCCAAAATCTCCCTGAAATCCTTTTATCAACAATATAATGTTTTCCTATTTTCTAGGTTTATACAAATGCCAGAAGAGGACCAAGTGTCATTTCGAGGAAAATTTATTTCCCATTGGCATGAAGGATTCTGAATGAATACTCCTATATATCGTAATTACTGCACAAGAAGCACATACGCACACATAAACTGAATTGGCAAGTGTGATCGTAGATAAATTACCAGCACATTGTGATGTAATCACCACAACAAGAGTAGTGTTCAGAACTAACATGCATGTATCATATATTTTATGCCTGCAACTATATGCACCTGCATGCCTCAGCTGTAAACCATAGCGAAACTGATACCCTGGTTCACAAGTTGAATGGATCGTACCCTATAACGGGTTGTAGATCAGTAATCAGAGTTACATCATAAGTTCAGTTATTCCGTAATTAAATTAGTATTATCTGTACTTTCTGAGTCTGTTGTTTAACAAATATTGGGAAGAGCCTTGTGTACAGTAGATTAAGGAGGGCACAGAGTTATTTTTATTTTCCTATCTCAAGAAATGGTGGTTATATTATAGTTGGTGGTTAGCCTATGATTCTGTCCTGCCGTTGTCTGTAAAGTGCGCTATATCTACAATCCGGCCTCGTACCCACGTACTGGAAATTAACATCGCATTCAGGCGCTATATACAGATCAACTAGAAAAAGCAAACGCGCGGGGGTGCTTGGGGTGGTTTTGACTTCAATAAGTAGCTGAATGCAGATTCCAATGAGGCACTTGGGTAAATAATATACGTGGACTAGAATAATTAGGGCTAATTGCAAAGTAATACCTTAGTTTAATGGTTAAATAAAGTTGTGAAACGTCATAATGATTTGCAATCCAGTGTCATCACTGTAATGTTACAATCTCGGTCCATTCCTTTTATTTATTTCCGTGTTTCGTCGAGGGATGGGCACCAGGCACGGCCTGGGCAAGGGAAAGGGTGTGACTAGCCGGCCGGAAATAAATCCCTACACGTTGCTTCGCCCACCATTTTGAATTTAACTTTAGTTTCAAAACATTCAGTCGAATTGCATCAGATTTTTAAGGGGAAAGGTACGACGATTGTTTGTACATTCACAGGTATGTGAATACTTGAAAACTATATTACAACGAATAGCGCGATTTCAAAACTGGAACAGCACACTAAACCGGTCTGAAATCGATAAAAACTTCGTACTAACTTGTACTAAACACAACAATGTTATTATTCATTTGACACGTGCTAGTTTGCATGTTTTTAGAGTATTTGTAGGTGTCTTTGTTATCTTAAAACTTGATACAAAATCTATCAGTGTATTGATCAGTTTTATTTGTATAAATTTGTTTTAAAGTGTCCGTTATTAAAAATGAATGTATTTAATCTAAAAACAATCGTCAAAGACGATGACATGTCATGAACAAATATAAAACATATGTTGTCTGTACAGTACAGTGCTTTGGTCAGTTGGTGTTTATTAATCAAATTATAATTGTATCTGTTTCTATGTTCTGTGCCGTACAGCAACAAGCATTTATGATTCCTAATAGCAATATTTAAGGCACTTGTGGTTGTCGAGATTCACATTTTTTTTATAAATTTTAGTATTTATTTGTATTTTCTCGGTAACTTAGATATGCCAAGTGAACAAGGAAAGTCTTGTACCTTTTTTCTAATGTTTTTCAATTTTGAGTTGACTCAGAGGATATAAAAGCAGGCTTTATGATGAAATGGCCCTCTACGAAGTAGAGGAAATGGACCAGAGATTAGGTTATGATCAGGGTTAGGATTGGATTGGATCTTAGATTAAATTTATGATTAGGGGTAACTAATCCTAACTTAATCGCAGGGATTATTTTTGTGTATTTAGGTTTTACTGAACGCTGAATTATGACTAAATAAACTACTCGCGCGCGCGTCTTGCGTGTACTTTTCGCATCATTTTGTCCTTAGGGATTGTGCGACTTTTGAGAAACCTTTTTGTACATTTCTGCAACATTTCTGAATGTTTCGTGACATTTTAGCACGCAATTTTACTAGAATACTCTTGAGACGGTTTATGAATGAATTCTTGCAACATTTGCGACAGAATAGAGACATTTTGACGCTAAATACCACCTTTGCGACCTATTTTGCAACAGTTTAGAATTTTGGAATTTATAAAAACGAAATGCTATTTCTTTTTAAGTTGAATCGTTGTGCGAAAACTACGGCACTTTGCAAAATTGAGTCGATGGGCAGGTGCTAATATAAAAAACATCTGGTTTTTATGTGAAATTTGATCTGTTTTATTAATTTTGGGCCTGAGTCTAATACGCGTGCTCAGATCATGAACGGAAATAACTTGCACTATATGCGATCAAAGTCCGTAACTAGCATCTTACATATAATTTCCCCTTCACGCGTTATTCACATGTACTCTCTGCGCGCTGATTGGCCGAGCATTTAAATTCTCGACGTTGATTGGCCCGTCCCCGTACCCGCCCACAGAGTGCATGGACAGAAAGATGGCACAACGTGATCATAACAATGAATTCGTGCTATTTTTGACTACCTTGTCAAAGTTGTATAATTTTCATGCTAAACTCCCTTCGAGAATGGATGCTCTGCCTCTCTCTCCGCCTTCGACACCGACTTCTTCTAACCGAGACAGCGAAGTAAGTAGACAGGATACTGAATTTTATCGTTCTCGTGTTCGACGGCTTTCCTGACGAAAAACTTCGCCTAAATTGCAAAAATCTGCGCTTGCAAATCGAATTCTAAAATGTCTATTGCGTTTTGTGTACTACCGACGATTTACTATATTTTCTTCAAACAGAATGAAGCTGTGACCGAGTCTGAAGCAAGAAAAGTTCAAGTGAAAACTGAGAGGGATATTACGGCTGTTCAATCTTTACTAGCGATGAGTCAGTGGTCGCCTCCGAGTCCCGACCATTCTATATCTCCCACAATAAACGACCCTCTATTCTCCGTTCTGGAACCAATTCAACCTATAAACAACACTCAACTCAACCACGACCAGGTAATTTTGCTCATTTTTTTTTAACAAAGTTCTCAACAAATGAACTCAATAAACACCTCCGTTTACTCAAATATAATCCAACCTCGGTCAGCCCGAAGTTCCCTTTACATAATACTCAAAATCTTCAGGCGCTTGCCGAGTAGTCGATTTTAAAAGCTAAAATATGCAAATCCTTAAAAAAAGTTTACCCTCTTTTTCTTTTTTATTTCAATAGTAAAGCAAACCTTGACTTTATCTTTTTAGGTCGAAAATTCGTCGGTTCTTCCAAGTCAAAATACCCTGCCAAATCCTGTTGGTGTGTTCGGGCTGCCGCCACAAAGCTTGGTCGATTTTAGCAAGCTTTTATCGGGGAATCGTCTTAATTTACCTAATACTGGAAACCAAGGGCCAATCATGATTATTTGTCCTATTGCCGTCCCGACAAGTAACGCAAATATAAATGTAACATCCGCGGCAACAACGAGCGCTGGTGAAAGAAATATTGCTCCATCCGTCGTCCCAAACGCCGCCCAAAAAACCACTCCTGAAAACAACGATAGCAGAAAACGTAACTACGTCTGTACCTATGAAAACTGCGACAAAACGTATTTCAAAAGCTCCCATCTCAAAGCGCATTTACGAACCCACACAGGTATATAAATAAAATGATAGAATACTGTATCTGAAATTGACAATATTCGAAAACCGATTTTTTGTTCTTTTCGAACATTGTCCGTTTCTGAAATTGACATATCTCTATTTAGCCATGAAAATACCGAACGGTAAAAGTATTTCGTAGAAAATTGCAGCATTCCTCGGCGCGTTTCAATAATTACAGGGCGTTAAATTTGCATGCTTTGTCCATGTATTAATAACCTTCGTTAGTCTCTATTTATGGCAATTATGCTCATGAATTGCAGTCAATACTTCAGGTTTGAACGAAAAGAACGTGTAGCATAATGTGTAGTATACTTTTTGAAGGTTTCGCGGCCGTTTTTTATGCATTTTCCGCCTACTTTTTACCTCTGTTTTACGCCTAATGCACGCCCCTAATCTTGCCTTTCACGTGCCCATGTAGTGTTCAGTGTTTTTGTCGTCACGCACCTTGACCTTAGCGATTGAACCTTGTACCCTCTCAAGAGTCACATGTTTATTAATAACTTCTCAATAAATCTGCTTTCAAGAACTACGTAAAAGAATTACGCACGTAGTCTTTCGTTTGCGTGTTTTAGTGTTATTATTGTAATAGCATTGACCCACCTTCTTAAATTGCATTACACTTTCATGAAAAAAATCTATAGAAATTGCCTGCTTCTACAAATTAAAATATTAAATGCTTATATATTAAATACTTATGGATTAAATACTTATGGATTAAATGTCTCATCGGATGTGTCAGTTTCACCATTCAAATTAACATATTTGATTGCATAATCATGTTCTTGAGTTTCATTTGAGCTGAAGGTCCCAATGTCATTCTTAGTACTGAAATAGGATGATTTTCACCATCCTGTGTTATTATTGACTAAACTAGTCACAATACTAATTATTTTGATGCTTGTCTTAGGTGAGAAACCATTCGTTTGCACTTGGGAGTCCTGTGATCGAAAGTTTGCAAGGTCAGATGAGCTTACTCGTCACAGAAGAACGCACACAGGTGAAAAGAAATTTGAATGTCCGCTGTGTCGACGGCGCTTCATGAGATCAGATCATCTCACAAAACATGCAAGACGTCATTTAGCGGCAAAGAAACTCCCGGGTTGGCAAGTTGAAATAAATAAACTTAATCAAGTTGCTGCAGCTTCATTGTTGCCTGGCAACCTCCCCCGGACAGACGATGGCATGTTACAGCCAATCTTACCACCAACATGTCAGCAAGTGTATTCATTGACATCACCAAATTCATCTTTGGACGCAGTGATGGCAAGTTCTTCTGAATTCGGAGGACAATCGTCCACTTCTGTGACATCAAGTACAGTTTCAGCATCCACATAGAATGACAGTTGTGGGTGTTGGAAAGGAGTGTCTTTTCTAAGCAGTTTTGTCTGGTCAAGCAGAACTTTGACATTCAAGGTTGTGATGGAAAAAACATATTAAGTACAGCATTTAGAAACTACTAATGTGGTTTGCCGAGAGAACATAAATATAGTTCATAATGCTGTGGTGTTAAAATCCTTTGGAGCTTCGAGTTGTTATACAAAGGTTATATAATTTAACAGTGTAAATTCATCTATTTTAAGCATTATATAGCTCCAAGCCTGTGTATTTAGATAGATTTTGATAGTCTAGACTTGCTATTGTAGTATAGGATATCTTTTTGTGATAAATACTCATATTTATTGAATATATTGGCATGACAATACATGTTGGAGAAAAAATGTGTAGAAATGCAAAACATAGGACTTTGTCCTTCATCCTTTAGTTGTCTTTTTCTTGTTGTCCACGTGTCTTTCTGATACCCTTCAGATGCCCTTTTGTGACCCTTTAGTTGGCCTGATACCCTTCAGATGCTTTTTTGTCACCCTTTAGTTGGCCTTCTGATACCCTTCAGATGCCCTTTTGTCACCCTTTATTTGTCCTGTCCTTTATATAGCTAAGTAGGCCCGGTCCCAGACTTCTACGGGTTGGAATTCAATATGGCGGCCCAAGTGGTGAAAACCAAGTTTTCTGCAATATTTCTTTTGGCTTGATGTGAAACTGTTTTGTTTTGGTTTTTGTTTTTTGGAAAATGCAGGTTTCCCAACCTAACGATGTCAAGATCTATAATCTCTCTGCTGGAAAAAGTCTACCAGAGGTAAGATGTCGTTTTTTACTGCCATGCAACACATTTCGACAGTTTTTAAACCTCGGTTTAAACCTTTATGCGCGAGGAATGCTTCATGCTTAAAAGAAAAAGCTGGCCCACAATTAACATCTCCGCAAGTGTGGGGTATTCTATAGTTGTGCATTTTTTTCACTTTGTAGTGGCTGTCTGAAAGACGGAGAAGGCTCCTCCAAAAGGAAGATGTTGGTCAGTTGCAAATGGCTGACAGTATATACAGCCATTATTTATATTATCATTTAGACATATTATTTACAATTATTGATTTTTATTTTCTTTTTAGATATACGGAGACGAATTGAACTCATTCAGGATTTTGAAATGCCTACAGCTTCAACCAATATAGAAATATCACAAGATGGGAATTATATTCTTGCATCTGGTAACTATAAGGCCACAACCACTCATGTTCTTTAGCTATTTACACATTTACAATATTGTATTGTGAGTATGCCATGAGTATGGCCTTTATTGGTGCAAAGATTGGTTTAAAAGACCAAAGGTTTAGCAATGAGTTTGTGGTGTATACAAACTGATCTTGACATGCAAAATTGCAAGGATGTAATTCTTATGTAATCTTCTAATTTCTTTAAGGCTGCTATAAACCACGTGTTAGGTGCTATGATTTATCTCAAATGTCCATGAAGTTTGAGCGCTGTTTGGACTCCGATAGTATGTAGCCAGTTGTTTAAAAATTCCACATCTAACATATATTTGTTGCATACATGAGCAAAATATTTTCTTATAGTTGTTAGATTTCAAGTCTTGTCAGATGACTACTCAAAGGTAAAAATCAAAATGATTTTTGATCCACGAATGAGCTTGTGGTAAATGTGCCTCAAATTTTTAATATTTTATTCTTCTCCATTAGATTGCATTTCTGAATTGTGACAGATATGTTGAGTTTCATGCACAGGTATATAGTTTCAGTTATAACAGTTTGGTTACATTTATAACCTGATCATTTGACACATCATTTGATATATCTAATATATATAATTTGTATTAGTATGGACGTTATTACAGAACAAGAATTCCAAAGTTTGGCAGGGATCTTGTGTATCATTATCCTTCATGTGATTTATATTTAGTTGGAGAAAGGTACCAATCCAATGATGTAGTTGAGTTAATAACTAAACTATATCTGTGAGTATATAATTTATATCTATTGATAAAATCTGGAATTTTCAGTTCAGAAGTCTATCGACTAAATTTGGAACAAGGAAGATTTTTAAATCCATTGCAAACAGAATCAGAGTAAGTTACATACAGCTGTTTTGTGGATTAATAGTGCTTTCATATTTTATTCAAAAGTTAGAAAAATGAAATGTGAAACTTCTGTATAGATCCATCAACTGTTGTGACATTAATCCTGCCAACCAACTTCTTGCAGTCGGTACTGCTCAAGTAAGTTTAAACAAATAAAAAAGCTCCATCAGAGAACCAGTAGTGGCTGATTCAATTTTTTGCTTTTTTAGTCAAGCTGTTGTTGTTAGGGTTTTCCTGTTGTTCAGTATGTATGGGTATTATCACGAATTCTGATTGCATAAGCCTTTTGTTTCCTTCCAAGGGCCATGTGGAATGTTGGGACCCACGTTCAAGGACTCGGGTCGGTAAAGTTGATGTCGCCACAAATAACTTAGGATTAGAAAGGTGTGTTTATTCTCCAATTATATTCTGCATTTCTCTCTCTCAAGAGGATAAATGCCAAACCAACCTCTCTATTAAACACCTTCTGCAAAAATTATTTGAATTGTTTCTAGTGGTTCAACTCGGATACCAGAAGTAACAAGTATGAAATACTGTAATGGTCTTCTTCTTGGTGTGGGTACCAGCACTGGACATGTAGGTTTAAATCAGATACCATTTGTTATCTACTAAGCTTTAAGCTTTGGGCTATTCAAGATCTTGCTCAATGAAATGCTCTACCCACTTGCTCACCCTGACCAAATCTTTCCAAATTCTATCATTAAAAATAACTCATCATATGTTCATGTACAAATCATTCTTTTGGCTGCTATTAAATTCCAGAGTTCATCCATTTCCAGGTATTATTGTATGACATACGTTCTGATAAACCTGTTCTGGTAAAGGACCATCAATATGGTCTGCCAATCAACAGTCTGGCATTTCAAAATGATGTGAATATGGTCCTTTCAACTGACTCTAAAATTCTTAAAATTTGGCACAGAGATTCAGTAAGTTGTGGTGTTAGAAGAATCAAAATAAGCTACATGACATACATGTGTCTTTTTTAGAACGTTAGGAGAATCGGCGTACTAAGAGAGCTCTTATTTTTTTAGGGAAAACCATTCACAGCTATTGAACCTGGCACTAACATAAATAATTTGTGTTCATACCCAAACTCAGGTGGGTTTACTTTTTGAATGGAATGTGCTGAATGATCTTGCTTGAAAGATCTGAAGTAAAACTATCAGCAAAGGTAGTCATTCTAATCTATTGACTCCAAATCTATGTACAGGTTTGATATTTATGGCTACGGAAGCTCCAAAGATGCTCGTCTATTATGTTCCGGTATGTGATCTGTTCATAATCTAGTTTATTGTTTCATTTGTTTGTTCCTCAACCACTTGCATCGTTCATGTAATGGTTTTTGTTCCAGTCTCTGGGACCAGCCCCAAGATGGTGCTCATTCCTTGACAGTTTAACTGAAGAGTTAGAGGAAGATTCTCAGCCTGCGGGTATCGTATTGAACATGGATTTATTAATAAAGTTAATCCTAAACATAATCCTAACTCACCCCAGTTTTAACCTCATTTCTAACCTTTTAATCTAATCCGCTGACGTTAAATAAATCGCTATCTATACGGTTTTTCTTTTACTTGCGCTTGCAGTAACCAAAGCCTCATGATGTGGTCTATATGGTGGTAAACTAACGTATACGTTTCTTCCATTAAACGTTTTAGTATATGATGATTACAAATTTGTAACGAAGCAAGACTTGACAAGTCTAGGATTGTCACATTTAGTTGGTACAAATCTTCTTCGAGCTTACATGCATGGCTTCTTCATTGATATACGATTGTACCATAAGGTAACTTAATTTGATATCTTTCATTTGCTCGCATTTGTTGTCAGTTTTGAAAGAATATTTTCCTTTATTGAGGCACCTGTGAATGTTTATTATGTGCGTAAACTTTCAGGCCAAGGCCATTGCAGAGCCGTTCGCTTACGAGGACTACCGCAAGAATTTGATAAAGAAGAAAATCGACGAGGAACGAGAAAACAGGGTTGTTGCTAAGGTAGTGTTGTATGTCAAGTGAAACGTGTCAAAACGAGGACCATCTACGTACTGTATTGCAATATTTTTCTTGTTCATCTATTTAGAAGTTGCCAAAAGTCAATCGTCAACTCGCAGAGAAGCTTTTGGACGAAGTGTCAGAGAAAAAAATCGTTGGAAAAGTAAGGCGAGATATATCAGATAGTGGCACCTTCACTATTGTTTCTCTGGCTACTTTATGTAACACGAGTTAATCACCTCTGAGTTTGAACGACTTTTTTTCTGCCTCGTGAAATAGGTTGACGTCAGCAATCCTCTTGGCGATGAACGTTTTGCCGCCATATTTACCAACCCAGATTTCGAAGTGGATGAGGACAGTGAGGTACGTCATGTCAGTGAATTTTTTCGCGTTTTTTTCAACTCATCACGTTGACCTCTGTATCAACTGGATTCATTTCAGCAATACCAACTACTTCATCCTATAATTTCAAAACGAGATAAAGAAAGGAAAGAGAAGAAGAACGAACTGGACAAAAGGTTGGAAGATTTCAACGAGATTTCGGTAAATATTACAAGATTTGTACATTTAAATTTTTGAAAAACTTTGTTTGCCTTTCGTAAGTACGTGTACTTGAATACTTCGTTTTAGGATGGTGAAGTTGAAGGTGTTGCAAGCGACGTGGATGAGTCTAGTTCTGATGATGATTATGAATGGAGACTGGAGTACAAGAAACAGCAGAGAGATAAACAGGGCTCCAACAGGAAGCCTAAGTTTTATGAACTGAAATCTGGCGAGGAATTCACATCCGTGAAACAACCAGAGGATGACAAGCGAAAGAAAAAGTTAGTATCGTGCTGCTACGATGATTAAACTGCATCACAAGTGTCACATCTTATTTTTATCTTTCAGTGTTTCCCTAGGAGATCGATTGAATGAGGGATTGGACACGAGCATTATAAAATCCAGCGGTTCCTCGTTTGGTGGCAAAGAAATCGTATTCAAAATTGGCAAGGTAGAGACTTTGAATTGTGATGTTTTGTCTTGTTTTCAGTACTTTTAACGATGCGAATAATTCGCTCTTGCGATTCTATCCTTTTGATAGATGTGAACGAGTAGATAAATTACGGATGTTCAAATGAGAGCACTTGTACCGTGGACCTTTCATAACTACTCGCTCGTTCACATCTATCTTCAATGTCTATCATTAATCAGATTTTTCAGTCTGTTTCTTGATTAAAACATTCTTTCCATCAGAACCAACAAGAGATTGCGGAGGAAAACGTCGCAAAGGCTCACAGGAACGAGAGGCAAAAACTTCGTCGCTCAGCCAAATCTATTTTGCCGAAAGAGAAACGTGCTGTCTACTGGAGAGGAAAGAGAGTGAGGTGATCACGTGCTGTGTGACGTCATACAACGCCAGAGAACATTACGTCATGACATAACGTCATTGCATGTATGAAGAAGTACGAGGAACATTACCAAGCCGACTTTGTTCGAAGTGAAGGAACACTTTGTAGCCGAAAAATATATTATTTTTAATAGTTTGGACTGGTTTGAAGTAACGTTCTTATTGCAAGGACTAAAAATGAAACGTTTTAAATTTAAAGAAATGTTTTACATTGTAAATTTCTTCTCATTTTTACTGTCGGAGTAGCTTATATTAGCACAGATGGAAAGCCTGTGTACTAATTTATTTGTACAGCCGAAGAATATAATGAAAGAATGAAACATATTGTTTTAATGTGTGTGTTTTTTCTGATCAAAATGTCCGTTTGAGGCAGTGCGAGTGTGTACATGATTACATGGGAATGGGTATATGTGTTAGAACTGTCCAACATTTAAGCCCCCTCTACACGACGCAAACGAGCCCTAGTTAACTCAAGCCTGGGTTAGTTTTCAGTTTAGGTTTAAGCACACTTTACCCAGGTTAGTTTAAGCCCTGCTTTAAAGGTGCATTCGTTCTTGTTCGAACCCGGGTTAGATAGAACGATAAGGCAATCAAATCAGGGAGGGTCGACCCTGGTTTGAGTTTGCGTAGTGTAAACGAAGCTTGGTTTTGTTGAGGTGGATTACGTGTACGTGGCCAAAGTCAGTGTAGCGTTAAACGCTGCGTAATGCATGTGAGTAAAAAACTTATATCATTCATATGCAAATTTACCTTAATACAACGGCTGTAATTTGACAGACTGATTTGCATAGAGTTAATGAATCCTAAAACATAAATCGGGGGTTAAAATGCATTCTGATCGTGCGAGGAATGATAAAACTAGGTAGCAAGCGAAATTAGGTTCGAAGTTACCAAAACGAAAACGATTTTTGCGTATATGAAATGGTCGCCTTATCTGCACGACCTTGTTGACAGCTTAACAGAAACGAATCTCGAATTCCTTCTTTTGAAATCTTTTCAAAATATGCAAATCACTCAAATGCTTTTCCTGTTGAAAACAATAGCATGCATTCTTCGACTTCACCAACCAATCAGAACCCAGGGAATTTGATGACGTCTGTTGAAGGAAATTTGGAGCATCGAGATGGGTGTGCTTTCACGCCAAACCAAACGTCATTCTTAAACATCTTCTTGTTGCGGTAAGACGCTTTGCCCAACGTTTTTTGAAAAAATCTAAAGTCTGAAAAAAGTCTACGTGCGAACGTTTCATGGTCAACTAACAAGTCGTCTATCTTGTTAGCGCCGTTGATAACTACGCCTTTACAGGTAATTATTTAAAGCAACCAATTTCTAAATGTACCAATGCGCTTTGTTGAATTTCAAACGGCAAACAATAGCCACCATATGGACGGATTTTGTCCGCTTTTTCGGCAGCTAAATCTTCTAAATATTGAACGAGTTTTGCCACCATAAGCTTCCTGTAACTCATGTTTGTATTTCGTATCATTTTAGATCAAAATCCTGGGAAAAAAGCGAAAAATTTTGAGGGAATGTGACCACGTGTAAGGTGAGTTTATGCAAATGATTTTACCATGTAGCTCTCTGTGAACAAACAACAGCTTTGCTGGTTACCAGCACATCACCACATAGACAGATTTTCTCACTGTTTTGCCACTGTAAGCTCCCTGTAATTAGTGTTTGTCTAGAAATCTCGTATTGCATGGTCTAACGCTGGCCTTTCATGATGATGTTTAATATATTTAAAATCAGTTGGCTTCCAAATTTCTTCACTCATCGAAGTCTCATTTGTTAATTTTAGAAAGAAACGTTCGCTATCTTCAAAAAAAGAAAAGGAAGGAAAAAAGAAAGAAAGAAAGGTGACTAAAGGCAATCCCTAAGTGCGCGCAAATGCGGAAAACGTTTCTGATTAAAAAATTGCATGAGCCATTTTGAAGGGCAAAGAAATAGACGATAGCATGTTGGGACTTCATTGGGGTGAGGGCATGGAGATTATTTTATTTGTGTGCATTGTTGGCCTTTTGTGCAAATTCTAAATGTTTTTAAGGTTTCAGTTGTGCTCTTGAAGTAGGAATTTTTGTGAATATTCGAGTGACTTCACAGTTTAGTCGCCTGCACCGGAGTATGCTTTGAATGTCCGACTGTGATGTTGATTTTCCCCGGGTGTCAGTTGTGTTCATGTGGGGGGAGGCGCCGCCCTTCGTGTGTGCATCTTTCGGGAGGCCTGCGGGCCCGATTGGCATTCGGGGAGAGTCTGCAGCTCAGCCGAGCGTCCGGAGCGTGTTTTGGTGCAAGCAACTGAACTGTGAAGCCATTGGGGTGTTTACGAAGGTTCGTACTTCAGGAGCACATCTGGAACCTCGAAAGTATTTGTTATTTGAGCAGAAGGTCTTCAGTGTACACCGATGAAATGACTTTCATAAACTTGCCAAATTGAAGTCTTGCTTGTTTGAGTCTTTGGAGTTGTCCTTTTGATTGGCATCGTTCCCAGATCTTTGCTATATATGCTCTGGTCATGGTCACGTTTTAGACTCGCTGTAGGACCAAGCTATATGCATATGGTCAAATTTCAGACTTGTTTTCAGACCTTGCTATATGCTCATGGTCAACACATACACTTGCTTCCAGACCTTGCTATATGCTCACGGTCGTGTTATACACTTGCTTCCAGACCTTGCTATATGCTCACGGTCGTGTTGTACACTTGCTTCCAGACCTTTGCTATATGCTCACGGTCGTGTTATACACTTGCTTTCAGACCTTGCTATATGCTCACGGTCATATCGTGCAGTTTATTTCCACACTTTGCTATATGCTAAGGGTTGGATCTCACTCAAAACGCGAGTCGTTTCTAACGGGAACATTTTCATTTCTTGTTTGGCATTTTGATTACGAACATGCATGTAATGTGATGCTAGACTATCGCGTAATATTCTGTCTTCTTTCCTTGAGTTTCAATTTTCAAACATACAGTATAAGCTTTCCAACCAGTTGGATTTAACTGGTCGCTTCTAACAAAGGGAATACGGATGAAAGGGGCCCCTCATTCGTATTTCTGTGTTAAAGCTATAGGCAAAACCTTCCGCTCTCGTGAGCGCCTAAACTTAGGGGCATGAAAAATGATCTTTGCAAGGAGTTTACAGTATATAATGCTTTAGTCTGCATCGGTTTAAAATGAAAAAAATCGCAAGTATACATGATAAAGCTTGCATAAAAAATGTTTAAAATCTTGAACAACGATTGTAGAATTTGGAGTTGTTCCCAGACTATATGCGGGAATGTCTGTGTCTCTTCAACAAACATGAAAGTTGAAAAGAATTAAATCTTGAGTATACGATATTTCGATTAACATTTTCAACAAAAATGTAGGCTAAATTATGCATTTGCGTGCGAAATGTGATTGCCTTTAAATCCAATCTTAACATATGAAGTACCAAGTCATGATGAAAGAGAAAAACAGGTCCAGCAAAAAACCGCACCGAACCACGACTGGATCGCCTTTCTACGTCAAGAGTAGCTGTTGATAAACATTATCATATTCTGTTTAAAAAGAAATGAACTGAAGATCCAAAACTGATATCTGGTATACATGAATTATGGTCCTGAGAACGAACCGAAGCTTGAAACACGAACTGAACTTTCAAAAACGAGCTCAGGGGTTCCTCTGAAAACGACAGAACGGAAGCCGGTTCATAAGAACGAAGTGTACATGATTTATCCACGCTTCAAGTGTTCATCGGATTGTAAAGACGAAACTGATGTTGATGACTGATGTGTTGACGACGACCGACGAAGATCTCGTGGCGACGACCGATAGACGAGCACCGATGTGACGACTACACCGATGACGACGACCACATCCGTACGACGACGCCAAAGACGCCTGCGACGACAGATAAAGATGATGTCTGCTTTCAGGTTCATATTATGTTGCATACTATAGCTACTGTAGTTCAATCTCGAATCCAGAAATTCCAGTTAAGTTTGCATGTGCATGCTATCAAATAGGCTTTTATTGAGTCTGGGTTCGAGATCTCCTGGTGGTTTTAGTCAAATGTATTTTACGCACTTGAATGACCGATCCTCACCCTTTGGCATTGCATGATAAATTTTGAACTGTCCGTTTGATTACTATTCGGAAACTGAACGCGGTTTTTCAGTTAACAGTACAGTTGAATTGTACAGTTGTTTGTTTGTAAAATTCTCACTCGTGCGTAAATGCAATTGATGGCGCATTGCTAAGGGATAGTCAAATGGCTATCAGGAAATTTCTTTGTGCATGATATTTCTAAGTAAAATCTCTCAAGTGAAGTGAATGAATAATAACGACCATTCACACTGAAGGTTGAGGACTAATCGTTAGGTTGCATGGTTCCTCGGTTGCATGCACGAGGTTTGAATTAGTTGCATGTTTATACCTCAACTAAGTTTGGCACAATTGATTAAAAAACATAAGCTGCATGCATTTCAGTATATGACCATCGTAATGATGGCAATTTTCAAAAACTTAAAAAAATAAAAATGTGCAAAACTACAAAATTTGATGATGCAACTTTGAATTTCGTTCGCGCAAAAAGAGTTGGCAAATTCTGATTCCAATTTGGCAATCAGCGACGACTCTTTAAAAGCAGCGCGCGCAGCGCAGTCTTTTCAAACCACCAGGAACGTCTGAGGAAGACCAAGCACAGCTGCAATCGTTTGAAAACTGGTTTGCAAAAATCCAGGTTGCATGGTTGTTCTTGATTTTCAGTCAGACGAGCGGTATCGTAGTGCACGCGTTCGGTTAACGTTTATGCTCCGAGATATTTTTCGCTTGAAATTTTAAAAGTGAAAACTAGCTTATGGCGTAAACGTTATAAGCGCCGTTAGCAGCGTTTTTCTATTAGAAAAACTGTTGTGGCGCTAAGTACCATGTTGTAAAGATCTCTCGCGCTGAGGCACCTGTTCTGTATTGTTCTTTAATAATATGGAACGGAGTGTTTTCAGCTGCACGCTGCGCACTTTCGGATGAAGATTTTTGTCTTTAAATCTTCGCCGGAGTAAGTGGAGTTCGCACGGTCTGTCTTAGGAACTACTGACGAGACGATTAAAACAATTGACGCAATTCGTAATCTGTTTCGGCCGACAACGACATTCGTGCATGATCCGGATTCATTCAGACCGTTAAAATGCAGCGCTCGCGGCGAAAAATGAAATGAAATAAAAAAATGGAAATCACAATGTGTCCGATACATGGTACTTGAGTACTTTAACGAAAAAAAATTTCAACTGGAGTACGAGGCTTTGTGTTAACGT